TTTTGCATGTTCCGTGTAATCTGTGCTGCTGGGCTTCGGCTGGGTTGTGGTTAGTTCGTCATCCCGCCAACGGCTGCGTATGTTTATTGCTGATCTGAGTGATCTTTCGAATACCGTGTTGCTGATGCTAGACCTCACGCGCTGCCAGTAATGTAACCTTCCACCTGGCAGAGTCTAAGAGCAGTGAACAAATCTCCGTTCGGTTTGCGCGGGATGTTACAATTGTTGCACTCGCGATAGCTGTGTGACTGGTGCTGGAAAGCTATTGGCTAGAAATCGACCTCTAGCCGTTGGTGTTTCCGCTTGAAAACTTAATGTCCCACTTATCATGCCCTGTTATTCCAATGTAATTATTACCGGGACTAAACCACACACCACAGTTGCCCCCAGACGGCGTGGGTAATAAGAAACTTGACAGATTAATAAACGTGATGCCCTCGTTGTATTCTCCACTTCAGCACGAGGGGAATATGCAGGAGCTTTCCGAGGCGCTGTGCAACGAGCCATCGCTGACAAGTTTGAAGCTAACTAGATAGAACTGGCTTGGCCTGGGGGACCTCGTTCAGATGTCATCCTTGTTGCCAGGCGTTGGTCGAGTAGGGCAATACTTATACCCAATGTGATTGGCTGCACAAACAGACTATACAGGTCCTTCCGAGCACTGCATACGGAACTCTTCCTGAGCGACGTGGCGGAAACGGCGCGCAGGTATTGCCGACGGGCGCCCTCCTGTTCTTCCGGCAAACATCCTGGTGCGCCACAAAGGAACCTCAGCCCTTCAATACTGTTCGCAAAAGGGCTCCAGAATGAGCGCCACTGGCCCTATGGGGAAAATCGTTCCGCACGATCAAACCAATGTACAATGTCGGCCTGAGCAATGTTCACACCATGCGCATACCTAGCTGTATGCAACCCGCTCTTCGGATGGTTGCCTGGATATAAAGCTCATAGGACAATTTTTTTTTATTTGCGGGCAAATGAAAAGCTTGCTCCGGATTCATCGATGGCTGGCCCAAGGCCCGATCCTATCACGATCCGAGGCCCCCTTCCCCCCTAGTTTGTTCCAATGCATTGCAACACCCAGGCCACAGGCTTGAAGCTGATAACCATGAGTAACTGCGTAAAGGGGTTGTGATTGCAAGTGTCTCTTAGAAGGTACTTGTAGTGACAATTTAATGCTGGATGCTGTGTCAGTCAAGCTCAATGACATTGTTTGGGCTAGGAAAGGTAAGCAGTAATAGGCAAATAGCGACTGTCGTTGCTCTTTTGGCTAGTAATGCTATTACACAGCAATTATGAATGGCTGTATTTTATAGGTATTTGTTGCGGTGTGCTAAATGAGTCATTGGCTCGACTGGATTTCGCCCATACCGATATACCGATGGGCTGGGGGCGCTCTCTTGAGCACGGCCACACCAAAAATGTGAGACCTAGCTTCGGACTAGTGTGCCTTTGAGACTTTTGGAAGTGATAGATAACTTTTGCGTATCGAAAGTAGAAATTTTAACGAGGTTGAGGTTCAGAGGAAGGCTAGGAATGACAATTTTTTATGTCTGTCAATGTCACAACTCTGCAATGTCGTTTGGCTGGTTTGGGGCCTGGTCACCGGCCAAGCTAAGCGGCGAGTGCATATAACAGCGAGGGCGAATTATTAAACGGCGTTCGACCAAGTTATGGCTCCCATCATATTAATTAACCAAATAAATGATCATTTAGCTGACCTTCTTTGACACTGGCAAATGCTTGCTAGGATCAGGCAATCATTATGATGGCTCGAACAGACTCGATGTTGTGAACGTGGGTCGTGATGTTTTCCGCAGGCTAGTGGGCCATGGTCTGATTTCTGGGCTGCCCTGGGCATGAATCCTGAAACCTGGTAGGATTCATAAGGGGGTTTGTTATGTCCAATGGGAGTGGAAACAATACGCGCTTATCCCATACTTGATGCGACTTCGCTAGTTGCGATTGGGCCGCAGGAGGTATTTGCCAAGTATGGCTTGTAGTGAGCGTTTCCTTCCACCATTTCCGACGTATGACAGGTACTATAGCTCAGATGCACCGGATGCAAGCTATACGGTTCCTGCTCTAGCTTTCTGTTTTTTCGTGGGCTATACATGCCCGGTATTGGTCGGTAAGCAACATGATATTGCCGTTGTGACAGATCGCCACCTACCCAACCTCCCATCACAAGAACCAGGGGGTTAGAAGGCGTCAGAAATATGATCCGAGAACACGATTTGGTACGTCATGAGCCTTGCTGGGCTTGTGTCAATATCATCGCTCCTCGCGCGTACGAATCGGGTTGATTATGTCCCCTGTTAGCTGAGAAGCATGACAGAGATATCAGTGGGTATCTGCATAGCGGCTGAAGCTGTTAGGATTCCGGCCGGCAATTTGTGAGCTGACAACAGCCACGGCGCCACAGCGTATTTCTTGGCCATGTGCTCTGTCGTTACCTTCAAAAATGAATCTAAATACTATCCAGGTTGCGTCAGTTGGCGTGTGGAGTGAGGCGAGTTTATTCAGCGTGGCATATTTAGCAAACCGCCATGTCCCAATAACACAACAGGGAACCTTCCATTTTGGCTTCGAATGCGATGCGCAAGGGATTTCCAAATTGGGTTGCCCTAGTTTGATAGGACATGCCCTCCATTTTCACCGCATGTGTTAAATAATCACGCTAGAACCAAGCTGTCGATTTTGCTCTCTGCGGCTGAAGTGCAATCAGAGACTTGCTGGCTCGTATGATGAAGCTCAGAGTGTATACGCCGTAATCGGACGTACAATACGCCCTGTCAATCTTTATCATTGTATGTCGGGTATAATTCATTGACAAAATCGGGCAATTTGATTCATACCAAGTCTACTTCTGTAGTATTACTATGCTCTAGCGCACGTAAACGAAGAACATGTTTACGAAGCGCTGTGATTCCAGGACGTGTACGTATAGGAGGAAGTATGAAAATAGTAGGATTGAAGACTAGAGCTCATTTGTACCAGCTGGTAGATGGAGGCTTTTGTGAAGCTCATCGGTATCATACCCCACTGCCAGGTGTCAAGCTTGCCAATTACCAGGTGCCAACTGCCAGCCGCCAGTCGTCAAAGTCTGACAAGCCGTCACACTTTGTTCCGGACAGAACCATTAGGTATGGAAAACAGACATTAGCAAGAGTAGACATCTTAGTTGTAAGCAAGTTGGACTGCTATGGCGATACAATGGGCCAATGTTTGCAAAATCCTTCCGGCTTCGTATGTCAATACGATCGCTAGTGTGATGTCCGGCGACGGAACAAATTTGCTAATGCTGACTTTGACAGAGGTATGCGTCCTAGAGAGCACTCCTGCTAGCGTGGATGACTTACCGGCAGCTAGGAATTAGGGAAAAAAATACTTCTGTGTCTACACTTACTAGGTATTTTGCGCTACCCGTCGTCGTGGATCATTGCTGGGTAGTGATCTTGGTGTTCCGCTCAGTCGGCGTACACTGTACTGCACTCCAGGCCGAGCATGAGACAAGCGGGTCGTCTTGCGCTAGGCTTTGCGGGCCATGTCTTTTACCGGGCAGTGGATGTAGGAATCAGCCATTCCAGCCCTAACATGACTGCCAAGGCCTATTCAGAGGGCTGTGTAAAGACTGGTGGCTGCTCGGCCCAGCGGTTGGCAATTATACGCGGAGGCGGTGCCACGCGTTCATCTCATCACTCCGAAAGACCCGATCAACCAGCAAGTAGCGTATATTACAAGGCAATGGATCCGAATGCCTATTCAAAGCACAGGCTCCCTACATGATTCAGGCTTTCAGCCGGCATTCTGCTTGTGTACGAGCTCGCCCGTATCACACCTCATCTTGCGCTCACGGGCAGGCTGCGCAGTTATTAATGTCCCATACTGCAGTTGATGGGCTAATACAGCGCTGCAGGCTGTGGTGCTGTAGCATCCGTAATGAACGAAGGGCATGCATCAACCAACGTGCCAACCAGTGCAGTCCAATTTTTAAACATATGACTTGAATGTTTTAATCGTTGGAATCGCTTCATCCTTAGACACTTCTGGGGGGACGATAGAGCACCGCTTAAAGAGGTACACGCCACCATGTTTATAGAGCAAGACAACTGGCCACTCAGCGCTACAGCCTTGCAGAGAGTGGTTGCAATCCATTCGCGTTCAAACTTGAAACAGGCTGCTTGTGCACTTGGACTTGTATCTGCCGTGGTACAGAAACAGGGCGAGCAAGGCGGGGAAAGACAACAAGAGCATCGCACCTGTAGCTGGCAGACGTTTGGTTGAAAGGCACATTTGTTTGAATACCGCTGTGCTATGGGAGCACGAAGCTACACCTGATTAACGCACAGAAGTATCGTGGGCCAAGATCGTTGATGCTCCTGTTGACATTACTGGTCTTATCCATCTACAGTAGATGCACGACGATGTTGGTAGCCTGCTACCATGACTTACTGACGGCTACCACAACGGCTCATGTGCCACGATGATTGCACCAAACGCTGCGAAATGAAAAGACAGCGCGGCAAATAAAATACAAAATTAACACCGGAACAGAAAGACTTGAACAAGGCAGAAAGCAGCGTTCGATGACCATCTCCCCCGGGCGCTTGTAAGCTCACCAGAGACAAGGTCCCAAAAAGGTATGCTTTTAGCCCATGCCATCAGCGCTACGGGTACGATTCTCTCGCCCCCTGGGCTGCCGTGAGCGAGCATTACCTTGCACAACCCAGCTGGGTTTGGGAGCGACAGGAGACTTACTGGGGGGAGTGGGCGCTGTGTAAGGGCCAAATAACCCACCGCCACGGTCCACTTACCTGTTGTTTGGCGCCGAGAGAGCTGCCGCCAGCCCAGCGGTCTCCTGTCGCTGGGGTGCGACGGTTCCAGGGGCGTGCAGGCTGCCCAGGGCGTGCCCGACGTGCCCCATTCAGCCTACCATAACGCCGCCCCTTGGGGCAGGCTGCTGCCGCTCGCTCACACGCCCTCGCTTTACTACTGCACTCCCCCACCAAATCTGCACACCACAACCAGGCAGGCCGGCCTTCGACTTTGGCAAGTGCGCACTACTTATGCACCTGGCCGCCCATCCCACGCTTGCCTCTTGGCCCTCTGTTAATCCTCTTGGTGGTTTTTTTTTTTGATTCCTTTGCAACTCTGCTGAACCCGGGGCTCAGCTTCTTCATCCATCTGTATATTTTGCACACCTCTCTGTTTTCTTGTTGTCGGCCCCTCCAGCGCATTGACGCTTTGCTTGCTCCTGCTTTCACCGGTCTCATCGCCCACCGATATAGACTATTAACCACGGACAATCGTCTTCTCGACACAACTCCCGACTCCCCGCCTTTAGGATATTAATTAATTTCGACCACCAACAGCCGCTGTACAGCCGGGTTCGAAGCCTCCACCACTCCCATAACGCTCCGCCTCAACTGCATCGCCCCGGACGCCGCAGAAGCCGCTTTCCGGACTCTCCCCGGCTTCACTACAAACCACCCGTTTTCTTCGGCCATCCTGTCTCGATACAACATAGTTCCAAATGATGGCATATGGTGCCTATAGGGACATGGCTCCCACTCTTCCCAGCATTGTTGTGCCAGGAAGTGCCAATTATAACCCCTCTCACCCTGATGTTGGCTACCGTCGAAGCAGCGCAGTAAACATCCCCAATCTCGACCATAGAGAACAGGCGCCCCCTCCTCTGCCCCCTCCTCCTGAGCCCTTCTCTGCGAGAGTTGAAGAGCCCCGAAGCGGCAAAGAGTACACCCATAGCTTCGGCAGTAACTATGGCAGTATTAACGATGAACGCCCTGCTCTTAAGAGACGAGACACGGGTAGTACGACTGATGAAGGATATGCAAGCTATTCATCGACAGAGAGGTAGGATACTCCGCCATATAGCACGCATTACAAGACCTTCTAACATGACAGAAATCTAGATCACTACCGTCTCTGCCTCCAATGTCGACATCGTTCTTCACATCTGCTGCCGATAGCATGAAGAGAAAGCTAGACCCCATCCGCACATTTGACAAGTCACCACCCCGATCCTTTCTTACCGCATCCCTTAGCGATCTAGGTCCGCGAAAGGAACCTCGTCTCGCCCCCAGTGTCGACCTGCCAATCCATAGTCGCTCAGTAGCGAGCTCACGGCAATCTTCGTTTGCTGATTCTCCCCGAACCAGCCAACTGCCACGCACTCCTCTGGACCACCGATCTCCAATGGACTTTGACCACTCGCCACGAACGGTAGTGAGTCGACACAATAGCGATGACGCCGCGATGCATGGCACCTATGAGTACCATGCCGCCGAAGATATGGAACTGGATGATTCCAACGCACCTCGACGCATGCAATCGGAAGATCGATATGTTGCCGCCGGCCAAAAGCGACGAGCCATCAGCCCTGCACCCAGTGAGCACGCCTATCACCTTGCTCACGGACAGCCGGATGCGTTTCGTCGTCGTGAGCTCGGGACCAGAGCCTCCCCTACCCCTCGCATGGCAACCATTCCCCATGCCCACTCTCTCTCCTCCACGGCTTCAACCCCGGTCTCCCATTCGACATCTTACCTATCCAACCTTTCTATCCCTTCTTCCGCTACCAGCTATGATCACCGCTCACCTACTGGCCCCTCTCCAACATCTGCTGGCTCTCCATATGCTGCCACAGCATCACTCAATGCTAGTCCTCGCAGCTCCATCTCTCGTGCGTCTCTACACGCGAGAGTCCTGTCAGGCATTAGCCCGCGAAAAGTCACAGAAGTCAAAGGGGCTGGTGGCAAGAGCCAGGGCTTTTTGATGTGCGAATGCTGCCCCAAGAAGCCCAAGAAGTTTGAGAGACTCGAAGATCTCCAGTAAGTTGCGTCCCTAAAAACAGACAATATATAATACAGACTAACATGGCTGATAGGACTCACGCACAAGAGAAGCAGTATGAGTGTTCTTACTGTGGCAACCGGTTTAAGAACAAAAACGAGGCTGAGCGCCACCAAAATTCGTTGCACGTTCGACGCCACTCATGGTCTTGCTCAGCATTGAACCGCTATGACCGCGCCTTCCATGACTCCACGATTCGCCCTGGAGAGGCTGATACTTGTGGTTATTGCGGAGACGAATTTGCTAGGTCTGGCCGCGGCCCTGGCAATGGTGTCCTCAATGGTGGTATTGTTCCCTGCCATGCCACGGATGCCGACTGGGAAGAACGAGTCCGCCATTTGGAAGAAGTGCATAAGTTTCGCGAGTGCAATTCTTCCAAAAAGTTCTACCGCGCGGACCACTTCCGTCAACATTTGAAGCATAGCCATGCTGGAACTAGCGGCAAGTGGACGAACATGCTTGAAAATGCGTGCCTGATGGACGAGGAGCCACCCACGCCTCGATAAATATGGTGTGAATTTTATGATTGATACGATATGCCGATTTCTCTTTTATGTTGTTACTATCACATGGGCCTCACGGGCCTCATTTCTTTTTTTTTTTCATTTCTTTTTTACTCCACGGTATGGCGTTACGGTAAAGGGAAAAAGGACCGGGCTTTTCTTTTCGCGCTACGCAGCCCTCAGAAAGAACTTTTTTAGTTTTGGGAGAATTCTGTCTTTGAAAAGTTATCCTGATACGAGAGGCATGGACGGGATTAGTGTGCATTTCTAGGTATACCCCGGAAGCAGGGCATTAAGCACTACGAGACTTGGGTTGACACTGGACAACCTGAGGTGGGATACGAATAGCAGCTTTGGGAACCAGAGTATTTTAGCATGAATAAAATAACACTGGCTTTATTTCGCGCATGGTATTTCCGCATTTACTTTCAGACTGCCAAGGTCAGGAAGCTGGTCTCTTTCAGGATACCAGGAGCGAGCTATCGCCGCCACACAACCGTAAACACCAATTTGGCGGAAGTACCAGCCAAGCCGATGACTTGGTGGGATCCGAGAGCAATCTAGTCTAACTAACTAGATCAAAAGAGGGCGATGGAGGTCAAGCGCTAGGATCCACCCATCGGAGAACAACTTCTGAGGCATGGCATACTGTTAGCACTGGATGAGAATAGTTTGTATTAATCAAACCGAGCCCTAGGCGGCGGCTACGTTGCTGGTCCTGGTCGGAGCGTGTGCAAAACCCATGCCCATGCCCATGCATACACCGGATAGGACCGATGTGCTTGCTTGGTTGTTCGTTCCCATCGCGGAAAGCAGGGGCCAGCGGATCTGGGCAACGTTACGAGCAAGTTCCTCTAGGTGAGATGAAGGGAAAAAAAAACTCCGTGCTCGCGTGAGTGAGACGCCGGCAGGTGGGCCGGACGTGGCCGGAGACGGTGTCAGATTCGCCGCCAGGCAGCGAGATAACTATGAAACAGAGGGGATAGGGCCATCTACGGTCCAAAGCGACAAGGTCTGGGATGAGGGTGGTCCAAGTAAGCAGAGAGAAAACAGAATCGGGGCATCCGGGCATGCATTGCTTCGGTATTTGCAAAAGCAGTTAGGCCTGTGGTAACGACAAGGAGGGTGTGCATCGAGAAACGGCGGCAGGGCCACGATCGGCACCAACGTAGTTATTTTTCCGTCCGACCTAGTCTTGCGTCTGCTATTATTATGATTATTACTGTTCGTTTCAACTTTCCTTACGGGGCAGGCTACCCTACCGGCATTGGCGATGGTTGTGGTGGTGTCTTGGAATTTATTTTTGCTTGTAACAAACAATGAAGGGTGCCATCTGCAAAGGGTTGCACTGCAGCAGGGCCGATGGCTTTCCAACCCCCCGCCAATCAGGTGCTGGCAGAAGAAAGCCAACGGGGCTGCTGGTGGTAGTGCTGGTGGTGGGCTGGCGGGCAGCTGGCGGGCAGCTGGTGACGAAGGAGGGGCAAAGAGAAAAATTGGCAACCAAGAAAACATACACTAAGCCAAATCAAATCAGATCAACGAACAGTGACAGCAGCAGTAGCAGGCTGTTGACGACGGGAGCTCACTTTGAAAATATCCAACTGCAGCCAATACTGTTTACGAATTAGTTACTAAGCATCGGATACGAGAAGAGCGTCACTGTTGCTCGCCCTTGTTTTGCCTCGGCTGCCTGTTGCTACACGGGCTCTATACAGCTTCCTCACAAATGAGTCACGACCACAGCACAAAACTCAAGCAGCAGCTTGAAAACAGCAATTTGCCTTCTTCAGATGAAGTAAACGAAAACCTCAAAGCCGCAGCTGAGATGGCTTTCAGCCCAATTACTGGCGTTGGTGGCCTGTATCTAGGAGGGTAGGTTCTCACTCGCTTAACATGACACGCACTTGGCCTATCACAAAAAGCTAATATACCACGTCTTTCTTCATATGCAGTCTTTGGGCACTGAGACGCACAGATACCTTGAAAAAGAAACAAATATCCAGCGTCTTATCCATGGTCAAGTTTGATCCGGAGGCTGTCAAAAATTTCAACAACGAACCATGGTCTGTCTACGGTAAAGATCTGCAGCACCTCATGATTGACTTGGACGATGTTGAAGACGCTGACATCCTCGTCGAGCTGCCCCGTGCGGTACGGTTTATTGACGAGGGCCTCACGAATGAGGAAGCCGGGGGCGTGTTTGTACATTGCGTCGCCGGCAAGTCTCGCTCCGTGTCCGCCATTATTGCTTATCTTCTATGGAAGCACCCAGAGCGGTTCAATCACAGCCCGGCTCTTCCCCGAAAAGAGACAGCTGGCGACGCCGTCCAAGCGGCTCTCAACTTGATTCGCCAAACAAGGCCCATGGCCGAGCCAAACCCTGGCTTTGAAGAGCAGCTGCACTTGTGGTGGGAAATGGGCTGCCCTCAAGACGTCGAAGCGCAGCCTGCGTACCAACGATGGGCCTATAAGAAGGAAGTGGCTGAACATTTAGCTGTTGGACAGGCCCCCTCGCGACTTCGCTTTGAAGACGAGCAGGAGCAGCATGGGTCGAGCAGCAATGCCGACATTAATGTGCGCTGTAAGAAGTGCCGGCGTGTGCTCACGAATGGAGCCTTTATCCAATCGCACGCGCCGAGGGACGCCAAATCACCTGCAGCCAAAGCGGGCTGCCCGCATCTTTTCATCGAGCCGCTGAGTTGGATGCGTTCCGAGCTGGCCAAGGCGGAGCTGAACGGGCGCCTGAGTTGTCCGAACCCGCGCTGTGGCGCTGGTGTTGGCCGTTACGACTGGAAGGGATTCAAGTGCTCCTGTGGTGCATGGGTAACACCCGCTTTTTCTCTACAACGTGCAAAGGTTGATGAAGAGAGGCAACGCTCTCGTGCAACCGGTACGGACAGATCAGCCGCAGCAGCAGCCATGGGCATCCGAATGCCTCCTGGCCGTGGCGGAAATCTTTAGAAACGCCGCATTCCTGCAGCCAGTGGCCCTTTACCACGGGGGTACCGCACCAGCAGAAGCAGGCCTTTTTTAGGCATATGCTAGGTGTGTGAGTAGTAGCCAACAATTGCGATATAACTACCAAAACGGGGTAGGTGCCGAATATACATCAAACCACCGAATGGAAGGAAAGGAAGGCCGAGCCTATCGCAAACCATCCATCCATTCCACAGCCCGCCGAGGATCGTGGATTAGCATTTTCCCAAATCCGGGTATAAGTTTCATTCTCTGCCGCCAGCCTGATCTTCGCTCTCCGCAAATACATCTTTCCCTTGCGCCAGCCGCGCGCGGACTTGATGGGAAATAACAACGGCGAGACTTCCAGTTATGGCGCATAAAGCCGGCCGTGCACTGCCCTAGGGTCGCTTGGCTGCGCAATGGCCTATTCTATGGCACACCCCGCTAAGCCCCTAGCTCCAGCAGAGTGCCTTTTTCATGCCCAGAGAGCCTGTAAGTGCTCCTTTCCGAGCACTGCCACAGGGTACACCTCTCGCCAACTTTGAGCCGTGTGCGGGGAGCGGCGTCTTTGGGCGTCTTTGGACGGGCAGCGATGACGCTAGGGTCACTGCGCACTTTGTGGCGCTCAATAGAGGGCAATGATCCGGGTTGCCCAAATCAGGCAGCCAATGCGATTGCTCAAATTCTGAAATCTCAAACGCTGGCTTCATGCGAGGTCACCAACAAGGCTGCGACAGCCGTATGCGTCCCTAGTGCTGCTGATCACTGCGCTCTGTGAACGGAAAACCTTGGGTTTCGCCATTTTACACTTTGAGGCTAAGCCGCCTTGTAAGACTGGCTTTACCTAATACTGGACACCCACTTTAAGCTATCCTACACATCTTTAGGCCTTTGCGGTGTTGGTGGCGCTATGTCCGGCCCTGTCCCAATTGGGGAATCCTGGCCAGCCGCTCCTCGGATTCGTCACCCAACATTCGCCGCCACCGATACATGCGACTTCCAGATGGATGAATAACGACAACACTTAATAATACACATATATGAGTACACATTTAATGATACAATAATCTCAACGCTGTGATCTTGCAATATCAGTCATCTTCCTATTTGTTGTGAACCTCGCAACCTGGCTGAAGTTGCCCGAGTGTCGAATAAGACAGAGCCACCAATACCACGGGATGACAAAGAAAACTGACCACAGGATTTAGGACACAGAAAATGAAAAGCCACGCGGTCTCATAGAGCATGATTAGTCTGAATATCAATGGCTTGGTACTCAGGTCCCCAAGCGCCAGCACCGCTGCTTCCTCGATCTGGTTACCCAGCGCAGCCTCACAGGGCGAGCACAGATCAAACTTGGCTTTATGGCAATGTGACCAAACGACGTGGCCATGATCATGCGCTTTTCTTGGGGCGTCTGCTAAACGCCACTGATATCTACAGTTTGTCTGTACGCAGGGTACAGTATCCCCAAGGTTTGCTGCAATAGACAAACGAGGCGCGTTGCTTTTCACAAACAAATGATAGGTCAACTTTTTGCTAGCCGGATACGGTTCCCACCGACGAGAGATGGATTTAGATCAGCCAACACAACAGGGGACTTCCGTGTCCGTGCCCGATTTCACCGCTGCTGATTTGGCCTCAGCCTTGGAGGCAGCACTAGCGAGCTGAAGTGGCCTGTCGAAAAATGCCTTGTTCAGCTTACACTCACTTCAACACCATCTACTAATAGGGTAAACTAATGCATTTTCACTGGCCACAGCCCTGTTTGACTGTTTGTTTGCACACTCTCGCCGACCTTACAAGCAGGGCGAGCAAGCAGCCCCTGGTGCTGTGGCTATGCGATCTGAACTGTTCTTGGACTCTCACCACAGCGTGATGATTTTGTGGCGTCCAACAGTGATGCCCACAGGTGTGTCGATATCAATTGCGCATCGTAGGGCCCGATTCGCCGTTGGTTACTTATTCTGTTCGGTCTAATTCTCAATGCGACAGAATTTTCTAACGCATGGCCACCAAAACAGTGGAAGGATGTAAAAGGCAAGGCAAAAAAATTGGGACGGCTGATGTTCTATTTCTAATCACGGTTCCAGCATCCGTGTTGGGAGGGGTGCTGTAGCGGCCGATGTTACCAGACGAACGCTATCGCGTCGAGAGTAGTGGCATGGGATTGGCTGAATTTGCGAGCAACGAGGACAAGGCCGGCAAGCGAAACGAATCTTGCTGTTCCGCCGTGGACGATGGGGGGCAACCTCACTCATCAACTAAAACCCGCCTTATAATGGGGCAACTGAGTAAAATGGATGATGGTTGGATCGCCAGATTAGCCCTGCGGCTACACCAAATACGGTGCTGTCCTCCGACGGGAACCCTACGGACGAGGGTCTGTGTGTTTTAGGGCGACCCTCCAGCCCTGTGCGTATCCAGCCGGCTAAGGAACGAGTCAATATCCAGCTGTGGCATGGAAACCCAGCAGGGAAGAAGAGGGGGGACGCTAATACGCGGTGCAGCGTCGCAATAGGTCGCCTTTTCAAGCAAAGGATGCAAAAGGGAGGGCGAGGGCTGGCTAGGTTTGCTCTTCGTGAAGAGGGGGGCAGCCTTTACAGTCACACACCAGCGTCAATAGCTTGTTTCAAGTGCGCCGTCCGTCGGGTCCGCAGCCTTTCGGTAGCGCTCTTGGGCGCTGCATTGTAACCCCAAGGCTGCGCTCAACGGGCGGGATGGGATGCGACCGTGTGCATGTCTGGACGTACACTACGGTCCGCTGGTCAGCCCTTCTGTGATCTCGTGTCCAGCCCGTGCAGCGCGCGGAAAGTCACATTTGTGCGTCATTGGTGAATGAAACACCCGCATTGGCAAACCTCGCTCTTCATTGCCCTGTGCAGCCTCAAACATTGCGCTTGATGACCCATGGATGCCTACTACAGTAATTACCGGCCGCCTCATCGTGTTCACCAGTCTCTCCGTATGGCACACTCCTCTTTCTTTGTCTGCTTACATGCTGTTGTATATTGACCCCCACAGGGCTGCAAACGCCCCTCGGCCACTTTCATGGTGCCACTCCGCGTACAGGAACCCTCACATTAAAAAAGGGCCCGATTGTTTGTCGTAACAGTTGTGTAGCAGCGCTTCCATGAGCCAAGCATGAATGTGATTGCTGAGTAGATGAAAGAATGGAACACTGGCCTGCGGCGCTGCAACGTTGGTCGTTTAATCCGAGTTCTCATATCCCTTGTTTGGGAAGGTCAACATGACAGGCATATGTTCATCTAAACAGGTAATAGCGCGCGGAGTTGCGCCGTGTTACTACCTAAGGTATATACTACCAGCAGCAGCTCTATGTTCAACCCGCCATTGCATAGGATGGTGAGTATACAGGTACTTTGTCAGACAAGCACATCTGTTGGGACCACATCTTCTCTACAACTGTTCGTATTCAGGACGAACCGGTGGCGGCTGACGATCCTGTCTGGGCCGCTCATCAAAGTCACAACTAGCAGCTACTTGCCTGTATGCTACATTGTGGGATATATTCAGTACTAAACAAGGAGCATCATCATCCCCTGTTGCTCCTTTCTTTCCCCCGCCATGACTCTGAGAGCGCCACGATGAGCCTTGTATCTTTCACCAAGCAAGGGGTTCTAGTGCGCTGGCAAAGGTACCCGTAGACGCAGCTCTTTGTGCACCAGCTGCCGGCAGTTCCTAATGCAGCTGCTCTGCGACTCGAAAACCGAGAGCCGCGTCATTTCATCCTGCATGCAAATACACGGAAGTTTGTGAAAGGGTCAGTGTAAGTGGCCGGCTGTCGGGGCAGGCTCGGAGACATTTTCCCAGCGAGGCGGCAGATGAAACCGCGGGATTGCACCTATTTTTCTTTGAAGAATGAGAATGGATGTGGCAGAAAAGTAGGCTTCGGCCAGGCTGTTTTCACCATCACCAGAGCTTGCCGTGAATTGTGACAAAGATGCAATCAGATATACACCACATCACTCACTACGTTCGTTTGACCATGCGGCTGAGAGGCGTTATGCTACCATGGACGCTCGACGCCTAGACACAAAGTCACCGGAACCTCTGTAAAAGTATGCGAGTGGTGCCTCGAGCTGACTGACGACATTAGGGGATTAACTCAATCGAGGCATCCTCCGTGGCGATGCCTGCTGCACGTCAAGGCTCGCACTCGCTTCACATTGTACCCTTCATCCTTGGAGCGCCGCGTCAAGCCAGAACCATGGCGCCAGGCAGCCACACCGGTAGGTTTCTAATTATGGTGCGTCTTGTGAGCGGTGCATGGCTTGAAAATGGTTCAGTTGAGCCGCAGCTCCCTGGGCGCCTCAATGGCATGACACACTCTCCACCAGGCTTGCCTGCCCGATCCGTGGATCACCGTCGCATAAGAGCCGTCGGACGCATTAAAGTTTAGCACGAGGCCCGAGGAGCCAAGCTCCATAAGCGTATCGAAGCGAGGAGAATAATAGCAAGGCATGATTTAAGCCCTACAGGGAGAGAGGCGGGCGGCGCGTGCTCTCCGCCACGGATATATATCCACATTCTTTGTTTAACAACACGCCCATCTAATCCCCGTGGCCAAAGCTCGGCCTTGTCGTTTGCTTGAATAATTCCGTCTGGCCCTGAGTCTCCAAGGATTACTGTGGCTACCACCGGAAAGAAAGAGGCCCAGAAGGAAAATTTTCCTTCTTTTGCCAAGGAGTAGTAGTAGCCCCAAGAGAAAAACACGAATGTAAGCGCCCGCTTACGGTTCCCCACCTGCAAAACGCCAATGCAAATGCAAACCACTTTGGAAGCAATACTATCGGCCGCCGCGGGCAAGGTAAGCATTGCAAATAACGGATGCCTAAAGCTTCCCTTGCTCTGTAACCCGATATATCCATGTAAGCTCAGATCACCCATCGCTGCACGACTTGCAAACGCCCCTCCCTTGCGGGTGCTTTCTCAGCGATGGTCTTGTTACACCCTGAAACATGCAGGGTTCATCAGACGGTTCGTCGTTGTGTTCGGGCCCGAGACGGTTGTGTCGCGTGGTCTAACCTGCCCATGAGATCATGCTGCTGTTGCTTGACGTCAAGGAAGCCCTGGTGATCACTCTGCTAGTGAGCATCGTGGATTCCCAGAGGAGACTTGTTTGCCCTGCTTGGCGCCGTCATGGGGACTGTAAATAGGGAGTATACGGTGGCTTTTTCGCCACACGCATGTCTTGTAGATGGAGAGCTGTAGTGTATCAAGAAGAGGCGTGGCTCGGAGATATTCAATGTAGGAAATGCCGGCATAGCATGGTCTCCGGAGGTCCTCTACTTTGAGGGCGGCGCCGAAGGCACGGAGGGAAAGTAGCCGGGCTGGGATACTCTCTCGCGGTCTCGTCTGGCTGCTTCCAACTGGCGCTTGCGCAGGAGTCGCTGCTGGTAAAAGGTGCTAGAGAGATGTGAGATTTGTGATAGGAATGTGTGGTGTGTGTACATACGTTTTAAGCTCAAAGACTCTGGGGGCTTCTTCTGGTTCCGATTCCGATTCGCTCTCCTGTGACAATGTTAGATGGATCGATAGAGACGAACCTATCAATACGTACCTTGGCGTTCTTATCATCGCTCTTCGTTGTATCCTTTGCGTCCTTCTCCTTGTCCTTATCTTTATCACCCTCTTTCTCTTCTTTCTTCTTCTTTTCTTCCTTTTCCTTCTTCTTCTTCATCTTCTCCTCGTACTCCTTCTTCACTTTTTCCGTTGCTTCGGCGAGCTTCTTCTCACGCTTTGCTTTGACGGCCTCTTCGTCAATCTTGGGATTGCAAAAGTACTTGTCCTTGAGATGAGCATCACATATGTAAAAGAAGTCCTGTAGAGTGTTAGAATACGATTCAATAAAAAGATGGACCGTCCTGACCTTTTTGTCTGGTGTGATTAACACAGAGGTCGTTGGCTTGTAACATGTATCGCAGGCCTTTGCTGATGCTTCTGCCACCTTGCGGAGGTTATATATATTGGCGAACGGAGCTATCATGTCGCTTGATGAGTATGATGCCAGTTGTAATGAGGATACGGCGATTTGTAGTGTTTTGATATGTTTGGTTTTGATATTAAACTGGTAGAGTTCCCCTCCATCGCGGGGTTGCTGGGCGTTTGCTGTCACGTGTTACGTGTTGAATGACGGTGTTAAGCATTGGTGGTGAGCGTGGCCTGAAGAAATTGGTGTTTCTTTTGTCTTCACGAGGGATAATTCTATAATAAATATATCATAACATTTAATATAGGGGATAAACTTGTAATGTGCTGTGCATTTTGCGGAATATCTACGTTATCTAGTCATCTTCATAGATCGACCAAAAGATGAATACGTGCTGCACAAATATGCCAAAATATGCCACAAGCTATGAATACTGTAAATAGTACGCCTAAATACGACAACGAAATGGGCCATCCTTTCTATTATTATTTCTTAATCATTTCGTTGCCATTTTTATGATATCTCGTCGTTTGCGTCCAGATTAGTCAGGATCTTGGGCGCGTCACTTTGTCGCGTACTTGCACCAGTTTAACGTCCACCGCTGGAACTGCAAAATTCACAACTTCGGCCATCGCCATCAACACAGCAGCACGACAATCAATTTCGTGCGAGGCCGCTGAATCCTCGTCATGGACATTCAACTCGATTGGCCGCGCCTCAAGGCCATTTTCGCCTCGCGACAGGACATCCTCGACGGCATTGAAAGATGCGCTGGTATGCGCCATTCGTGAATTGAACAGCCCTTGACACATACTAATATAGGACAGATACACCCGGCAAGAAGGCCCTCTTCAACGAGATGGCCAAGCATGTCGACAGCAAATATCCGGCCGCTGAAGAACCTGATGCCAAGCGACGCAAGGTCCAGGCCGAAGGAGCATCCAACGGAGCGCCCACCGGCCAGGCCTCTAGCGAGCCGGTTCTGTTGAAGATTAACGAGATTTCTGTGTCCGTGCCTCAAAGAAAGAAGTATGAGCTCTGCATGACTTCCGGTTTCTTGTATGCGCAGGCCCCAGGCACCACTGGCCCAGTACCAGGCATGGCATACGCCTGGACAGACATTGGTAGGGATTGAGAATGGCTATCCAAGCAAACAGTCATAAAAAACGCTAACTTTATCGTAGAATATGCTTTCTATCTGCCCATCCCCGAAAAGGCCCAAGTACAACACAACTACATCCTCTTTCCCCGCGGATCATATCTACCCGCCAAGGGAGCCACGAATGCGCCAGAGCCCTTGGTTTTCACAGTTCCGGCGACTGCGCCTAAAGACGGGACCATTAGCGGCAGTGAAGCTACTTCTGCAGCTGCTGTGTCTGATACATTCAAGACGTTGTTCCATTGGGCCATTGGCAGACGTCTCAAGGCCGCCGGCAATGATATCAAAATTGTTGGTGCAGACCCCAACAAGTTCCAGAGCGCCATTCGCCAATCCCACAGACCAAGCGAAAAGGCTGTCCATGTCGGCGGCTTCCGTGGATCCAAGGATGGTTTCCTCTTCTTCCTAGAGAACGGCATTCTCTGGGGCTTCAAGAAGCCGCTCATCTTCATTCCTCTACGCCGTATCGCTGCTGTTAGTTACACAAATATTCTACAAATCACGTTCAACATTGTCGTCGAAGCATTTGGCGAGGAAGGTGGTGAGCCAGAAGAATTCGAGTTTGGCATGCTTGACCAGCAAGATTACGCTGGTATCGATAACTACGTACGCCAGAACAACTTGCAGGACGGCAGTATGGCCGAGGAGAGAAAGGCGAAGCTACAGCTTGCCGAAAACAGAAAGAAGGGTGAAGATGGCGACGCTGACGGCGACTCAAAGATGGGCGCTACCGAGCTGGAAAAGGCGCACCAGGAGGCCGAACAGCAGATGCAAGATGATGAGGACGAGGAGGAAGAGGACTTTGATCCTGGAAGTGAGGGAGACAGTGATGGATCAGGCTCTTCTAGCGAAGAAGAAGATGAGGATGGCGAGGGCGGTGGTGACGATGACGACGGTGATGAGGACGACGAAGAGGTTGACCCTGATGAGGAGGTCAAGGAAGAAGACGAGGACGAGGATGCGGGTCATCCTGGAGGGCCGTTGTCCATTCGACAAAACTAAAAGTTTGGTGGCGTGGCTTGTTTTGGGATTATGGCGTACTTTGTTGCTTTGGGAAAGGTGCATATGACGAACGTAAATAGACTTTGTTTGACTCTTTCAATTCACGGGATATCCAATCAACAACATCACAATTGTTCTATGTAAAGACTATACTCTAGAGGGTGAATGACGCCCGTGAGTGAATCCACTGAAACGGATTAAACCTTTTCAGACTTGTGTTCGGTGACTTGACACTTCGTCTTACTAACTGCGTTCGTTTCGACATCACCGGTTGTCTTCTTATACAGCCGATCCCAGCTTTGAAAGAGACTCACGATGAAGGCGGTTCCAGCCATGGCTGTGATAATAGCAAATGGTACGTGGATGCTGCTACCGTAGGCTTCAACAACCGCTGGCACCAAGTCACTTGGAATCCCGTTCTAGATTTGTCGTCGAGGATAGCTTTCGTCAGGGAACAAATGAAAATTTATTGTGAACAGAATGATAGAGTCTCCAATAACCTATGTTTAATGGGTATTTTACGGTTCGAGCATAACGGATAAGATCGTTGTTAAAGGAATGGGTGTAAGTGAGGTAGTCAAGCTAAACATCATGAAAATCACAGCTATTTGGACAACCATTCACATTATTTCCATAGCCTCCTATTAAATTGTACTCTTTTTATGGGATTTGCATTTTTCCTATTATTTTATTAGCAAAAGATACTCGTTTGATAGCCCATGCTCAGCTCGTTTACACTCGGCCTCGGCAGTTACCCGATAGGGTAACCACTGCAATGAGCCAAGCGCCGCAGAGCTGAAGACAAGGAAAGTATTGCCCTTAGGGCTTTGATTGTATTTCAGGCTGTACAGATTTAAAATTATAATCCCGGCAATGCACCTCGCATACTAGGTCCACGGGGTGTGTCGAATTCATGTCCACTAGTTCAAACACCCTTGCAAGACGAGATGGAACCGCACCTCTATGGTGTGTTGTGTAATTTCATATAGTAGCCTTGATTATCATGGGCTAATACAATCTCAAAATGGATGGACTTCGCATGGTGTATACCGTTAAACTGCTCAAGTTGGAATATCACAGTTTGATAGTGTAGATGATCAAGTTTGGTGATACAGAGACTAAGGGAGGGGTAGCGGCGCCGTCCCGAGGCTGACCAGCGCTTACAGCTGGCAAACTGGCAGAAGACGAACTTGCCAGCTGCAGCACACACGTGATATCATTCAGACGTTTTCACGGTATAAAACACTATAAATCTTATTGAAAGAAAATCCTATGACGATAGACGAGCCATTTCTGCCGCCGGTGGCAGCTTTGCTGGAGATGGACGGTCACATCGCCGGCCCAGCTCCAGCATTCTTCACCACATTCTTTCCACCACTCCAAACGCCGACAGAAGAGGCCACCTCTGAAGCACAATCGTCGCCAGATGAATTTGTTCCTTGGTTCACCAGGTTCTGTACCGAAAACGCTAGTGACAGCAAGTGGGAGATGAAGCATTACTTCAACACGGACGGCGAGGGCGTGGACCTGTCGCTCATGTCACCCAGCAAGCACATCAAGACTATAGGCAACCGCTGTACCGACAGCATATCATACGCCGACGGATTGGCTAGACTTTACGGCCACGCCAGAAACGTATTCAACAAAGACTCTATGCGTCACTCGCTGCACGCCTTCTACATCCACGGCGAGACGCTCGAGTGCTGGGTGTTTGACCGACAGGGCATGTATAGCAGCGAAGCATCATCCCTACGTGGCAGTTTTACCCGATTTTCTCATATCCTTACGCTATATCAAGGCTTTACAGACCAAGAGGCAGGTATGTCGCCTTTTATTCAGCAGGACAAAAGTGGTACATGGCTCAGCAAGTTGGGTGACGGCCTCAAGATCCGTCTCAGCTCAGAGCCCAGCTTCGGCCCAGGGAAGATATTTCGAGATGACGAAACGCCAAAATACAATGCCAATAGTACACAGGGTGCTGCAGCCGGCTTTACTGTCCAGTTTACATTTGCTGGTGTTGCTTCGCGTAACCACTGGGATGCCAAGCAAACCGTGACGACGGTCAAGAGTCAAGCCGTCGATGACGCGGAAGCCAACATAGCAAATCATACCAACTGTTTTACAGTCTCTGTGCGACCTATACCCTGTGGAACGATACGGAAGCTGCGCCTAGATACAACTACTGCTACCGCTACTGCTACCCATGAATTCGGCTTGGTCAGATACAGCGTGGCAGAATGACGAAAGTCAGCAATTAGGATGGTTTACGTGCCATAGTATATACATGTACATATTATAAGAAGTAAAATGATTCTAGCACTCGCATGTCAGATATTAAGGTTCCCTTCACATTTCTTTAAATCCTCCACTGCTCTTTCTTTCACAGCTATCTGTTCCTCGGGGCTCAGTACGCTATACCATGCGAAGCCATACGCGCGGCTTTTTAATAAGAAAGGGGGTTTCTTGGCTTTATACCAAGCGTGATTGAACCTGTATCCCATTAAACGTTCTTCTGACCAGTACGCAAAGCCGCTATCTGCAAATGTATCAAACGGCATGTAGTTTCGAAGGTTGAAGAGTTTGATGTATTTAAGGAAGCCCTGGGGATGTTCTATGATCAGCGCACCCGGCCCGGTATACCGAAGCTTCTTCCACTCTTTGCGCTTGGGCTTTGCTCCAGAAAAATAGAATCTTGACAGGCCTTTATTTGAGAAGGGACCTAGCTCGATATTAGCTATAGCTAAAGGGCTATCCCTATGCACAATATTCCTCAAAAGCGCATAAATGGGTTCATATTCAAGCGGTGTTCGGATATAGTCCCACCCTTCGTCTTACAGCTCGTACGGTAAGTCGAAGGAGTTGTTACACTCTCTGTTGGGATCTGTATGCTCTTGGTAGTTATATCGTCCCCCATAGAAGGATGTTTCGTTGACGCGAAGCGCCTTGTCTTGAGTCCAATGCCACGGCTTTACACCTGCAACATACTCGCCGCGAGCTGGTTGTATTATGATGGGTCGGTGTTGAAGGGTCTCAACATCAGATGGGGACCATTGAAGCTGTCGAAGACGACCAGCACGCTTCAGGTCACGAACCATCTGTACCCTCCAGACTGCGCGGATTGCCCGCTGCTGCTCGGTCCACGAAGGATCTCCAACATCCGTCACTTTTACAGGAGCAAACTTGTACCCAAGAATCCATGTCTCATCGCGACCGACCCTTACCGACACTGGTTATAAGTGCAGTCGTGTGAGTCAACAAAGCCGTTGAGGTCAGGCTGAGCGCCAAAGTGACGAAGCATTCAGTAGACCAAGACGCGAACAGTTCATATGTAGACATACCCTTTGAACAGTATAATAAAAAAAGCAGCCCATTTTGTTTGTTATTTCTCTCTCCCTCTTTGGCGCAATTATAGTATATTTATTCCTAAGTCCTACAATGTAAAAGGTCACTAGTGACAGGCTTGCGTGAAGCATTCTCCTTTGTACCAAGCTCCAACACCACGACACATTTAATAAATTATAAATAAATACTACCCTGATTTCATAGACCCAAATAAAACAAATTGATTCCCTTTCATAATATTATTCCACCACCTCTTCCCAGGGGACATACAGCATAACCATCTTTCCTCTCAATGCGATCACGTGACGCCCAAAATCCTCACTCCAACTCCTTCAACCACGCGATAGCGGACATCTCCAACTCTTCCAAAAAACCGACCACACACACAACACCACAACCATGACCGGAACACACAAGCCCATGCGCCTACCGCCTCTCAAGGCCCTCCGCGTCCACAACCCCAAGCGCGTGCCCGAAAACCCCTGCATCGCCATCATGTCGAGCGTCCTCTGTACGAAGCTTCCATCCACCCCTTTGTCCCGAGCGAACCAACCATTGCACTTGCTAACTAGATTTCTTTGTAGCCTGCTGGGCCTCTGCGGGCTTCAATGCCGCTGGCTGCGTCGCCGTCGAGAACCAATTGCGCCGGTGCATGGACGGCCCTGCCGTGGGCGCAACGAAGCCGAATAACATTAACCACCACTTGGGCCGTATGCAGAAATACGTCACGAGTCAACCGAAGATGCGATAAACCGGATGAAAAGGAGAGGGGGATGAACGACGAATCATATACCATTTTTACTTGCCCTGCTGGGAACAGCCTGTACAACTACATAAAAAGCATTGCCGTGACAAGGCAAAAAACCTCTGTACATTATATAATGCAAAACCATTCTCATACAAATTTCACGATGTAAAAGTCACAGAGGGAAGAGCGTAAATGCGTCAGAAACAAGGGTATATATTGCTATGCAATTGGAACCTTCGACTAAAGGCTGCCGTCTATTCCTAGTCCCCCTTCGTTCCGGCAATAACATGAAGAAAAAAAAGTGTCAACCGTATGCATAAAGTCTACCTAGAGCGCCGTTGATATAATAATGTCCCTTCCAGCCTGTGTGCAATGCTGCAACCCAAGAAAAACAAAACGAAACGTGAAATGAAAGTATGGGTAGGGGATATATATGAGTCGTGCCCAAGAAAAAAAGAAGAGAGAAACATAAAAAAAGAGAACCAAGCTATATAGGAATGTATGGTGGATTGCCCAAAAAAACAGGAGAAGAAACTGGAGGTAGGTGAAGATGGTGAGGATGATGTGGTTGTAGAGTTGGATCCAAGGAGGACAATGTCGAGATTAAGCGACGATTTCGCCGCCAGAGCAAAAGAGCTCAATCTCGCCAACGCCGCCGGCATACATGTTGCGCATGCCTTCGCGCCACTCCATAAACGCAATTTGGATATCATCATCGCTCTCAATCGTCACAAAGTCGCCATCCTCATCCTGGTACCGCAGCTTCAACTCGCCCTTGCCGATGCTCGTGTTCATGAATCGGTTCAGCTTGGCGTCGATACGGTCAATCAGTGACTGGTAGGTAATGTTGAAGCCAACAACCAGCGTCACGTAGTTGCCTGCGTCGCAGTTGACCCGGACCTTGAGCTGCGTAGGCATGGGCATATCTGCGCCGCCGGGCATCGGGCCACTTGGTAGTGCCGGTGAGCTTGGTGAGACGGTGCGAATGTTGCCTACCGAGCCGGGTGTAGTCTGTCGAGCATGAAGCGGCTGCACGGGGAACTGGCCCATGGATCCGCCCACGCTGCCAGAGTGTCCATGACCGCGGCCAGGGCTGTTTGTATTGGCGCGAATCGGGAGGTCGTTTCTCGGCGATCCTGACTGTGAGCGCGCAAGCGTCGGGTCGTGTGCCAGGTGCGATGGGATGCTGGGCACAGTAGGCACGTTGCTCTGGCTCGGGTGCCGTTGCCTCTGCACTCCAGAGATGCCGGCGTCTGTGGTACTATAAGATCGGCTGCGCTGCTGTTGTGCGGCGCTCTGGCTTGACGATGCCATTGCTGGCAGCGAAGGCCCGCGGGGGTGTCGGCCATTCATCGAGTTGGGAGGTGTGCCGTCTCGTGACGGTGCTCGAGGCATAGCCGGTGCCGTGTATCTGCTGTTCTCGTCCCATCCGGGCTGTTGTGGGTGAGAAGTCTTGGGCGGGAACTGGTATGCCGGTCCAGGGAAGATGCCGCTTGTGGTGCTCGTTCGCGAAGATGCTGGAGAGTCCGCAATAGGCGAAAAGTAAGAGTCGCCTCCTCGGAGTCCAGGCGACGATGCTCCTCCACCCTGACCTGTTTGTACATTTAGCGATCCTGGCGGTGCTGGGAGAGGGAAGCGAGGCGGGGGTGCTCGCGCAACGCCGCTCAGTGAGTGCTGGCTCTCCATTGTAGCAGATCGCTGTCGCATGCTGGAGGATGAAGACGTTCGCGGCATGGAGGCGGGGGGGATGGGGAAGGACGAGCCAGAAAAGTCATCGTCGTCATCATCGGCCTGGAGGTATGGATTTTCAAGACCGCCGGCATTGTTCTGGTTCCAGATAAAGTCGGACTGCATCGTGTCGGAGCTGACTGAGGCGCGAGGGGCATTGTCCTTGCGTTGATTTTCCAGGCACGCAGCCCACTTCTTCATGGTCTCTTCGTTGAGAAACTTGATGGTAAAGTTTTCAACTCCCGGATCGCCTTTCCACCAAATCTGAACACTATGGGAACCTAACTCATTGTTAGCCAAGAGGTCTGCGGTTAGTATGCGAGTGGCTTACCAGGCTTAGATAGAGAGACAATATCGGTGACATTGGTCATGAAAATGCGGCCCTTGAGCTGGAGCTTGGCGGCTTTGTTCTTGACCTTGGGGCCAACGGATCGTGTCGATCGGTCCTTCTTTTCTTTGCAGCAAAGGAGAATGCAGTCAAAGAGATAGATCTCATACTAAAAATGTGGTCAGTGCTGTTCCTATTCTATAAGAGTTTGGTTGTACTTACATCCTTCTCTTGATCTGCCTTGCCAGTCAGCACGCCATACACTCCGTGGAGTATGAGCCTGCCAAATTGTTCCACTTTATGAGACTTCCAGTCGTCGACACGAGTTATCAAGTCCTCTACTGCTTCGTCGAGCAGGTCCCGGTTGACAGCCTCGTTAGCCTTGTGGAGAACGCGTTCTGCAGCCTCACAACCAGCAGCCAAATCTTCCTTGATTTCCTCGTCTTCCGTCTTTTTGTTAAGATCCTTGAGAAGGAGTGGATACTTTACTAGACGTTGCATAGGCTTAAGCAGGAAACCATCCAGAGTATTGAAGTCCATGGCCACAGGATGCTGCACCATCTGGATCTTGTCAAAGATCTGGTTGGCAATCTGGGCGGCCTTTCGCTGGTTGGAGATGAATGGCTGGTAGATGTTGAAAGAGGCTTCATGGAGGCAAAATGAGGCACCCCATCGTTGCAGGTCCTTTGGCATGGAATTCGTATGTTCAACGCGGATGAGGAAGCGGCGCTGGAAGTCAAGAATGGCGTTAATGTTGAGGAAAATAGAGTGAATGGTGTCGCCTGGAATGGTGCCCTTTTGCTCCAGGGCCTTCTTTAAGTCGTGCAAGTTTTCTAGATCCTGTACGTATTTGCGTTCCGTATCAACAAGCTCTTTGATAATGTGGTCGCGATAGCTCATTTGCGTGCCAGGAACGGGAATGGCGGCTTCGTCAGCCGGCTGAACCTGAAGTAAGTGGCCACCCTGTTCGGCGAGATCAAGCACGTAGTTAACCACTTGAGTAACCTTGACGAAGCCGGTGGTGTCATCGCCCATCAAGTCTGTGATAACAAATGTCTCGGCAGGTGAGAGCTTAAGATCCTTCATGCAGGCCTGGATAAATTTGAAGATGGCAATCTTGGACTTTTTGGCCTCAGAGGCATTGGGGTCGTCGACCTTGAGTGGAACTTCAGGCTGGAGAGCATTATAAATGAGGAGGAGGGGGTAGCCTCGTCGAAAGAGATTCCAGAGAGGGTCTACGGGGTCGGAGGGGTCGAGGTCGTCGATTAGGGGCTGGAAGTCGGGGACCTGGGTTAGGCGGTTTTTGAGGGAGATGCAGATCTGGTAGAGCGAGCGGGAGGCATCGGCCTTTTGGTTGATGATGTTGGCGGTGGCGACGATGGGGCCGCCGTTGGGAGAGGGCACGATGGTGGATGTGCTGCTGGCGAGAGTGTTTAGCGACGCTGATGAGCCAGCAAAGGCGGTTGAGCCCGAGAGCTGGCTAGTGCGCGGGGCGCTGCTCATTGTGGTTTGCTGATGCGACGACCTCTCGGCGGCGATGGCGCTGCGGGATGGAAAGGTCGGTGCTGTGTTTGTTCGAAGTAGGAGGGCGTTCGCCATGGAGAGACTGGTCTAGGCCATCCGCTGACGAGGAGGTGGAAGTCGAAAGGACTCGGCGAGGAATCAGCGTCGAGGCGAGGTGACGATCGCAAAGAGCGGTGATGTGAATCGGTGTCTGACGGCGCGCAAAGGTGCTGCTGCTCTCGAGCCGGGGTCGGCGGTTTGGTGTTGCGGAGGGGGAGGAGGAGGAGGAGGCTGGGTCGAGGCTGATGGGATCTCGAACGTATTTGACGCAACGGCGGTGGGCCACAAACGGGTTGCAGCGGGCGAGCAGGGGGGCAAAGAGAGAAAAGCAAGGCGCAGGGGATGTTCGAATGGAGAAAACGGAGATGCGGATTCTGAGTTGGAGAATGCAAAGGCGATGGTGAGGGCCACAACTGCAGCTGCAGATCCGTCAGTGTGTCGAGGCCACGGATTATGTGCGTGTGGTTGGTAGTGGTGGTGGTGGGGGAGGCGCCTCGCAAGGGATAGTATGCGGCGTTCTGCGGGGGGAGGGTCCCAGCTTTTTTTCGTGGTGCACGTTAAAGGAGAAGAAGGATGCCGTTGAAGAGATGTTGTTTTATGGGAACTCTCTTTTATGTAGATGCTGGTCTGTGTTTAGTATCGCAGTTATTATTTTCCGGAATATCGCAGCAGTCATACAACAAAGAAGAAGAAGTGTGTAATAAAAGGGGGAAACACAGCAACTGCCAACCGGCAAGAAAAGGGCGGTGGTTGTGGCGGTGGTGGTGGTAAGGAGGACAGCGCGACGATGCGCGCCCAAAGGAGGCCAGTGCTTTTTCTCTAACTTGGGCTTCTGTAGAGCAGGTTACAGTGCACTGGTGACCACTAAAAGGTGGGGCAGCGAAGAACACCAGCGGGAAAAAAGGAGGGGGTTTGAAGGAAGAAGGCAGCAAAGGGATCTTTGTTAACAAAAAAAAAGAAAGGGTAGCGAGAATACATTTTTTCCATCTACATGCAGGTAGAGAAAAATAGGCAACATGGTAGAAAAAGATGCAAAAAATCTCGCTAAATTAATAACCACGCATACTGCTACCACTAGTGCTACCCATTGTCTCAACCAGTCACTGCCATCCAATGCCACCCTGTGCTGAATCAGTCCAGCCTCACCAGTTGTAATAGTGGTACTGCGACATAGGATATGGCTCAAAGACAAACTCTACGTCTACAGCGACTTTTGTGCCTTGAAATGTCTCGCGGACACGCGCTCCGACGTGCTCAGCTAATTCGCGAATCGTGCTCTCCCACTGCTCTTCCGGCACATGGTACAAAAGATATTCTGCATCAAAGGCGTCTTCATTCCGGTTAAAGCCGTCGGAGTATTCTTTGATAACAATATCGTGCAAAACCTCGACTCGGAGCTGGGAGAGCCGCGAAAAGGCTCCATCGTTAACTCTCTGCGCTAAACGTAGCAAATCTGCCACTGCTTTGTATTTGTCGTGCGTTCGAATCGCAAGAAAAGATACAGATTCTGGCAGAATATCTGTTATACATGAATCATCACATGAATTATCGCTTGAATCTAGCAGCCAATGGCGGCAGAATAGCTCCTCGTCAAGAATCAGCGTCTCTAATACAGAGAATTCCTTGAGACTGCATCCTAGAAGAGTTCCCTTGTGGAACGAGGGTATCTTGGCAAGGCTACAGTACAGCTCCAAATGCTGTAATGTGTTTTTGGTAGGCAACAGAGCTTCGAGTAGCTTCGACGGGGAAAAACACGCGGACTGATACTCATCGGGATACTTGAGGCGAAAGGTAAACTTTTTCAAACTCGTGCATAGCTGAAGCATGCTAGCTATCCCTTCGAGAGGTGCAGCACCATTTGTACGCAGGCAAGGGTCAAAGTAGACTTCTTGCATATGCGGAAGCGCCTTCCACTCTAGCTCAGCATGATTGGACTGACGATCGATATATCCCTCTGGCCTTTCACCTATGAGGAATTCGAAAAAGACTCGTCGGATATTGGGAATAGTTTCAAAGAGGAAACATAATCTGTCTAGGCCGAGATCGTCTGGATTGTAGTGAAAAGTATTGCGCAAGACAATAGTATCGAGGTGATGGAAATGCTGCGGGTGCGTAGAAACAACCTTTGGCAAGTAGGGATATGGCAAAAGAAGGCTTCCATCTTCCAGCAGCCGATCTCGTATGATAGCTCTACCGTCGTCTAGATCAATCATCAAAAACTGCACCTTCGGTGTCAGTGTAAAGTGAATCGCCGTTATCAGGCTTTCTAGTGCAGCCCTAGCCATGGAATTGGAATAGCCGTCAACGTCGCCATCTGGGGATTCATTTAGGTATTCAAAGCATTGGTCAAAGTTGGGATCGTCAGCATCATCTAAATGCAGCCTGCGAGCCAAATCTTTGAGATATTCTAAGTCTTCTTTGTCATGTCGCGGTGACCTAATCGTGGCTGTCGTACGACCCGATTCCCAGAGTCTAGCTAAAACTCTGACGCTGGCAGCCAAGTCAGGACGAGATGATATTGTCTTGAAAAAGAGCGTGTATGATTTGACGTCTGGGTAATGGTAAAGCAAGGGCTGTGCTATCTTGTTCAAGTTATGACACGTCTCGGACAGAGCCTTGAGTGTTTTGAACGGCAGCCCAGCCACTTGAGCCATCGCTGCTGCTGGAGTCGCCTCCCCGTCAAGGCAGTGACGGCAGAACAGCGCACACACTCGATGTTGAAGTTCAACCGGCATGCGAAGAAAGGGGAAGGCATCTGTTGCAGAAAAGATCTTTTCTGTACCTTCTTGACTGATAGAGGCCACCGTGCTGTCCATACTCGGCTCTTTGGTGGCCGTTGGTGGGCCAGGGAGGCTCACGACCTTCGAAATTGAGTTTGATCACAGAGAAGAAGGTGAAACGAGACAGTGGTAAAAAAAATAGTTTAGAAGCAGCCAATTAGTTTGGGAAGCGTTGTATATGTGTTGCATGTGTGAGTGGTAAGCTATGGATAGTAACAGAGACTACAGCCAACGTATCACAAAACCATGGGCGCACGGACTACGTTATAAGCGCTGCGACGTTTGAGCTGAGGTGAAACAGCCGCTGGTAAGGTAAGAAAATACATTTATATTTCCGTAAAGGCGATTAGTTTAAATTCAATTACATCCAGAATAATAGCAGTATTATAGGGAATATTAAAATAAAGATTGGCTGCGATACAAACAACTACACTAATTGCAAATCCCCCGCCATCGGCACCAGTCAGCCCCCCCTTGCTTCCACTGTTACCGTTAGCTCGTCGCTAGGGCCCGCGTTCCCGCCGCCTACGCCTGTCCCCCCAACTTTACAAGGCGTGCCCTACTCATCGAGCAATCTGGTGACGTGATTGGGTGCTCCTTGCCGCCGTACTCTTCACACCAGCCAAGCCAGCGAGGCGGCCGTAACCATAGAACTTTTGTGGACGGCATTGCCATCGAGGCAACCCTGACCAGTTATTTACCGTCAATCTACGTTGCGTGCTGTGTTCGACTCAGTCGTGAGGCGAAGGGGCGTCACAGCTGACCCAACAAAAGAAAATCATCGGCGCTTCGCACACCCGCGTGCTAGTTGAACAAGCCAACCTCGTGTTGGGCTTTTTTCCGGTCTCATAAAATTATTCTTAAAGATTTATCCACGACACGCGTAATTCCCAGTCGAGCGTTGGAGGCGGCGGGTAAGGCGACGCTGTTTGGCGGAGGTGCTGCCTCGTACCCTGCATGTGTGCATCTTAGATCGCTCAACCAACCCCACGGGGCATCTTTGTGAGAGCTTTCAACGTGGGCAGTTGAAAGAGGCTTAGAGATTTTCATTCCTTGGTATTGGTCTTGATTTAAAATGCACCGTGTCGGGGTTAGGAAATAGGCCTTGTGCTAACCCGTTGCCGCTCTGTGATCCGCAAATGCTAGACGCGGAGCCTGCGGAGTGAGCGGATGTTGGTCTTTGCCTCCGTCAGTGACATTTTGTTAACAAAACACACGCGGACTTAAGAATTCATCATGGAATTATAATTGAATGAAATGTATATAAAGTGTACATGCCTTGGCATGGGAAATGGGCGCTGTGCAATTACAAGTACATGTATCATTAATCTCCCGCGGCATCCTACTACACAGCAACCATGAGCGGCTTGTACAAACAACTCTTCAAGTCTATGCAACTCCCACCAGCCTCTGCTATTGACGGCCGTACTGTTCTCATCACCGGTGCCAATACGGGTCTTGGCAAAGAGGCGGCAAGGCACGCCTTGGGCTTGGGTGCAAGGGCCGTCATTCTCGGCGTCCGATCTCTCGAAAAAGGAGAACAAGCCAAGGCTGATATTGAAAATTCTACAGGGCACGCGGACCGAAAGCAAGTTTTGGTCTGGAAGCTTGACCTGGAGTCATTCGACAGTGTCAAGGCATTCGCTGCACAAGCGAAACAATACGTGGAAGATGGAGGAAGCATTGACTATGCCATTATGAATGCCGGATTAGCAACACAGGAGTTTCATCTGACCAGCGACAGTTGGGAGAGAACTCTACAAGTCAATGTGCTCTCGACTGCTCTGTTAAGCATCAAGATGCTTGCTGTGCTTCAGCGCAGCGCAGCTCTCAACGCCTCACCGCCGCCAACCCTCACAATTACAGCCAGCGATGTTCACAAACACGTCAAATTTACAGAACGGGACTCACCTTCTCTTCTCTCTTCTCTCAATGACAAAGACAATTGGCAAGCGTCACAGTCAGCAGGCGGCCCCGTGGAGCGGTATGCCGTGACAAAGCTGTTTAACATTTTCATTACGGAGGAGCTTGCGCGCCTCACCCCAAGAGGCAAAAACGGCGACCCCCACGTCCTTGTAAACACCTTTACCCCAGGATTCTGCAAGTCGGACTTGCTCACCCGAGAAAAGGCACCAATTATGCTCATAATGGTGCAGGCGGCGATTGCTAGAACGGTGGAGGAGGGGAGCAAGACATTGCTGCACGCGGCAACAATGGGCGTGGCGTCGCATGGCAAATGGATGGAGCATGAAGAAGTGGCCAAGTGAGTTGCTTTTCTTTCCGACGAGCTGGGTATTTGTTTACCCGTCTGTCAATTACCGTACTAATCGCATAATTATAGTCCTGGCGCAATAGTGACCAGCCCTGAGATGCAAGCTGTAAAGCAGCGGTTCTGGGACGAGATGGAAAGCATTCTGGTGAAAATCGACCCTGAAGTGCCCCTTTTAACGGCAAGCACCTGAGCGCATTGTTATTTTTTTTTGTTTTGGGCTTCCAATATTTGTTCTTTTCAGCCGGGCAGCAACACCAGCGCCGCGGGGGGCAGCGCCGTGCATCCGTTAGGCTGAAGCGCCGCCCTGTGGAAAATCGGCGGCGGTGCGTGCAGGCGACAGGCAAGCAAGCGCTGGGAGAGGCAGCCGAAATAGGAGGAAAGCCCTTTGTATTTATATATGTATTCACCGCCTCCCCTCCTCCTCCGGGAAATATTCACAGTCGGTGTATTGCATCGCGATAACATTCTCTCTTTTTTTTCCAAGCCACGCCCTATAGTGACTGGTCCCCTCCCCATCTTTTCTACTAAACGCTTTAATTTAGCTCTTCGCGTGCTCCATCGCCAGATCCCTCCCGCGCTGCAACGCCACGCCACCCCGTATAATTTCTGTTTTTAGCGGTCTTGCCCCCCCTGTAGCCCTTGCCACAACGCACGCAGCTAGCGCTAAGTTACAGTGCATTCCTTGCGTGCTTCCCCACTCCCAAACCGCTTTCCGCGCCGCCACCCAAACGGGTTACCCGCTTCAACCTTCGTCAACAAACCGCCGCCCCAAACAAAGGGCAGCCCAGCCGTCTGCATCCAATTTCACTTTCACAACGCTGCCCAGCGCTGACCATCGACAATTATTGCCCCCGGAATTCATAAGTAGATTTTAATTCCTGCTCCGCTGTCCAGCAAATACTCCTCTTCCACGCTCACGCCACAGCCGGCCATCAGGGCACCCGCTCCCACGCACGCGACGATTGCCTCGTCCACGCCGATTTTGGTCGCCGGTACCGTGTCTCGCAGCGTCTACTACGCCTGCGAGCTGATTGATCTTGACCTGCCATGACGGGTAAAGACGAGCACGACCCTCTTGTACCCATGGACGCCTTCTCGCCTGCCAACCCGCCCGACGAAGGCTACTCCGAAGACCCTCTTAACCCGCCGCCTCGCAACGCCGTGCTAACGTCCCTTGCGACAATGAGATCACCGGCTGATCTCCCGGCTTGGCTGGCGGCTAATGCTTCTGCGCTCCCTGTGTCTGTTAGGACTGGTGCGTTGCCTCGTAGACCGACCACACTCCAAGGCCCTCCTGTGCTGACCCAAGGCTCTCTAGAACTCACCTATGCTCTCCTCAGTGAGCTGCCGACATCGTCGATTGCGACCATTGTAGAGCGCCTTAACCCTCGACTATATATCGACTTTATCCAACACCTGCCGGCCGAGATATGTCTCAAGATCCTGGGCTATCTGGACCCCGTGTCCCTGGTTAGCGTCCTGCGGACTTGCCGACTCTGGTACGACTTGGGCTTAGACAGGAAACTTTGGGAACGCTTATATCATCTGGAAGGCTGGAAGGCTGTCTATTCCGAGATTGAGCGCTGCGAAGCCAAGATTAATGAGCGCGTCAATGCGTCGATAGGCCAGCTGCATCGCACCCAGTCGGAAGACGGCCCGGCCGCCAAGGTTCGTGGGATCATGAACCAAGATGAGGATGTGGATATGACGGATGGTGACAGAACACCTGGACCCAAGGATAGCTTCACCAGTGCTAGCGTGTTTGGCTCGCCAGGTTCATCCTTCTCATCTAGCCGCAAGGCAATGCCGCCTATCCAAGAAGCGGATGGCTTCGGCAAAGGAAAAGGTCTGGACACATCTTCATCATCAAATGATAGTGGCAGCAAACGAAAGGCCCCGGCTGATGAGCCCGAGTTTCTCGATCTGCCTATGCCCACCTCTAGAAAGTCGTCGATGCGGTCGTCGCTATGGGTTTGGGACGTCAACGCCTCACAGTATCGTATCAACTGGAAATACCTGTACAACACACGCCGAGCTCTCGAGTCAAACTGGGATCTTGGCAAGTTTACGACATTCGTACTGCCCCACCCAGACTATCCTGAAGAAGGACATCAAGAGTGCGTCTACACGATACAGTTTGATGCCAAGTACCTGGTCAGTGGCAGCAGAGATCGAACTATGAGGATATGGAATATGAAAACTCGACGACTGGCCCGAGCCCCCTTGGTGGGCCACTTGGGCTCAGTATTATGTCTCCAATTTGATGCTGACCCTGCCGAGGACATCATTGTGTCTGGCAGCTCCGACTCAGACGTGCTGATTTGGAAGTTTTCCACCGGTGAAATCCTGCAAAAGATTACAAAGGCGCATCGCGAATCTGTTCTCAATGTACGATTTGACAAGCGTATTTTGGTAACGTCATCAAAGGATAAGACCATCAAGATTTTCAACCGACGTCCCCTGCGCTATGGTGATCTGGGCTATGAGACTGGCGCGGACGTGGTCAACCCTGTCGGTATCCCCGTCAAGCCGTATGGGTACGAACCCGATTTAGCACAGGAGCTGCCAATCAAGCCGTCTTGGACCCAAATTGCACGTCTGGACGGCCATGGAGCTGCAGTCAACGCTATCCAAGTCCGAGATCGAACCATTGTGTCCGTATCGGGAGACCGCCAAATCAAGGTCTGGGATTGGCCGCGCCAGGTCTGCGAAAAGACAATACCCGCACACGAAAAGGGAATCGCGTGCGTTGAGTTTGACGGCCGCAGAATTGTCAGTGGCAGCAGCGATTACGAGGTTGGTGTATTCGATGCCATCACAGGACTCAAGGTTGCCAGCCTGCGGACCCATGGTAACCTTGTGCGTACTGTGCAAGCCGGGTTTGCAGATCTGCCGGACAGCCGGTACGAGGATGAACGGGAAGCCCGCGCACTAGACGCAGAATATACCAGGGCTGTGGAGGCTGGTGAAATTGACCGAGAGGCTGAGCGTCGAGCTCGCCATGCTCGTCGAGCCAACAACCCCAGCTCGCGAGCGGTGGATGTGCAGACCTTTGGAGCCAAGATTCCCCCTGGTGGCGGCGGTGGAAAGAAGTATGGTCGCATTGTGTCTGGGTCATATGATCAGACAATCATCATTTGGCGTAGAGACAAGGAGAGTGTGTGGAAGCCTGCTCACTTTCTTCGCCAAGAGACGGCTGTTGAGCAAGCACAGCAGCAGTCTGGGGACGGGGCGGCGCGTTCGCCAGCTTCGCAAGGCGGTACGCTGTCTATTCGCCAATCTCGCGCCCATCGCTCCACGCAGTCTGTAACGGCAACGGCTCTTCATCCAACCACTGCTCGAGAGGCCCCAACCGCCGACAGCCGCGCGGCTGGTATGTACATGACGCTCATTGACCAGGTCGTTCCGGCTGGCGCCGCTGCTCTTCAGCAAGCGTTGACTGTATACCCCGGGCTGTTGACGCATCATACATATCTACAGGCGACTATTGAGCGGGAACCCTCTCCATTTGTACGCTCGCAGATGCGATCTGCCGTCACCAGCGCCTTGGTGAACCTCCAGAGTGGCCAGGCGTCGAGACAGCGCGCTGCAACACAGAGTTCGGCGGCAGCACCGAGCTTGAGTGCCTCAGGTTCAAGCAGTGCATCTCCTCAACAGCAACAGGCGACGGCTGGCGCCGCAGAAGGCAGTTCTTCAGCATCCCACGCCATGGTTCCATCTCTCTCTCTTCCACCCGCCCCTACGCTGGGTCACGCACAACCTCATACTCACACGTACCACGGCCCTCCACGCCAACACCACCCACATCTTGTCGCCGCAGAGAATGCACCGGCGCGTGTGTTCAAGCTGCAGTTTGACGCAAGAAAGATTGTCTGCTGCACGCAGGCCCATGTCATTGTCGGCTGGGACTTTTGCAACGGCGAGGCAGACCTTGAAGAGGTTAGCCGATTCTTTGCCACGGTCGACTAAAGCAGCGTCTTTTTTTTCTTATCATCATCACCACCACCCATATATCATTAATGAGTGCGACGGCGTATTCCAGGATATCTTTTTTTTATTGTTGGCATAACAGGTAGACCAGGGAAAGCATTCACATAGGTAGACAAAGGATAGGCAGGCAGGAAATCAGGCATGTTAGCATATTTCTCTTTTTGAAATCATCAAATTAAAATTCACATTTACCATTATTGCTGTCCTTTCTAATCAAATGCACAGCGCTACGCTTGTTGAACTATTTCCCAGTATGATCTCAGTACACACAAAAAAGACACAGTATTCATTCTCTTTCCAACTCAGCCCGCAACCTGCTTCACCTTATCCTCCGTCTGCGGCGGCTCATCAATAAACTCAGGCACCACCTCGTCCTGCAAAAATCCTGGCACCGCACCGCCCATCATCTCCTGCTCCAGCTCCTGCTCCATACCCAGTGCCTCGAGCTCCGCATCGAGCTCAGCCTCGTCCACCTCGTCGGGAATATCGTAGCTGCGCGCCAGACTATCCTGGATCTCGTTGCCCACGTCCATGAGGTCGGCCATTTCGTCCTGCAGGCGCTCAATCTTGTCGATGTCGATCTTGCCGTACTGCCTGCGCAGCTCCTTATTGGTCGTCTTCATCGCGTCGACCTGTGTCATGACGTTCTTGAGGTTGTCCTGCATACTTTGTGCTTGCTCCATGTTCCAGACTTGGCCTTCGAGCTTCTCCTTCTCGGCCTCGTAGGCCTTGCGGCGCTGCAGGACCTTGAGGGCCTTTTGTTTGATGGCTTGTTTGCCGGGGCCTTCACGCATCTTGGAGAGTTTCTCCTGGTAGGCGGAGAGCTCGCCGTTGAGGGCTTTGAGTTTGGTGTCGATGGAGGCGACGCGGGTGTCGATGTTGGAGATGGCGCCGTTGAGGGTCGGTTTGGGCCCTGTGGGCTTAGAGCCGAAGAAGCGGTTCATGGTGTTGTTGATGTGCGCAGAGAATAGAGAGGGATGTGTCGAGTCGTGAGGATGGGAGGTATGGTGTGGTTTTTGTTGGTAGGTGAGAGTTGGGCGAGAAGTGTTGGTAGGTGCAGTAGATGGTTGAGCTTTTGGTGTCTGCCTGTGGTGGAGGGAGGGATGACGTTGCGAGCGGCGCCGCTGGCCACCCACCCCACCGAGCGAAGAGCCCCACGCAACCAGAGCTGCTCATAGAGAGGCAGGGTGTCTGCTGGTGGGAGCTTGCCAACATATTAAATTTGTATGAAAAATAGTCATACATAAAGATAAATGGATTCTATGTGATTAGCAAAAGTGCGTCCAGTGTATTTCTTTAAGGATCACGAGTGCGGCTATAGTTAAGGTATACGCTTCCTATACGCTGCCGGTGCCACCACCAACATCTTCAGCCTTACCTATAATCTTCATGAATAAACCGTGTTGCGAGGATTTCATTCGCGTCGTTAGCATCAATCACGGTAAATTGTAGCGAAATATATGAAAATTTCGCGTGCTACTTCGTGTTGTATCAGCGTTTTTGGTCTTGTTGGAGGGAACGTTGGCTACTACGAGAGCTACCAGTTGTCACTGACAAGGACCGGACATAAACGGCCGGTGTATCTAATTGCCAGTATATCCTCTCTTCGTCTATGTGATTAATTGACAATATTCTAATATAAATTCTAATATTAAGAATAACGTTACATGTTGTTATACCATGTCCGTCTAAATCCTGACTAAGCCAGCTCAAAACGACGACTTTGTACACAGACTGCCCCTTTCGGACTAGCGCGCCTTGCACCCAAAGTGGGCAGAATGTAAACAAGTCCATTCCTTGCGCGGCCCACCGACGTGCAAACACGCGACTGATGTACTGAAACAGCCATCTTCATCTTTTTTTTGCTCCTCTTATCGTGCACTGCTTAATTCCTGCGCCATCTTCTTTTTCCGCCTTCTTAAGACAGCCATTGCATTTTCTGGAATCCTTTAAGTACTCTTGTTTCGCATCCTTTTGGCATAGTTTTGCCCGGCTTGGTGCAGAAGCCGGTCTTATACAGCTTTACACGACCCCTTCATCTTCAGACCAAGACGCCGCAATTCGACGCGCTTTTCGACATTGACGAGGTGGCTTCAAGCTTGGTCCGCCATGTTGGGCTCTACAACGCGGCCGCAACAGGGCTCGCGACTACCCAGGTAGGCAGACTCACTACAGGCTGACTTGCTGCTGGCTGAGCTGTTGCTGACTTTTGGGGGATGAACAGATATTCTCTTCCTGCTTCCTGTATCCCTTTCTTCCCAGCTTGCAGCAACACTACGAATACCTTTTATAGCACCATGACGCAACGCGAATGCTTAAGCGATACCCAGTATGTCGCCTCTCGGCGCGCCGAACGCGATACTAACAAGCTGCATAGCCGATGGGCAAAGTGCCTTGCTTCCGACACAAATCAGACGAGCCTGCGCGCTTGGTCACGGATCCCCGCCACGTCGAAAACGGTCAATAACTTTAGCGGCACGATTATGAAGCGGATTGGCCTCCCGTCGCGTCGAAACCGCCGGCCGGCGCCGCCAAAGGCCATCGAGCCGAAACCGACGTCCCAGCTCCAGCAGCCAGCGCGTCGAGTGCGCAGACGACTTGAATCTTATGAGCCAAGCACCGAAACAATATCTTTAAAGGCCGCGGCCATGTCACGACTTGAAATCGCCAGCTTGAAAATGAAGGCCTTGTGTAAGTAATGCACCCATGGTGGGCTTATATGATGAAGCTAACGCGTTTTCAGCCGACGTTTCACAATGCATTCAACTACGGCCGACAAAATTAACCCTCCAACATCTCCAGCAAAGCAGGTTAGGCCGATATGTTCAGGTTGTCCCGCTGAAGCGGAGGCATGACGAGTCCGCCGCGGATGGAAACCACTTGTCCACATACGCACAGTGCCAGAGCGGTAGTGCCGATCTGTTCTTGCGTAGAAAGTCTGCCGTATTCGCTACACCCAAACGAATCAACGCCAACGTCCACGGCCCCAGCTGCACAAAGTCTCCCATGTCGAGCGAGAGACCAGTTCTCTCACCGGCTGGCATCTCACCGGCTGGACAGCTGCCTATGGCTGTCACGGTGCTTCAACAATCCATATCACCAACCAAGATTGAGACGAAGCAGTCGAGTCCCCTCAAGCTTAAGCCGCGTCGAATCAGCGAAACGGTGGTATCGTTATCACCGGTGCTTGGACCCGTCAAGGCAGAGCCTTCGCCTATTAAACCAGCTTCACCAGCAAACTCACCGCTCAACTCGGCGCAAAAGTGTGCCAACTCACCCAGCGCTATTGGAAGCGGTCTCCGCGTCGTGGCAAACGCTCCTGTCGATCTCAGCCAATCCCCAGTTGCAGCAGCGACACCATGCCCGAAGCCTGTCTCACAAACATTGTCTATGGAACAACCGTCACCTTCCAAATCATCACCCGCCACCCACCAGACGCCATCCAAGCCTACCGCGATCAAACCATCAACTCCCAAAATCTTCAACCTCGACCTTACAGCCGATGCCCCGAGTCCTCTGGGCGCACTCTCTTTACTCTTTGCTAGCCCAACTGTCGCCTCACCAGCTCTTTCGCTCGGCACTCCCAATAAGAACCCCGACTTCAATTTCGGAAGCACATCTCCCTCGTTCAATTCAGTATCATGGCTTCAACACGCTGAAGCTTTCCCCGTCCGTGCTTTGAAGAAGGCCTCGCGAAGACTTAGTGAACCGCTGATCCGAAACTGCTTCAAATCAAGCATGCGACGCCAGTCCATGTCGCCACAAAAGCTCATCTTCAACGCCGAAGTTACATTTGACAAGGCTGCCTCGGAAGCTGTGTCGACCAAGCCTGCTATTGACGCTAAGCCGACCATTCCTACCTTTAAGCTGACATCACCTGTGGTGGAAAAGGCCAACGTAGAGAGCCCGCTGAAGAAGACTGCCAAGTCAAGCAAGCGCAAGAGTGTTAGCTTTAGCGAAGACAAGGAAAACTTTGAAAGCGAGTGCCTGCCTACGAATGAGGTGCTGAATATTGATATGCATGAGAATCCCGACATCTTTGGAGCCAAGAGTACCCCCGTGTTGACCTCGCCATCGACGAAGCCACTATCGAGTATTAGCGAGACTGCCGACGAGCCTGTAGTGGAAGTTCCTAAAGAGAATACTCCATCAATTAAGGATGCTGGTCTCGGATTGGGACTTGTTGCTGCTTCGACGGAGGTCAGCGAGGTTAAGATTTTCGACGAGGCTGAAGCCGAAGCTGAAGCAGAAGCGGAAGAGCCTGTGGTTGAAAAGATGCCTACACCTCCTACCACGCGCAGCTCTTTTACTGCGGTAAATATTGTCGAAGACTCGGTTGCGAAGCTGTCAGAGCCGGTTCCTACGCCAGCCAAGGCTCAGGAATATGATTACGACAGTCCAGGACGCGACTATATGCGCGAGTTTATCAAGCGATCGAAGCCTAAGCGAGCACTCTCAGCAACAGAAACGGGATCTCCGATGCCGGTTTCCACACGACGTCAGGCGTTGCAGGCCAAGAGCCCCAACACTGACAGCCCGGGTTCGAATAAGCGAAAGAATGGTGCCGATGCAGAGGTTCAAGAGACGCCGCCAAAGAAGAACAAGCCTAACAAGGAGGGACCGTCTCCCAAAAAGGCCAAGACGCCCACTAAGAGCCCAGTCAAGAGCCCGTACCGAAGCCCTGCTATGCGCGCATTGGCAAACAACCCAGAGCCAGTCGAAGCTGGCGGCGAGGGAAAGTGGCTTTCCATGCCATCGGCAGCAGACGATGCTGATGTCGATGATGATGACGATATTGATGAGGAGGATTTTGGCCTTGCCCCTCCAGAGAATGACACACTTGTATTATCCCCTACCAGACGATCTTCTCGCATTCGCAACCAAGAACGACCCGTTCGCGCTGTACGACCCGCCCCTGTCAAGCTCGAGGCCGGTGACCAAGATACCGACGTGCTTGGACGAACACCGGCACAAATTACGCGGATTACTCGCAAGAATACCAATGCCAACATGAACAACGCGATGCACGCTAAGCACGTTGTAGCACGGCTTGGTAGACAACGAGATGCTGTTGACGATGTCAAGCCTGTTCGAAAGACCAAGGTCGACGACCGCGTTGTCGGCTGGCTGTCACCTATTGCCTCCTTTCAAGAGATTTCGGCTCGTAAGACGAAGACGACCAAGAAGATTGGGGAAGATGAGGATGAGGAAGACTGCGAGCCTGAGTCGCCTACAAAGCAGGTGAAGAAGGTTGTCGCGGCAGCGCCGAGAAAAGCCGGTACACCCATTAAGCGACCCCCGACGCCGACGCCCGGACCGGTCAAGAAGGTGTCGGTGTCCAAAATGCCCTCGGCCAAGGTTGCTTCGACAAAGGTCCCGACGTCCAAGGCCCCCTCTGCATCTAAGGTCCCTGCGCCAGTAAAAGCTCCTGCTGCGTCGGTGGCCAAGGGTATCCCGAGACCAGCCAAAGCGAGCGGCATTGCGAAGCCGGTTGGTTCAGCAGCCGCATCGCGGGTCAAGAATGGAACACCGGCAAAGCCTCAGCGAGTCACGCGTGCCGGATTGAGGAGATAGGGTCTTTCACTGGATGCTGTCCAAGTATGAGGGTGATGAACATTCTCTCTGTACAGATGTTGGATGAGTTCGCCGACGACACGGTATAACCAAGATTGGAACATGTGCTTATAACGGATACGGTGTTGGATGACGGCGGTATGTTTTGACTACCGTCTTTTTGTTTATTTTATTTTTTCTTCTCATCATGATGACGATACGGGCTGCATTTGATACAGTCGAGGGATTAGCGATTGCTGTTTGATAGTGTTTTGTTTGGATGAATATATTGCCTTGTAGAGAAGGCTCTGTGATTTTATCAGCTCTTGTTTTTCTCTTGCATGTCGCTCGCTGTCTCATGGACTGTTAAGCAAGGCAGCGGTGTTGTTGGCGAGCTAGCGCGCCAAAAACTGCCGAAGACAGGATAAGTGGTGCTGTCCCCGCAGTGTATCTAAATTGCGTGGCACACGAGTTTTTTTATTCTCTTTTTTTTGCTTCACAGAGATTGATTACAGGGATTGTTATCACGAGAACCCCATTGTCGTCGCATTGAATTAAAGTAGCCCTTGCGTTTGGCGGCTCATCATGGCAGATACAGACACGCCCGGCACAACAGAGCTGCGCCTAGGCACGGGAAGCGGCATCGTCACCCGGCGCATCTTGAACACGCCACTCCGCGACGCCTTGCCGTCCGAAATCCCCATCATTGACGTAGCCGATGTCTACAGCGAGGATGTCACCAAGCGGAAAGCCGTTGCGGAACAAGTGAGAGCGGCGGCCATGAACACGGGCTTCTTTTACGCCAAGAACCACGGCGTATCAGAGGACATGATTGCACATACATATTCGACCATGTTGGACTTTTTTCATCAGGATCTTGACACCAAGATCAAAGCAGATAGCGCCAACACTCCGGATCACATGTACGGGTACCGACCGCCTCGTTCGCAGATTCTTAGTCGCGATGAGGGTGTGGATGTGCGTGAGGCGTTCTTCTGGCACTATGATCCGCCGAGAGATGGAGAGTCGGAGCGAACGTATCCCGAGTACATGAAGGGCCGTATGACGAGTGATCAGTTCGAAGACAAGTTCAAGGAGGCCCTGGTTCCTGGTCTGCGTGCGGCACTAAACGACTACTCAATGCACTTTACCAAGTTGGCACATGCACTGACGCGGACGTTTGCTCTATCGCTAGACTTGGAGGAGGACTACTTTCACACGGCGATTCGGCACCCCGAGGTCTCGCTGACGGCCAACTACTACCCGCCTATAGCTAAGCCGCCAACGCCGTCTGCGGCAAGCGAGGTGTCGATTGGGTCGCATACGGATTTCCAGTTCTTTACGATCCTGTCGCAGGACGATGTGGGCGGACTGCAGGTGATTACGCGGGAGGGCCAATGGATCAGGGCGCCGCCTATTCCAGGGACCGTGGTTGTGAATAATGGCGACTATATGCAGCGCATCACGAATGACAAGTACATCTCGAGTGTGCATCGAGTGCACAACTGGAGCGGTAAAGAGCGCATGAGTATCCCGTTCTTCTGGGGCTATGCGCTGAGCGAGAAGCTTGTGGTGTTGGAGAATTGTGTGGGCGAGGGCGAGGAGAAGAAGTATGCGGATATTGGGTGTCAGGAGTGGGTGGAGTGGCGGATGAAAGATATGATGGCGCTGAATGCGGAAGCGTAAAGAACGCTGAGCTTACTCTTTTTTTCTGTACATTTATATATATAAATAACGATTCCTCTATAATTTTGAAGCTAAGCTTTGAAGGCATGGGCAAACTAGATGACAAGTAGGAGTAAAGAGTGCTTATCTTTTTCATGCAGTGCTACTCCTGTGTAGAAAGACCATTTGCCTCTATAATTTTCAATCTACTCTTTGAAATCTTCGCCAAAGCACGCTAAAGCTAAGGCTGAATGAGACCAGACCAGACGAAGAACGAGGCCAGGCAAGGCTAGAAAACAGTGTATACTAGATAGAGTCACACCGTACACTGGTATCTTTAGTGGCAAAAACGCAAGGGCAGCGTGCGGGGGGTCCCCCCAAAACTGGGGTTTCGCCGACGCTGGGCCGCGATCCGCGATCCGCACTGTGGGGAACTGGGCCGCCATCACACTGTTCTGCCATCGGGCGTTGGAGAAGAGCCCCCCAAACTCAACGGTTTTATCAGCAGGCTTTTTTGGGCTTTTGGTTGGTTGGCCCCGAAACAGCATCGCATTTTATCAATTTTATCAGGGGGGCTTTTGCAAAAAATTTTATTTTATTGAATTTTCATCATCATCCCCTTCATCGCGTTTCTCTTGCATCGAATTTTCTAGCATCGCATCTACAGACTCAGCACTAGAAGACGATCCCTCGACAGAGAGGGTGTGTAGAAGGAGAAAAATCATGGAAAAGGCATCGGGCGGCCAGGATGACGTATGGCGTCATCTCTGTATCCAGCCGCAGTGCGGAGCATGTCTTGAGCCGTTTCAGCACCAGGACGAACTCATATCTTGTAAGAGAATACACTACAGACATCGATGAGATGAAAGATCGAAGGGCGTGGGCTAACAAGGGCGCTGTTGGATGCTAGTGTTTCGCAGCGGCGACACCATAGAGATTCACGAGGCGTGTCAGTACACATGGATGGGATGCTGTGAGCAAACCAACGCTCGGCACGCGACATTCTGCAAGACTCCCTTATGTGAGCGCTGCCGTAAGGAAGAAGAGAGCGCGACGGTGCACCGCGACTGTGTGCAGCTGTTTGTGCGCGAGTGCGATGCACCAGACAAGTATTTCCGGCTTTGGCGGGCATCAGTGGCCATGAGGCCGTGGAGAGGATGTGTTGTCAAAGTTCCCAGAAAAAAAGGGCTTCGTGATCTCGACATTGCGCTTGACAGGCAGGATCTGGCGATGATCAGGACCCTGATTCCGGAATTACGTCATATGGTGATGGAGGCCATTGGGGGGTCGGCGCGCGTATGGCGGTACACGGCGGTAGTGGAACGCGCGAAGAGTCTGTCAGTTCACAAAAATACGAGACAACTAGTATTCGATAGTACGGACTCTTTATCGCGTACTGGGGATTTATTGACGGCTAATGGTACGGGGGACAGGAGGGCGGTGGTGCAGCTGGATCGCGTTCTAAGTTGGCGCCGTGAGAGTGGCCAGCTACGTCTCTGCAAGAGCCGGAATTTATCAATTATCCGCATCACCATGGACGCTTTTGGAATTGCAGAAATCGAAAGACTTGATTCTTCTCAATCAACTACCAATCCAGGGGTGTCAGGACACGAGGTGTACATTGTTGAGCACCCAGCCAATCTGTCTCTGATAGAAGCCGTGTTTGACGTGAGTAGACCTAACAAGACAATTGAAACGACGGAAATTCTAACATGAAATAGGCTGGATACTGTCGCTTGGAGTTTCCGGAACCTCGCCATCTCACACTCCTCAATGCTTCTGTGACCCCCGACGCTAGCTGGCCCATCCAGTCGATTCCATCTCCACCGCCACATCTTGGCCAACACAATGACCAACTTGCTCCGATTCAGCAATTTGGCCATCTTCAACTCGCAAGCACCAATCATGCATGGGGTATCACCATCTTCTTCCAGAGCGGATATCCTGTTGCCCTGCACGCACACACACGCAGCGCCCCCACAGCGGTCGAGACGTTTCGCCGCATCCCACAGAGCGGACAGCACAGCTGCGTTTGGCTCTATTTTTCACTCTCAGAACAGGATGAAGTGCTTTCTCTTAGCACCCAGTTTATTGACGACGGCGAGGGCGATAGCAGCAATGGCAGCAGCCAGCCACGACCGTGCCGCTTACTTATACGGACCAAAATGCAAGGAGACATCAAGCTCGGACAGCACAAGGCGAGCCCCTTTAGCATGGTGACGAGAGAAACGTGCCGAAGGCCTCTTCTTATCTGCAATCAATATCCGCTTGGGATGTCTGTGTACAGCGCACACCAAATCCGCATGTCGCGGATTGACGACATCTCCAGTGAAGAGGCTGACCCGTTGATATCAGACGGGTACCTAACAGAAGCCTCACTGGAGAATGTCGCCACTGCAAACGTCTTTACAATGCGGAACAGCCAGCTCTGCACAGGCATCTTGCTACAATACAAAAACGGCACCAGTCGCTGTCTAGGACAATACCGGCTCGGCGTGGACCAAGTCGTCGCGTCTGTTGAGAATCCAACGCATCTATACTATGCGACCGCAACGAAGACTTATCCATTGCCAATTGGCAAATATAAAGGCATCGTTGTAGAGTTTGGGACGTCGCCGCAACGTACGCCTTCTAATGACATGTCTTCTGGATGTAAAGCAGATTGGATATCCCAGACCTTGTCGGGATTTGCCGAGTTTTGGATGACGCACCGGAGCTCTGCAATGCGGTTCCGCCAAGCGTAGCTGGACAACCTCTTTTCATCTTTTTATTATTTGCATAGCCTATGCGTATCTGTAGCATTTTCATAATTCATTTAATATTAATGATAATCCTTGATACATCACAATGCCGTCCAGGACAGTGACTGCTGTACATATGCTCTAACTAAATATACTGTATTGCAACATCATACACTGCAACTACGCGAAAATTGTGCTTATCGGAGAAGAGCGAGCCTTGATCAGTCCCTGGTGGTGGTGGGAGCAGCTCAGCTGGGAAAGCCTCTTCTTGGGTTGGGCTCTGGTGCTGTGCAAGGGTGGGCACCTAGCGGGAAGTCTGGAGTGTACCATTGTATTCCGAAGTAACCAATGCATAACTTATCTCATCTCGTTCGAATTGAGTTAAATTCGCTGCACGGTGGCTATGGGTATCGCAATAGTCCGCATCTGGGTTCGCATCTACAGGCCTGCATTTCATTGGTTTTGTTTCTGACGAGCACCAGTCAAGATGGATTCCAGCTGTAAATAGTGACGTATTTACATCGAGGCAAGTCTATCGATGCATGGAGCTCTCGGAAAGTGTCCTAGTCTGGTCATGCATCGTGTGCATATAAAGAGGGGCGAAGGATCGCGAAGGATCATGCAGAGCACATGTCGTAAGGCCATGCTTTCGTCGCCATCATCCAATATATTGCGAAATTTGATTTCCCCCTTTCTCTTAGTATATATTCGAACGTCCTTCATACACCGGAGCTTAATGAACGATTCATTTACTAGGGTCATACTCTACTGTTCAACGAAAGCCAACTTGGCGACTCTCGATGCGAGGTTAGCGAAGGACTTGACACAGCTTTCGGGAACAGATATTCGTTTCAGCTCCATGTCTCATTATAACATCGTTCAGCGAGTTTGTTACGTACTATAATGCCGGTATTCCTGAAAAAAGCAACAGTTGTTATGGTTGTTTTTCCGGGAGTGGCACTCTCTACGCCATATGAATGGATGAACGGCAGCTAAAGGATGAGCCCCGGCAACACAGCCGACGTGTGTCGAAGCTTTCACTGAATACCCTGCCCTTGGCCGTTTCACTATCCGTGATGGAGGCCAGACTATTGGCGTTGGTGTTATTAAGGCTGTGGAAGAAGCTGCGCCTGGCGCCGGAAAAGCGACAAGGGCTTCAGCCAAGGCTGGAAAGAGATGAATGATGACTACGAATTCTATCCTCGAAGCACCTTTATAGTTTCTGGGCAAGGGAAATGTATCCATACGCCCATATAAGGTGTCCCAGAATTGCAATATATTGCCCACCGCCAGCGTCTAACCAGTGTCGAACCCCTTCGATATAACTTGGATTTGGAACTCGAGTCTGAGTTTAACCTATCTCAGGCTCTGTGGAGCTCTTGTGGCTAAAGTATTAACAGCAAGCTCGGTATCTTTGCTAGCCTCAGTCAGTCTTTCCATAATTGTATCAACCAGCCCATCATTTCTCAACATAACCAATTAGATATGTACGTAGTCCTAGCCATTCATATGCCATGATAAGCACGGTACCACTCCACAAAACTGGATACACCCTCTGCGAGATCTACGGTAGTTTTGAAGCCAATATCGTCTTGTATACCACCGAGATCCGCAAATGTATCACGCACATCGCCAGGTTGCATCGGAAGCAGGCGCAGCTTTGCCGGATGGTTACACGCCTTTTCTATAAGTCTAATAAGATACCCGAGTTCCTCAGAGCGTCTATTGCCGATATTATATATCCGATGAGGGTTGGTGCTGCCCCCGGGCTTTGTTTTGCCGTCCACCTTTGGCGGGTTGTCGAGAGAGAGAATGATGCCTGACACAGCATCATCAATATAAGTAAAGTCGCGGCGCATGTTCCCCTCGCCAAAGACATCGATAGGTGTACCCTCGAGGATAGCTTTGGTGAAGAGCCACACTGCCATATCTGGCCGACCCCATGGGCCGTATACAGTAAAGAATCGAAGGCCCGTGAGAGGCAGCTGGTAAAGATTGGAGTACGCCTCACTCATTAGCTCATCTGCTTTTTTGGTAGCTGCGTACAGGGACAGCGGTGAATCAACACGATGATCAACGCTAAATGGAACTGTCGTATTGCCGCCGTAAACAGAAGAGGAAGGGGCATAGACCATGTGCTTGACTTGTCGATGGCGTGCAACCTCTAGCAGATTGAGATGACCAGCGACATTCGACATGAGGTAGGCTCTCGGGTCGTTTATGGAGTGTCGCACACCGGCCTGTGCGCCGAGATGAACTATTCGATCAAACGTTTTCGAGGCGAGAGCGGCTTCAAGCGCCTCGTGGTCAGCAAAGTCGACTTGTTGGAAATCGAAGCGAGAGCCACCAGCTTCCACTAAACGGGCGAGTCGGTCTCGTTTTAGCTGCGGATCGTAGTAATCATTGATATTGTCGATGCCGATTACTTGTTCACCGCGTGCGAGCAGGGCGAGGGATACGGCAGATCCGACGAACCCAGCAGCACCCGTGACGAGAACAGCCATGTTGGCAATCAGTTAATTTCAATGGGACATCGATAATGGATTTACAGTAAATTGATATAAATTCAAATTTAGAATAAGACATATCAAGACAAGAGCAACACTTATGTATGTGGTTCACTGCCTGCACTGACGGCCTGGTCGCTGGGCAACTGCTGGAAGGATTCGCTTTATGCCAACGAAGCCGAAGGATTCATCGCCGTTTATCCGTCTCCAAAAATAAACCAGATGAGAAGATAATATGTATATTCATGTTATTGGAATTATTACTGTTTTTACAAGGCCTTGTGAGCTTTCTTTGCGTGACTAGATCGATGAAGGTGCTACCTGTTATAGCTTTGACTTTATACCCAGTATTGCGTATGACGTCAACTCTTACTTCAGCTCTTTAGCAACAGTTTCGATCACAATTATTGTATAGTACTAGTAGCGTAGTTCCTGACTAATCTTAGCATGTATTGTACTATTTCTAATTGAATGGGTAGATATAAATATAAAACGCACTTCCTAGTATATAATGCCTATATCGTTATATTATACACAATATAGTTAAAAAAGTATAGGACCGACTAGAAGCTATATTTCCAAGGACCAATAAAAATATTGTTAATCAAAACATCCAGCCAGACCTCAATTTTACCTGTCCATCTGCCTGAAAGCTGTCGCCCTCACGGGATTCCATCACCAAGTTTAGAGTTGGCGCATGAGTGCTTGTTTGTTACAGGTGAGTGGCGGGGGCGGTTTCAAGGAGACAAACTCTACCGTACAGTGCAGCAGCCACCAGCGCAAGTAGGACCGTTGGGCCACACGCTAACGGCGCCAACTTATAGTGCCGAACTGTAACTAATTTTTAGGGTCATAGTTTTAGTAGTGAGCTTCTCCTTTGGGAATCGGCGGGCAGCCACGATTATGTACGAAGAACCGCGATTCCGGGAACCAAAAGTGCCGGTACTTGAAAGAAGGCCGATACATGGAAGGTGTGATTTTTGTCTTTTCTAATGATTAATTTGAAGGGCGGATGATATGCCCAACTAACACTGTGCGTAGAAAACACGGATAATCAACCAACACGATAAATGCCAGCCCTGTAATCTATACTACGTATACAGATAGAGCCTTGCTCAGCCCAGCAGGCAACGGCACGGCCGGGGGTGCAGTTCAGCTGGGGCAGCCTCACCTTGGGCTCTTTATTTGCAGAGTGCAAAAGTGGCCGCCTAATGGGAACTCGTACGTGTACTTTGGACGATACGTATACTTGTATATTTTTCAAGGATTCGTTCAGCCGGGCGCGCGTTGGCTCTAGTCTGTGGCCCGGACTGGGCTGCCTCGGGTGAATGAGGCTGTTGCGGGCTGTGCGGGTGCGATGCGACGTTGTGCGAGCGCCCGCGGTGCTTTCCGTTTGCCATGTTTAAGGAAAAGTTTGTTAAAATTAAAAAGAAATAAATGGAAATAAAAACTAGACAAAGAAGTAAGTGGTTCCTAATTCGTGCTAGTTATGCTTTGGCAGTATTCCCCAGTTGGGTCGGATATCGCCCCATCTGGTATTTTTCGCCTTTTGTCTTGTTACGTACGGCGGCCATACAGTGGCGATACAGTGCATGAAGCGCCCACTGTGGGAAGGCAGGTTATAGCGGAGCGCCCGCCTGTCTTGTGCCCCGCGATACGTTACGATATGATACATGATGCGTGCAGTGCGTACAGTTGGTTGACAATACGAGAACAGCAAGTAACAGAGGGACAAGGAGAAGAGGTCAGGAATGAAAAAAATCCCGGATAAAAGGAGAGAACTAGTTTTGAATCAAAAGAAAAAGCACATGTGTTTTCTCTTCCATTGCTCTGGTTTGGTTTGCTTTTATACTTTGGGCAGCGCCGAGACCACGGCCGAGGCCAGGCTGGTGACTTGGCGCACCACCACACCACCAAGCCAAAACGGTCCATGACACGGCCGAGGTTGCATTTTCTGGCTCCCGGCCACCAGCGCACACTGTACGCATCAAGGGATGCGTAACGAGAGGGCTGCTAGTGGCGGAAATTTACATCTATGATGGCGATGCTGCGTACGTACGACTGGTGCTGGTGCTGATGGGCTTGCTGCTTGGTATCAGTCAGCCAGCCCTGTGTACTTGTTACTTGTTATGTGTATTATTGGTGGTACAGTAAGATGAGAGGATAGTGTGTGTAAGCCGGCGTTTTTTTTCCTGAGTGATGGTATTGTCAAGAGCATGCTATTGAAAAAAAAAATAGAGACGGATTAAAAAGAAGCATCGGACTTGAAATAAAATTAAAATTAAAAAAGGCTCTGGAGAAAAAAAAGAAATACAGAATAGACTCGTCACCCCATACGCCACCCACCAACACCCAGCGGGCTGCAGCTACCAGGCAGGCGACAGTGGCACAGTGCGCCAAATGTCGCAGGCGTCTGACTCGAGCCTTGTGCCTCGTTTGCTGGTCCGAGTCATCCTGCCCGTCACAGGCTTATATCTATTACTTGGTGTCCTCTTTTCTTCCTTCTCTTTCTTCTTCTTCCCCAGATTTTGCTCTCATCTCCAAAAATTTGGATCGCACCGATTTTATATTTCTATTCTATTTTATTTTATATACTCTTCTATCCCTGTTCTTATTTCAGGCCTCCAGCTAGCTACCAACTGCGCCCCGCCTTGTAGCCTGCTCTTCTGTCGCCACCCCCCACAACACAACACACACGCGCGCAACAAAGGGCCCGCGGCCACAGCCAACATAAACAACACATCACCACCTTTGTCTTCTTTCGTCTCATCCTCATTCTTCTTCTTCCTCTTTCTCACAACAACACCAATATCATCAACTCTGCCAACACATCTGTTTTCAAAAGAGTCACGCCTATTTTTCCAGCATCTCACGTGCCTCGCCTCTTGTCCAACTCGGTCCAGCTCTCGCCCAACCCACCAAAAGCTGACCATCCCCGATTCTATCCGACGCCACCTCCATCATACACGCCCGCTTCACCGTCGCAGAAAAAGAGGCGTGCCTTGGTTCGCCCATCTTAACAAAAACCCCATCAAATCTCACGAGACCTCTTTTTATTACTGCAGATACAGTAACTTGCTACAACATATACATATCTGCACCGCTTGCTACTACCCCACACATACTATACATATACCCACATAGTATACATATTACATACACACAATGACTTCATCAACAACAACAACGCAATATACACACGCCAAGATGAACACCGCCGCTTGGGTCCAGGCCATTGTCATCGAGGACGAAGACCTCACTTTTGGCGGAAAGAGCCTCAGCGAGCTCTACGAAGAAGACAGACAGCGTCTCAGCACCGCCTCTGCACCCAGCAGCACCTGCGGCAGCGAAGAGGCAGCCAGCTTTGACGACGAGGAGAGACGTGGTCGCGACAGAACCCGCCGCATGTGCCACTACTACTCCAAGAGTGCTTAAATCATGATCAACATTATTTGATACACAGCAGCTACTCTTCGTCTCTTACATGGGACACTACGCACGCTCGCGCTTTACGACTTCACCATGCGCACCCACTCGTCTACCAGATATCCATCTGCTCCAACACACACGACGCTGCCATTCGCCCTACACTCATATATCCAATCTCTTCTTTGATATCCCTGGCTTCTACTTTCCACATACACTATACACTGGCATCATTGCTGCAAGCGGTTCATGACTTTGGTCCTTTAGTTACTGGCTTTTTGCTTTGGGCTGCATTTTATTATCTTTTTGGTTTTGCATACACGGGATACACGGAACATGAACTCAGAGACACTCCCCATCATTGCTCGTCTCACAGCATTTTTGCATATGAAATACACGGTGGTCTGCTCCCTAAAGGCATCTGCACTGGTTTGCATGGTTTCTAGAAGGGTGACGACATGGCCACCACTATTATTTAGTATTACTATTTACAAGCAACTATTATATATTTTCTGAGACGGAAACTCTTCCCTCAGCTGAATGGCAGAAATACCATAAATTTTATTTTTACATTAGATCATCCTTTCTTGACTACTATCCCATCTGCTGCCCGTGACACTACTGTGATGTTGATAGTCATAGATGCAGATGATGCCGCCCCTCGATCGACAGCTTCGCAGCAGCAACACGCACATCCCCCACCATTCCTTACCGCATTTTCAGACAAACCCCATCTTGTGCTTGCTTTTTCCTTGTTCTCATCCGCCCTAAAGAATGCGCTGTCGTCCCGATCGCCCAGTCACCCTCCCCTACCACCGCTGCGCTTGTGACCCCGACTCGCCCGCGTCACATGCAGTAGCGCCTCACTGCCGGGCGAGTTACAGACACTAGTAAAACGGTGCTGCGACACAAGGGACGCTAGCCGTTAGGGATGGAGACCAGTGTGTACAAAAACTGTGCGCAAGAGTTGACAAGTCGGTTGTTGGTCTTTTGCTTTTTTGTTTTTCTGTCTTTTGTTGTGGGCGCGACATGGCTTGCTGGATAAATTGCAAGCTGGCGGGACATGGCTGGCAGAGGCAACGGGGCGGATGGAGCAAGTACGCCAGTCCCGTGTAAGCTTATTTGGTAATACGAATACTCGATAAATTTATATCCTGCCTGCCGACTGACTGCTACGGCTGCAGTTTGCTGCAAGCCAGAGGATGCGTAGGGCTGACTTGGGCGTGTAAGCGAGCCTCCCTCTCTCGGCTTTGCCGGTCCAGACACGTATGCATATATATTCATTTCATGGCGCTATACTGTGTAAATTCATCAGGCTGTCTTTTTTGTCTTTTTAAAATCCCTCGTATTATTTTATTTGCACGTTAAATGCAAGAGGCTTTTGCGAAGCGCGGCGCATGTCGGAAGGCGCGGGGCGATGCCGGAGCAGTCGGACGCCGGCCGGGTGGGGCCGGGACAGTGATGCTATGCTTTGCGATGCCGGTCTTCCGTCGATGTTCTCGGGTGCGCGTGCTATAGAGGAGGGTAGCAGTGGTTGGAAGAGCACGATATGCATACCGTGTTTGCTTTCTTTTGATGTTTAGTGAGCCTGCTTGAGTCCGGGAATAGTGACCTAGATGGTGATGGACCCCATGCTGAACAGGGAACAGGCTGCAGTTGTTGACACGTTATTGGGTCCGCCCCTGAAAATATAGAATATACGTTCTTGAAGTATTTCAAGTCTTTTGCGCCAGTCCTTGAAGCGCGGTATACACCATCTCAAGCCAAAAACAAAAGACAGGAAAGCCGTGTTAATTCCGCCAAAGGATGCCAGAGGCCCGTGTCCCTACGAGCCTACTGAGCCTGCCCTGGGAAGTGCGGCGTGAAATCTTTATCCAAGCCCTGCACGGTGGCTGCCAAGAGCTACCCTCCTTCAGCCAACAGCTCATTGAGGGCCGCGTACGCCTCTGCAACTGTTTCCATGCCAAGTTCCCCAGAGTAACAAACTTTTACGTGCCGAGAGTCAAGCACCGTTACTTGCATCGTCATGGCTTGCGGGCTACTAACCGGCAGCTTCGCCAGGAAGTCGATGAGGTGATCTAAAAAGAGCTTCATAGCCAAGACATCCCATTTATACTGGATGTCATGGTTGTGCAAGATATTGGCGTCTTTCCAAATTGGATAAGTTTTCCCTATCAGCCAAGCCATCTCAAGAAGCTTCAAATCAATATACGCATTATTCGCCCCGGAACAAGCAGTATCCCCGACGAATCGATGGAAGCGGCAAGATATAAGGGCGAGAAAGAGAAATACTACCCCACATATTGGCATATGTTAATGGCCATGACTATGTATCCTTTTGGGAGTTTCTCTGTCAAGCAAGATCCCGAATTACCCCCGGTCCAGAGCAACAATTGGCAGTCAAAGAACCAGCCTTGACAAATAAAGCTGTCGACAGCAATATGGACCGTGTCCAACAAACACCTCTCAGCAACTATCAAAGCACTACAGTTGATGCTTACCGGTGCTCATCTGCGTTCTGGGTTACTGATGATCTATTGCTTACGTACAACGAGCGCGAATACGATGTCAATAACAACCACATCCCTATTCCGCCTAGTCATGAGGGACTACGTTTTTATAGCACTGTTCCTGAGGACACGCTGGAAATTTATAATGAGAGTCGGTTTTACAAAGCTGGCCATATTCAGTTTGGCCGAGATGTCTTTACAGACCACGGTGTTTACATACGATTGAGAGATAGGAACGAAATTGGCATAATAAGTCAGCTCATCTTCCAAGGGAAGTTTGCCTGCCATCAACTGGAAGATGAAACGTCTGAATTTCTATACGAAGTTGTCGACGAACAATATTTTGGCTCAGCCGATAATATCTACATGCAGGTTCTAGCACTAAGCGTGGGTATTATCCATTCTTCCACGCCTACTGCCTCGTCGATCTTTGCAATTGAACGAATCGTGGAGTGGTGGGAATGGGAGCGCCCTGAATGGGACTGCGGGATCCAGGATACAGAGTGGTACTGTAGTGATGAGGTTATCGAACGCAATCTGGCGAGGGAAATGGCTCGCGATCCTCGTGACGAGGAGCATATTCAGAAATGGCTCTTTATAAAAACTAGAAAGGCGCACAGCTGGATTGCACAAGAGGAAACATAGTAAAAACAGAATGCAATATGCCGTTCAGTCGTTGACCTCGCACAGCCAATAGTCTATATTGTCTATTGTCTACCCAAAGTATCACAAGGCCGCCGGACGTTTCAACCAACGGCCCGACGACACACTTAATCTAGCATAGGGGGAGAGATAATTAAAAATGACCTTGATAGAGTTTGCCTGAAACGACCACTTCTTATCCGCTGCAAACCGGGCCGTCTTCCGCCGCGGTGCTACTTTTGCAAATGGCCGAGCCGCCTCTATTAACTTTTCTTTTTTCCCACCAGCTTCAGGTAGGTGGGTAACAGACAACAGTGAGATATTATCCAGCGGTTATTTCCTCTACTATAATAAACTCTGTTTAAAAAAAAAAGTAAAGGGGCAGCCTGTAAACCAAACGGAAAGGGAGGTAGGGGGGGTTACATTGTGTTGTGCAGCGGCGGGCCTCCACCGCCATCAAGTGAGAGTGTCGGGCCAGGTTTTCGGTTTGCCGTACCGACATCTCCGGCGCTGCTTGCTGCTGCAGTAGGCAGGTTGGTGCATTGCATGCCGATGATGATGTACAATAACCCTGTATTTTGCATGATTTGTACGATTTCTTTGGTTTGTTTCACAGTACCCTGCCCTTCCGCTGGTCTACTCTTGTTAGTTAAGTTGGTACTAACGTTACTACTACTGGAAAAGGGACCACCACAGCCGCTTGTTTTTTTTAGAGTTTGAAAAGCCCCTCTTGGGTACGACTACAGTGGGCTTCACACGCCGCCAAGAGATGCCAGAGCACGATGAAGGGAGTTCCACTGAGGGGCTTGCTGTTGCGGCTCCTTTGTCATTGTTGCGGTTGGGCTGCGATGGCGATGTGATGCGGTGTGAAGTGAAGTTGAAGCCTCGTTTTCTCTTATTCGTACGTCTTCTTCTTCTTCTCAAATCGGAGTCATCGGTCAACAACCAGCTCTGTTGCTTGCTAATCGATGGGTGGGTTGCTAGTGGTGGTGTGGAAATCGGCATCGACCACGTCATGCCGGCACATTTCGTCAGATGGTGGTTAGCGCTGTTTCATGTTGGTGGTGTTGTTTCCGCCCAAAAAGAGGCGAGCAGCAGCAGCCGCAACACGCAAACTACGCGAGACCCAAGTAAAGTAAGTAAGTAAGCACCCGCGGGCTACGTGCATTGAGTTAGTCACAATCCCAGAGAAGTACCAGCAGCGGCAGCGGCAGCAGCCCGTCTGTGTTTCCGTCCCGTCGCCTCCGTGCCGCCTGTACAAACGAAAGACCTCTGCCTACTTACTCCACCAGCAACCGCGATGGATTGGGCCACGGTCCACTGGCTGTTGCGTCGTGGCTTGTCCACTGCCGAGCCCGATAGGCCCGTGGTTGTCGAAACGCCCTTGTTGCCTCTCTCCCCTCCGTTGCTTTTCTGTTGGTCTACGATGCTGCTGCTTCTGTTCTTCTCTGTAGGTTTCAAAACGTCCTGTCGTGTCAGACACATTAGACTTTCCCGCCGTCCCAAACCCTGCTTTTTGTGCCCGTTATCGCTATCACAGGCCAACCACGATAATAAAAAAAAGCTTGTTCTCCATGACCGCTGCTGCACCGCTTGCTTGGTCCACCGGTACCGCAACCCTGTGCGGGCCTGCGATTGGGCGCCTCCGATCATGTCGTATCGGGCGAGTCTCCCCTACCACACCCACCCGAACGAATCCTACTAACCAACTCGGTATATGCATCGTGCCCGATTCACGCCTCGCTACTGCTGGGAGGGAGCACCGCCATTTCCGAGCTCAAGAAAGAAACGCCCCCCTTTAGCCTATGAGGTATCCTGGGCCGGCCACTTTCTGACAAGTAAGGAAGTGAGACACGGCTAGTTGGCGACGGGTGAGGTAGCATTTTAGCATGCAGTTTTACTTAGTTAGTCCCTCTTTTTTGGGCCGGCCCTCCTTTAACTTTACCGATCGACAGAGGCATTCCGACCCAGGCAACGTGTAGACAAAAATGACGGAATGCGTATAAGTACTGCATCCTGCCCATCCATGCCCACCCACACTGCTGCCAAACCCCCTCTCCTAACGAACCCTTTTTCTCATTTAAACGGCTTTGCTTTTGCACCAGCAGAGTCTTTTCGTTTTGTGATTTGTCGCTAGCAGCTTTTTCTCTTGACAATTGCTCTCGCTACTCTCGCCGCTATCGCTCTTATCGGTCATTGACGTCAGGGCTCCCGCTAACCATCGGCCGTCTTTTCACTATTCTGCACCAGTAAAAAAATAAAATCAGTCACAATGGCAGAGGTTATTCAGCCCCGATCTGCTTCCGTCTCATCCGACGCCTCGTCCTGGAGCCTCGTTAGCAACACGGCTTCGCACCACGCTCAATACCACCACTGTCCCTCATATGCGCCGTCTACACAGGCGCCGCGCCCTGCTCGTCAAGACAGCCTCAGCTCGATCCGGAGCAGCAAGGACCTCAACCAGGAGCAGACCCAGGAACTATGGGAGTGCATGCTCGATCTCCAGGAGCTCTATGCCTGCTACAACTCGACCAGAATCGACATGGCGCTGGACGCCCGCGAGAAAGCCCACGAGTTTATGCGTATGTTTTTTATTGTTTTACTAAGAGTACAAAAAGTAAAGAATACTAACACCCACGCTCACAGCCAACCGCTTCATCATTGACACACTCAATGACTCACTGCACGATCTGCCCTCTGAAGGCTGGCAGCGCCTCTATCGCTGTCTTGGTGACGAGACGTCGTCCTCCAAGTCGAAGCTCAAGCTCAAGTTCTGGAAAAAGGACTGAGCTGGCTCAGCATCCGCGCACGTTTCGGAATGGATAATGATATGGCATGGGTTATGGGGTTTTGATTTTAAAAGTTTCGGTTTACGGGTTCACATACCGTCTTAGTTAAGCAGCATTGTTACGGGGCAGGCAGGTGTTCTTTTTTCACTTTTTACACGCAATACTGGGAAGTCGCTGGGTTTATTGGCTAAAGATACCCTTTAATATATATGACAATAATTAATTACTATTTTATAACAATCTCGCTCTACTTCTCAACCACTGCGCCAGCCATGCATCCTACTACTACATCCCCCAATACAAGTCAGACTAACAATGCCAATTGGACCTAGCAAGTCTCGCTCATTAATGGATGTTCCGTCCATCCCATAAACTTTGTCTGAATCTGCATGCTATCCAACACTCTCCTCTTGAGATCGGCAGCGGTAATGTCCATGCCGGGAAAGGCGCCATGTGTCGAAGTAAACTCATACTTGCTCAGGATGCGCCACATGCGCATCATTTCGTCGGCGCTCAATGGGATTCTGTTTGGAATGCTCCAGAGGAAGGAGAAGCTGTTCAGACCTGGCGGCTTTTCGCGCTTCTCGCCCAGCGCGTTGACATCCCATTTTCCAATGCCCGATGGCGACGTCATGAGAGTATCGGCAATAAGCAAACGGCCTTCAAACAAGGCCACCATGGATCCGTCAAAGTGTCCGCCAAGCTTAATCAGCTTAACGCCAGTGTCAAAAATATCAGTGTCAATGTCCGTCACCGGCACTTGGTGCGAAGAGCGCTGTGTCGTCCACTCCATATCCTCCGATGCCAAGTACACAGGGCACTCAAAGGCGCGCGCCCAATCGGCGTGTGTAGAGTAGTAATGAGGATGGCTGATGGCAATGGCTCGAAGACCGCCCATTTTCCGAATAGTGTTGATGGTGTCTGCATCAAGAAAGGTGAGGCAGTCCCAGAGCACGTTGCCGGTGGGAGTCTTGATCAGAATTGCACGCTGGTTGATGGCGAATCCAGGAGTGGTCTGGATGTAAATGATTCTGGGATCATCTCTATCAGGAACGAAGATGTTCTTGTAGACGGGAATAAGATGGTTCATAGTGGTGAAAGATTGGCCCGAGGGGGGAACATATTGGCGCGGGTCGTCGCAGATGTGACAAGTCTTGACGGCTTTGCGGTTGGTTGTGGGAAACTGAGTTCCGCAGGTATTGCAAATCAGGTAGTCATTTGAGACCTCTGGCTGATATGGCTCAAGTTGGAATGACATTGTAAAGATGAGGAGAGAGAGCAGAGGCTTGGTGATTGAGATGATGATGATGTTGTGGTGGTTGCTGATGTCTGATGAGACAAGTCAAGATATTTGGTCGACGACACAGCGAATATATATATCCTTTCGTTTGACTACACGATATACGAAGCCTGTATATTATAAATGAGGTTGGCTTACAAACTTCGGCTTTGTTATTCGTCTGGTCAGTTCGCGAAGCCAAGCCCAACGTCTGGTGATGGCATATCTCGGCGCTCGGCGATTGGGCGCAAAGCTGAGAGCCGAGCTGAGGTAAGGCGGTCTGAAGAAGTGGAAAACATGGAAATTACAAGAAAAAAGAAACGTGATTTTGCACGCGTGTATAGAATTGGTAATATTGTCTTAGAATACTGCACTTTTCTTGGTTGGTAATAGACATCACGATGTTGGTGTGTCGCTTACATGTGGTGGTGGTGTTGATCGACTCGGCGATGACCTTTTCAATTTCAACCGCATCAAATGAAACAGCTACTCACATCTAATCAGTCTAGTATTGTGGCATATTAAGCTTCATTTCAGGATAATTTACCCAAATTCAGCGTCCTTTCTGTCAGCCAAGTTAGCTTTCCGCAATTCGTCGCTTGGCCATGACTATTGGCATCATATGATGACACGGTTAACTGGAATATGAGATGTTATAAAGCATATCTAAGGTTATCAAAGTACTAGATTATAATTACATACTCTGTTATTATATTTTAGCTTAATTAGACTCTACATTACACTTTTAACCTCGAATCACCGTGTGTCGTGGTCGGTTACCCTCCATTCGATAGTGACAAGACCAACACCGAACAATCATACCATCAGTTACAACAACATTTTCTGCTATTTGAGCACATTTATCGTACTATATCCAACCATTGTATGCACATATAAACTCTATAATTTTGTCACATTTTATTTCCCTCCAATGCGCACAATTCCGCGCGGTTTCCGTGCTTCCGCTGAATCAGCAAAAATACTACCCTACACAGAGACTTGCCTTTCTGCCTCAGGCTCCAAAAACCAAGGCATCCACAGGATGCCCCACCTCACCGTTCGCTCGACCCAGCGCAGACACCACCATGACGTTCTAGACTTTTCACTTTAACGGAGCCTTCTCCAGTGTTTTCTCTTTGACGGTCTTCTTCTTTCACAATACGCCCCGCCCAACTTGGTACAAGTTTGTTACCTTAGGGCTTGACTCTTTTGTGTACGCGCCCCGCCAACAGCATGTGAGACGGCCAGCGCAAGCAGCGGCAACACAGCCTGCCTTGGCCCCCGGCCTGTTACGGTACTGGGACGGTACGGCCTGTAGACAAAGTAATACTAGTTCGCCGTCAGTAAGTCGAGTGGAGAGCAGCTGTAATAGCAGCCATAAGCATTGGCTTCGTCTTCTAAACGACCGGCTGAATGTACCGTGCCATGGGCAAAGCGGACTCGGGTTAACCAGCATTTCACACGCTTGGAACCGGTCAAAGACGACATGTACACATTTCAAACGAAATACCGCATGTATACTAATTGCGATTTTGTTGAACTCTGGAGACAGCCAACACTATGCAGGACGGTGATTGCATGCATGCAGGTATATCAAGCCATACGGGAGAGCTATAATAGCGATTCTACATCACAGATGGGTGCTGCCCGCCCACACACACACCCTCTCTATACATCGGACGCTACTGCAATCCCACCGCTCGGCTAATGCAAGGCACTGCGTCGAATAGGGCACCCGCTGTAACGAAAGCCTGTGACGCACACCTTGGTAAAAAGTTGGGCTTTACCGCTGTCTGTTGCTGTTGAAAAAAATACGAATCATGGCTTGCGTGTTGTCCTGTCGGCAATCTATCTCCTTCCTCGGTGTGTGTCTCTATACCTGATACAGCCAACATTTGTGAGCGCCAGACGATGTAAGTCGTCGACCCATCTTGCACGGCCTGGTGCCATCAGGTACCACTGCTGCTGCGATTACATCGGCGATGGAACGACTGCCGAGAAAGAGCGGTATGCTACAGCAGGCAAAGACAGGAGAAGACGAAGCTTAATCATACCCCTACATACGAGCATTCCAATTGGTAGTAGCAGAGCTGGTGCTGTTTCCAAAACTCCGTCACCAGATTCAGGGTCCATTACAGCACACCACTGAGTGGGCTCGCCTGTCCTTCCATGCCGCTTCGTTAGGCTTCGCCGCCATTCCCAACTTGGCTGAGACAGGCCGGGTTGCTAGCAGGGGTCTCAACTGGTCGCAAAGTATATCGCTCAAGCCCGAGAGTTGACCGACGTAGCAATGAGCGTGTACCTTGATTGTGAGTCTATTTGGGATGTGCTACAAAAAATAAAAAATAATAGCAGCAAACACAGGGCATGTGAAGGTAGTGGTAGCGGTGCTCAGAGGACCATACAGGTGTGTGTGCTTCAGATATCGTGGCCAAACGCTGTCCACCGCATGTATTACGCACTCAACACAGCACGAGCTATTACAGCAGGCACAGTTTGCTGACAGAGCGGCCCTCAAACAACAGTAGGTGAGACAGCTGTCCATTGTTCTTTGAGACATATCGGCACCGGGAACAAGCTGCCGGCGGGCAACTCGGTTTTCCGCAAGCTTATTCAAGCAGAGGCCACAAAGCAAGCAATTGAATCTACGGCAATGCACGAAAAAAGTACAGCGTAGTTTCATGCACAACGCCGCGGAAGCTGGGTCTCAGCTGTCGGAACGACACCCGCTGTCTCCGCGCACCCAATCAGCAGCGCAACAAATGCAGACTTTTCGGCAGCGCGGCGGATTTGCTTTTTCCACGGCTATGGTAACGTTTCCCGCCCTGCCCGCTACAATAAATCGTCAACCACTGTACCGGGAAGTCGTTCACGTCATGACCCTACACCGTCCCGCCCAAGTTCAGCGCTGTCATGAGCCTGGAAGAACTGGGGCGGGCCCTCCCGCCGGCATCTATTGGTAACATGGAGATACATTTGAGGTCTTGTGTCGCGTGAGAACCCGTGAAGCGGAGAGGAAGCCAATGTGTTCCTTGTTCGTCCACCGCAATTCCTAGACGACGGGCTTCCGATCGGGTTGCATTTCAGGCTCTGTCTGCGCTGCGTCGTGGTGGTTGCAGTGCGCGCGCTGAGATACGTAGCTGAGTCTGCCTCGGCCTGTGATCTGCTGCCCTTGTCGTCGCACATATAGAAACAGCAGGCGGCAGATATACCCTCCCGCACTACCATTCAGGTCATATCTTGGATTGCATAGTTGGCTATCTGCGCCGCATGATAGCAGCCGCCCGTTGTTGATATCGGTGCGCCAAACTATAATAAACACATGCTGCAGAATGAGGGCCTGCAACGAACCTCACATCCCGCCTAGGCCCTATGGAGCTGACAGCGGGAGGGCTGCGGCGGCCCTGCAGAAGTCACGGCGAAAAAGGAAAAAATCAGGTACCTTAGGGCGGACAGCACATGGCCTCCCGGCGCCAACCCTGCACGCAAATCGGCCAATGCCACCTAGCTCCGCTCGTAGTCCGCCGCCCTCAAGTCTGGGTATTACGACGGAAGTACGCGTAAAGCGCCAGTCTACTACGATAAAAAGCTACCTTTGAAAAACAACTCAAAGGTTTTAAAACAGAGGCGCAAAAGAAGAACATGCCAAGCCTCCAGCCCTTGTTGCGCAGTACAGGACTCGGGCTTTGGCGCCGTATGTTGTGCAGCATATGGACGATCACAGCGGCGAGCCTGCTGGTGCTGGTGCTGCTGCTGCGGTACTTTGTAAATTGAGTTGAGCATGCGTGGGCAGCTGTGGATGAGTACCATCTCTCTTGTGAGACGCGGGATGCGTGGTCTACCTTGCCTCGTACACTACAGCCAGCAAAGGGTAAGTTTGCTGTACACTGAAAGTTGTCGACCTGTGCAGCCTGACAGCAAGCCACATACGGGCTACTAGTCTGCATAGAACCCGGATCTGGACCTCGTACGCTCTACAGGACTCACTGATTAAAGAATAATCAATGAGACCACTAGTCTACCTGCTGGTACGTAGCGGATTCTGGACAAGATGCGCTAGTGCCGCGAGTTGAGTGGTGTGGTTGCAGAGGACATGATTGAGTCGCGACGAGTGTGTTGCGCCAGCCGCCGCCCCAACCAAATTGACCAATACAAACGTGAATACAAGCTTTTGTTGTCAGCGATATGTTTTCGCGATTGCATGTGGATTAGACTTTGTTGCTGAAGCATCCTCAGCTCAGCGGCATGTGCTTGTGCAACGAAAACAAGCAATCCAAAACGAGCGCCACAGCGTTAGCCGAACCCGCGCGGGGACGCTGGTGGGAGCCCCATATAGTGCAAAACTCAGACGCCATTTTAGCCAGGTTTGACGTTGAGAAAGTGCTGTCCAGGTAAGACGACGGGGACGGGGAAGTACGAGTAATGCGAGAGAGTAATTGGTTCTACACGATAGTCTCAGCAAGAACCAGACTATTGCGGTGGCCAAGGTCCATCGACACATTTCTGACAAAGAGTCAAAGCTTATTCTGCCGATTTTGGACGCGGCACGGCCCAAAGGAGATGCAACATCAGGTCGGCCAGCCTGCTTTGGGCGAGCGCGTTGAGCAAGGACCAAGAGCGGGCTGCGATGAGAGCGATGCGGCGCGATGAACAGGTTGGCACAAACACGTAATAGAAGCACGCCAACTCTGCCATGGTGGGTGGGCAGTGGCCAGCATCGCTCAATGGCTGCGTGGTTGATAAGCCCAGGTGGCGCTGATTGCCAATGGTTCCTGGAGACCGAGCAAGCCACTCTGTCAGTTGGGGCGTGCCAGGCACGGTTGGCCTACATACGCCAGCAGCAAAACGAGAAGCCCTGATGGTGTGCAAGCTGCAGGCAACAGCCAATGCGCTGTCCAAGGAACAAAACAAGTTGCTCGTACAGTACGCACGACGTGGACAGCATCCCGCCTTGGTGGCTAGCCGGCTAGACTCCCGTTTGTAGACAACACACGAGCAGTACCGGCAGTAGCAACAGCACCAAGCAGGTCGGACGGGGGCGGACGGGGGAACCGGTCTTGGGGGCCTGATGGCAGGCTGAGATAGAAGACACTCTCCGATAGCGCCTGGGACTGCGCAGAAAAGAGTCAATTGGTAATTGTCGTTGGGTTCTGCAATACCCTGCGTGCTTGCGCCGCACACATACACCCACCCCGCCCACAGCAAAGAAGACCCGGATTGGCGAGCCGGACCATTGGGAGTCACTCTGGGCCACCAGGGTATACAGGACGGCGCCGCTGCAAAGGTACCGGAGACGCGTGGTGGAGGACTAGCAACCGATACTTCCGGTCGACACATGCTTGATAGGGAAGGTGGTGGAGCCGCTACCAGAAGCTTGACTCTATTTTCAAGCCCAGTGCTGGCTTTTTTTTTATGGCGCCGCTCTGGAGAGTGTTGATGTAAGCGAATCTGGCTTGAGGCGCAAAAAGTCCCAAAAAGCCAATTACGTGACAGGCCCTGGTTGGGAAGGTCAGGGATATCTGAAGAAGGAAAAAGGCTGTGCACCCCCAGGCATTTTGTTCTGTGGCGGATGGCCATAGGAAAGACTGGGAAAATAGGGTCTATGCGGGAAGTTCCCGTTAGCCTAGCCTGGGGTTATTGAGCCAAGTATGGGGGTGGTCTGGGGCAGTGCGACGAGGCATAATACAAGGTTAGGCTTTGGCATTGAGCTTGATGGCCGGGGCAGTGGGACGGATGGGCGCGTCGCGATTACAATTGACTTTGTTGCTCGTTGTCTAGCGGCGGCAGAGGCAAATTCACCGCTTCGGCGCATGGAGATGGTTGATAATGATGCGGTGCGTGGACAACACGGCGCCAGGGTCGTCCACATACATGGCCTTGCAGGCGGCGCAAAAGCCCAACCATGCAGAGGCGTTTCTTATTCAACAAGGTGGAGAGGCTTAGAAGGATGAAGGATTGAGAAGCAGCAGCAGCAGCAATCAGAGTAAGACAGCCAGGTCGACCGGCAGCTTCTTTTGCTTCTGCAGCGGCTTCCGTGGCCATCCACGAGCATTACACGGGCCACCCAACGTCAGACGTTAGCTCCGGGTGGCTTCCCAACGGCCAGGGTAGGGCAGGCCAGGCCAGGCGCACGCAGAGGTCAAGACATTTCCCTTTGCACGAGCAATTGCAAGATGAAACTCGACAAGACGGTCAAAGCCCAATTCGACAAGGGCAATTGGGCGCACAGAGGGGGTTCGAGAGCCCGACGGACGGTGGGTTGACATACGACGCGTCTTGAGTCGATGTAACGAGAAGCGATTGGCCGGGACAGTACCCGGAGCCAACCTTGTTTGGTGCACACCACAACACTCTACTGGGCACAGCAGTTAGTACACTTTTCCCTCTAGCGCTGTTGTCTAGTGTGGCTATCGCGGAACCGACTCTATTTTGTTGATGTGAGGAGAGGGGAGGGGAGCGGGGACCCGCTAACTGGGGCTTCTTACACGTGGAACTGGAGGGCCACTGCCTGTAGACAGACATCCTCGGCGGCCCTGTGTTATGCGGTACGCACCACCAACCACTGGGCAGCTTTTGCAGGTACCTCGCAAGTACCCGAGCGCTGTTTGCCGGCCAACAGGACCGCGCTGCCCCAGTCGCGGTGACTTTTTGTCCATTTTACAGTGGGCTTGGGGCGCTGAAGCGGAAAAACTCTTAGTGGGTTTCACCCACTACGATAAAAAAAAAGACTCAGGACGAAAAAGACAGCCTGCAGCAAGAAAAGTTGGCTGCACTGCAGGACAAATTGCTGGCGCATACGAGATGCAATAATTCCAGGAATATTACGCCATGCAAAACTGATGTGCATAGAGCAGCCGGATGCTTTGTTTTCTAGCAGGTATCCTAGACACAGCGTATTGGGTTGCCATTTGACAATTGTTTGCGTTGGGTGAGCGCGCATGCTACTAGTGTTTGTTTACCGTCGTGGTGCTGCGTCTTCGGCGCTCTTGTCAATAGAGAACCCCGCTCTGTGCGCTGAGTCGCACCGAGAGGACGCCGGGCCACTTCCTAAAGCCGCCCTGTAACGAGAACCAGAGCGAAGTGCGGCGAAAAGCACGGAAGAGTGAATGTGTCAGAGGTATCTAGTACTTGTGGATAGTGGGAGCGAGTCGATTGAGTTTTGCGGGAGTCATGGGCTAATTCGCGGTCGCCAGAAAGTGCGCCGAGCAGGTACTGTGTACACGAGTCAATCTAGCGACGGCTGGCAAAAATACAGCACTCGGTCTTCTGTAGCCGCTGAGAGCGGACGGGACGGCAGAGAGGAAAAAGGTACTTGTGGATACATTTGCCTGCCGTAGGGCAGTGCACCAACCACTAGCGAGCTGCCTAGGCGGGCGTCAGCGCCGAAGAATACGCTGTGGCCAACCAGCTTACAGCGCAAACACCAACCCACCACAGCGCTACGCCCTCCATAACCCAGGCCGGCCAGCCTCTAGTCAGGGTGGGCCGCCTCTTGTGTTTTTTTTTCAGTTGCCGCCAGATGGGGGGCGACCCCCGGTTCAGTTTTTATCGGAGTACCTCCACTGTGGGCAGCACCGCAAAAAGATACTTGGGCTTCTGGAACCTTAACAGTACCCTTATTTTTTTTTCTCTGCGCCGCTGCTGCCACCTGCCGAGCAACTAACTCAAACCTCACTGCAACAATGCGTGCACGCCCGCCCGCCCGCCCACCCGCCCCTGCGCTCCACCCAACCAACAGGGAAGGCACACGCCCAGAAAGCTTGGGTGTCAAAAGAAAGCCCTTGTTTTCTGGGGCGTTGTTGGTTGGCCCATTGTTACTTTTCTACTTTGGACTTCCCAGATCTTTCTTTCCCTCCCCATCACCATCTCTCCTCCACACCACGCCTGTCTGACCAACATCCCGCGATTCCTCCCTCCGGACGAATTCATAGCTTCTCGAAGCACAGGATATAGGATACTACTTCCTTTCCGTCTCTCGAAGCATCACCCAACGCCACCATGTTGGGCGATACCTCGCCTAGGCTGAAGCCGCTGCTTCTGCCGCAGCTGGTGGAGGAGCGCAAGCAACAACTGCAACAACAGGAATTCATATACCCGGCCCAGATCCAATCGACACCGCAATTACCACCACAAGTTCAACTGCAACAACAACAACAATCACAAGCGCAGCTCGACGTCTTGCCGCCATGGCCGTACGCGCTCGCCACCACCAACTCGTCGTCCTCAGACGTCACATCGCCCCTCACGCCCACCTTCTCCAACCGCGGTCATGCGCGCTACTCGAGCTCATCATCGTCATTAGACCTGCCACCGCTACCACCTCTGCAGGATGTATCGACGTCGCCACCAACACCGCTCGCCAGCATCGCCGCCACCTCATCGGCGTCCAAGGGAAGCACGCTGCGCCAACTACCCGATGTCGAAGAGGAGCCTACTGAGCGCGAGTCGTTTGACTCGGCGCAAGACTTTAGCCTGTACAGCTGTCTTTGCGACGAGCCCTGCCAGCACCGCCTCAGCACCACCGACGACTTCTTTGCCGGCGCCGTTGTCAGCGACTTTGATATTGACGACTACGACATTGGCTTCCTCAGCGACGGCGACTTTACTACAGATCTGCAGCTTAAGAAGAAGCGTTCTGGTACCATGTCGCCGCTGTCCGACCTCACCACCCGCCTCAGCTCCCGCTTCCCCACCATCCAGCGATGGCGCTCCGGCCACCGCTCACGCATCTCCAATGGCGCCACTGACTTGAGCTTCGAGAATGTCCTCTCTCGCGCGCCCTCGAGCCGATCGTCCTCCATCTCCGCTGCGAACCGATTTGCTCTCGACCGATCCGTGCCCCCAACACCCTCGCTGCCTCAGTTTGGAAGCGACGAGAATGTCAGCACTATCTCTAGTGCTGCCATTGCTACTCCTGGTAGTGAGTGGCCATTTGAAATTGAGGACCGAGCTAGCATTGAGCGAGACCGCGCCATGGCCACCACACCTCTGTTGCCTCCTCTGATGACCAGCCCGATCGCTGCTGCTCCTCCTATCGAGTCGCCTCTGCAGTCTCCCACTGTCCAGCCTACCCCGACTTTCACTCCCGAGATCCAGTCGCCCGTCATCACTCGACCTGTCTCCCTCGTCCGACCTTCGCTGAGCACGCGACCCTCCATGGTGTCGCTGCACCAGACTTCTAAAAGCACTGAGCTGCCGCCTCTTGCTTTCCCTGGACTCCCCGAGTACGACGAGTGGTCAGACCGCCTGGGCCATGCCAACTTCACCATCACCCCGGCTCCGTACGAGTTGACTACCTTCACCCCCGACACGGTGACTAAGTTTGCCGAGGACTGGGACCTTGCGCGCGTCAACTACACGAAGCACTTGGTCCGCACTGGCGAGAACTATGGACAGACTAGCAACATTTACGCCTTGACCGAGGCCAAATGGGCCGAGATTGAGGGCCAATGGAAGATGCACTACGAGGAGATGCTCCACCAGACACAGCCTCAGTCGGCACCCATGTCCAAGGCCGCCTCGCGCAGCCGCAGCCGTGGCCGCGGAGGTCGTGGCCGTTCTGTTAGCGCTGTGACTTTTACCAAGATGCAGCAGCAACAACAACTGTCGCAGCCTATCGAAGGTGACCTCTTTGCCGGCATGGAGTGGCGACGCCTGGAAGAGTGCCTGCCCAGCGCGGTGCCCCAGATGCTGGAGGCGCTTGACGCTGATGGCAAGTTCCCCATGCGTGGCGACGAAGACATTGTCGGTCCCATGCAGCGTGATGCCTTCATGATTGGCAGCTGTGCTGATGACCGCCGCCCTCGCTTCTGGCGCAACCTCGTCGGAAAGGTTGGCCTCGGCCGATGAGCATCATCATCATCATCTTTCCACCACCAAAAACCAACTATGCATATCACAAAAGCAAGCAAGCAAGCGATTTGTTTCATTCATTCATTCTTTTATTCATTCCTTCAACTTTTTTTTATTACGCCTTGCACTCTCACTACGAGTCCAAGACGGTTACGATCCTTACCAATATTGTTTTATTCTTTCGAGATACCCCCACGCTCCTTCTACGAACCAAAAACGGCTCACCGAAGCCACGGCAGCATTGATTAGCGACGCTTTTGCATTTCTTTTTTCTTTTTTTTCAGGGATTACTGAGTCTGTACAAAAAACTGGCTTTGGAACATCATCATTATCATCATCAACCGGCGTTTTATCATCATCATAGAGAAAGCTTGGCCAGCAGAGACTTGGACAGAAACATTTGTGTTATTTTATTTCAGGAAACAAGCTAGGGACGGAAAGGAAACTCTTTTTTTTGTTATTTTAGAAGAATTCGTTTTTTAGGGAAGGGACAGGCAACTGGCCATCAAGAAGGGCATGGTATTGCGGAGGTCGAATATATATGCCGATGATTATTTACTTTACAGTCTGTTTTTCCTCTTGTGATGTAATTGTGACGACATGCGATCTACAGAAACCCGTTAGATGTCACGTCTCTTGGCTGGCTGGGTTTGGTTGCATATCCTCATTTCGCTAATCGCGGGGAGGCGTGGGGTTGGCTTCTTTTTTTGGAGGGGCAGGGAGGGAAAGGGGGGTGTGCGTGCCACGTGGAGATGGGATATACAATGCAAGGGGCGGTGGCGTATGATTTGTCGGCGGAGGGATAGATGGACTGAGAGGAGGATGAATTTCTTTTTTTTTTTTTTTTTTTTTTTTTTGGATGCTTTCTTTTTGTGAGTCTGGGGAGAAATAAGGGCGATTTTTGAGAGGATGTGTTGGTAGGGGAGATGTGGTTGGGTGGGTGATTGATCAGCACTGCCTTGTACGCTTGGCCGCTTGGCCTGGTCTGGCAGCTTGGCGTGGGGATGGAGTGCAGATTTGGGGGCTATTTGGAGGAGTGTGAGAGTCTATCGATGGTTTCGTGGGTTGATTGGATCGAATTGGATGATAATTCTTTAGATATGTGGAGTGGGTGAATTCGTGATGATGCCTTTGCTGATAGTGCCAATGTTGAAGGTTCGCGGTGCGTTGGTGGGTGGGTGCACTGCGCTGCGCTGCTATAGTTAATATATACCCGTTAGTGTACTAAACTCAGAGATGGGCTAATGCTGTATAGTATAGCCATGCGCAGAGTTTTCATGTCCCAGTAGTCGGTCAGCCAGCAGGTCTGTTGTTCTCAAGTTGACGAGGTTGGTCCACCGACGTCATGCAGCGAGAGTGAACATGCCAGTGTCTGCTGTTTTAGCTGTCTCAGGACGTCAAAACACCGCCATGGGCCTGGACGGCGATACTGGCTGGTTAGCCAGTGCGTTGTTTCAGGAGGTCTTTGAGACGCTGCTGCGACGGCTGTGACAGGGAGGGAGATCTGTGCGGCGGTGCAGTGCAGTGCATCGGCGTATGCAGTCCTCGTACATCACAAACTCAATCTGTTCTCGTGGTGTAAGCGGCAATTTTGTTGCCAACGGACCAAGATTGTTGGCGGGGTGCTGCACCATTTTTCTACATCTCGTATCGATGGTGCTATTCCTGCTGCGCCTTGATGGCGTGGCGTGGTGTGTTATTTTTGTATGTATTTTTTGGCTGGTAGTGCAATATCGGCTGAATAGGATCACCCGGCGCTGAGGGTGACAGGCTCAATCGTCTCATTTTACGGCTTGTCGGCAGATGGTGCCGTGGGAGGTGTACAAGTGTGCGCCAAAAATGCTGGGAAAATCTTTATCATTTCCTCCCTCTATCTATGAAAATAACGAAAATAATTACAATTTTTTTACCGGTTTTGTTACAGACGGGGATTTTGCTCTTGTTTCATCCCTCCCCCGTAGCAAGTATGCGCTCGGCATCGGCACGGCCGCTCGGCGCCCCGCCCCAAAACGACAGACACGGTTAGGGCGGCACGCTGGGCACAAGGGCCAAGCCAGGGGTTGTAAACAAGGGCCAAGGGAATGAAAGACCCCAAGAAAATAGATGCCGGGGGGCCGGGGCCGGCTTTTCAATTCTTTGGTGTATTAGTCCTATGGATGTACTATACAGTCAGTATGGCGATATCCTACGGAAGATGCTATACAAGATAATTAAAAGCAAGAAGTGCATGCACGGTGTTTTTTTTTGTTTAGGGGGGTGGCGCGGGCCCCCTTCTTAGCGCGCGGGCGGAGGATGCAGGTACTGCCGTAGGCACAGTAGCGCAGCAGCACCAAACAACTGCTGTATTCATGTCACGCCACCCACTGTAAGCACTGCGAAGAGAGGTACTGTAGGTACAGTACCTTGGTACGGCAGCAACCAGTAGTAGCACATTGCGCAGCCTCGTTTCACACACACACTCTTTTCATTTACTTACGCCAGCTGCCCCCGCTTCCCTTTTCCTTCTCTTCTTCTTCTTCATCTTTTTGTCCATCGTCTGTTGTACTGTGTTTTCTACTTTCTTCTTTCTTAATTCGATCTGTGTAGTACCCTCGCTACTACTACACTCCTCTTTTCAACCTCGATTCGTCACCTTTTCTCTTTTGTCTGCTTAACCGACGCTTCGACTACACTCGCTTCGTGCCAATACAACAACAATGGCGTCTGCAAAGTTCCTCTCTCTCCTCGCCCTTGCTGGCGTTGTCGCTGCTGCCGACATGCCCATCATCTCGATCAAGGGCTCCAAGTTCTTCTACCCCAATGGCACCCAGTTCTTCATGAAGGGTGTTGCCTACCAGCAGGGCGTTGGCCAGGCTGGTTCTGGCGCGACTGCTGATGGTTCCTCGTACCTCGATCCTCTGGCCGATGAGGCTCGCTGCAAGAACGATATTCCTCTGCTTGCCTCGCTCGGCACCAACGTCATCCGCACGTACGCCATCGACCCTACCAAAGACCACTCCGCCTGCATGAAGCTCCTCCAGGACAACAACATCTACATCGTCTCGGATCTCTCGGAGCCCACCACCTCCATCAACCGTGACGATCCCAGCTGGGACGTCACCCTGTACAAGCGCTACACCTCGGTCGTCGACACGCTCTCCCAGTACCCCAACGTCATTGGCTTCTTTGCCGGTAACGAGGTCGCCAACCAGCTCAACAACACCGCCTCGTCTGCCTTTGTCAAGGCCGCTGTCCGCGACACCAAGGCCTACATCAAGGCCAAGAAGTACCGCACCTCCCTCGGTGTTGGCTACGCTGCCAACGATGACCAGGACATTGTCGAGAACCTTGCCGACTACTTCAACTGCGGTGATGCCTCCTCTGCTATTGACTTCTTTGGTTACAACATTTACTCGTGGTGCGGCTCTACTGCCACTTACGAGGCTGCTGGCTACAACCGCATCATGAACTTCTTCCAGAACTACTCGGTCCCCGTCTTCTTTGCCGAGTACGGTTGCAACAAGCCCGACGGTGCTGCCGGCCGCACCTGGACCGACACTGCTGCCCTCTACTCTGCCAACATGTCTAAGGTCTTCTCCGGCGGTATCGTCTACGAATTCTTCCAGGAGGACAACGACTACGGTCTCTACAAGGCTGCTGGCTCCAGCGGCAGCAAGCTCAAGGACTTTGATCCCCTTGCTAAGGCTGTTGCCAAGGCCAGCCCCCAGGGTGTCGACATGAACAGCTACAGCTCCTCCGCCAAGGCTGCTTCGTGCCCTGCCGTCAACGGCAAATGGGGAGCCAAGGATACGCTTCCTCCCACTCCCAACGACAACGCCTGCTCTTGCATGTACAACGCCTCGTCTTGCGTTCCCGCCGCCAACCTCAAGGCCTCCAGCTACGGCAAGATCTTTGACTACATTGGCGCTAACCAGCCCTCGGCCCTCGATGCCATTGCCGCTAACGGTACCACCGGCAAGTACGGCCAGTACGCTGGCTGTGATGCCAAGTCCAAGCTTGCCATTGCTCTCACCGCCTACTACAAGGCCCTCAAGAGCGACCCCTCTGCCTGCAAGTTTGACGGAAGCGCCGTTCTTCAGACCGCCAACACCGCTGGCGACTGCAGCAAACAAACTCCCTCCAACGGCGCCGGCACTGCTAGCTCTGGCGGCTCCAGTGGCTCCAGCGGCGACAAGAACGCCGGCATCAAGACGTACTCTGTCAGCGCTGTTGTTGCCCTGGCTGCTCTTGCCGCTGCTTTCTAAGCAACCACGAGAGAAGAACATGGTGGAATTCTATTTTTTGTAACGTGTGTATAAATTTGTACAATGGAGATGTATACCCTCCTGGCTCTTGTGTCGTTGCACATGCGGCGTTGGGCCAGGCAGATGTTTAGTTAGGTGCATCATAAATTGATGAAATAATATATGAGTTTATCTTTTTCCTTTACTCCCTTCTCTTTTGTTTCTTGTTAATTTTTACTCTTTGCTCAACGCATGGATGTACCTTTTTCCCCTCTGAAACGACGGTTGCCCGTGCCCATTGTTTCGTCCCAGTAGCCGCCCACACACACACAGCCTTGCCGCCGGCCGTGCTGCTGGCTGGCTGCAAACTGTCCCTAAACGCGCCCACCTCACGTCAACCGCACACGTTCACCACCAACATCTTCTCTTCCACAACAACAATAATTCTGCCATTCTGTAGCGTCTTGCCAACAGCACCAAGTCGCCCACAATGGTCAGCTGGGACTCGTAAATACCTTCCTTACTCCTCTCTACCACCACCACTACTAACCTCTACCAGCATCCGGTCCCTCGTCATCTTCTTCGGCCCCGTGCTGATCCCCAAAGCCATATCCTACTACCGCTCCGCCCGCGCTCCCAAATCCTCCCGAATCCCCATCCAACCAGTCCCCGCGCGCATCTACTATGCCCTTCTTCTCCTATCCGGCATGACGCTCGCGTTCCTCCTCAAGACGCTACCCGCCCTCGCCCCCGAAAACATCTTCAAGCTCACCAACTCGCGCCTCCAGATCCCGACCGACGTGCTTTTCAACCGTCTGGCCTCGCTGCGCCCCGACACGGCCCTCACGGCCAGCGACACCGTTCTGCGTAGCAAGTTTATCAATCTCGAGAGCCGCCTGCTCTATCTGCAATTCGGGCCCGACACGCTCTCCGCATGCCCGTTCTGCCACGCCGACGACCCCCGCGCCTATTTACTGTATGCGGTGCCCTCGATGCTCTGGCCACATATGCTGAATATTGTCGTCGTGGCAGCTGCTACGACGGCGCTCTGGACGGGGCGGTACGGCGCGCAGTGGCGCACGACAGCGACGATTGCGGGCTTCGTGCTGGCTGGCGCGGACGTCTACATGACCAGCTCGTACAGGTACCAGGCGAATGCGCGGGCGCTGCGCCTCGAGGATCTGGACTGCTTCTTTTGGACGATGCGCAATTGGCGCCATGTTGCGCTTGCGCTGCTGGATGGGCTGCTGGCGTGGGTGATTTACTTGTCGAGCACGAACCGGGCGTTTTTGCAGCTGCCGTCGGCGGCGGAGCGCGTGGAGGGGGTGAATCGCGGGTTGCATCTGGCGAGGAGTAAGTTGAGCGCGGTGGGGATTGTGCAGAATACGACGGTGCGGGATGAGGATTTGCGGTTGAAGAGTGATTCGTATTGGCGACGGGAGGGGGCGCTGATGCAGGAGGTTATGGAGGAGAGGGAGGTTGTGGAGGGTGTGAATGATGCGCTGAGCAATCGTATTGATATGGCGAATATCACAAAGGATGCTGATCAGTATACAATGGGCATTCTGCAGTCCATGGAGTAGATGGTGGTATATGGCGGGGGATACAGTGTGATGAGAGGGTTTTGCATACATGAGTGGATTGAAACAATGTGTGAAGATGCAGTGGTTTTAAAAAAAGAGGATGGTTATGATGATGTATTTTGTATAATAGACCAGGGCTCTTCGCTAGACAATGGAAAATAAATGTACCCAAACCAACCAACCCGTTACCTCGCCCTCGTAGTCTTGATTTTGTGCTTTGTTTAAAGTCTCCATTTCGTTTTGTTTTATGCTCTACTTTGCGGCCGCTCTGTCGTCGGACTAGCGACACTCAGCTTTCTATCACCGGCCGTGCCCGTCTCAATCGGGTTGCCCTCTTGCGCACTGCGCTCCAGGAAACCTGCCCAAAGCTCCGACAGCGTCTCCTTGTCCTTGGCCGTGGGCCCTGGGTCCGTGAACAAGTCGGCACTTAGTGACGGCGAGCTAGGTGTGCGATGGAACGGCGATGATGGCAGACGCAACGATCCAGAAAGACCTGGCCGTGATAGACCGGCTTGCTCGCGCTGCTCGTCGGTCCAGTTGAGGTAGCCGGCCATGACTTGCAGTACTTGGAAGCGCTTGGCGTCGCTGCGGTCCAGCGTGAGGAAGTGTAGTAAATGGTTCGTTACGACTTGTCTAGAGGTCATGTTAGTAGGTAGTTATATTGATCAAAGAAGGCAAAACGAACCGGTCAACGTTTTCTTCGGGCTTGGACTTCTTCAGGAACCTCAGCGCCTTGGTAAGGTGGTCGTTTAATATAATGGCCTCGTGCCGCAACTTGCCAATATGCAGGTTCTTCTCCTTGACTTCCTTTTCAAACGGCGCTGTTCGCTCGACTTCCTTGGCCAGCTCTTCGCGAGCAGCTTCGGCCTCGGACGACCGCGATTCGGCATCTGCCACAGCCTTTTTGTGTGCTTGCAGCTGGGCCTCTGTCGATTCCACCATGTCGCGCAGTTCCTTCTTGCGTGCCTCCTGGATCTCGCGTAGGGCGTTTTGTAGATTATCAATAAGCGTAGTCTGACTGTCGCGCTCTGCTGCAGCGCTCTCGTAGCCCTGCTTTAATGATGTGATTTGCTCCTCGAGGTCCGTCACCTTTTCCGACAAGTTCTCCTTGATAGACCGCTCCTCCATGGCAAGCACTTCCCACTCGCCCATGGCGTTGGCCGTGGCCTCCATCTCCTCCTTGAGGCGCTGCACCGTCTTGGTGAGCTCCGTCTTTTCCTTGTTCCAGTTTTCTGTCGACAGGTTGCTGCGGCTGCGCAGTGTGGTCAGCTCGCGCTGGGCATCTTGCAGCTCTTCTTGCAACTTGCTGTTGCCGGCGCCGGTGGTCTGTAGTTGTTCGTTTTGCGTCTCGAGCTCTTCGATACGCTTGTTGGCCTCTTCCAACTCGGCTTTGTCGCGCTTCAGGCGGTCGCTCAGCGTCTCCTTGATCTTTTCCACACGCTCAAGTAGCGTCTGGTATTGTTCTTCGGCCGTTTCCTTGGCAGTGTTGCTCTCCTCGAGGTCGTCCTGGAGCTTCGTCACCTCGGCCGCGTGCGTCTCCTGTAAGCTCTCGAGTTGCTTGCGCAGCTCCTCCACCTCGGCGCGCAGAGCCTCGCGGTCCTTGCTCATGGCTTCGAGTTTGGCAGCGGTGTCGGGGCTTGCTTCGGATTCGGCAGGTTGGACAGCGTGCCCATTTTCTGTTGAGGTTTCTACATGGCCATTGCTTGTCGCTTTGGCGTCGTTGTCATTGCCAGGGGTATCCTGGTCGAAGAGTTATTAGCCCCTCCTGGTGCAGGTGTCTAGGCGCTACAAGCAGCAGCAAGTTTACCTACTTCTGTGGGAGACTCGGGGACTTCGTCATCGTTTTCATTGTCATCCTTGGATGCAACGTCCTTGTTCTTGTTGGCGTTCTTCTTCTTCTTATTGTTCTTCTTCTTGGGCCCTGCAGATGCGGTTAGCTTGTCGCCACGTCACGGGTTTTTTTGCAGGCCTGGCCAACAGCAGTAGCAGCTTATAGCCGGGCAATTGACATGGGACGTGCGTACCAGGAGTGGCCGAGGTTGTCGGGTCTGTAGCCGCAGCAGACGACATGTTGCCTTGCTGGACGACAGGTTTTGCTGTGAGACTTGGTGATGTGGAAAGAGTGGACGCGCTTTAATCGAGAAGCTGCCAGCAACGTGGTGGTGTCCTGAACGGGCGTTGCGTGGTGGGGAAACCGCACAGTACTGTTAGCGGCTTGTCATAGTGGCTCCACGCCCTTGAAGCCCAGAGGCCCCCCAACATGCGCTGGAATGCAGATGGGGAGATAACGGAATTGAAGGCAAAATATTGAAGAGATTGATAACGGGTAATAAGGAAACAAAGAAATTGACTTCCTATTCCCAACAGTGTCTATTTCTACTTCTTTTCCTTCCAGGTTTATTTTTAGAAGACATCTTCTAGACACCCTCCACTGTTCCCCAAGCTTAGCCACGTTCCAGCACCTGACTGGGCCGCCTCGTATAAGACTGCCACACATACACCGCTATGCAGAATCTTAAATGGAAGTGGCTGTTTATTATACGATCCGGTTCAAGTAAACAGCCGGTCATGCGCTACGAATCATTTTAACGTATGTTTTTCCATACAACACGACGCATCACTATACTGCTCCCACCCCGCTAAACACGCTACAATACCTGCAGTACAGCACCACCGCCCCAGCAGAGCCCTGTAATTTTTCTTAGTCATCCAACCACCCGCCCTATTTCCCTTTGCAACGAAAAATTTCCCTTTCCTTTCTTTTCTTCTTCTCTTCAACTTACATTACCCTTCGCCACACACACTAATGAAGAGACTCATCGTACTTCTAATGGTTTCTTCACAATCTAGCGCGAAGTAGATCAACCAAGCCTTTCATAATCCCGTTTCTTGCTCCGAACCTGCCTCTCCGGGCGGTGTTCAACACGAGTGTTGCGGGTTCGCTTATGTGCATACATTTGGTCCATATCACGCAGTTTCTTAGCTTCACTATCCCGACCATTGCTGGCTGCTTTCGACACAAAATCAGAATCTGATACGCTTTTATTGTGACATGAAAAACAATGAAAATGTAAATCCTATACAGTGACGCCGTGTAACCCAATCGTATCTAAAATCGCTTCAACCTGCCCGCCCATTATGCCTTGGCCTTCTTAGCTCCCTTCTTGGGGGCCGCTGTCTTTGCCGCCGGAGACTTGGTCTTCTCTGTGGCCTTGGTAGCCTTCTTAGAAGGAGTCTCCTTTGCAGGCGCAGCTTCAATGGCCTTGGGCTCCTCCTTGGGCTCTTCCTCCTCGCCCTTGGCGCCAGGAGCAGGTGCAGCCTTGAGCTCAGGTGCCTCAAAGTCGTAGCCTAGAGCCTTGAGCTTCTCAGCATTCTTGGCACGCTTGTTCTTCTCGCGCTGAATCTTGGACTCCCAGGCAGCCTCGGTCTTGGGCTTCTCGAGCTTCTTGCCGGCCATGCGGTTCCATGGGACCTTCTTGAAGCGCTGGTTAGCTCCCTTGAACAAGTTTTCGTGAACCTGAGCCTTGGGAACGACCTTGCACTTGAGAATATGGCCAAACAGGAGGTAGTTGTCCATGGTCTTGGCGACGACTTCGGCAGTGGCCTCTTCGGTAAACTCGACAAAAGCAAAGTGCTTACTGGCACCAGTCTTTTTGTTGCGAGACAGTCTCAGGCGGGAGATCTCGCCGAACTGGGTAAAGTATTGACGCATTTCGTGCTCGTAGAAACCGTGGGGAATGCGGCCAATGTAGATAACTCCAGGCTCGCCCGTGAACTTGGCCTTGGCGTTGTCCTTGACCTTCTTGGAGACCTCGGGGATCTTGCCGACATCCTGGCCTTCCTTGAATAGAGACTCGCCCTCGGTAACCTGATCCTCCTCGCCATCAATCTCGGTGGCAAGGTTCACAGCATCGTCGTTCTCCTCGTCCTCCTCGTCCTCCTCGTCCTCGACAAGCTCTTCCTTCTTGGCAGGGGCAGCCTTCTTCTTCTTTGCGGGTTCGGCGGCGGCCTTGACAGGCTTGGACTTCTTTACGGCAGCGGGAGAAGCATCCTCGGCAGCTGTGAAATCTCAGTTAGCTACAATCACCTCCTCTAACATCGGAATCGCAAACGAACCTTTGCGCTTGGGAGCGGCCTTGGTAGAGCTGGCGGGCTTCTTAGCGACGTCGCTGGAAGCTACAATTTGTTAGCTAGAGATACTTTGTGCGTAGAAGGATTATTTTACATTTTCTTTTTCTCAATTCGGGTGCCATTTTTGCTGTGTGGTAAAAGTTGAAAGTAGCTTGCAAAGGTTCTGTCGTTGGGTGGTTGGCGCTACCCGCCTAAGAAAAAAATAATTATTCTGCCGTTGTCTGAGAGCGGTGAGGTGGGCAGCCGCTGGCCGCGCGAGGCTCTAGTGGGGTTAGGCTCTGTGCTGCCACGCTAGCCATCAACCAACACATATCCAGATACCCAAGTACAAAACAAAGTTGCATTTTCACTGCGTACGAAAATATTTCATTGGATATTATAAATATACATATAAAGATGAGCGGCACCAGCATCGATCTCAGCCAGGAAGAAGTATGGGACGACTCAGCTCTCCTTGAATCATGGAACGATGCCCTCCGCGAATACAAGGTATGTTTTGAAATGCTCATTTTTAGACGGCCAATATATTGAAATCAGATGTCATAGAAATATCACAGCATACATAAGAAAGGAGCTACCAAAGCAGATATCGAGGCTCTCAAGGCAGAACGGTACGCTTGTTGTCCGCGTGAGTCAAAGGCAGACGCTAACTCCTAAGCAGAGATGCGAATAATACCGAGCTTGAGATGGACCTAGAATCCAATACTCAATCCGAACCCATGGTAGAGGAATCTTTGCCAGAGATAGAGCCAACTGAACCTGCGGCGCCACTCTCGGCAGCATTAGCGGCACCGTCGTTACATCCACAGGTTGTTCTTGGCTCAAGTGAGTGACACCTAAGAGCCAGCACGACTGCCATACTAACAATGGAATAGTGAAAGACGAGAATCTCAAGAAAATGCTCATGTCATGGTACTATGCTGGTTACTATACGGGTCTGTACGAGGGCCAGCAACAAGCCGCGGCAAGGTCTAGCTCCTGAGGCTGATTGCAGCCGACGCTCGAGGTCAAGCAGATCTGTTTCGAGGAGCAAAGAAACGATGCCCAAACATAAGACAAGGGCTATCTGTGACCACGCATGCGGTGGAAAACATGCGTATCGTCTGAAGCCTCGAACACTGTCGCCGTTGTAGCCGTTTACTTGCATGCACTCACGCAAACAGCACCGTGCACCAGCCAGCGTTCCCCAATCCTGGCATGCGTATGACGGAAGAATGGGACGCCAAGTTCTCATTACCACCATAGATGCCGTTTATGCCGCTGGTAATGCAGAAGCGACGGGTTGCCTCATTTCTCGAAACGTGGGCTTGTTTCTTGTGTAGGTTGTCCGCGAATCTAGCAATACCCGGTTTCACTAGCCACGAACAGAGGGAAGCCATAGATCTGCATGGAAGTTCCAAATCCCACTCTGTGCAGTTTGGTGACTGCCCCTCTCAATCGCGGCTGACATGTTTTGCGGTTTCAAAGTGCAGCAAACGTTGGGACGAGTACGAATGTAGGCGGCGCAGCGCGCTTGGCGGTGGCTCTTTTGGGATTATATTGAGGGAGACTATTGGTGTTTGATGCTGAAACGAGCTGCTGCAGAGGCAGGCAGGATGGCTTAGAGTGGCCAGTGTCCTCCATTTTTATTCGCTGGCTGGCAGTAAGCACCGCGATGCTTTTGTTCGATTACCAACTAACACAACGTTAGTCCGGCTCCAAAATGTACATTATTCAACTAAGGCCATTGGTTTTAACTTTTGCACGGATTTTAAGCCTCCAAATCTTAGCGAGAAGCGATCCCCCCAGCAAAATTTACCGGGCCTTTTTTTTGGTTCCTGTGCGGGATGATGCGCTGTCTGCGCACAGTCGTTTTTGCACGTCCGTGACCTGGGGGCGGTTTTGGTGTTTCATATGAAACACTCCGACGCCATGGCCCAAGCGAGGCGCAGAACACTGGCAGCAGCTCGACCTGCTTTCGGAACCTGACCTGCACCTGCAACGGGGCTGTGAGAAAGCAGCAGAAGGAGAAGCATGAGAAGATGCTTGGTAAACGGTACTCGAATTTTAATCGCAATGAGGAGAATTTGGCGTTGCGCGCATAACCGCCCTGGCGACTTACACGACGCCAACTCACCAGACCTTTGTACATACCACGCTTTCTACGACGAAATAATACACACGATATTTTTATCAAATAATTTGTTTTTCATTTGATTTGTTTGAAAAATAGTATTTCAACTTTGTTTCCTTCTCTCCCCAGCTCTGCGCTCCGCCAAACCCCTTCTCTTCTTCACCTGCAACCGCCTGTGTTTGAAGTGCCCACCAAAAAACACCTCCTCGAGACTCTCCACGTCGCAGCCCGCACAAGCAAAGACCACCCGCCCACTAACAAAGGCCCTGTCGCGCTACAAGGAGCCCGCCCAAATTTAGAAGCCAGGCGCATGATCTGCAAGCGATGAGCTACTGCTTCTGGATAATGCGGCACGGCGCAAGCGCTGCCGAGAAAGGCCCTACCTCCCCAGAAGACAGCGGCCCCCTTCTTCCGCCCCGGGTCTCAAACATGCCGCAGTACTGAACAATATCCGACTGCATGGATGCCAGTCTCAGAAACGATGGGAGGAGCAGCGATGATCTTGGCCCCTATGGAAGATGATACAGGGGATGCGCGTGGTCCTTGGCGACAAGAAACGACCTGCTGGCCCTTCTTCATGCACTTATAAACATCCACCTGTCTCGTCTCGACTTTTTTCGTTCTTGTCCATCTCAACAATCGTTTTTCTTTGTATTTCTTTTCTCTTTTGTTTCTTTTTTCGAGAGTTGCTTCTTTTTTTTTCTACTTCTTTATCAAATCACCGAGCAGGATCTCGACTTTTCTATACACAGCCTTTGACAGGTTTCTTATATACGCATTCCTTCAGCAAACATGAAGTGGACTACAGCTTTCCTCTCCGTCCTGCCTCTGGCAATGGCTACCGCGGACCTCGAAGCCATCGACAAGCGCGCCAAGGCTCTCATTGTTCCTGGTGCCGGCAAGGAAATCATCATCATCTGGGCCAACCCTGGTGCTGGTGCCGCCACCACAACCATCAACAAGCAGGTTACCGTCACGCAGACCGTTACTGTCGGCTCTCAGCCAACCAACATCGCCGGTACAAACCTCAACCCGGGCCAGACTGCCACGCTTGTCCAGCCCCCCGGTGCCAGTCACACTGTTAAGGTCGGCGGTCCTGGTGGCCTTGCCTTCCAGCCTCAGCAGCTCAACGTGCCTGTTGGCGACACCATCATTTTCGAGTTCCTTTCGCAGAACCACACCGTCACACAGTCTGGCTTCAAGGAGCCTTGCAAGAAGATTGACAACGGCATGGACACCGGCTTCGTTCCCAACCCCAACAACACCGTCTCTCCCGCTCCCCAGGTCGCCATGCAGGTTACAGTCAACACTCCTCTCTGTAAGCCTTCTCTTTATGCCATGTCTTCACTATAATTAGAAACTAACCATTTCTCTCTTAGGGTTCTACTGCCGTCAAAAGGGCCACTGTGGCAAGGGCATGGTCTTCTCCGTCAACCCTACTGCCGACAAGACACACGCCATGTTCCAGCAAATGGCTATTGCCCAGAGCGGTGGTGGCACTGCTACTCCCATTACTGGCGGAACTCCTCCTCCTGCTGGCCAACAGCCTCCCCCCGCTGCTGGTCAGCCTAGCAAGGAACAGCCTGGCAAGACTGAGCCCGGCAAGGAGCAGCCTCCTGGCCAGCAGCCCGCTCCTGGTAACAACAGTGGTGTCACACCTGGCCAGGGCAAGGTTGGACCTGATGGCTCGTGCCAGTGTGTTGTCCAGTGTGCTCAAGGCTCATTCCCTGCTATGGAGGCTCAAGGCCTCGGTGCCATGGGCGGCGCTAGCGGAGCTCTCCCCGTCAATGCTGTCGTGCAATAAGCGACAAACAGTGTATGGAGAGGGTTTTCGTTGGTGGCTGTAATGGGTAATGTGATGGTTGGTTCTATTTAAAGTGGTGTTTCATTTCTTCTGTTGGTTTTGGTAGACGCCGCTCTGAACGAGCGTGAGTGTCGCTTCTCCCACTTCTTGTTTGGGGTTGCCGTGCGGCTTCCCTGCGTTTTGTTTCTGCACGGTCTTGCGCGCATATATGACTGGATCGTATTCTCATTGGATTTAAGAAAAGTAATTTAGAACAAAAAAAAAGAGCAACTCTCATACAAAATACTGTCTGCTTTCGTTCATGAGTTCACTGTTGAAGTGGTTATAGGGTAGACACTTGGGAATTCACAGGTCTATCAAGACACAGCCAAAGAAGCAGTAAGGCAGCAAGGAGTACTTGTGAAACAGTCTATTTTTGAAAGTAAAAAGTGGCCTTGAAATGTCATGAAATTGAGACTTCCGCCTGCCTCCATGGAAACGCCTAGACGAGCCTTTAATCTGCTCGTCCCTTGTTGTCGTTGTCAGTATCGAGGCTGCTCGAGGCTGCTGGAAGCTGTTGGAAATGGTATTATATCGCCGGTACGCCGAGAGTCGAATGGAAATCTACCGCCTTTTCGTTTTACTTTTTGCCTTCAGCGGCCTTCTTGGCCTCAGCTGTAATGTGGAGTTAATGATACTGCCGTCTGGCGAGGCAGTTTTCGAAATGGAGGGACATACCGGCAGCCTGCTTGGCTCGCATAATCTCAGCAGCGGACTCCTTGGCACGCTGCATCTCTGTTCCGCTCATGTTGTTTGCCTTTTTCTGTAGCCAGCATAGTCGTCGTCAGTACGTTTCCCTCTAGGTCATGATGGTTTTGCGCCGCTGCGCCGCGGGGCGGACAAAACTTACCTGGCCGGCCTGCTTCTTCAGGTTAGCCTCGCGGGCCTTGTCACGCTGATTGCCACGAGCCATGGTGTCGTTGGACCAAACGATGTGGATGGGTTGCTGGAGCGGGAGGGAAGAAAAGAAAGACGAGGCGCTCAGTTTTTGGTGGTTGACAGGAACTAGGCTGGATGGGCTAACCGGAAGTGGGGGTTGTCGTCGGTGGCCCTGTCTGCGCAACATGTCACTCAGTGGCTGGCTGACCAAACTTGGCTGTATAATAAAAGCGAAGAAAAGAAATCGCTTGGAAATTTCCACTAAATTCTGTTTTACATACAAGGGAGAGTGCACCAAAAAGATTATTACATGGCCCCGGTCTGATTAATACAGCCACCTGTACTTTGTCCTCACAGGCTGCCTGTTGTGTTCTGTGGTATTAATAGCTATGAGTCTAACAAAATCATCCATCCTGACTGCCTCATCCTCTCTCCCCCGCCTATGCAAATCGTCCCAAAAGTCCTCGGAACCTATCTCACCATAGTAGCCGCTTTCAAAGTCGAGCCACAACACTCTCTCCGGTTTACCATCCTCTGCTGGAACAAACATCATGTTGCGCGGATAGATGTCACCGTGGGTAACGTCAACAGCATGAAACTCCTTGATTAGATCTCGCCACTTCTCCATGCGAGCCGGTGTGTAATTCTCCATAGTCAAGGACTGCATTTTCTCAACGTTCTCCAGCAGGATGGCGTTTACTGGCATCATATAGGTGCCCGGTCTATAGTAGATCTCACACTCCGGCCAGTCCTGCGGCTTCATATTTAGGACAACGCCGTAAATATCAGGAATTGTGCCTCTTTCGCAGAAGCCCCTGTTCTTGAGGCGTCGGTAGGCGGTCAGCTCGTCCAGGAAGTAGTCCTTGAGTTCTGCGTCTCCTGGCCGTTGGCCGTGATGCTGCAACCGATGGTTAGTATTTGCATTAGTTTCTGCACTGTATTTGACATACAACTTTCATAGCGCATGTTATGCCGCGGATCTCCACGATACACACGGCAGAGTTGTCATTGTCGTATGGCGTGCTCAAGATTTTGACTTCGCTGGCCTTGATGTTTTGCAGCCGGTCTCTGCTTATGTAGTATTTGCCTAGACGATGGTCTTCATCTGCGATATCGTCATATTTTTGATAGGAGGCTATAGAAGCACTACTTGTTGCTGGCGAAGCTATCGTGTTGGTGTCGGCACGAGGATTCACGATGGGTGACGAGGATCTCGGTGAAGGTGATGGCCCGGGGTCTGGGTTTGACGGCATTGGGAAGCGCTGACTTCAAAATTGATACTGTAAACTGTGGTTAGTATTTCTGTAAAAGCTTCAATATCAAAGTAATGATAATGTTGGATGTTAGGAGGAGAGTGAGAGCACGGGTGTAGTTTAGATTGGTAAGATGTGTGGTTTGTGAAGTTATACTAAATCAACGTTATATGGAGAATAGTGAGTGAGCGTCTCATCTGGATCGTAACACCTGAGTACTCGTGTATTCTCTGCATGTCGCTCAATAGTGAAGTTTGTAATTATTCGTAAATAGTGTGCAAACATATAAACTTTAATATACTAATTTTGTAAACATTGCTTCTAATTGGCTCGGCAAAAATTATTACAACTACTAAGCACACGAATACTGCATGAGTGTGCACTCTATAGCGGGTAATGGAGTAGCGTGATTGGGTGATGTACTCTGCTGTTTTTCTCGGCGGCAAGTATAAACCAGGATGAAGGTGCTCGTCGGCGCGTATAGTATTACAAAAATGTTTTAAAGTAAGCTAACTCTCGTTGTAGTTTTATTCTATTTCTTATTTCTCTCTCTATCGAATCAGTTCAATCTCAAAAATGAGGGCCAACAAAAATCGCAAAAATCTTCGACGCTATCTTAGCAATGTGCCTCAAATGCTCCCGTTTGTGCCACATTATAGAGCAAAAGGCTCCAATGTTCGCCGCAACCATCGCTACCAGCCTCGACATATACGAGGCTTTGAGCCATGGCCCGATTTCAACGCTGAAACTATTGTGGACAAGTACAAATATGAAATGCGCAGATTCATTGTTAATGACCCCTTCCCGGACACTCCTCCCTTATATATTGGAAATGAGTATTCTATCTCCCATCGATTATGGGAGTATCTTGGCCCTCGCGTACGACGATCACTTCGAACTGGATTTAAACCACCACCTATGGGACATACTCCTGTTTTATGGAATTTAGGAGATCTATCCCCTTCAATGGATCTATACGGATCATCCCCAGACCTTACCTTCTATACTACAGAGCCGTTTACAGTTGGAGATGTGTTGTTTCCACCACGCCACAACCGGTTGCCAGGTGAAATTAAACCATCTAGCAAGTGGAATTCCGGTATGGCTGGCGGAACTGCTATCGAGTTGGAGTATCTGCAAGCTGTTAGTCAACTGAACTACTATATGCATATTCACAAGGCCAGATATGGCTATATCTTAACCGACCGCGAATTGGTTGCTTTTGAACGCATCCCAACAAAACATTACAGTATGGCTCGATTTAAGCGATCGAACCCTATATCGTGGATTCCAACGGAACTTCACGATATAGAGCGCACGCCAACAGTGTTAATGGCCCTGTGGTATTTGGGAATGCTTGCTGCTGGACCGGATTGGGCGATTGATACGCACGATATACCTAAACCTACCGCTCCCCGTACCATTCAGTTACGAGGACCACGACAATAAAGGCATGAACAAACTATTTATGTTAGTAGCGATTGAAATTAAGTATAGGTATAAACAAACTATTTATATTTCTAGTACTTGTAGATTAAAGTATCAAGATACAAACAAACTATTTATATTAGTGGCAATTGTGAATTAAAATCCCAAAAAATTAGATGTTCTTGTTCGAAGATAAGTCAAATCGAACGGTATAGCGCAAGTGGCCTAGAGAATACTGTCGTTGCGATATGCGCCATGACTACAGGCAGCAAACGGCAGCTGCAGAGGGAGGCAGTGCAGACGACAAGTGAAAATAACGGCCGCGAATGTAGGCCGCTTATTAGAATGGAAATGGGAACAGTCTATTTTTAAGTATGACGAGGGATAATACGCGCGCTGGAGGCAGATACGAATAAGAGCAGGTTGGTCGGAACGAGCTGGGCGAGTGTACGTAGAAGTATGGTGAATAGGTAGCGGCTTTGCTATGATGATAGATGAGAAAAATGCAGTCTATACAGAACATGAAACCACCAACGAATACAGTACGTATATTTTGCAGCAAATGGGTATACATCTTGTTCACCTCTGCATGAATAGTCACTCTTCAGTCTGCCGTCACCTCGATGAGCATCCCCAGTCCTCTGCCTCTATTCAAAGAATTCATAGACATTGAACCTAGCGAATTCGTAGACACTACAGTGACTCACAGCCTTCTTCGTATTTTTTTCCCACTCCCATCAGTCCTTTATTCTTCTCCGAGTTCCCTTTTTGTTCGCAGTGCAACCAGTCCGTGTTGCCCCACGCCGCCCATTAAAACGCTGAAACAGGGTCAGATTCAGTGTCAGCCAATCATTTGCATCCACCACAACCAAGTCGAGTAACTTTTTGGCGCCGGCCGTCTCAGCGTCTACTTGGGCGGCACGCCGGCTAGGGGCACATGAATGTCCAGGTACCGTACTCCACGAGAAACAGTAAATGGACCACTGTGCTCCAGTAAAATACCCGTAGAAAATCGCCGTCGTAGCGCCCAACTACATGGCCAACTGCTGCGCGGCCCTGAAACCCACCATGTCCTCCCTCGCACGGCATCCTGCTCAACAGGCGGCTCTGAGATCCTGGCAGGCGGCCTATCCACTGGCTCTGGAATCCTGGCAGTGAGTGGCGAATATAAGGGAATGATTGGCTTCTGGGCGCTGGCTGTGGCCGATGCAAAGCCTGAAACCCCATACCAACGGCCCAAGAAGCCGTCCTCGTCACTCCACCAGGCACGAATAATTGTGATCGGGGATGTTCTTGTTTCTATTCTGAGCAGTGCGCGACGCGCTTGTTGTGTGCGACTGATAGTGAGCTATTGACCTATTGACCGTCAGTCACCGGTACAGTCGGGCGGTTAGGAGGCGTTGTCTGAAACGGCAGACCAGCAGAGGTCGTTGTATATTAAAGAACAATAGGCCTCCCATTCTATTGTCGTGAGTAGCCATCTCAAATCAGCCAACTTTTCCTTTTTTTCCCTTTGTCAAATCATTTTCCTTTTGTCTGTGTCTCCCCTATCCTTAATCCTTTCTTTTTTTCTTCCTATCATCTCTTTGCATTACTGGACTGGTTCCATTCCCAACGCCTGCATTCACTTAGACGCAATTCCCATATAACACGCCATCCCATCCAGCACGCATACGCAACCGTCTACTCACGCCAACTTCTACGAAAAGAATTTCCATAAAACTCCAACATGGGTATTTTCAGCAAGACTGCCCTTCGTGGCGCCGGTTACTGGGTTCTCCAGGCCCTCCGCGTCTTTACCGTCATCTCTCTCCTTGCCGCCGTGGCATCATGCTGGGTCCTCATGATCAAGGTGGACAAGGGCCGCACATTTTTTGTTTTTGAATGCATCTCGCTCTTCTTCACATCCGTCATTGCAATCGCACTCATTGTTTCCGAATTCCCCATGGTCTCCTTCATCCGCAACTACTTCCGCCAGGCATGGCCGGTGCTCTCAGAGTCCTACGGTGTGGGATGGCTCGGTGCTGCCATGGTGGTGATTGGATGCAACGTGCTCGGGTCTCTCAACGAGCCCGGCTTCGACCCTGAGAACCTCGGCAGCAACTTTACCAGCCTGGTGCAAGCCGGCGGCATTCTCTGCCTCATCTTTGGTGCCCTCAATGTCCTTGCCTCGCTCATCTGGCGCGACGGCAAGGAAAAGATCACGTCGCGCGACATCCGCGCCGACGGCTCCCTCGCCAAGCAGCGAGATGTCCTTCCCAGCTCTTACTCGGCCAGCGCTGCCTCCTCGGTGCACCGCGAAAAGCAAGGATTCCGACAGAGCGTCTTTTCCGTCTTTGGAAAACGCCCACAAAACGGAGGTGCTGCCGGTAAGACTACAATCCCCATCATCAGCGGTCCAATCTATACTCACCCTAATCCCGAGTGTAACAACCCACCGCCCAACTACGCCCTGTCTTCTCCCAACCCTACAACAGTGACCTCGGGGTCCAAAGAGAGTCCTGTCGTGCGCGGCGTCATGCGTCCTCCTACAGCTGAGCATCCCATGCTCTCTGGCGGGCTCGCGGCTCCTCCAGCGGCCCTCAAAGCACAAAAGACGGGCACAAGCAGCATCTACTCGACAGATGGACATTACGCACGGCGTTACTCCCAAGTCAACTACAAGTATTTCTGAGGGGTCCAATCGTTCTGGCTTGAGTGCTAGTCACTGGAGACTGCTGCATAGGATATGGCGTTTAAGAGGTTGCTGCTACTGCATTTGTACATTTTCTTCATTTGCTCGATACCCACGGGTCTTGATTTGCTTTCTGTTCTGTCATGAAGTTATAGATTTATTTTCGTATTTGCATAAATTTACTTCGTTGTAATATTTCAGTTTGTCACCTGTAGTTCCACGAATTGGTCACCGTCAGCCGCTCAGGCACCAGCACCAAATAAGCTCTAAGCACACGCACGTGACACGCCGCAAGGGATCTCACAGTCAAAGCAAGCGCCCTGCCCTTCCTCCTTTGCTTCTCCAACTTGCCATCTACACATCATCACCCGGTTTGCCTCTGCGCTTTGTTGCGCATCGACTGCGGCTGCATCTAAGTGTACTCGCCGTTTATTTTCCAGTCTCAGTAATTTTCGCGCACTGCTTCCATCCATTGCATCACCGCGCGCTTTCCAGCGACCGTGTTTTTTTTTCGCCATCCAAAGCATAATCAGCAACAGCTCCCCTTTTTTCTCTCCATTCATTGCAGCATTCGTCTTCCCAGTAACCAAATTGTGTGCGTTCGCATTTGATTAGGATAAGGAAAGATACCTTTTAGCATTGTTGGTTAGCTTGTGTTGGTTCCAAGGACATAAAGCCAGTGGTTTCTGCATCAAGCGCAAATTGGGTTCACCTTTGCTCTCTAAATTAGCGTCAAAGGACTGCCTGCCAGTGTTGTTTTTATTTGCAAACACGCTACTAGATTAGTTTTGTCTCTTTGATTGTCTTTTGTATAAGAGGAGGGTTCTACGCGATTGGAGTCAGACTGTGGCTTGGACCACGGCATCGCATCTGACAGCCTCATCTTGGCCTCATCGGCTACCAGCATCATTTTAAATTAATTGCTTCTCAAGATGGCATCTGAAGCCTCTGAAGTAGCAGAGGACTATAGACATGCTCTTGAAGATCTCACAACAAACGCTAGGTTTGAAATTAGCAACCTGACTGTGATTGCGAGAGAAAACACAGAGCATGCCTTGGCCATTGCTGAAGTCTTGCAACAACATATCCTCAAGGTAAGAAGATTTGAAGACGAATTATACCCGAGATACTTGACATGATATTCCAAGCCATCTCTTAACATAAAGCAACTAATGCTGACGTCGACACAGGCGCCTCCAGCAAAGAAACTCCCCGCGTTATACGTTCTCGACTCAATTGTAAAGAATGTCGGCACTCCCTACACCCTCTTTTTCGGACGAAACCTATTCAAGATTTTTATGGAATCCTATGCTGCGGTGGATAATCAGATACGGAAGAAGATGGAGGATGTCTTGCGCACATGGAAGGAGCCTGTCCCTGGATCTATGGACATGCGCCCAGTCTTTTCTCATGAGCTCGTGAGGCCGATTGAGAATGCCTTGATGAAAGTTCGTCAAGCGTCTATGCCTCAGCAGAATATGATGCCCGGTAGACCACGACCTGGTATGCCGATGCACCGCGATACTCCCACTCCCCCAGGCATGCAAGGCCAGCCTATGCCAGGCCAGCCGTTCCACGGCGGGCAACAAGTAAGCTATGCAAACGGTGCCATGGCGCGTATGATTCTAACCCATCGCCAGCCATATATCCGAAACTCTCCACAGCCGTATGGCGTCGCTCCTGGGCCTTTCCAGCCGCCGCCTGGCGGTAACCACAGCCCACCACCACCACCTGGTTCCAGCGTAGAAAACTTGGAGTCAGACATCCAGACTCTTATTGCTGCCACTCGTGTGGAAGCAGCACATAGGCCTCACGATGTTACTATTCAAGGAAGACTACGTGCTCTGCAAGACCTTCAAGGCGTCATGCGCAGCACTAACCTTCCGTATGATCAACTTGAGCTTATCCGAGTGAAAGTAGCTGAGCTTGCCTCTGTAACTATCCGGCAGCCGCCACCCCAGGCTCCGTCGCCTACGCCGCCTCCCGCAAGCGCACCAGTTTCTTTGGATGCCCTACTCGGACAAGGAGCCCTTGCGGCACTCATGGCGCGAACCGGCTCCAACTCTCAAACCTCTACACCACCCGCAGGCGTTGCGGCTCTTCGCTCGCCGCCCGCGGCCAACATGTATCTCCCTCCAGCACCACCTCCTGCTGCCCCTCCTGCTGCTGCCCCTGTGTCTAATGATGCCATGGCGTTACTGGACAAGCTTCGCCTTGCCGGTATGCTTCCCGGCGCAGGCAACGTTGGTAGCCAGGGATCTACTCCTCCACCTGCGGCGATGCCGGCGATGCCCCCATCCATCTTCCCGGCCAACCTGGCGAGCATCTTGGCCAAGGCAAACCAAAATGCCATGGCTGGAGCCCCAGGAGGCGGTTTAAACTCTACAATTCTTAAGCAAGAGTACGTTACTACTATTACAAACATTTCAGATAAGCTCATGGCAAGCTAACCAGCTATAATAGATTCCGACCCGACGTTATCAACAGATTATATGATAACTTGGGCCCGCCATGCTCCCAGTGCGGGCGACGTTTCCGTACTGATGAGGAAGGGCGCAAGAAGAAGACCGCTCACATGGACTGGCATTTCAAGGTGCACCAGCGCAGCGCCGAAGCCGAGAAGCGAGGCACCCATCGAAGCTGGTATGTGGACCAGGAAGACTGGCTCAAGTCGCGGGAAGTGGTCGATTCGGACCACCAAGTTGCAAAGGAAGAGGTCGCCGACGACGCGTCCAAGGCACCTGCTGGGCCCAAGTACATTGCGGTCCCAGATCCTACGAGCGGCATCAACACGGTATGCCCCATTTGCCAGGAACGATTTGAGAACAAGTGGTTAGACACGGCGCAAGAATGGGTGTGGCTTGACGCGGTGCTTGTACGCAACAGAGCGTTTCACGCATCGTGCCTCGCAGAAGCGTCCAAGGATCGCGATGGAGGAGGCCCTAGACGGACACCGGACCCTGTGTTGGGAAAAAGGAAAGCCGAACGCGGGTACTCGCCCAAGATGCGACAGGGTGGGCGACAGCTTCGCCAATACTAGGAGCGCCAGCGCACGGGGTATAGTAGAAGGGTACATTCAGGCGTTTAGCATCATCGGCACATATATGGCGACACTTTGTCTTTGGAGTTGCCTCTTTCTGCATTCATAGGTACAATACCAGGCCGTATTACTCATAGAAATGGGAATGAAATGATAACAAAAGAGAGAACAAGGGCTACTAGTATGTGATTGGTCCATCGCAACACACACATAGTTCGTCTGATATGCATCCATCTGGATGCCTGTAGCCTACCTGGACAAAGCCTCGGCGCTTCTGCCAGACCACCCCCAGGGCACTAAGAGTTGACAAAACGTAAAGACAATGTAGTATTGGCCCCTTAGCTCGCAGACGTTAGGTTCGGAAGCCCAGCGAACAATGCGATCCAGCTGTGACGGCGGAGAGCTAGCGGGCAATCGACCTGCCTAAAGAGCGAAATCCCCCACTACACCGCTGTACTCCAGCTTACCATCACAGCCTAGTGAGCCGGGGGGCATGCACTAATTAGCCGTCACGATGACCATTTTTCAACTATTTACGTTTGTAATTGCATTGCTCTAGTTATCACTTTCTGTTTCATCAGTCAGCCCATATCGGTACTTGGTGCAGGTTCGCCGGGGACTATGGTTCTCGGCCAACTAACGAACGGGCTTATCATGCCGTCCACCAGTGTAAGACTAACGATGTATAAAGACTGAGGTTGCTGCCGCTGCCGTTGCCGTTACTGCTCTTGCTATTTCTCAGCACGGTATCTACTAGCATAAAAATCAATAAAAGAAAAGAGAAATGCTTTCTCAGGCCCTCCAAAGTCTGGTTGGCAGCCTCGTTGCCGCCGCCACCGGTGCTGCTGCTCTTCCCGCCAACGCTCCTCTTCCTCCTGTGCCTCACGGCTTCAACATTGTCAAGACGACGACCAACTCACAGGGCCAAGTCATTGACTGGATTCGCCGCGAAGACCAGGGCCCAATTGCCACGCCTCCCCCCACGAGCGTTCCCGGCGACTCCCTCGCCAACCTCAAGTCCGTGCAAGAGCTCGTCGCGCAGCCGCGCTACCAAGGCCTGCCTGGCACCGTGCCAGTCCTGCGCAATGCCAACTTCAAGCACCCAAAGAAGCAGCTGCCTCCTCATATGGCAGGCAACCAGACAGAGCACGCTAAGCGCGACGGCAACCCTCACTGGTACGCCTATGCCATCGGCGACATAGCCAACCACGGCGGCGTGGCCGACTTCAACATCTAGAACCCGGCTGTACAGGACAAGGGCGACTTCTCGCTAGTAAAGCTTGCCGTGTTACGCACAGGAGCCAGCTGCACCGACGGCTACAGCGGCACGCAGACGGTCGAGGCTGGCTGGATGCACTACGGCGACATTGCCGACACATACGACCAGTCCAAGGACCAGCAGTCGTTCCTGTTCACCTTCTTCACGACCAACGGGTACCGCTCCATGGCCGACTACATCTGCGGCTACCTCTCATACGTCAAGGGCTGGGTGCAGTACGACTCGGAGGTGCACCCTGGATACTTCTTCAGCCCTGTGTCGACGATTGGCGGCACGCAAAAGGAGCTGACGATTGGCTATACTCTGCACGAGAATAACTGGTGGTGCTCGGTGGGCGGAAAGTTTATCGGATATTATCCGTCTAGCCTGTTCAACAAGAACTCGGCGAACCCGAGCAACACGCTTGCTGCGGGCGCCAACCAGATTTCGTTCTACGGCGAGGTCACCAACGAGATGTCGACGTATACGACGTCGGATATGGGTAGCGGTAACTACTCGGACCAAGTGTACGGAAAGGCGGCGTATATCAAGAACATTCAGTACTACAGCACCAATGACCAGGCTGTCAACTTTGACACTTACTCGGTTCAGGTGGATACGCAGAGAGGGTATCAGGTGCAGTCGTACTTTAACTCGGGCAATGCGGGCTGGAACAGCTATATGTTCCTTGGTGGACCTGGTGGTGATGGAAAGGTTGGTACGTAAGATGTGAGAGGGGACGGAGTTTGTAAACAGAGTTTGTGTTTTGCATTTTTGAGGGTATATATTGTATCTGCTGTCCAAACAGTCCTAGCAGCAGTAGTACTAGATAAGAAACAGAGTGTTAACATTTGTCCGATGCTGATCTAGATATAAATGAAAAAAGCCAACAATAAACAGTAAGAAAATTGACTTACGCCTTTACTTGAGCTTCCCTGTATGTGATTGGGCAATTAGTGACATGCTTTATGAACTGACGGTAAAACGTTGACTTACACAGCAGAGCTTGTTCTTGACGGTGCAGTCGTGACAGGTGGTAGCGGCGACTTGGGCCACAAGGGCAGTCAAAATAGTAGCAAGAATGGTGCAAGTCTTCATCTTGTTTTTCCTTTCTGGAATGATATATAGTGACGGCAATTGGTATTTTGGTTTGTGTTGGGGTTAGATAGGAGGATTAGTTTATATGGAGAACAGGAAAGAAACCCCCGACTGTGAGGATAAAAGTCTCCGACTACGACGTTAGTTAGCTTGGCAGATGAAGTGCTTGGGATTATATTTATATGATGGTAGTGTTACAGATTTATCGATTTCTGTACAGTACTTTTATTTGATGTGCAGCTCTATGTTTAGTGTATGTGGTGTACGTTGGATTATGCAGGTGAGATGGGTGCTGCAGCACTTGAGATGCATTTTTGCCATTTTATGCCCTCGGAATATTACTCTTTGAAATTATGATTGTAAAAGTTACTATAAATTAAAAGCTAAAAAAAATATCTAACATATATCTATAAACCTCCGCCGAGAAAATGTATACCCACGCTCCAGTCTAATCCAAGCCGTTCCTATATCCTCGTATTACTTTTGACCCTGTCCTATATATCCGGCATCCGCCAGGGCTCGGTCCAAGATCTCCCGTAGAACTTTTGTCTTTCTATCGTTGTAGTTGCCAACATGGCCGCCGTCTGCCTTGGTGGCCTTGGACGCTGCCCGTTTCGCCTCAGCATAGAGCTCTCTATCTTCTTCATTCTTTATGAGCCAATCCCGCATGACTCTATGTCTAATCACTTCTGGTGTATTGGACCCCCAAACATGTACATTGGCCACGGGATCCTCGGCGCCAAAGACGCGGTGTTCAAACCAGCTTGGCTCGCGCACCAGGAACTGAAATCCCGCCGCCTCGAGCGCCGGTGCATATGAATCCTCGTTGGTAGGATCCTGTACTACAAGGTCCAAGTCAATCACAGCCTTGGCGGGCAAGCCTGGGACACTCGTGGAGCCAATATGCTGAATGAGGACGATGACATTGGGAGACAAAGCTGTAGTGATGCGCTGTCGGAGACCTTCGTAGTCGGCAGGCCAGGTAGGCGAGGGCTCAACGATGTCGAGAGGGAGTGGTTTATTGCGCTTGTTTACGGTGTGCGCAACGGCGAGGGAGTCGTCTGCATGTGTGACAATGTCTGACTTGGATGGTGTTGTCATGTTGAGTTGGAGAAGGCGAAGCTGGAGAGGGTTGACGGATCAAAGGTCCGCAACGGCTGGCAAAGCTTTCAGTCTTATATACGAGAACAACAGACCGGGATTCTGCTTTAGGAAGCTACCGAAGATGGGGCAATTCCAGTTCTAATGCAGTCTAAATGTACACAGCCTCACAACACCGGGCAGCTTGGTTGACTGAACGAGGCTCTCCTCTTGTCATCGTTCCGCTGTATGAGCGGGAGTAGGTCCGATGGGTATCAAGTGAGTAGGTGTAGTTGGAGGGCGGAATTGTAAATAATGTATAAAACGTATAAGCTATTTACATCGTTGTTAAATGAGACTGCAGTCGTATTGGTGGTGAGCTGTTGTAGGATGCTTGCTTTCCCCGCTAATCGTGCCCGCTAAACAGCGCCGTTTTACAGCGCCTGCTACAGTACTAAATTTACAACCCCGGTGTACAGTACTGTAAAGTCCACAAGTCGCCTGTGCACTACCACTTACGGTAGCTTACGGTAGCTCACACCTGACTTCGCGTCAAAACCACTTTATACGCCAACGCGTCTCCCGCTGACCAAGAAAAAAAAGCTGCGGGCGCTTAAACACAGCACACGACATCACCACCACCACAATCACACCTCAACCACACTAACCTTGCTTTGCCCCTATTTTATTTCTTTGTTACTCAACAAGCAACAACAACAACAATACACACACATGGCCACAATGGCGGCTGTGGATTGCCCAATATGCAATAAACCCGTCAAGTCGTCCGAGATCAACAGCCACATCGACTCGGGATGCACCAGCTTCATAGTCGACAAGGAGTCGCCACCATCCGCACCCCCGCAATCAAACAGCAATACCTCCTCACAACCCAAACGCAGTGCTTCTAGCTTCTTCTCGACACCCGCGCCTAAACGACAAAACAGTTCTACAGATGCAACCGCATCCCTCGTCACGCCCATTGTCAACATCTCGCTCGGGGCCACTACCAACGGCACAAAGAAGCGAACCTTTGACGAAGGACCCGGCTCAGCTCTAACAGTAGCTTCAGCATCAACAGAAACAAATGGCGGCGAACACACAAACGGGCACTTTACAACAGCTACAGAACAATCAGATGCAGCAGAAGGCGGGCGCATCATCAAAAAGACACGAACCAACAAGACGGCCCCCCTTGCCGAACGAGTCCGCCCCAATACTCTTGACGACATCTGCGGCCAAGATCTCGTCGGTCCCAATGGCGTGCTCCGCTCGCTCATCGAATCAGACCGCGTGCCGTCCATGATCCTCTGGGGCCCAGCTGGCACCGGCAAGACGACAATCGCACGCTGTGTGGCGGAAAAGACGGGCGCCCGCTTCGTCGAGATCAATGCCACCTCGTCCAGCGTAAACGAATGCAAAAAGCTCTTCCAAGAAGCCGCCAACGACCTGGCCCTCACCGGCCGCCGCACAATCATCTTCTGCGACGAGATCCACCGCTTCAACAAGGCCCAGCAAGACGTCTTCCTGCGCCCTGTCGAAGCCGGCACCGTGACGCTCATTGGCGCTACCACCGAGAACCCATCCTTCAAAGTCGTCAATGCTCTGCTTTCTCGCTGCCGCACATTCACCCTCCAAGCCCTCTCCACCGAAGCCATCATCACCATCCTCCAGCGCGCCCTCGCCTCCTCGACATCCTCGCCCTCCTCGCTCCTCGACGACACTTTTCTAGCTTACCTCGCCCGCTTTGCTGACGGCGACGCCCGCACCGCTCTCAACCTCCTCGACCTCTCCATCTCGTTATCTATCCGCCCAGGCATCACACAGGACGAAATCAAGTCTTCGCTAACGAAAACGCTTGTCTACGACCGCGCTGGCGATCAGCACTACGATACCATATCCGCCTTTCACAAGTCTGTCCGCGGCAACGACCCCGACGCGGCACTCTACTATCTTGCTCGCATGCTTCAGTCTGGCGAAGACCCGCTCTTCATTGCGCGGCGCATGGTTGTCATTGCATCAGAAGATGTCGGCCTTGCTGATAATACGCTGCTCCCGCTGGCCACGTCGACCTACACAGCCACGCAGCAGATTGGCATGCCCGAGGCACGTATCCCCCTCGCGCATTGCGCTGTTGCGTTGTGTCTTGCGGCCAAATCGACAAGGGCGTACAGAGGCCTTAACAATGCCTTCAACGCCCTCCGCGAACCCGGTGTCGCGGCACTCCCTGTTCCTATTCATCTGCGCAATGCCCCGACACGATTGATGCGCGAACTCGGGTGCGGCGTGGACTACAAGTATCCGCCCAACTATGTTGATGGCCGTGTCAATCAGACATATCTACCTGACGATCTTGTTGGACGAAGGTTCCTGGAAGACAGGGACCTAGGCACAGAAGTCGACCCGGACTTGATGGCCCATGAACCAGCTGAGTTACCCAAAAGGGAACAGGAGGAGGAATTGTAATAAAATCAAGAAGAGATATTGGATAGATAGTATATCCTGCCTTCCTCAGAAAATTGCTGTATATAATGCATGGTTGGATGAAAGCAAAAAGTCATGAATTAGAATAAATGTACATTATATATATATCCCCCCTAGCTTAAACCAAAAACCCAGGATACCTCGCTATGCTATGAAAATGAAATGAAAATTTTAAAAGGGAGCTTCATTCGCCTGTTAAATCAACGACAGAAACGTCGCTGTATCGAGTGACTTTGCTTTTGCCCAGCTGCTTTTCAAGACGCGCTCGTTCGTCTTCATCAACCTCGACTTCCCGTAACCTCCCTGTCTTGGGGTCCGGGATGAACAAGAGCTTTTTGCTTGGTGGTGGTGTCGTCTTCTTGGGCGACTCCTTGACTGCAACGTCTGCAGGCAGAGCCGGTAGATCTTCACCATCAGAGGCGCTGTCAAACACAGAGTCGTCAATGACTGTCCTCGGGGGAGCAGTGAGTCTAGTAGACACTACCGGTTTATCTTGCACAGTCGCTGCAGCAGTTGCAGAACTCTTCTTTGCAAATACATCCAATGACGTCTGCGTCATCTTCCCCTTTGTCTGCGGCTGCGGCACCCTCTTCACTATCCACGGCTTCGTCTTGCTCACCGGAGCCTTCCCAGCGCTCTCGGAAAGAATCGACTGTACAGACCCAGGCACCGGCGCAGACTGAGCGGGAACTGGCCGAGGATGACGGGTCGGAGATTCCGGCGGCGCCGCTGGGGAGGCAGGATCCGCGGCGGCAGGGCTGGACGAGAGGATGATGACAGAGTCTGGGGTGGCAGCAGCGGCTTTGGTGGTGCGCTTTGGAGGACTGGAGGGCAAGAAGGGGGCGGCAGATCTAGGCGGAGGGTGTAAGCGCTTTGGCGATGTGGGAGACAACGGCTTGGGCGTCTTTGAAATTCGCTGCTTACTTGGAGATCGTGGCGAGCTGGGCAGCTTCGGCTCTGCAGCGGCGATTGTACTGTCTACCCGCTTTGTGGTTCGGACGTGTGCTTCAATGGCGCCGTACGGCATGTCGGACTTTGATTTGGCTGACTTCTTTGTGCCAGCTGGCTTCTTGGGCGATGCTTTGCGGTAGGCTTTGAGTAGCTCGGCTTCTTCAAATGCCTGGAAGGCGAGCGGCGCGCCTCGTTTGGCTACAGACTCGAGCATCCAGACTGCTTCTGGTTTAGACGGGTCAAACTCTTTGACTGCGGTTACTGACGCCAAAGTAGACGATGGGGTGGCTTCATTGCTCGAGTCCAGCTCTTCATCCGCGTCCAGCGCGAGACCTTCCCTTGCATACGATACAGTCTCTTCGACCTCTTGGCTCAAGTCAATCGGTACCGTTTCTTCAGGTATATACGAGACTCGCAGCTCGGCTGTGTTGTCTGTGCTGAAATGCAATCGTTGCGAGCCAATCTTTTTGACTAGCTGTTCGCTAGCTGCGGCTGCAGCGTCGCCTTGGTGCAGTCTTTGTACTAGCATCGCATGGCCCATGACTTTGATAAACTTGAGAGCTCCACCACGGTAATCCCAGTCAAAGGTTTCTCGTGTAAATTCTCGCAAGTCTTCTAGTTCAATCTTGCCAGGTTGCAAGACGCGTTGGCGGATCGTTTCAATGTCTGCTTGAGGCGAAATAGCCGGATGTGTGTATAAGCGGACGACCTCCATATCTGGGAAGTCTTGTGGCAGTGTTAGCGACTTGTGTTTCGTGCGAAAGAAGCCGCTCTCATTTGTTTGTAGTTCGTGCACAAGATTCTTGCGCCATGCTTTAATACCGTCCTTATCGGCGGTCTTGAGCTTGCAGAGCGACTTGCCGAAGCCTGCCTTGGCAGCCTCCACGGCGATCTTGACACCACATCCAGGAATACCTTCTGGGCAATAGTCACCACCGCTCATCAAAGCAACAAGAACCATACCCTCTCTGTCTAGACCTGTGTCAACAATGGATTGATGGGTGGTGTCGTAGACGGAGACGTGTGTCGGCGGCCTGGAGCCCTTTCCGTCTGCCGACCAATTTCGCAACGTCTTTGTGCAACCAAACATGATGGTATCAACATCTTCACTCAAAACAACATCCACGACACCATTGCGCTGGAGGAGCGCGCATTCGGCTTCCGCCTCGCCTGGCGCCATGTGGGAAGCGAAACCAAAGAGGCGAATCATGCGCTTAGCAAGCGATGTAGCGACACCATCTCCAAGACCGGATCTCTTGTTTCGTTTTATCGCAGGCTTCAGACGCCCGTCAAAGACAAATACGGGCTGGATCGGGGCGGCAAGCAGTCGGACAAGTCGGTAGAAGAAGGTTCGGATCGCGGGGTTTGTGCCACCTGTATAATGTTAGACGATATCTCTCATAATGCATAGTAAGATGGCGCACCTTTGCCAGATAAAGTCTGATACTGCCAGATGGCAACATCAATCGCCATGCGCAACGGGCGCTTTTCTTTATCCAATGTATCGGAGGCAAGCTTGGCCATGGCCACCCGCTGACCGGGGCCTAGCTCCGAGTAGATTCTGCAGCAGATGGATTAGTATTATACTGTATTACAAGTTGACAGGATTCTTACCCCTTGATTCCCATGACGCCGTTTTCATCGTAAAGACGCCGGTCAACGTGGGAAAAGCAGGCAACGCAATCGTGAATTTGTTGATGTGGAGGGGAACCAAACAAATACGCTGCGACGCGGTTAGCTGCCACCCACTTAATTTAGCGCGTTGTAGGCGCTAACGCTTCAGTGGCTTTCCAGGGGGGAACCATCCAACGGCAGCAGAAGCAGTAGCCCCATTGTTTCAACATCACCACACACGAGTAGCAAACAAACAAACCCAGCAGCCAGCCACCAGAGAATGCCGTCACCTTAAACTAGAGCACCTTAATTATCTTGTTGGTCGAATCCTGCAGCATCACACAAAATGTCCAGCGGTTCAGGGCCTGCGCTGGCCCACCGCAGCGTCTCCAACATTCGCTCGACGTCTGGAACGCACAGCCCGTCTGGCCCCTCCACGCCCCCTCGCACGATATCCGCCTCGTTTGGCTCTCCAGCAGCCATCAGAGCTGATGATGACTTCATTCTGATTGAGATTGGCTCGCGCCATGTCAAGGTTGGCTTTGCTGGTGACGCACAACCCAAGACGACACTGTCATGCGGCCGTGATGGCCAAAGGAGAGTTGGCGATTTCCGACAATGGCAAGGTCAACAAGCATCACCGGCCGAGTCATGGACTACACAGCACGAGATATGGCGTTATGATATACGAGACTTGGATCTTGGCTGGGTCAAGGACAGACTGGAAAGCATGCTGCGAGAAGCATTCACAAAGTGCGCCTTCAGCTTCAAACCCTAGGAACAGAATACTAACTAGACTAGATATCTCCTTATCGATTCACGACCTCGGCGTGCCGGCCTCATTCTCGACTCCGATGTCCCCATACCCCTCCTCTCTACCGTTCTCGACATTATGTTTCAATACTTTCTCACACCCATCATATCGTTAATGTCGTCTGCTACCATGACTGCCGTTGGTGCCGGTGTTCGCTCAGCTCTCATCATCGACATGGGATGGACCGAAACCGTCATTACCAGTGTCTATGAGTACCGCGAGGTCAAGACAAGTCGCAGCGTCCGAGGCGGCAAGCTGCTTGTCGACAAACTTTACAAGGCTCTTTATAAATTACATACTGGCAAAGATGAGGAGGAAGGCCAGTCGAGAACAATCAGCTTCGAGGAGTGCGAGGATATAGTGTGTCGATTGATGTGGTGCAGGTCATCCGCCTTTAAAGCATCGCAGCGACAGTCTACACAACTTGATACCGTCGTGGAGCAAGACGAGAACGAAGCTCCTGGCCCAGAATCAAGCAAATCCGCACACATCCCCTTACAGTCGACGACTCCCCCAACTACATTAGAGGTACCGTTTGACAGGTTAGCTGATATCTGCGACGACAACTACTTTGATTCGACATCCTCATCCCTTTCCAACTTTGACGATGACGAGCTGCCGTTGCATCTACTCATCTACCAGCACCTTTTACAGCTCCCAATGGATGTCCGCGCCGTATGCATGTCCCGTATCGTCTTTACAGGTGGCTGCTCCAACATCCTCGGCATCAAGGAGCGCGCACTGAACGAGGTCACGGCGATTGTGGAAAACAGAAGCTGGACGCCTGTATCCGGTAAAAGCGCCGACCTGCTGCGCAACAAGTTACGACTCCAGAGAAGCAGTGCGATATCGCGAACCAGCGAGGTCTCTATCACGGGTTCTACCGATGGAAGCGACGACGGCAGCACGTCCTCTTCACGACCAAGCTCCATAGCAACGGTTGCTGAAGTGGACGCCATTGAAGCCAAGCTTGCGCGCAACAAGAATGCGCCGCCTGTATTCCAGGGCCAGATGCGCGCCATTCACTCGGTTGGTGCATGGGCTGGAGCCAGTCTGCTATGTCAGCTCCGAATACCCGCCACAGCAACCATTGACCGCGAACTATGGCTGCAGCAAGGTGCTACCGGAGCCTCGAGACCAGTAGAGGTCGATTTAAAAGCCCAATCGCGCCAGAGCATGGGCGCGGGAGGTTTGATCCGAGGCAGTGGTGGCCACCATACCAACTGGACGCTAGGAGCATGGGGCTCTACATAGAAAAGAAAAGCATATACCCAATTGTAGATGTACAATTTAATACATACATGTTACTTTGAACTCTTCTCTATTTAATAATTTTTTTTCAATCTATTTTCTTGTTATTTTATTCACCGTGGTTTGCTCGCCATCACTCTAGGCCACCAAGCATCACTGTCCAATTCTACTTAGTCTTCGTCCCCACTACAAAACATCAACCTCAGGAGCTTCTTCCTCTCCAACATCACAGCTCCAGCACCCAACCACTGATCGCTGCGCTGCACAATGAACCGCGCAAAGTGTCTGCGCTGCTGTAGCAGCAGCACACGCTTCCAAATACCCGCCCGAATCCCTCCTTTTTCACGACTCTTCTCCGACCAAAAGCGCCACGCCCAGGCCCCCAAACCCATCATCGACATCAAACACATCCGGCAAAACCCCGCGCTCTACGCCCAAAACTGCATCGACCGCAACTACACCCGCCAAGCAACACATCCCCAATCCATCATCGACCTCCACACCGAATGGCAAAACCTCCAAACCAGCGCCAAAGCCCTGCGCACCCGCGCCAACCTCCTCGGCAAGGGCCTCGCCAGCAAATCCCCCTCTGACATCCCCGAACTCGCCGGCCTCTCCCGCGACGCTCTCCAGGACGAAGCCAAGGCCATCAAGGCCCAATTAGCCACCATCTCGCCTTCCGAGACCGCAGCGCTCGCTGAAATCGAAGCCCTCGCTCTCGAACTCCCCAACATCACTTCCCCAGACACACCCCTCGGCAAGGACCACGAAGTCCTCAGCTACATCAATGAGGCACCCGCCGCCTCCGCCTCCACCAAATCCCACGTCGACATCGGCACACAACTCGGCATTCTCGACTTTGCTGCCGCCGCACACACGTCCGGCTGGGGCTGGTACTACCTCGTCGGCGCAGCCGCACAGCTCGAGCAAGCGCTCGTCCAGTACGCCCTCACCTCTGCCAAACGGCACGGCTGGACACAAGTCTCCCCGCCCAGCATGGTCTATAGCCACATTGGCTCTGCGTGCGGGTTCCAGCCGCGCGACCAGCACGGCGAGCAGCAGGTCTATGCTGTTGCGCAGGCCGCGGAGGACGTTGCGCGCGGTGTGCCGGCGCATGTCCTCGCAGGGACCTCGGAGATCCCGCTGGCAGGCATGAAGGCTAACACGGAGCTGCAGATGGGCGAGATGCCGCTGAAGCGAGTCGCTGTGTCGCGGTGTTACCGCGCCGAGGCGGGCGCGCGCGGCGCAAGTACAAAGGGCCTGTACCGCGTGCACGAGTTCACCAAGGTGGAGATGTTTGCGTGGACGGAGCCGCATGACGAGGATGTGTTTGAGGAGATGCTGGATATTCAGACGGAGATTATTGAGTCGCTGGGTCTGCATGCGCGTATCTTGGCTATGCCGGCTTCGGACCTGGGCGCTTCGGCAGCTCGTAAAGTTGACATGGAGGCGTGGTTCCCGAGCCGTGCGGCTTCTATGGGCGATGGATGGGGCGAGGTTAGCTCGGCAAGCATGTGTACGGATTACCAGGCGCGCAGACTGGCTACGAGATTGCGGTATAAGGGTGACTTGGGCTTCCCGTGGACAGTCAATGGCACGGCGTTGGCTGTGCCGCGAGTGCTGGCAGCGCTGCTTGAGGCTGGATGGGATGAAAATTCTGGCACCGTGGCTATCCCAGAGTGTTTGAGGCCGTGGATGGATGGCATGGATAAGATTGGGCCAAACTTGAACTAACATGGCAAGGAGAAGTCTGTGTATACTACATGTAATACTATAAAATCACATCACATTTTTATGGCTAGTGGAGAGGGGGAAGCTATGCGCTGGGATAAAATCAATACAGCTATCAAAATCAATCGTAATAATGCTAATGCTCTATATATTCTTCATGTCAGTTTGTTTGTAACGTCCCCTCACTACCACACACCACGCAAGGGTCATTGATGACCGTTGTTGCATGCAGCTTTGCACATATAATCACACAAAAACCACAAAGGAGATACAGGAAATTGACAGACAAACGCCAAAACAAAAAGACACAAGTTTCGCTTGTAAAACAAAAGTCATAAGCGCACTTGGGTATGCTACTCATATCTCATGGTTTTCCTTTTCTCTTCGATTCTCGCCTTTCTTTTCTTCGAATTGTAAAACATCGTCACTCCGCCACAGCTGGCATCGACTAGTTGTAGCTGTGGTGGGAGCTATGGTCGTCGCCTTCGTGGTGCAGGGTCACGCTGTTGAATTCGACAAAGGGATCAGCAGGCTCACTGCCAGGCGTGACAAGGCCGCTGTCCAATGGAACGCCATTCTTCATGTGCATCTGCTTGGCACCGCTAATATCCACGCTCTCGCTCTCCTTAACATTGCGGAAGTTGAGCGTGTCAATGGCACGGCCAGCGTTGGGCACAATTGGCGGCTTCATGTGGCGGATAAGAGCCCATTGTGTTGTGCGGAAGAAGGGATGAGCCTTGATATCAGAGGCACCAGCGCGGGCTCCAAGTCGGCGGTTCTCGTCCTTGATCAACAGCTTGCGAATCAAAGATTTACAAAGGCTACAACCGTTAGTATCAACATTGACCATTTGTTAAGGATCAAAACTTACTTAGAAATCTGAGGGGCGCCAGCATGATCAGGGAAGGGAATGTCTTCTCGCAAAATGTTGGCAAAGGTTGCATTGCGGTTCTTACCCTTGAAAGGTGTCGTGCCGTACAACATTTCATACACAAGAATACCCAGAGTCCACCAGTCTACAGCACTGGTATGTCCGCTGCCCTTAATAACTTCTGGTGCAATGTATTCTTCGGTGCCCACAAACGAGTTGGTGCGGAAGTTGGCAATGCAGGATCGAGTGTCAATCGTGGGGAGAGCGTCGGTTCGGGCGCCGTTCTTGCCAACAATCATGGTGGGCTTGCCGCCAAGATCCGATTGTTTTGACAAGTCAAAATCTGAAAGCATAATGTGGCCGGACTGATGGAGAAGAATGTCTGGTGAAGGAGTTGGTTAGCATTTTAGAGTTCACTGGCGCGTCATATCAGCATATACATACTCTCTGGCTTCAAATCACGGTAGATGAAACCCATCAAATGGAGGTATTCCAGGGCTGCGGTGACTTCGGCCGCATAAAATCGAGCATCGTCTTCGGCAATGCACTTTCCAGGACGGGTCTGCAGCGCGCGGAAGAACTCGCCACCACTGCAGTATTCCATGCACAGGTATAGATGCTCCTCGGACTGGAAAGAATGGTAGAGAGTGACGATAAATGGATGGTTGCTGGTGGCCAGGATCTCCTGTTCGGCAAGAGCACGCTTAATCTTGTTGCGCTTAATCATCTCCTTCTTGCTGAGAACCTTCATGGCGTAGAGACGACTGCTCTTCTTTTCACGCACAAGATAGACTTTGCCAACATCGCCCTTGCCGATAAGCTTAATCTTGTCAAAGCTGGAGGGTCCAACTTCGACGTTGCGAACCTTGATTGAGTTGGAGCTGTACGTTCTGCGGAAACCGGCCGTGGTGACTGGAGGGGGCAGAGCGCCGAGGGTGTCGTCGTCGACAATGGCAGATTGGTTCTTGGCGGCAGTTTTGGGACTGGCAAATCCAACGGTTCCAGATTGGGAGTTTTGAATGAGGGGGTCCTTGCCGAGCTCGGCAGTTCCAGGGCGATCGGGATCAATAAGCTTTCCTTGGTCGTTGGCGAAGAGCCCCTGGGCATTAGGGGCACTGGCTACTCGTCGCAAGCGGCGGGCAAGCTCTTCCTTTGTTTCGCTGGTGGCCTTTTTCGACGCGGTGCCATCGGGCCCAGAGATGGTGAGTGTTGGGGTATCTGGGGGGCTAGGAGGTACGGAGCTCTCGTTGTGATGACGCAGACCCGGCTGGCCCTGGTGGGCAAAGTACGGGTTTGCGTGAGCAGTCGGGCTCATGGCCTCTTCAAGCTGGTTGGCCTCGCTGGCGACGGTGTGTGCACGGAGGCGGCCAACGGTGCTGCTAAAGAACTTGGTATGGCGATGAGACTTCGTTGGCGTGTCGGAGCCCGAGTTATTTGAGTTGGTGCCAGAGTCATTCTTATTCTTTTCACCGGGAGCAGGCGAGTTGATTCGGAAGAAGTTGCGAAGACGATGACTGACTTGTGCGGTGCCGCCTGAGGCGTTGGTGTTGTGTTTCGAAGGCATAATGACGTTGTGGGAGGCGAGGCTGAGAGGAGGCGGGCGAAGGTGGAAGGCGGCTGAAGGAGATTCTGCAAGGGGCTGCAGGATCGGGAGATATTTGGTTTGGTGATCGATTTAATTGCTTGGATAGATAATAATTCACAAGACGGAGGCCATGGCTTGGGGCGGACAGGCGACGTGGGAAAACGAGGAGAGATCAGAGGCGTGAGAGGGGGCTGAGGAGAGGAGCGTTGCGTTGGCTAGCTGCTTGGAGCGGACAAACGAGCGAAAGGCGGAGAGCGGGATGCAAGAGGAAAATGTCGCTGAGGAGCAAACACGGAGATGCGGGCGTCTGCGTCGATGGAAACGGCGAGGCGGATGGGATCTGGAGGACTGCGAATGCAAGATGGGATGATGGAGGAGGAGGAGGGAAGGACGGATGATGCAAGAGGTGTTGTGTGTACGTGTGTTGTATTGGTAATAGGCCCAGTCCTAGTCAAGGCACTGGCTGACACCCACTAATGCGAACGCTAGCGCAAAGCAAGAGCACTGTACACAACGCTAGAGCACTGTGCTGCCCGCCCCGGCCCCCTGACGATGAGGCGAGTGGGTGAGGGAACGTGCTGGACCAGGAGAAAAACAGTGGAGCCTTCCTGTATACGCAGCCGCTGAGGCAGAAGAAGCCCAGCATTCCTGCGCGACCTGGACACCTTTTAGCGTGGGAAAAGACGAGCCGAAAAAAATACTACGACGTCATGGCATGCTACGTGGATTTTGCTGTGATTTTCATTTGTTTTCTGCTGCAACAGTGCCGCCCCCAAAATTCATCTCGGAGAAAGACTTGCTTTGCTCGGCTTTACAGTGCATACGAGGCAGCAGCAGCAGACATCTACCTGTACGGCCACCCCCTGTGTCTACCTGCCTGACTAGTGGTATAGCCGCTATATATACTCCGCCCGCGCACCGTACAGTGCGTACGGGCACTACCTTACCGGAGAGATACTGATTTTCCAGACGCTCAAGGATATAGCAACGTTTGTTTGTATGGACGAAAACATTGTTATATTTTAGAATGTTTGAGATAATCACATGTACTCTACAAGATTATACGTTTTTTGTAGCACAGAACGTATCTTAATAAATAAATACTTTTTTACGAGTGTGTTTGGGCTGTATTTGACACTTTCCGTTAAGGTACACGTCGTATGCACCCACTAAAAAGCACTGCGCTAGTGGATGAGGCTCGCCCCCAGCTTCCCTCTTCCAGCGCCCCCGCCCACCCGTTCCATCCACACGGCCCGCATGGCGCAGCAGCTGCTCCAAAAAGAACACGAGTAAATGCGCAGCACCAGTAGCAAAGGCCGCCTCTTGTAAGAATATCGCAGTTGCCCGGACCCTAGCATATTCTTAGAAAGAGTGGCAATGATATCTTAAACACAAGCTACAGGCAGCTGACTGGCACACAGTACTGTCGACACGGATGATTGCATACAGCCGCCCTCCTTCTCATAGCCGCGCAACATAGCCGCGACTTTTCCCGTCTTGGCACGAAATAACCGTCTCACAGAGTACCACGGCGGCCTCACGCACGGCATTGACTTGTCGGACACTCGCTCCGTGGTTGACAGCGCCGCGCATGTGGTTCAATGCAACGTCTTGGACCTAGATCCGTCACTCTGTCAGCATTATGTCCGTAGCAGCGAAAACATAGAACAGCACACAAGTGGGACTTACATCTACAGCAATGGCTCCAACAAACGATACACACATGGTCTCTGCCCCCGACAGCACAGATGTGTTGCTTGGGAAGAAGGCATACATGAGCCGCGCCGCTGCGCCTAGATCTGGCGTGCCGCACGAGTCGAGCACCTTCATCATCGACGAGGCTTTGCTGCCATACACGACACCAAAGAAGTCTTTGCCACGAGCAAGCACATCGGCAGCAGGTGTCTCTGTAAAATCCTTGGTGCGAGTCGTTTGTGTACTGGCATCATCCAGAAGCTCGGGTGGCGTGACTCGTTTCAAAGCTAGTAAGCTATTAATAGTCTAACGTGTGGCATGGTTAGCCATGAGATGTAAAAGCATCGCCAGTTGTAGCCTTTGTACCTTTGGCATGCCAGAGAGAGGAGCGATCTTGATCAATGCTTCGCGATATCTGGTAGCAAGCCGCTTCTGCTCGGTCAGGTCTCCCTCCGCATCGTGAATGAGATGCTTAAGCAATGCTGCCACTTCAGTCGGCTCATTTAACGCACACAAGACGGCAGCACAGATAAGATACCAGGTATCTGGTGGTAAATCCGGGGTGTTTTCAATCTTGACAATCAGATCTGACGTCACAATCGACGACCCTTGTTTAGATGACATGATAAGAAGGAGTAGTATCCGTCGCTGTGTCCACTTAATCCCCAAGATGTCGTAAAAATCGGTCCCTGCAACATCACCTATAAGTAATCCCAGTGGCCGTTGAGTCTCCGTCCCATCCGGGTCTCAGCCGCAGCTGAATTACAAGTCAACATCTTCTCAATATAACCATTCCGATTTCGCTTGAGGTTTAAACAACCTTTCACATCATCTTTTTTCACTTGCCTCGGCTTGACCCACCATTTTGTACATATTGAGCAGTCACCAGACTCTTCTTACTAGCATTGGCAAACGATGCATTCCCAGGCACCTGCATATTCTCCCGTCCAGGCAACAAGATTTATCGATAATTCCGGAGCCGTCGGAACAGTTGATTAGCCACTAAATTGTTCCTGTATTTTATAGTTTCATATGTAAAGTTGTACTGGGTCGTGATACCCAACGGTTGAAACCCACCCTATACGATCTTAAACTGCTCAGGCGTGTCGCCCTGCTTACGCCAGTCTGCCGCCTGAAATGCCTCTTCAGTTTTTAAATACTCATAAATTTTCATCACGTTGGGTGCAAATGCGGCAATATCCATTTTATAAAATAGTGCCTGGTCCACAGCCGGCACCATTACCACGTCGGCCATGCTGACAGCCTCGCCAACAGTGAAGCGCCCGGATTCGCCCGGCTTCCGTGTGCTTTGAATAAGCGCCTCGTACGCTGTAAAGCCCTCTCTAAAAACTATCGTCATAAACTCGTTTCTATCCTCCACGTTATCGCGAATCTGCTTGACGCGGACGCCAATCTTGGAGTTGGTAGTTGGCTGGATATCGTTTGTGACGAGGTTTGTAAAGTCGCGGACAAGAGCACGGCCAACGGGATCGCTAGGTGGCGGCAGCAGCGGAGTCTTTCCAGGGAATTGCTCTTCGAGATACTCAAGAGCTGTCGTCGACTGGCGGATCACAAGATCGGCTTCGGCCCCGGCTTCGGAGACTACCAAGGTTGGAACCGTGCCGAAGGGGTTTGCGGCTTGTTTGTAAGCATCGCCCCGTTGCTCGCCGGTGCGCAAGTCAACATAGCTAAACTCTAGCGGGATACCTTTAAGGTGGGCCGCAATGATAATTCTATGGGCGCATGACGAGGAGAAAAACGAATACAAGCGGTACTTGCTGGTCATGTTGCGTGAGGTTGGGTTTACAAAGGAACCATGGCGGCCGCCGTGACCGGCTCAATGTGGCCGCCATGGCGTCTTTAACTGTCCTGGTTCTGCTGCGCCGCACTCTGCCATGCTATTCTATTCTGAGAAAGTTTGCTTGTTGGTTGGCAGCCTCGTTTATGTTTGCTCCACTGCGGCGTTAGGGATGGAAAGATCCCGGACGGTAATGCAGAGCCTGATGCGCACGTGTTGGCTCAGCGTAGGTTGGCAACTATTACTTATGAACAGAACAACGCAGGGACATCAAGAAAAGACAACGAGGTCGGATACTGTTCTGCGCAGAGAGAAAGATCGGCGATTGGTAAAACTGCGCCATGATTAGATGCGGCGTGGTTTCGGGGATTTGGGCCTGTAGGTGGTACGACGAACTTTTGTCTGTCTGTATAAGTGGGATTGCACGTAATTTGGCCGACGAGCCGCGCTTGTGAGTCATCGCTAGGTTTGGCCTCTTTCCCAGGCTGGCGCTGCGCAAGTTTTGTATGATGATGCAATTCCAGCCAGGAAAAATGGCCTAGGATTGTCGTACCTCGAATCTAGTTCCTGGCATGAAGTCTATCGAAAGGATGCAGTGTGGCGGATGTTGGACGGAGTGTGACTGCCGGTGTGGCGCCTAATGCCAAGCGGCAACATAGACCGAAGCGACGCAAGCAACGTAAATCTTGTATATTCGTAGTAGTTGAAAGTATTTTAGTCATATGATCTATCCAATGCAGATACTCCAAACCCCAAAAAGTGAATAGTAATGAAAATCCCCAAATTTTGACGCCAGACCCAAATGGACTTACTCCGGACACGGTCTTCTCACCAGTCATGCAATACACGACGTATGACGCTGAACATCATGTCATTTTAGATGTGTCATTAATTGCAGCATCGGATCCATTGTTGTTGTTGTTGTCGTCGTCATCCTCGCTGTCGCTTGCAAATTTAGCGTCTCGTTGTATCAAAAGTTCTTTTAACTTGCGTCGGTTATTGTAGTACGTGACGAGGTCCTCCTCCCGCTGGTATCGCACCCACGGAGTCACCTGGTTGCCATCCTTATCGAGTAGAAACGTTGGCACCTGATCAACATCTTTGGGTTTCCAGCAATCACCCTCATTCCTAGGTCCTTCGCCCATATGCCAGGCAAAGGGAACAAGGTGAGCGACCTCGAGATGTGCAAGCCACGCCTCTTCTGAGCCAAACTGCGTGGGGAGAGCACCATCGACTGCCGTGGCGCACTTAGCCCAGCGGCACTCGTGCTTCTTGGCATCAAGGTGTTGCTTACTTTTAGTACGTGCCTTGGGGTTGTGAACCAAGTGCAGGTGCCGGCGCAGGGTCGCGAGGTTGTGCAGCTCGGCAGCACAGCCCTGCCACTCACAAGCGAACGCCACAAACGATGGCCGAATGGTACGAAAGAGGTGATGCGGTTCAGGATATGGTACCTTGGGGGGCCGACCTCGTCGCTTGACCAGTCCGTCGGGCGGCTCTTGGACAGTGTTGGGGTCCTTCAGCTTTGGAGGTCTACCCACCCGACCTCGTCTGGCAGCGCCTCTCCCTCGTCCTTGACTGGGCGTCTGGGTATCTGAAGTCGGAGGGTTCCGGCTGTGAAGCTCGGAGTAAGACATACCGGACCTCCAGCTCCTCGGCCTGCCACGCCCGCGGCGAGCTGGGCTGTTAACGGCGCGATTCCCGCCATTGGAGTGTGCAGGGTTAGGCTTCTGCTGCAGCTGTTGTTGATGCAAGTGCAGGTTCAGCGGAGCTCCCTCGGTAGCGGTATGCTCCGTACCAGAATTTGCCGGGATCTGCGTAGTCTCATCTGTGGTAGTAGTCGTGTTTAGAAAGGAGAGCACTAGCTCAAGCCTGGAAGGCGGCGGCGGTGGGTTGCGCTGAGCGGCAGTGGTAGGTGTGAATGGATGCGTGAATGTGGATGACTGGGATTCACTGGCGTCCCGATGCGTCACACCGTTGGTGCCGTCATCATGGCCCACTAGATGTGCTTTTGCATCAGTCGTCTGCTCTTTTTGCCGATTGGGCATAGACTCATTTTGGACAGGCACAGAGACAGAGGACATTGGCAATAACAAGCAGCCAGGGATAACGGTACTGGCGCGCTCGATTGTGTAGCCTTGTCCGGGGGGTTGTTCTTGACCGCCCTCCCCTTCTCCGCGCAATGAGTAATCGTGGGGAAAACTACAAAAGCTTATGGAACTAATCCATCCAATGTTATCATGCAAGAGGAGACGACGACGCTGCAGCCGCACGTTGGTGGGTGCGGGGTTGGTGGTGTTGGTTGTATGATTGTGCAAAGCAAACAAGCAAAAGTTCAGGCACAGCGAGGCCGCGTAGGGAAATGCGTGGTGGATGACGTTGGCATTGGCGTCTTTGCACTTGCGCCAGCCGGCGGGCACCTGGCGGCACCTCTGGGTACTTGCTTGGCCTCGGGGTCTTTTTGCGAACCGTGGCCCCGACAGTGGCATTAGTGTCTCGTGCCCACTAATTTACAGCGGGCAAGGAAACCTAAAAAAGAGGGCAACGGAGAAAAAAAAGTACCGTAAGGCAGGGCGCTAACAAAAGTGCAGTGACTGACTGACTAGGCGGCACGCACGGGGTACGTAGAGTACGAGGTGGGTGCTATACCCGTTGGGTTCGGGTCATGGTTTAGTGGGTGCCTGCTGTATTTCCGAGCTGGTGTGGAAGTACTGTAGGATTACTTTTCCCGCCTAGGCAGACGGATTATTGTTTCATTGAGGCAGTAGAATAAAACTAATGCATTCAGTAGTGGTCAATATTTTGTAAGAATCCGAAAAAGGAAAAATAGTACACAATTAAACGAGGAAGAAACGCCCACTTGTGCTATATGGCGGTTGCCTTATCTCAACACCACCACTACACCACTGCAACCACCACCACCCACCACCATGACCAAGGCCAAAAGGGACCCAATGCCAGCCACAAAACTTTGTAGCCTGTGCAAGGCTGACCAATTCGACTGCAATGACACTACACTGCACTGCAACCGCACCGCGCTCTGCACTTTTGTCATAACCCAGGCCAATTGACTCTTCCAGCGTGTCCGGTTCGGCCTCTTTGTCACCATCTTCTTCTACTCTAAGCAACGGCAAATGCCAAACAGTAGTTACTGACAGACTATCAACGGACAGAGACACATCATACAGTCAGTAGTTTATGCTGCTGCCATAGCCTAATGATCTCCAAGCCTCCTGCTACAGTACACACTCCCACCCCCCTCTCACTTCCCTGTGCAGCCCACTATAGGCCAGGCTGCTCCCCCCCAAAAGGTGCCGTGCCGGTCTCCGGAGCACGCTAAATTTTTAAACAGTAGCGCTCGTACACACCCACACTCTCCGCTCACTCTATATAACTAACCACCTTTACCACACTCCCAACCAACACTTCCACCCAACACCATTGCTGCTGGGCTTCACCACAACTCGGCCCTACCAACAGTCAATATGTCGTCCTTGTTTTCTCTTCATAGCAGCTAAATGGTAAACAGCAGTACGATCATAGCAAATACACCAACCAAGAACAATGGCTTCGCCTAAACCCCCCACCATACAACTCTTCCTCAAACCGCACTTTTACGCTGGCGAGGCCACCCTCATCGATGCCACCGTCATCTTTCCTCACAACGTAATCAATGCCAAAAGTGGCCCTATTCTAATCTACGACCTCTTCTACGAAAACGTTCCCTGCTATGTACACACCGAACGCAGGGTCCGCGGCATCGACAAGATGGGCAGCGTGCCCTTTATCTTTGTCGATGTCAACAAGTACCGCCAGGACTGGCGCCCCGGCCGAGACATTGTCGGCGACCTGAAGCTCGAGCTGCAGGTATTTCCTCGCAAAGTCACCAAGGACACGCCCATTGGCCCCCGTATGGATATTCGCGCCGATGGTGGCGGCCTGATTGGCGCCGGCGCATACTTTCTGCCCGCCATAGCGAAAAAGGGCACTTACGAGTTTTCCGTCGAATGGGATCTTTCACTCGCTCCACCCGGCACACGAGCTGTCTGGACATATGGCGAGGGCCCGAGGCGCCAAACTCATATTGGCGACCAGGATACGCTGAGACAGACGGCCTACATGGTTGGGCCGATCAAGTCATATCCCGCAGAGCCGAGCACGGACTCCCCGCCTGGGTTTTGCGCAACATACTGGCTCGGCACGTTGCCGGACAATCTGTACGCACAGCGTTGTTTTAATACCGAGCTGTTTGCAAAATTATCACATACGCTTGGAGTCCCGCAGGATACATATCGCGTCTTTATCCGCAATGCTGCCACTGGCTACGGTGGCACGAGCTTCTCTCAAAGCTATGTGCTAGACTACGATGAGCGGGCACGATCTGAAACTGCAAGTGAATTGCAGCGCCTATTTACGCATGAAATGATACAAACGACCACGATTTCCCAACAAACGTCTGAAGAAACCGCCTGGTTTGTCGAAGGTGAGTATACCTGACTAGACCCGCACCACTGCCTTCTAACGTCCATCCAGGACTACCGGCCTATCTAAGCGCCTTTTTACCATATCGATACGGTCTCGTAGAAGAAGACTACGTCCTGACCGAAATCAACAAGACTCTTTCCAAATACTACTCAAATCCCAAGGCGCGCTTTTCTCTCGACGAGGCGCTCCGCGCTACATATACAGACTGGTACCTCAGCGTTCTTATTTATAGCCGCGGTTTTACATATCTACTGCTGCTAGATTTCCGCCTTCGTGCATTATCCGAAACATACGGTGTTATGACACAGAGTCCGCTCGAAGACATTGCCATTGAGATGCTTACGCGCCGGCGCGAACGGCAGCCGTTCAACATGGAGGTCTGGTTCCGCGCGCTACAACGGTGGGCCGGCGAACGCATCGACTATAGAAAGGAATGGGAGTATTTTCACGCCGGTTCACTTATTGACCTTACAAGCGCGTGGCTGTTTTCGCCTCATAACCCAATTGTACGCCGAGACTTGCCGGTTTTGGTGATTGGCATTGATATACTCCCCCGCGAGGGCGCACAGTATATTTCCGGTATCACACGAGGCAGCCAGGCTGAATTATCTGGCATCGAGCGCGGAGACCGCATCATCGGCCTTCAACGAGCCGACGTATGTGCCGATTTACCTGACGAGCCGTTCTGGGCCGTGGTAGACCGCGGCGGAAAGTTCAAGAAGATCCAATGGCAGCCACGCAGCGCGACAAAAGTCCCAGCGTGGACGGTGGAGAGTTTCCAAAATTGAATTTGACTAATTGAATCCCCAAAAACATATATCTTTAGAGGGGCATGACTGCATTTTTATCGCGAGTTTTCAGCTGATGCGCTTACGTCGCCACGCACTTTTCTGGCATCATCATCCTCATTTCATTTACATAGCTCTGCTTTAAAAAAATATACCAAATCTTTTAACTCACCATCCAAATCCGACTCCGTAACTCCATAAAACTACCCCTCTTCCCAATATCGAACGTACATGTCCGTCCCACCATGGAGTGACTCACCACGCCATCTCACTAACCGAAAATCTCTCACTCACTCACTCTGCATCTTCCTCCTTCACCATCACAACCTCAACCACCCATGTCTCTCACACCAGATCCCCCTATTCCCGGGCTCACTATCCGCCCGGAACTCCCGCCCGACGCAGCGCCCATCACAGCCGTCACCCTCGCAGCCTTCAGTGCCTCCCCCCACGGCGAAGAAGCCATCGTCACCGCCCTGCGCGCCTCCTCGGCCCTCACGCTCTCTCTAGTCGCCGTCCTCCCTCCTTCCTCCCGCTCGCCATTCTCGTCTCCTGTACCATCACCGCCTCGCGAAGAACCCGAATCGGACCGCATTGTCGGCCATGTAGCCTTTTCGCCCGTCCAGATTCTCGCTGAGCCCGGCGCGGCGCCGCCGCCGCAAAAGTGGGTCGGTCTCGGACCCGTGTCCGTCAGTCCAGCCTTTCAGCGCCGGGGTATCGGGGCGGCCTTGATTGCTGAAGGCCTCAGGATCCTTCGCGAAGAGGGCCACTTTGATGGGTGTGTGGTCTTGGGGAACCCTGTGTTCTATGGAAAGTTTGGATTTGTGGTGGGCAAGGGGCCGGTGCTGGATGGCGTCCCAGCCAAGTATTTCCAGGCGCTGATGCTCAAGGAGAGCGTAGAGTGGCCAGTAGGAAAAGTAAAATATCATGAAGCATTTGGTGTTTAAAAGAACTAGGCATAGAAGAGGGAAGCATTTGGCGGCGTTTTATGAAAGATAAATCTAGCATTGGTACTTTCTCATAAACATTCTTAAAGGCGGGCATCGCCGTGCAACTGCCCAGGTTCATCTGTTGGTGGTAGTCATCTCTATTCATATCTTTTAGAAGCCGAAAGGGGCTATGGCTCTGGGCTGCAGAGTACTCTAGCTTTGCAAATCACATTACGGAACTGCATCTGGCCTCCGTTCTCATCTCCGCGCTTAATTACGCCTGGAAACACACAGCACCAAATCTCACGGGCTTCTAGCCCATCCTCCTCCTCGCCGCCAATATCCTCCATCACATCCGCCTCAAAATGGACGCGTTGATGGGGTAATATCTCAGGCATGTACACTCGAAGTACGGCCTTTTGGACCGCCAGTAATCGCGCAAGATCTATAGCGCTGCCAATCAGCGCTCGCAGGGCAGCGTCTCGCGGTGGTGATGATGCTGGTGCATCGGTGAGACTTGTGAGGAGGTGGGTTATGCGGGTGACAACGTCATTTGTAAGGGTTGTAGTGGGAGTATTGAACATGTTAGGAGCATCGCGGTGGAGTAATGATAGTGTGTTGGCGCGCCATTGATTGACGGGCTCTTCAGAATGCGAGAATTGCGCAAGCAGCTCCTCCATTTGTTGGAATAGTTGTGTTTGCTGTGAATCCAGGCCGACAAAGTAGGCGTTAAATACCATATCTACCAAAATTTTGGATACCACAGACTGTAGTAGGTGGACTTTGGCAATCTTGGCGAGTTCTTCGTACATGGGCACAAGTTCGCCGAGTTCTGTGATGCTTGCTTCGGAGGCTCTCTCGAGGTCTACAACACCACTAGTTAGTACAATGCCCCTTGATCTCATCAAAAGAAGACAGGTCGAATAAGACTTACCCAGCTTGGCTTTTCGGAAATGTTGGATTACCCAGTTCTGTAATCCATTCCCCAGCCGCGCCATGCCATCCCCAAACACTTCGTCAGACGTCTGTCCATCCGTCCGCGTGCTCGTGCTAACAAACTCCTTTAGACCGCGCACTTGGCTTTTCAGCCCTCGGACCTCTGCATCCTTTTCTTTAATTTCGCGCTGCATAATTTCCCAGCCATGCCGCAACTCCTCCCGCTCTGCATCGCGAACCTCAACCTCGGACCGTATCAATCGCAGCTCCGTGTCCGCGCGCAGGAATTGCTGATTCAGCACGCTATGCTTTGTCTGCCAAAAGGTGGCCGTCTCGCTCTCGTTTTGCGACAGTTTATCCAGTTCGCGCTGGAACTCGCGCTCCATCAGGTTCATCTCGGCCTGCAGCTTGTCAATCGTCTCCTCCTTCTGCCGCAGCTGGACCAGCAGAGCCGCCGAGCTAGCCGTGTCCCGCTGATGGGACTTTGTGCTGCTGCGGCTCAAGTTGCCGCTTGTTGACGACGGCATGTCCTTTTCTTTATCTTTGTCTTTTTGGTCCGAGTTGATGCTTGCTGACGTAGTGTTGCTAGGAGTATCGTGGGTGTCTGTGTTGGAGGCGTTGACCATAGCCGCTCGGGGCGGAGGTGCGGGCAATGTTGTGTCGGTAGAGGATGTTGCCATAGGCTTGCTGCCATGGGCTGCTCGTGGGATAGAGCTCATTTTCTTCTTGTCTGCCGGTCCCATTTTCGATATTCCCCTCCCGTCGTTATCCTGCTGCCTGGCGTCGGTCCGGGATGTGTCTCGTGCGCTGGCGACGTCGTGATAAGAGTCGCTGCAAGTCTGTGCTATGTGTGCAGGTACATGGTGGCACCAAGAGTGTGTCAACCAAGATCTAGACGAAATTCCCTTCCGGCCTCTTTGGAAAATATGCTTTTCAAGGCAGAAATTCTATCTAGACTCTCTCTTCGGCGAGGTGGTATTCGACCAGTGGCTGCAATTGCTGATGCCTAGTTTCAACGTTGCTGTGAATTGGTGGGGTAGTACGGGTGGTCAAATGCCGCTTGATAGCCACAAGCCCGCCCGCCCAGCCAAACTTACATAAGGAATGGAAATGGCGTCACGGGTAGCCAGCGATCGGCCGATGCAGATAATCGCCGGTGTGCTCTTATGTAGTTTACGGAATAGAAATAATATTCTAGTTTACTTGAGAGGGCTGTTTAAAGAGAACTTTTCATTCCTAGTACATCAATTGTGTCGATGAATGTCATCTGCAGTCCCCCACCTATGCTGGTAATACTCGGCCCGACCCAATTCTTATCTCACTCCATGTTCCTCTTGCGCCTTTTCAGTGAACCTATCAGCCAGCCTCGTGGAATCACATTGACTCGTATCTGATTAGAGTCTTAGCGGTAATTTATATGATCGTCCCTTCCATTGGCTCATTTCTTCATACGCTTAATTCACGGGATGTGGATGAAAAACTGGTGTGAACGTTCACTCTTCTGTTTAATAAACCAGCCAAACTTTGGCCAGCTCCATTTGATATCTATACCATTTCGTCACTGCATAAGCTAAAAATAAACAAATCATTTGTCCCTTTTATTTTCTTCCACCACAAAACTCCTTTAACACGCTACCGTTAGCAGCAACTTACTCGAGCTGCTGGAAAGCACGGTTGATGGTGGAGCGGACGTTGGTGCCCTTGTAGAACTCGATCGTGGCAAGGGCGCGCTTGGCGATACCCTCGGGGTTGAACTCGAATCTCTGTAAAGTGTTTGTTAGAAAATATGTAGTTATACGGATTTCGAATAAAACTTACGTTGTAGACGTCCTTGTAGGCACCGGAAGCACCGAAGCGGTTGAGACCAAACTGCTCGTGGGCGTAACGCTCCCAACCAATGGTGGTGAGGACCTCGACGGACATGGCGGGGATGCCGTCAGGGAGAACAGAGAGGCGGTAGTCCTTGTCTTGAGCATCAAAGACTTCCGTGCAGGGCATGGAGACAATGCGGGCCTTGACACCGTGCTTCTCGGCGAGCTCCTTGGCAGCGTCAACGCAGATGCCAACCTCAGAACCGGTGGAAATAAGAGTGACCTGGGCGCCCTCAGTCTCCTGGAGAACGTAACCACCCTTGGCGGCCTTCTCGATGGTGGAACCCTCGAGCTGGGGAAGGTTCTGGCGAGAAAGGGCAATGACACTGGGAGTGCCAGAAGCCTTGATGGAGACGAGGTAAGAGGCAGAAGTCTCGTTACCGTCAGCAGGGCGCCAGACCATGCAGTTGGGGAGGGCACGGAAGTGGGCGAGAGTCTCAATGGGCTGGTGAGTAGGACCGTCCTCACCGAGACCAATGGAGTCGTGGGTGGCGACCCAGATGGCGCGGAAGTGAGAAAGGGCAGAGAGGCGGAGAGCACCGGCAGCGTACGAGACGAAGTTGAGGAAAGTACCGGAGTAGGGGATGACGGTGCCGTAGGCGGCAAGACCGTTCATGATGGCACCCATGGCGTGCTCACGGACACCGTAGCGGAGGTAGCGGCCAGTGTAGTCACCGAGGCCGGAGGAGGGAGGCTGGAAGTCAACAGCATCCTTCCAGCGGGTAAGGTTGGAACCGGTCAAATCGGCGGAACCACCCATGAGCTCGGGCAGGACGCCCTCAATCTTGGAGAGAACAATCTCAGAGAGCTTGCGGGTAGCAACGGCAGCGTCGTTGGGGGAGTAGACGGGGAGAGCCTTCTCCCAGCCCTCGGGGAGCTCGCCCTTGAGGCGGCGGGTGAGGTCAGCGTGCTCGGCAGGGAAGGCCTCGCCGTACTTGGCGAGGAGCTGGTTCCACTCAGCCTCGAGGGCAGCACCCTGAGAAGAGTGCTTGCCGTAGAGGTCGTAGACCTGCTGGGGAACGACGAAGCTCTCCTTGGGGTTGAAGCCCCACTTGGTCTTGACTTGCTCAATGTCGTCGGCCTTGAGGGGAGAGCCGTGGACACCGTGGGTGCCCTCCTTGAGGGAACCGTAGCCAATGGTGGTGCGGAGCTTGACCATGGAGGGCTTGTCCTTAACGTCCTGGCAAGCCTTGATGGCCTGCTCGATGCTGGCAAGGTCGTTGTCACCATCGCCGACGGTGACGACGTGCCAGCCGTAAGCCTCGTAGCGCTTGACAACATCCTCAGTGAAGGCGACGTTGATGTCACCGTCAATGGAGATGTGGTTGTCATCGTAGATGCAGATGAGGTTGCCGAGCTGGAGGTGACCGGCGAGGGAAGAGGCCTCACCAGAGACACCCTCCATCAAGCAGCCATCGCCGAGGAAGCAGTAGGTGTAGTTGTTGACAATGTCGAAGCCGGGCTTGTTGAAGACGGCGGCAGTGTGAGCCTGGGCAATGGCAAGACCGACAGCATTGCAGATACCCTGACCGAGAGGGCCGGTGGTGACCTCAATGCCGGGGGTGTCGTGAGCCTCGGGGTGACCGGGGGTGATGCTGCCAAGTTGCTGTGTTTCGGAAAAATTAGCGTCAGGCCACCAAGGCTGAAGATTGCATTGGGATTAACTTACACGGAACTTCTTGATGTCGTCGAGGGAGACGGCATAGCCGAAGAGGTGAAGGAGAGCATACTGAAGCATGCAGCCGTGGCCGTTGCTGTGGGTTGACAAACGTTAGGAGGCCGATGCCGGTGAGGCGTAAGCGGGCACTGTGGGTGGTGTGGTGCAGCGCCGCCGGGATTGGACTTACGAGAGGACGAAGCGGTCACGGTTGAGCCATGAGGGGTTCTTGGGGTTGAAGTTCATGAACTTGCTGAAGAGAACGTGGGCAACGGGAGCCATACCCCTACGGCAAGTTAGCAAAACGGCCGTGTCAATCGCCGTTTCGGCGGCTACCGGAAAGGTCGGGAGTGAGTGTGCTTACATGGGGGCACCAGGGTGGCCAGAGTTGCTGGCGAAGGTGGCATCAACCTAAAAGGTGCATGTTAGCAGCAATTCGGGCATCAATTGTAAGTTTACGAGTTGAATTCAGCGTGGCGGCCAAATTGCGCTACTTTTTTTTCTGATTGGGGATGCGCCCTTGATGGCTGAAGCTCTGGGAGCTCTGGCGGGGTGCGATGGCGGGGTTGCTGTGGTGTTGTTGGGAGGGGGAAACTTACCGCCAACAGGCGGATGGTGTTGATGGCTAACTGATCAATTTCTCCGTAGCTCATGATGAAGGATGATTGCGGTGATAAAGTTCAAAAAAAGGATGAAGGAGGAGGAAGAGAAGAGAGTTGGCTTCAAACCGGGGCGGGCAGTAAGAGGGGTATATGGATGGCCAGAAGGTTTTGGTTTGAAAATTATTATGGGGCGCGCTTTGTTGGGAGGGGTGAGGCAGATAAGATATGACGGACCGGACTTTACCGCCAGCTGCCTGTACGACGTCACAGAGCAGCACCTGTTCCCACAAAGCAGCAACCGTTCCTCTTTTTTTTTCTCTGCCAATGCACGTTTCTCAACTGCGACTCCATACAGGTGCGGTGCCAAATCTCCATAGTGACGCTATGAAACTCCATAGTAATGCTACGGGGACTGCTCTTCTATACTCCATGCACTCCCTTCCACATGCTGCATTCACTCCATCCCATGCGTCTACTATGGAAACCAAAAGAAACAACCAGGAAGTCAAGTGAGAAACAGAAAAATAACCAAGACGGATAAAATTAAGTAAGTTTTGTAAACCTTAGCAGCAGCTATGGAAAAGGTTCACAGCAGCAAACCATATTCAATCTCTGCACTTAAAATCACAGTTTCACTTTTTTCAAGTTATTTTTTCTTCATTTTCAAAAAGGCTTCTTTCTTTCGAATGATATAAAATATCAGACCATGCACCATGGACAATGGACCATCGGCCCATTACGAAACTCGTAATATACGCACAATCACAAAACCACACACACGTAGCCACGCACCGCTCTGAACAATGAAGAACCAAATTGACATCGCAAAGACCAAACTCTGGCTCGAGCAACTACTCCAAGCAAGCGCACATGGGTCCACTACTACGGCACATTCAGCTTTAACAGAACGTCGTTTGCAAAGCCTCCTCCAACTCTGTAACCTGCACCAATGAGTGGAGGTTGCTATAGCAAGTATCTCGCAACACGGTAGTCTGCCTAACCAAGAGAGTTTACTCTCGTGTAAACAAAGACGCGTGACTACATGCACACATACACAACCTGTAACATACACGGGATACCATAAAGACGCCAACGCATGCTCTTGCCAATCACGATGAAGGCTCAAACGACGATGCTTCCTTCTCGTCAAATCGACCGCTCTCAGAACCTATATACCACTCAGGCTCTCAACAGCCCCTTTTTGAATATACAATGCCCACATTTCAATCTGCTTCAAGATCAGGGCTACTGCGATCCTACTACGCCAGATCAACCATGTCAACTTCACAACCTTCAAAAACGGAGGAGAATACCAAGCTGCTCGCAGAGCTACCAAAAACAATGGCATGGATCCAAACGATTCTTGAAACACCTATCGTGAATGATATGCGTGGAATGAGCCCTCGAACATATTCAATTGCTATCGATTTGTTACGGCGCTGCCAGAACCGGCACGTCGAATTGCTAGGCAACAAGGAAACCACAGAGGACCCCTACCTACTGGCCTTTCGGCGCATAAAAGCAGGCCTAGAAAGCAAAATAAAAGCTGACCAAACATTTCTCCCTTCACTGGTTAAGTTTCGCAACATGATAGACCAAAGCTTGCTGCAACCATACACGATCACGTTCCCCGAGCAAGACGTGCTATGGAGCAAAGACGAGAGGACAGAAGCTGTCAAGGCGGAAGCAGAAGCAATCATGGCACGCAAGCATACAGAAACTCAAGTCATTGGAATATTTCTTAGCAAACCATGGCGGATTCTCAAGGAAGTCATGGACAAGGAGCGAGACAGGACTGGCGAACCTGGGAAACCTCCTCCACAAAAGCCATTGATGGGCTTCTTTCACAAACTGGCCATTCTCAACATGACTACAGACTTTAGCCAACTTAGCAATTCTCTTGATGTGTATCTTAAAGGGTGCAAGCGACCGCCTATGCGAGTGCTGGAGATGTTGGCCCGCTACAAGGCCTGGCTGGATCTGGCACGGGCAATTGCGGACCGGCTTATCGCATTGGATAAAGAAGAATGGCAGAATCCACAGCTTAAGATCAGGGCAAGAGCAAACATTTACCATTTTTCCCGGCGGTATTTTCAGATGTTTGACTGGGATGACGAGGCCAAGACACTGAAGGGGTACAAGGTGTTGGATCTTATACCTTTCCCTTAGCCATTGTTGTCTTTGCAGTCATTGGCATTCTTGTGTTATTTCTTGGTAAAAAGATATTCTAATTAGACTATTTAATTCCTTTTGTCAATTTTCTTTTTTAAATTACAGTCTACTTGCTGTGAATTGTATCCAATCTCCAATGCTGTCGCTACTCGGCATCGACCAGAGACCGAGCTCCGTCGATCAACCCCACCAATAGCGATCCAAGTCTGGATGTCCGGAACTGGTCAAGTCCGCATCTGGTATATAAACAAACAACATTCATATCTACCCACTAACTTTAGTCTAACTAGCAATCAATCATTAACCACAATGCCATCATATGCTCTCATCGCCGGTGCCGGCGCAGGCACTTCCGCCTCTGTTGCCCGCCTCTTTGCAAAACACTACACCGTCGTCCTCCTCTCACGCAACGAAAAGTCCTATGCACCCACTATCCAAGACATCACCGCCGCTGGAGGCAAAGCAATTGGCATCATCGCCGACCTCGCTCAGCCGGACGCAGTAGGCGCCGCCTTTGACGAGATTGAAAAGCAGCTGCCTGGCCACGATCTCGCTGTTGCCGTGTACAATCCCGGTGCGGGGTTCCAAATGGGTTCGTTTCTCGACATGAAGCTAGAAGACCTGGATAATGGACTCGCTACTAGCACGTAAGTATCATTTTGTATCTACTGAGAAGATTGTACTTTTACTGATGCACCACTGCAAGCCGTGGACTGTTTAGCTTTGCCCAGCGCGCCATCCCGCTACTTCTCAAGATGGTGGCCGCGACACCTGCTTACCCGCCTACACTGATTGTCACTGGCGCAACAGCGTCGATTCGCGGCGGTGCACGCTTCTCAACTTTTGCTAGTGGCAAGTTTGCCCAGCGCGGTCTCACGCAGTCTCTTGCGAGAGAGTTTTCGCCGCAGGGCGTCCATGTGGCTTATGCGATTATTGATGGTGGCATCAAGTGGCCAGATGCCAAGTGGATGATGAATGGCGGCGCAGAGGATGGCATGCTGCTGCCTGATTCGGTGAGTTTTTATAAGGTGTCTGAATTGAGGACAGAGCTAACTTGCGTGTGATGTAGATTGCGGAGAGTTATTGGCATTTACATACGCAGCATCGCTCGGCGTTTACGTTGGAAATGGACCTGCGGCCGTACATTGAGAAGTTTTAATATGATACGAGTAATGATGATAGACAAATTCATGTATTTTATATTAGTAATAATACAAAGAGAGTGATTGCTATAATGGGCGTTGATAGCTTTAGACTTCCGTCTCAACATCCGGTTCTCGGCCGTCCAGAGAACCTAGCTTGCGAATCTTGCGGAACGCAAATTTGGCTTCGTTCTTGGCAAACTGTGCATTTCGGAGAGGTTTCCACTGCATAAGACCCCTCTGTTTGCGGTGCAAGTCACGGCTGCGCTCCTTATAGTCCCGGTATGCCTGGAGTGGCGAGCTGCTCTTTGACGCGGACGTCATTTGCGAAGCGGCATCGTCAGCCATGGAGTGCCGTGTCTTGGATGACGGTGTGGAGGGCTCGCTCAGCGTTGAGGAGCCGTCTTGAATGCCTAGGTCAGGGGCGGAGCTGTCATCGCTTTCCTCGACATCGTCGCCGTCCTCTTCCTTGTCTGAATCCACATGGTGCTCGTTGTTTTTGGACAGTGACTTCTTGACAGCCACGTACTCGCCAACATTTTTGCCAAATGCGCCGCTCCAGTCAGTGCCGTCCTTGGCCAGCCACTTGGCCTTTTCCTTTTCAGATGCCATTTCAAGAACATCACGGCCTTGAGTGAGTGATGCATCGTGGAGTTGGGCCGTCAGCCGGGGTACCTCTGCCTTGACTTCTGTCTGGCGAACACCTTCAGCATAGCATGCCTCCCAGGTCTCGATAGTCTCGCGGGAGTCGTTGTCGCTCGCGAATCGGATGTGATCCGAATCTGTGCCCGGTGAGAAGCGGCCCTTGAAGCGGACGCGGCCAATTTCCTCTAGTTCAATGTCAGGAATCTCCTTGAAGTTTTCGCCGGTAATGTAGTTTTGCGACAGACGAAGAGCGTTGTCGCACTTCCACAGTGGGATGTCGAATTCCTGCTCCTCAGCATCCGTAAGCTCGAGGAGCCATAGAGTGGCAAAGGCGTCGGCATGGCGGCGGTTGATGGGGTGGAATTCAAAGAAGATGGGCGATCGGTAGCGATGACGAACGGGCATGCGAATGGTATGGCTTCCATTCTCGCCGCTAATGTCAAAGGTCATGCCCTCGCCTTCGGCCTTGGAGAAGGATCGCTTGACGCTGGCAGTGGAACCGCCAGTGCGTAGTCTAAGCTTGGCCTTGGACGCTGGGGCGTACTTGGATGTAGCGATTGTTGGCGAAGTAAACTCGAAGGTGCCAATGTCCCATCCTAGTTGTGGTGGAGGGAGTCTGAGCTCAACGGAGCGGAACAGAATGGAGATTCTGGCTCTGCCGAAGCCAATGCCGCCGTCCAATGGATACCATCGAGTGCATTCGCTGCCCTTTTGTAGAATGTCGGATAGCTTGAGAGGAACAACACCGATCAAAGCGTCGTGTTGACGGTGTCGGGCATCGCGAACAGCTATAGTGACAATGGAGGATCTCCAGTCGCGAATGAAGCGCTCAGTACCAGCATTGAAAATGGGGCGAGACGAGACAACCTTGGTTCGAGTCTTGTAGACTAGCTCGTCGTTGACGAGAATAGTGCAGTATGAGCTGGGAAGCTTGCTATGCTGCTCCTCCTTGACTTCACCGGCCTCAGGTCTTGCGGGCTCATACTCTTTGCCCTTGCGATTACCATCCGATCCACTGATATTTGACAGCTCCAAGCCAACAATCTGATGGACAACAATGCTAAGCACACCAGATGGCCACAGAGGGTCTGGTGGAGTTCGTAGAACAGCTTCTTCTGTCTTGTTCTGAGGGGTTCCTTGATTCTCTTGCAACTTGGGATCGTCCTTGAGTTCCTTGGGTAGGTTCACATTCTTTCCGTCGGTGCGGAGGGCCTCTCGGAGCATCGTCTTGCCAAAGAAGCCAACCTCCCAGTGCAGCTCACCCGGCATGGTGCTGTCAGCCTGAACACCACGCAAAGTAGACTTTTGCGGGAACATCTTGCCAGGGTGCTGAATGAGCTTCTGGATAGACAACTCAATTTTACCGACAACATCGTCAGCAGACGAGCGATCGCTGTCCCAGAGTTCAACTGAGAGCTGCTCGTCAGCCTTGAGAAGATCACTAGTAACCAACAATCCGCATGATTCCTCAAAGACAGGGTTGAGGTCGTCCTGGATAACTCGTGTGCAGAACTGCGGCTTGGAAAACTTGCTCCAGCTGATGGTGATGTACGGATCAGATCCACCGCCCACACTGCCTCGCTGATCCTGCTTGCTGAGACCAACAGCCTTGTGGATGCGAAGGAAGATGACTCCAAGAGCAAGGGTATCCTTTTTGATGTCGTCGCCCTGCAGCATGGAGCTTATGTCGAGAGTTAAGCTCTTTGGCGCGACATACATGGACGCTGCTGCGCCAATGGCCCAGTTGACAAAGTTGGAGATGATGGGGAGGTTGAGGATATTGACACCCTTTTCAAACATGGGGGTACAGGCAGCCTGGACGTTAGGTCTACCCATGAGTGTCATTGTGACAGTCTTGAGGAAAGGCGGGTCGGGTGTAAGCTGGATACGCATTCTCGCAGTAGCCACAAGCCCAACCAACTCAACCCACACTGGGAACGGAACGCCAAAGAGACCCTTGACGCCGAGATAAAAGATGATTTGCATGCCCATGTTGCGAGCCTTGGACGCAACATCAGTTCCAGAGGGCTTTGCATGATATGCAAATGACACCTCTAGGTTGTAGTACTCGCCTGCCTGCTCGTTGGCAGCCAGTTCGTCTGGATCCATGATCTTCTTGTTTTGCTTGTGGGTTTCATCCTTGATGTCCTGCATATGGGCGTCGGGAAGGGCTCGCATATTGAGTACACGAATGGGGTTAGTGCCTTGGTTGATGTCTGCAATGCGGATATTATCAATAACACCAGGGACTGAAGCAACCATGATATCCTCAATGCTATTCTCGATTATTAGTACCGTATCAACAAAGCAGCTTGTAGGGTTACTCACGTGTCAGCAACAGCAACAAACATCTCTGGGTTTACTAGGCCCCAGATCATGCCAATCATGGTATTCATCCACTCAACAGATTCGGGAATCAGATTGACAGTGGCAGTTTCTCCACGCTCACGCTCACTCTGCCACTCCATATCCCGGCCCTGGCGGATCAAATCTTTACACCATAGGAAGACGCCCGATGCAACACAGCCAGCCAAAGGGATCAGGCCCCAAAGACTTCCGCCAAACATGCGGCCCATGAAGATGATGGCACAGAAGATGCCAAGGCATAGCGTGTTGGCTCGCTCCTCAATGCTCTTAAACATGGGCTCGTAGCTCACAGATGGGGTCTTGTAGAAGAGAACAGACGTCTTTTCACTTCGGATGGGGACGTCGGATGTGGCACCCACTTTGACTGGGTCAGGCGGTGCCGTGATATCCATGGCTTCACGGTATTCTTCGCCAGATTGATCAGAAGATACTTTCACGGTGGTTTCTTTGCCGAGGTTTTCGTTGGGAACAGACAGCTGTGGATTCTCGACAGCTTCTTTAAAGTCGAGATGTGCATCACGTATTTGGACATCTTTACCTGTGACAGGATCTCTCACCCATCTAGCATCCTTTCTCTTGTTTCTCTCGTCGTCGTTTTCATGCTCAACAGTCTCACCGTTGGTGCGGTTAGCCTTGAGCTGTTCCTCAAGCTCTGCATCTCGGGCTGCCTTTTCTTGATCCAATTGTTTCATGAATTCCTGAATATTGGGGACGCGGTTTCTACCGCTGTAGTGCTGCCCCGAAGGTGCAATGTGTTTTTCGACATTTTGTGCGGCATACATGGTGGGCTATGGGTGAGGAGGCCAGCTCCAAAAGATGGTGATGATTTAGTTGGGCATATAGTTCGTAGTCAAAGCTAAGAATGCGTCCGCTGGGTGATGGACTATTCCACTGTTTTAATGAGATTGTACTGAAAATCGAGATGGAAAGTAGAAGCAAAAAATGAGAGAAGCAAAAGAAAAAAAAAACATGAAAGACAGCTGGCGAGCAATGCCAAGAATATATTTGACGGGTGCCAGCTGTCGATGACATCACCCCCGTTGAGCTTGTGTGGAGAGTGGCCCACTTGTTCAGCAGGGTGCGAATCGGCGACGGGTTAGCGATGTCGATCGCACGGTATGACGCTTGGATTTTGACGAAAGCGTAAACTTTGAATTAGATTTACATTGGGCAGCCGTTGCGAGCAAATTTAATTGAATTTTTCCTGGTGCTAATTGGATTGAATTCGGCGAGAGCCCAACCGGGCAAACAGCCCAAGACATGGAAGTGGCTGGCTAAGGCAACGCATCTTCCAAGGAAAGGTCAAACCATGGTGCAGATGGCAGTGCGTGGATCTACAAGCTTAAATACAGCCACTGGGCATAACACAGGATATTGAACCCAATTGCCCTGCTTGCACGACGCCACTGGCAGAGGCCTCACACGACCGCCCAGTCTCACAACGGTCAATAATAAGTTTACGGTAACTCGGCGCATGACCATGTAGGGAACCAAGGAGTAGATGAAGGGTATAGATTAAAAAAGAAGTAAAAGTATGAAACCAGAAAGTAGACACAAATAGCATGTCAAACATATACAGACCGTATCCAACTGTGGCCAAAACAGTCAACCAAGCGAACGCCAATCCTAACAATTCTTCCATTCCATTATAATAATGTATTAAGCCTCTCTGAGGCAGGGAATGTACCACTCAACAACCGCCTTAAACGGTTTGCTGTGTTCCGTTCTCGGTTGTCTTTTCAGGCGCGGCGCTCTGAGCAGCTGCGTCACCACCCTCGGTCTTGTTGGCCTCTTCCTCGGTCGACTCCTCTTCATGGGTGTCGGCGGGGGCAGCGAAGGTAGGAGCGAACTTGCTCTTCTGGCGAATCTGGGCGCCGTAAAAGTAGAAGACGAAGGGGATCGGAGCAAGAAGCACTGCAATGCAGCCCAAGAGTGTAGAAGCCCACTGAATACCCATGCCGTTAAACATTTGCACGGAGAAAAGAGGGAAACCAGCACCGCAGAGTGATCGCAAGAAGGTATTGCCGGCAATGGCGGAGGCGGCGAACATGAGGTACGAATCGACGAGGTAGTTGAGAGCTTGAAGGAAAATCGACATGAGACCGAAGCCAGTAAAGAGGCCGGAGAGCGTGGGGACGATCCAATGGATGTCAGAGCGGTAGCCAGTCCTGTGGAAACATGTTAGTAAATGAGCAGAAAAGAAAAGAACAGACATAATAGCACTTACCATCCGAACCAGAAAATACCGATAGCAAAGGAAACACCACCGACCATGACACTAGGCAGACGCCACTCAGGGATGGGGATACCGTTGTTGGCAGCAAGTTTGCGGTTGTACCAAGGCTGCTGCAAGATGACCATGGCGCCGGCAATGAGCTGGCCGAGAATCATGCCAAAGAAGGTGAGGCCAGACTGGCCGTAGTTGAAGTGGTGAACACCGACAAATACGAGCGGGTAAGCGGAGAAGAACAAATACAAGATGCCGTAGATGAAGGACATGTAGATAGACAAGAGCAAGATGAGCGGCTCAGTAAAGAGAAGACGGAGAGGACGGGTAAAGTTCTTGGAAACAAGTTCGCGCAAATCGACTTCAATTTCTTCCTGCTTGGCGTGGATACCCCAGTTCTTGGTGCGGCGACGGAGTTCGGCAGCCTTGGAAACGAGAATGACGGGTGGGTAGGTTTCTTCGAGGAAGATGAGATCGAGGATCAAAGCGACACCACCCATGATGGTGACGAGATATTCGGTCCAGCGCCAGCCAATAGCAGCAACCATAAAGCCGCCAATAAAGGGGGCAAGCATAGGGCCAGTGAAGACGGTCATGGAGAAGACGGCGATGGCGATACCACGGCTCCTGTTGTCAAACATGTCGGAGAAGACGGCAGCGACGACAGCCAGGGGACAGGCACCAAAGAAACCACTGAAGAAACGGCAGATGAGAATCGTCTGGATATCCTTGCCGGTACCGGCCGCAATTGAGAAGAGCGTAAAGCCGAGCATGGAGATGAGCAATGGCAGGCGACGGCCCTTCAATTCGGAAAAGGGAGCCCAGAGGGTAGGACCAAAAGCGAAACCGAGCACATAAAAGGTGGTACCGAGAAGACCAATCTCCTTATCGACATGATATTCCAGGGCAATGGGGAGCGTCGCGGAACCGAAAATGGATGAGGCAAAGGACGAGGTCATGGTCGTGTAGGCGAGGACGGCAGCAGTGATGATCTTCTTTCGGAACGGCCAGTTCTGAGCATGCAGGGGATCGTGAGGCCCATCAAACTCGACCACATACTCCTCCTGCTCGGGAAGCATTGGCGGGTAAGGCTTACCAGCACCAAACGCAGGAAGAGGTCTAGAAGCTCTGCTGTCGCTGCGGGAGCGGTAACCGCCACCCACCGTCGCATTGTGCTGGCTGCGAGCAGTGGCGATACGGGAGAGCGCGGTCGGATGGCGCTCGAGATCATTCTGTGTAGAGATGCGGCTCATAGCGAGAGCATTGGTGCGGCGAGTCGCGCCAGTAGAAGATTCTTCCGTGGAGACCGAGGAAGCACTGACGACGCGCTCAATCTCGTCAGAGGTGCGGCGGTGGTACTGGGCGGGCGAGGCGGCATCCGTCTCAGCGGCCATGAGCTCGCGGTCGACTTCGTCAATCGCCATTGTGAGATTCGTAGGACGCTGCGATGTGAATCTGCGATAACAATGATGAGGGGAGATGCTCAGTGTGTGTGTGTGTGTGCGTTTTTTTGTTTCTGAGAGGGGGGGGTTGTTTTGGTTTTGGGGCGAACAATAGCGCAGGTAAGCTCAGGTGGGCCCGGCCGGAATGCTTGCGGCAGTGAGCTTCGGGATGTTTTGGATTGGCGATGAAGATTCGAGCACAAGACAGAAACAAGAAACAAAGAGAATGGGGCGAGGGGTGTAATAAAGGAAACTGAAAAAAGAAAAAAAAAAAAAACCTTCAGCCTGCTTAGCTTAGCTTAGCGATCTACCCTGGTTGACTAGCCGATGCCCGACAACCATTTATCAGCAAGCACCCAATTAATAGTTTGAAATTTTTCCGTCTTTGCCGCCCCCGGCCATTTCGCTTTCGCGCTTTAGCCTCTCCGGGCCACCTTTTCCACAGGCTCGGTGGGCGGGCCAAGGGAGACCCTGGGATAGCGCCATGTCAGGCAGTTCCGAAGAGGAGAAGAGAAGAAAAAAAATGCTCGTTTATTTACACTGTTGGGCTGCAAATTCTGCGTTGGTGTATTGAGCCGGGAAACGATCTACAGTGTAAAAAGGCACTATACTTACTGACCTCTACTGTGCATGTTGTACTACTACCCCAATTGTAAAATATCGATGACGAGGTAATTGACAGCTACTCTTAAATTAAAAGACGGACGGACACTGACATGCACGGGTCAACAATCCCATGTTTCTTAGCGTCCAAGACAAACTTTATTCAGCATGCGCAATCTACCACACGGCGTTAACCAAGCTCTTATTTGGATGACCAACACGGGGCACTATCTCCTCCCTATCTCCTCCTTCTTCGTTTTTCTTCTCCATGCTTATTCTATTATTTCCATCGTATACTCCTGCCCCCCTCTCCTGACGCTTCCGGCCGATAAAGCCCGAATCGTTGTGCTGCAGCCGCACGTCAGTGGCGCTCGGCCTCGTCGGTATATCCACCCCGGCGGCGCGAGGCGGGACTGACCGGGACTTTGCTGCCGCGAGGGCACGAGCTAACACCGCGATAACCGCCCAGTACCTTTATATATATACAATACAGACGAGTCACAACACTATTGTTAATTCACGGACGCCACGGAAAATACAAACGGATATACAATGGAATATAATAGTATTTCAATGGCAATTTAAATGCATAGCACGCTCATTGTGCGACTCCCCATCCATGCTCCAGCAGCTTCGTCGTCTCCTCCAAGCTCAGCCCCGCGGTTTCCGGATACACCTTCCACACCGCACCCAGGCCCGCACCGCAAATGGCAGCATACATGATAAACGTAAGAGGCGGGGTCATGAGTGTCATCAGCGGCAGAAACGTCAGGCCCACCACAAAGTTGGCAGACCAGTTGGTGGCTGTCGCCAGGCCGCTGCCAAGAGATCGCACCGATAGCGGGAACAGCTCGCTTTGCATCCACGGCACATTGCCCAGGCCCAGCGCGTAGGATGCAACGTACAGGATAATACTCATCAGGATCAGTGCCGCTGGCTTTGTGTTATCCGGCTCCGGCCGCATGACAATGACAACTGCCTCTTCTTCCACACTGGGCACCTGAAGTCCCATGAATCCGACTGCAGCTATAACAAGCCCGGCTATCATAAACGGAATCGAATAAAGCAGTATCTTGCGTCGTCCAATGCGGTCAATCAGTACCAGAGCTACCAAGGTAAACACAAAATTGGTGACTGCCACCGTCAGCGATGCCAAGATGGGGCTGGCAAACCCAACCATGGTGAATATCGTTGCCGAAAAGTACATGAGTGAGTTCTGTATCAGTTAGTATGACAGTTTTGAAAACTCGTGAGGTCAACTTACAAATCCGCATAGCTGTTGGAGGCCCTGCAAGGTACATGCAATCACAAGCGCTCGTCTGTTGGCATCCACAGTAATCAGCTCTCTCCATGTAGCCATGCCTATCGATGTATTCGCAGACTGTGTCAGTCTGGCTTCGCGCTCCTCTCTTGCCTCTCTCTCGATAAGCATCATGATGCCATCAATGTCATGGCCGGCTGTGTGAACACTGGAAACCACAGCACGAGCGTTGTCCATCTGCCCAGCCTTCATTAGCCATCGCGGCGTCTCGGGCATTAAAGATAGCAGCAATGCCTGTCCTATGGCTGGTACAGCTCCCAGGCCAACCATCCACCTCCAGGCTGACTCTTGTGGACCGAGCAGATTGAGCAGATACCCAGTGATGTAGGCAATCATTTGACCCAGTGTGATAAAGACAACATTTGTAGTAACAAGTCGGCCTCTGTGAGCTGCTGGAGCAATCTCGGAAATGTACAGTGGGACAACAAAGCTTGCTGCGCCGACGCCAGCGCCAATGATGCAGCGGCCAACAACCATGGTAGACACCTCGGATGCGGCCGCCTGCAGCAGCGCACCAGCAACGAACAAAATGTCTGCATATAGAATGACTCGTTTTCTACCAAACCTATCGGCCAATAGAGACGATAGCGGTGACGTGATAAGGGCAAAGAGCGACGTGGCCGACGTAATTAGTGACTTGTCAATGTCCGTCAGCTGGCGGTGCGAAAGCGAGGTTCCCGTAGAGACCAAGGTCGACGAAACAACACCCGTATCATCTAAAGTTCAGTTAGCTACAGCTTCATAGCCGCTATACGGTGTGCGCATGCGTAGGGAACTTGCATCCAAAGAGCAAACCGCTGATACCAGCCGCAAACGTGAGCGCCACTACCAGGTGCTCTGGTCGGGAGAGGGCAGACCGCCGGCTGGCCGCAGGTTGATGGCTGACGGTTTCCACCTGCGCGTCATCCCTTGATGAATTTAGAAGCGCCTCTGAGCTTTCCATCCTTGCGGTTGCTGGTTTTCTGGCGATGTTGAAAGCATCACAACAACGGTGGCGTGAGGAGTACGCAAGCTGCGCTGACGTCCCTGGACAAGGTCATGCGGACCCGCCGTGCCACAGTAGCGTCCGATCGGGTGGTGGAAACGTTAGATCAAAACTTACAGCACTGTGCATTATCTTTCACGAATAAAAGCGAAGCCACCACATTTGGATCAGATCTCAACTTGTATTTTGGTATGATATTAATACTGTTAATTGAATTTTCTACTGAACCCACTATGCTAGCTGTCAACCGCGCTCTGCCAGCTGGCAAAGTAACTACCCGTCATCAAGTGTAGGTCCTACCATATCCATAAGAGCTGCTGGTAGCTCGCCCACGTAGCGGATCACCATCACAAGCTCAGACTCCTAAAGAAATCCCAAGACAGCCACGACGTGGTTTATCATGGTATGTGTTCATCACACAGGAAGCAATAGCCAATGAACTGACTTAGCTGACTGGTAAAGTCTAAACAATCTACGCCTGCCACAGCTCCCCAGACCAGTTATGGAGGTCCTCCTTTGACTGCTGAGGAAAGGCAGTGGGTTAAAGCCAACTTTACAGACGAGTTTCATCTCCTTCAGCTCTACGGTCTCAGCATTTACAAGGAGGACGACCGTGCAGAGGGTCGCCAGATAGTGCGGGAAATGATGAGACACGACAAAGAGCAGGGCACATACTGAGCGTCCATTTTGTCACACGTGGCTCTGAAAGCACAATCAGACTGAGAGATGCATTATTACCACCCCTAAACGTTATTCTTTAGCTTCAGCCAATGCCACAATACTAAAGTTCAAGTTTCCATTCGCATGCTTCAAAAACTTGCGAACCCCCAGGTGCAGCGCTGTCTCACTTAATACGTCATCCCCTTCACCCAGCATTCCTCGATCGATAGGCCCATCGACGCCACCCTCCAATTCCCACAAATGACCATCATCTCCTTTAATAAAGGCAATATAATGGTACCCAGGGTCCTCTGCTGCTGAGGGCGGGGCGCTATCACCCCTCTTGGCTGCGCGCATGTGAGCTTCCTCGAGGGGCTGGCTGTTGTACAAGGCGTCGGCTCTATCTTTGGGTACCATGGGTTTTGTTTCAGTCAGCAAGGTATCCAAAAAGGTGCCCTTGATCACATAGTCTCTGGATTTTCCATTCGCCAAGGAATGCAGCAGAGCAATGAGACCGCATGCATGGCCGATGGTTTGCGGATACCACACTACGCCCTCGGCTGTTGTGTAGCTGGCGTTTTCTAGTGCTACTTTTGTGGCGATGCCGTCTTCCTTGCGAGAGTCGTTGTACATTTCTGGCGGTGTGATGAAGATAAGAGCATGCGAGGGCCGAGGAATGAGCGCCAGCAGCTCGGGCTCGTCGATGCTGTAAACGTCATGGAAGGCGAGCTTTGGTGAGACGCCGAGATCTTGGGCGAGAGAGGCTAGGATTTCAGGATTGTTTTCCACGGGGATGAAAAATTTCTTTCCATTAGGATCGACGTAGACTCCTTCAACATGCATTTTGTTTTTATTTGCTCGTAGTGAGAATTGAATGATGGATTGCTTGTTTCTGGTGGTTTTTAGGTTGTAGGTGTGTAAGTGAAGGTGCACAGTACGCGGGGTACTGACTGTACGTGTTAGGCAACCAAGGCTACATCATCACACCACTACACTTTTACGCGCATGCACAATCCTGAGTTTCTATAATTATTGGTCCATAATTGTATTTCATTCATATTTCATTATTTAGGTTTTGAAATTCACAATGGAGGCCTCTATTGGACTTGTTTTGAACAGTGCGCCGCGGGCGAAACTTTGTACAGGGTAATCTGGGGCAACGCACGGGCAAAAACAGCCCAGCGACGATGTAACATGGCGCGAACATAATGCTTACTACGGTGCGGAGCGGCGCATCAGCAGCACCAGACGCAGCACATGTCTCTACAATATTAGCACATGAGAAAGGGAGGGTGACCTTTACAACCGAAGCGAGAACCAAGAGCATTGCGCTGGAATTCGCCTAGCCTTGGGCTGTCTTGCAGGGCGAGTCTGGACCGAGGCGAACATATGATGTATCTGGCACGTTCTAGTGGGTTACCCTTTTGGGAGCGGGAGGGTGTGTTTGGTACTAAATTAGTTTGGCTCTTCTTTCAGAGTCTATAGTTTACCTGCTGCACGTGCGCATGTATATCAAAGCTGATGATGATCAGCGCCGCCAATCCAAGGGAGAGACGAACCACACACGCCGGGCATTTATTGTATTAATATAGAAGTAGAGAAAGCGCACGATTCCATTAGTTGCCAAGCGATTCTTGCTGTGTTAGTCTCTAAATACCACCTTGCATCGTCTCAACGTCGTCACAGCCGCAACGTCGGCCGCGCAAAATCGCTGCCCGAGACAAGGCCCAGTGGTGTTCCGGCGCCCGACTCCACTAAAAAGAGGCCACTGTCCACCAAAAACAGGTCGCTACAAGCCTTGGCCTTGGTTTCCGCCTGCTTCCACGTCTCCTCCTCCTCCTTGAGCTCCTTGTATTTTCTTTTTCTCTTCTTCCCTTTACACGCGACAACGAAGAAAGAAACGACATAAAAGGCAACGACAAAACGCATTAATTTTCTTTGTATTAATTTTTTCCCCTCTCAACTTGTATAAATCGCCGCCGCCGCACACTCATTGATAACCCCGGCACACGCATCAAGCCACGACCAAGGAGCTCTCACTCTTTTTTTCCCGCTTCCCCTTTCCGGCTGCAGCATCCTCGTGTTCAACTGCATCACCATCCTCTGCCCAACCAGCAGCACGCACACGCCAACGACGACTGCACGGCGAATCGAAGCAGAAAACAGGCGTCGCCATCTCTCACCCAACCCTCCAATCACCACCTACAGTAATCCCGACTGATTTATTATACCCTCCAAGATGCAGTCCCAGCGGGGCTATTCTATGCGCCGCTCCCCGACAGAAGACCCTGGCCCAGCTCCCAACAATGGCCCAATGTCGCCTCCTCAGGGTGTCCAGCCCAGAGCGTCCATCTCCTCTGTTAGGTCCTCTACGCAAGGAGGCAGCGTAAGGAAGTCGACGCGTGAAGTAAGCTTCCCTCTTCTTTCCCTGGGGGTCTCTGACGTCAATGCCATGATTCTCTCACCACAAGTGGTCATAACTGCCAAGACGTAATACTAACCACCATTCTTCCAGAGCTCGAGTGGTTCAAGCTCGGTGCCCCTCTCGCAGATAGAAAAGAGCGTCACGCACCTCCTAGTCGCCACGAAGCAACTGCTCGAAACACTCACGCAATGGTCCCGCGGCCAGGCTACCGACACGCAGGTCTCCGACGTCTACGTCCGCCTCGGATACGAGTTCAACATGGCTTGCCGAGCCTTCACAGCCATCAATGTCGACACATCCGATCTTGGAAACGTTCCCGATCTCTTGCGCAGTATCCTCGAGGCTACTCTCAGCCAAGAGGCAAGCTCCGAGAGCTTGGAAAAGTACCTGCCTAGAATACGAGACATCATCATCAATCTTCTTCACGGCCTGAAACGAAAACAGCAACGATTACGACAGAGACAAGGTCGCGAGCGCGAGGGCCAGGGGCTACCCGAACGATCGACCAGCGTCAGCACAGTCACAAGTAGCGGCAGCAACGGCTTAACGAGTATGATTAACGATGGCATCGATGCCGGCAGCCATGCCCAAGATGGCCGCAGACCCGAACCGACCATGAACAACTCACCCACCCGAAAGCCCGTATCGAGAGAGTCGTCGCAACCAAAGCTCCCCGGCGAGCTGCCAGGTCAAGATGCTCAGTTGCCATACCCTCCGGACAATGGTGGCATGTCTACCAGCACGACAGCTTCCTCGCTGCTCGACGTCAACCCCGATTCCTTCCCGCCGCCACCACCCGATCCTCAACAATCTAGCGCCATGGCTGCTCTACAAAAGGGAGGCGATTTGGAGCGACGCGCTTCTCGAAGATACTCTCAATACCAAATCTCTAAGCACCTGGGTGCATCCGGAAGCGGAGTGCCCATCCTGCCACCTCAAAATTCACCAATTCCTAATCGCGGCCGTAAAGAGGCGCGCGAGTCGCTTCGTGCCGTCCAGAAGCGAGAATCGGTTAGGCACAGCAGGACTCCTTCGAAGCTGGCGTCGTCGCCCATGCGCGCACCAGAGACTGCCTTTGAGCAACCAGCTGCTAGCGATGAGCAGCGGAATATGAGCCCCGAGGGTCGATCGCCTGACAAATATGTACCATCTGCTACCATTTCTGGACCTCTCACAGACCCTTCCATGTACATGGACGACAACAAGCCCTCTGACGGCGACTCGAAAACCGATGTCAAGCAATCGAATCGTTCGGATGTGAAGCCCGGCGAAGCGTATTTCCAAGTATCCCCCCCGCCGACGCCGACAAAGGATCTGACACTGTTCCTGCAATACAAATCAAAGATTAAGAAGATTGTGCTGCCTGAGGGCAGAGATGAGCTTTCCTTGGGCCGTCTTCAGCTGGCCTTTATTGAGAAGTTTTCATGGAATACGCAACAAAATGGAACCGACTTGCCCGAGATTTATATCCAGGATCCAGTGTCTGGCGTCCGCCATGAGCTGGAAGACTTGAGCGACATCAAGGATAGAACCGTCCTGGTTTTGAATGTTGAGGCTCTGGACGAGGTCAAGAAGCACTTTGACGACGGACTATCGACTCTTACGACAATGGTGAAGCAGATGAAGCAAAACTACGACGACCAAGCTGCCACGCTGCAGCGGGTATCTGAGCGTCAGCAGCAACAGTCCAACGATATGGCGCGCTTGGCTACAGCATCACCAGCCACAGTACCATCTAGCGACAGTTCGCGATCCATTAACAGCGGACCCAAGCTGGCTGCTGGCCATCTGACGGAAATCCAGACCCTGCGACGAGACATTGCCGTTTTGCGCCAGACCTACTCGACCTTCCAGTCCGACATCCAGTCGTCCATGTCTGGTATCCGCCAAAAGGCCGCTGCTGTCAAAACTGCCGCCTCCAAAGCTGCTGCGCCCAACATTGACGGTGACGCTGGCTACTCGTACGTCACCAATGGCCGCAAGAAGCTCAACACGGATTCCGACCACCTCGTCGGTAAGGTCGATGATCTACAAGATCTCATTGAAGACTTGCGCAAGGATCTCGCCCAGCGCGGCGTGCGCCCTCTTCCCCGCCAGATCGCCTCTGTCAACAAGGACATCGAGGAGATAAACAAGGAGCTCACGCGCATGGAGCAGTACATGACCAATGAGAAGCCCATATGGACCAAGATCTGGGAGAAGGAGCTGGAAGATGTGTGCCAGGGCCGCGACGAGCTGCGCCTTATGGAGGATCTACTCGTCGACTTGCGCGACGATCTCGACAAGGCCTCGGAGACATTCACACTCGTCGAGCAAGCCAGCAAGGAGCACCTTAAGGATCCCTCTGCCGGTGGCGGCGGCCGCTCATTCTCCAAGGGCCTCGCCAACTTAGGTAACAGCATCGACCAGGGCGCCGCCAAGGAAGACATGCTCGGTGAAGTGCGCGCACTGCAGCCCAACCACGAAGACCGTCTCGAAGCGATTGAGCGCGCCGAGAAGCTGCGCCAAAAGGAGCTGCTGAACCGCAAGGGCAACCCGATGCAGCGCGAAATTGAAGAGTTTGTCGGCGAAGGCAAGCTGAAGAAGTCTGGCGGCTTTGAAGAAGTCGAGCGCACGCGCGTAGCCATGGACGAGAAGATTCGTAAGGAGGTCTGGGACCGCATGAACGGTCTGCTACCCGAGGATGGGGAGGAGTTTGAGGAGGAAGAAGAAGAGGAAGAGGAAGAAGAAGGCGAGGAGGAGTTTGAAGAGGCGTCCGAGCATCCGGGCGAGCATCACTAACGAGGGAGGGGACTTGACGGCCTCAGGGACGGGATGGGATATTTTGTGTTTTTTTTAACCTTTCATATTGCCCTACGCGTTATATATATGTCGGGTCGGAGTATCGGAGCGAATATAATGTATATGACTGTCTAAAACGAATGCACTTTTGCGCGTGCGTCGTGATAAAATTTGCGTTTTTACTTCCAAGTAACTGAAATTCCATACTCATCCATCCATCCATCCATCGTATCTGAAGGGCATTCTGCCATATTCATCTATATATCGTATCTACAAAATTCACAGCGATAACATCTACCCCAACAACGCCAACTTTTCCATCTTGGTAATAGTCGGCGCCTCGAGGAGTTTATTCCGCGCGACCGCCCAGTCTTGCAACACGGCATCGCCACCAGTAGCCTTCCACGTATTCTCGCCATCATCAGCATTTGTAGTTTGCTGTTGAGTAGCGGCATTAAAGACATCTGCAATGGCAATCTCACATGCAGCAATCACATCTTCCAGCAATGCCTCGACATTACGTCCGCGCTCCATCATGTCGCGGCGCACACACGCCACCACAAGTCTCTCAACTTCGTCCTTTGTCTCTCGCACGCGCTCAATGAGGCGGCGTACACTGTTGACCAGGTACTCTTCCTCGTAGACGGTGCCCTTGCGGCCGCGAGCGCGCTTCTTCTCCTCGCGCCTTCGGTTCTTGGACGTTGCGCGACTGACGCCTGTGCCTACGGTGCCAACGGAGCCGTCTTTACCTGTATACCGCGTGAACAGACTGGCGCCAGTGCTGATGCGCGATGAAGCTGCGACGGAGATGTCGTCAGGTACGTCGGCGCCGCCAGGACGCTCGCCTTCATAGAAAGCCAGCGGGTCCTGTTCGGCCTTGAGCCGCAGCTCCTTGATGCGCGGGACCTGTGCGCCGAGCTGGGCCTTGCAGTCGGCGAGGAACTCAGTCGTGCTGGAGATTGCCTCTGCGATGCCCGGGTCAACAGCAGATGCGAGAAGGTCCGGGCGTGCGCGGAGAGACGTCAGGCGCATGGCCTCTGCGAAGCGGTAGCCCTTGCAGAGGCAGCGGATGGCGGCGTCGAGGGCAGCCAGGTGCTGGTCGTGGATGGTCGCTGCTTCAGCGTACATCTTGGACTCGTAGAGGGCCTCAGCCATGGTGGACGCGAGGTCGGCAAAGGCGTCGGGTGTGAGCTTGGCCTGCTGCGCGGCAAACAGGCATTCTTGCCATGACGAGGAGCCGGCGGTGCGGTAGCACGACGTGGCTTTCTCGTAGTTCTTGAGGGATTCGTAGGCAAGGCCTGCTTCGCGGAACTTGGAGGTGGCCTCGAGGTGTGCGGCGTAGAGGGCTGTGAGGGATTGCTGGCGCGGGGTGTCGTAGCGGTAGAGTTGGAGGGCGGCGTGGTAGAGAGAGTGCTTGGTGGTGTAGTCACACAGCTCGTCAAAGGTATCGAGCGTCTTGAGATGGCCGAGGGCCTTTTCGCGACGGTTGAGGTGGTCGTCGATCTCGAAGCTGCGGCGGATGGGTGTGAGGGAGTGCAGGTGCTGCATGAAGGGGAGGTATTCGCGGGGGTCGCGCTGCGATTGCTGCGCTACGAGGAGGGAGAGGTCGAGGTCGTAGAGGCCCAGGGCGGTCTCGTACAGACGGTTGACGTCAACCAGAAAACAGATGTGTTCAACGGCCTTTTCGGCAAGCTTGGTATCTTGGGATTGTAGGGACGCAACGAGGCGCAGGCCGTCTTCGAGAGCGGGTGGGTTCTTGCAGACGTGGGCGGTGATGATGTTTTGGAGGTTGGTGGAAGACTTGGGTTGCAGGGCCTTGAGGATGGCATCGCAGACGGTGTTGATCTTGGAGCCTTGGATAGGTTCGGCTTCTTCGGGGGCTGTGGTGGTGGTGCGCTTGCGGGTATCTTGGTACATGGTTTGCGTTACATCTTCCTCACTGGAGAGGGTTAGCGGGTTGGGTGGGCAGACGAAGAAGGGGTGGCTTACCGGAGAGAAGAGAGGAAGAGATCAATGTAGGAAATGTCCTGGAGCTGGTCCAGGAAGAGGGAGACGTTTGCAAGAAACTGGCCAAGCTTGTAGTCGCACAGCAGGTTCATGTCTACTCGTTGTGTGCGGCAGTATGCAAAGGCACCCGCGTAATCCTCGGCGTCAATGAGCTTGCGGATCGCAGCGAGAACCATGGCGCGAGGGAAAATAGTCTCAAGGTTACCGCGGGGCATCTGGAGAATGATGCTGGCCTTTGTAGGAATGGCCGTGACGAGGCGTGAGCCGCGTTCGACGCTGCGGCATCGTTCGTCAGCCTCGGGGTCGTCTTCTGGTACTTCGAGTTCTGAGATAGTTAGCTTATGATTGAGATATGTTAATGGAAGGAAGAAAACTCACCACTGGCGTTTGTCAAGTGGACGTATTTGACGAGATGGTTGCTGGTTGTGAAGATGAGATGGTCTGGTGTCAGAACAAAGGATGTGCAGTTTTTGGCGAGCTGGCGGATGCCTGCGTAAATGTGGCCGCTGCGAGAAAGACCGATAGGCATTACTTCGTCGTACTCGTCCTTTGTCACTTCAAACCAGGGCAGCTCGACGGGGAACTTTGTGATCATCTCGGTGTCGTTGGCGGTTAGCTTGTAGATGTTGCCGTTGCCATCCTGCGCGTAGCCCTCTGTTACTGCATCCGTTTCAAACGTAGCTGTAGATGCAATGATGGCAGTAGAATCGACAGGTGTCAGCTCGCCAGTCTCGACATTGCAGTTAAGGTGGATCTGCGATTCGTCTTGTTGGATGATGCAGCGAACATTGCTCTGGTCAACAGTCGCCACGTGGAGGGGAAGAAAGTAGCCACTAGGAGTCTCAAAGGCAACCTTGCGAAGAAGGGTTGGCTTGATACAGCGGCCCCCTTTGATGGGGGATTCGTAAATATCAACACCAGTATGGTGCAGGACGGCAACGATTGTGTTTTGCTTGGTAAAGGTAACGTCAATGACAGACGTAGCCGTCTCGAGATCGTGCATGGAATATGGTGGAGGAACGTTTGCTGTGCGGAAAGGGGTGAGCTTGATGGTAGTTCCATCAATTACAGCGACAGAGCCCGTATCGTTGGGAGTGGCGCAAGAGCCTCGAGCTGCTTGGAAGATAGACTCGCCAACAAGAACGCTGTCTGGGGACGCGGCTGCGAATCGAAGCGCCTTCTCCGGATGCCACGCCAGGGCACCAAACTGACTACCTTGCTTGGGAATTTCCTGCTTGAGGTACCAGTGGTAGTTGCCCATGGTCCAAAACTGTACGGTGTCGTGCAGGATGACAGCCAAGACTGTCGAGTCGGAGTTCCATTCGAGAGTAATCTTGGTACTCGATGTGAGGATATCGGTCTGCGACGAGCGGAGAGTGAATTGACCGTGGCGAAGACCGTTTCGTTCGAAAAAGACGACATCCACACGATCCGACAGTCTCTGGATGCCCGCCAACAAGTTTCCAGAAGGACGCCAGCTCAGCGGGCTCTCGAGACCGTCGACAGGCTCGCTAGCACTGTCCAGCTCTCCCTCTCTAGAAAAGACACGGACCACTCGTCTCGCATCCTTTTGCACCGAGTTGATAGCAACATAGGCACCATCTCCTCTCCAGCTAACCGATACACTGCCGTCCTCGTGTGCGCTGGGTAGGCCTTCGTCAACCTTTAGCGGGATGGTGGGGTCGCGCAGCGCCTTGGCACCACGGCCTTCAAACTGCGTTTCCTTCTTGCCCCATCCCACAGAGACATGCTTGCTAGCCTTGAGGTCCTCACCGGTCAGTTTGACTTCGACAATGGGCTCGAGCGAGCTGCCCATGAAGATGGCGGTATCGGCCTTGGTCGCCACGAGCAGCAGCTCTTCGTCAGGCGACCAGCGGGCAGCAGCAATGCCTGCGTCGATGGACCCAACGATTTCGATCTCCGGCGAGCCGCTCATATCCGTGGCGATAGTAATGATGTCGCCGCCCTCGAGGATTAGGCATGTTGTTCCGGTGCTGGCGAGGTGGTGGAGGCTGATGACTCGATCGGCGTCGAGGTCGGGCGTCGGACTGGGTGCTTCCCAGTTGGTAATGGGGGTTTGTGTGCTGTGAATGCGTTAGAGGGAAGACACTAGAGAGCAATTAGGGGTATGCATACATGACATCGCCCTTGGTCAATCGAATGAGCTCAATGGAGGGGCTGGATGGGGTCGGGCCAACGGTGCAGAGAAGCTCGTCCGTCTCGGGGTCCCAGCAGACGGCGGTGATGTCGGCGGCAGACCAGCGGCCAAAGTGAAGCGTCCGAAGATTCCGCATGCTGGGCAGACAGGGGCTTTCTATGTCATACGAATACAGCCGTGCCGGCGGAGGGTTGATGTTACAGCAGATAACAATTAGTGGTGGTGGTGATGCTGTGGAAAAAAAATTGAGCTTGTCGTCAGAGGTGGAGCTCTGATTTCCCTTTTGGGATGCTGGGCAGTGCCCCACTGTTGGTGCTTGTTTTTGGGGGGGCAGGTGTAAGGCTGCGATGTGGAATTTACAGGGGAGGGCTGTGCGCTGTAGTTGTGTGTTAGTGGACGCCATGCGTGTGTGTGACGATGTGATGAAACATGTGCTATGAAACAGAGGCACTTTTTGATATGACGTAGATATTCATTATGTGCTTATGAATGACGCGTAAGTATCATTAATTGCAATATCATACTAATTAATCAACTACAGTGTTCCGCAGTGCTCCATTTACTGGTATGCTCAGCTATATAAGTTACTACTCAATCAAAAGCGTGATCCAGCCCCCAGTCCGCTCCAACATCATGATCCCCCCCTGCTTAGTATAGATGACTTCTAAAAAAAGATGCTGAAATAGAAACCCCAGAATAAAGTCTCCATTTTACATTATCTTTCTATTTGCACCTACCTACCGGAGCCTAGTCGCAGAAAGGGGTGACGCAGTGGTGTGAGGCTGAGCAGTGGACGGTGAGTGAACAGGTACAGCGGAGCTTTAAAACCACTTAGGCCGGCCCGCGCGTGATCCACCTCTATTTTGGTCGCCATGATCCATATGACGGTGCTGGTGGCATGACTGCAAAACGCGCTACAAGATGGCAAAGCTGAAAAGTTATCTTGTAAAATTGAATGGAACAATACACCAAGAAAACAAGAAAACAAAAATAAAAAATGACAGCCACATGTCTGTATTTCTCATGGCCAGCGCCTTTAGCGTGCAAGTGGCGCTCTATATACTTGGTGAGACTTACACCGGCCTAGTACACGCACGCGACCAGGCATAGCATAGCATAGCATCACCCAAAACAAGCTTATTATTGCCATCCACGGCATGTACTTTCAAGGCAGCTAACTGCCTAGCCGAATGATACATTTTGCCTCCACATTTGGTTCCCTAGGGCCCTGAGGCGCACCCACAACTGACGCCCGCCGCACCCTGGCACCCTCCAATAAGGCTGTGGGAATACGAACGCCGGGCCCGGGCGTAGTTTAAGCCACTCTGATTTCATGATTCACAGCTGTGCCCTACGTATGCTATATAGAGTAGACGGAAACCGTAGCCGTTCACAAGATGTTCTCTATGAAAACGTGTGAGATCAAAACATGTCGCTACGAAACCGCAGCCCGGTACGGGCATACTTGACGGTCACCATCATTACAGCAGTTACTATTATATCTTTTGCCCTCTACCAAGTCAGCCATATTGTTGCCTTTGCTTCGATTGCCAGCCGCGTCACCGATCGTTTTGGCTTAATCAGCGAATGCAGTGCCGACAACCACATCCAAAAGACATCAGTCATCCCCAACACCATCCACCAGATCTGGAAAGACGCTAACGTCAGTTCCTATGGGACCTTTAACCACCGCAAGGACTGGCAGTCCATGTTTGAGCCGCTCAACTATACTGTTAAGCTCTGGACCGAAGCCGATATCCGTCAGCTGATCCAGACCAAATATACTTGGCTTCAGCATGCATACGACTCCTACCCATACGATATCCAGCGCGCCGATATTGCTCGACTGCTCGTCGTGCACAGCGAGGGCGGCATGTACGCCGACTTGGACGTCAAGCCTGCAGATGCCGAGAAACTACAATGTCTACAAAATCTAGACATGGAGGCCGTCTTTGTGGCCACTTGCGGGAACTCGGGTCTCAGCAATCACTGGTTCATGGCGGCGCCGGGTGCCAATGTGCTTGGCGATGTATTAGTGGAGGCAGCACGACGATCCGGCTCGCGACGACCGCTTCTTCCGTACATGAAGGTGTTTTGGTCGACGGGGCCGTGGATGGTGACGGCCGCACTGGATAAATACTTTGCAAGGCACCCCGAGGCAAGAAAGACGGTGGGCTTGCTGGAGGAGGGATACTCGCGCTATGCGATTCACCATGCAGCCGGGCGGTCGTGGCACGGCGCCGACGGCAAGATGCTCAACTACGTGGCTGATCACTTTAGCATGACGAGGTTGGTGGTGTTTATACTGGCATTTACCACGACATTTTGTATATTATGTCGGTGTGGGAAAAGGCAGATGTTTAGTGGTGTTTGGAGGGCACGCAGCTGGATGGACAATCCGCGGACGTGGACGCGGAACTGAGCAACAAAGTAACAAAAATGAATTGTCTACGTAATGATAATAATGTATAATATAATATATCATTTTCCTTTCTTTCAATAATATTTGTCAGATTTTTGCGAAGAAAAAAGCTTTTGCTCAGTCTGGTTTTTATATTTCCGTGTTATTGCAGCAGTGTTCTATATGACCGTTCCCAGCGTGCCTTGCCGCGGGTAGTGGTGGTTCACCTACGAGCTATGCAAGCTGAAAAAGGGAGGCAAAAAAATTGAGTGCATTGTCCGATTCTATCCGCTGCAGGCCACTTTTAAAAATAGTGCATTCCCTATCAAAAGTGGCGTGAAAAAAAAAGAAAAGGACAAAAGTTGGGGTATATCACAGGCCTGCTATTATATTTTTTTTGCTGATACTGTAGGCGCCTACTTGTCCCGATGCACAGTGGAGGCAGAAGCGGGGGCAGCAGAAAATCAGTGGCCCGCCATTGGAGGGAAGCCTCGGGCCGTGCAGCTTTTCGAGTAGCCGTAGCCGGCCGAGAAAGAGGCTTTTCCTTGCTTTCTTAATTTTTTACAACTTCGGACATTCCGCTAGCTTGTGTCATATTTTATATATATCTTAAACACACCTCTCTCTTTTGCTTCTTACTTTTTTCTTACTACTTTTACTGCGTCTCTTCGTGGCTAGCTCCCCCTCAACCGGCCCGTCTATTGTAGTGCTATCATCTGACCGACGACACCCGCGGCCCGCCTCAAACATACACTACCCACCGCTTGTCACCACCACCACCACAACCACCAGGTCATCATCACCAGTTCATCCCACGCACACACAAAACTGCCTGGGATTAACCAACCAATCTCTTCTCTCTAGTGTCCTTCTTCACAATGGACGTCGCCTACAACCCGCACGCTGAGCGGTCCCGCCGCAAGAACCGCTCCTCCACAAACGTCAACCACCTCTCGCTCGCCCCCCTCACATCCAAGCTACCCATCCGCGACGCCGACGCCCTGCCCGTCGACTCGGCCATGCCCCCCTCGTACTTTGAAGGCAAGTCGGCGCCCACCACGCCGCGCTTCATCACCCACACGCCCGCAACCCCCCGTTCGCGCTCCCAGCACCGCCGCACGCCCTCGGCCCCCGACGGCCTGCTCAAGAGCAAGTCGGCCTCGCACCTCGCCGCTACAAAGAAAGCCTCCCGCTCCGGCACATCGACGCCCAAGCGCCGCCGCGACGATATCCTCCAGGCCGCCCGCCACGCCAACGACAGCGACTGGATGCTACGCACCGGCGCCGTCGTGAGCACCGAGGCGCGCGAGTTCAAGGGCCAGGCGTGGCTCGTCTCGCGCCAGAGCTCTACGAGTCTCGCTGCCTACCGCGATCCCAATGACGATCCGTTTGAGCAGGAGCTGATGCGTGAGCGCGAGATGGTGCGTCGCGGAAGCTCGGCGTTTGGCGATGACGATACAACGTCGCCTGTGGAGAGCAGACATCATAGCCGCTTTGCGAGCCGCCACCATAGTATTACGGAGCGCGAGCGTAGCAGTGCGCTGCAGACCCCGCTGCATAGCCATGGGAATGGCGAGAGTTATTTCCCAGAGGCGATCTCTGGACCGGATTTTGTTAATCTGGATGAGAAGCTGGAGGAGCTGGAGCGCGATACGGATAAGGATGATGAGGCGGCTATTCGCAAGTTACTCCGTGATGGACAGACGGGCAAGGGATCGTGGTTGACCAACATGATTGCGTTTAACTTGTTCCGTGTGGATGAGCACGATGACAGTGACGAGGAGGATAGTGATGACGAAGAGGATGAGCAGCCTAAGACGGGTATGCAAACGCCTCGTGTGGGTGATGGTATTACGATGTTGCCTGCTACCACGATGCCGCTGCCGTCCAAGGGCGATGGCGCGTGGAGTGATGCTGCATGGCTGTTGAGTGTCGCTTCCAAGGTCATGTTTTAAAATGGCGCGACAACAGGGTTTAGTTGTTGTTTGCCTCTGGCGTTATATTGGGGGGTATTACATGTTATCCGTCTATATTCATTCTCTTGGGTTTCAATCACTACATAGTCTCATCTCCTTATCATGCCCGTTTTGTCGACGAGTATCCTCCTCACCAATAGCTATGAAACGCAGGTTCTAGTTCTAACATGTATAGATGAATTTATAGCAGCTATAGACAGGTTGTTCTGTCCTAAACTCCTACTACATTTTTACCGTGTATATGCTCTTAGCTCTTTGGTGAAACGGACACTTGCTGATCTGGCCGCCATTCTGTCTGCTGGCACCTGGCACCTGGCTACCATTCACCTCACCCATTCTCATCCTCTCGTAAAAGCTTCTCTTCTTCCTCTTTGCAAAGCTTTGGTAATGCCTCCATTGCATCTACTCCTTCGGATACCTACGCATACACGTGTAATCATTGGTAGTTAGCATTGAGGATACGAGCATTGCCCATCATGGCAGCTCACGTTTTTGCTGTTGCAGAGCTTGTCTCTCTCATAGCGGAACTGGTAACTATCAACTCAAGCATGTGTACAAGCTCCATCAGCGGCTAATAATCACACTCATCAGGTAGACCAAGATATCCCTACTCTCGCGAGTCTCTGTCTCGTGAATCGCGACTTGAACACTTCAGTTACGCCCTTTCTCTATCGTTCCTTACGATTTGAAAAAGGAAATGAACTCTGTCTGCTTTGTGAGGAAAAGCTATCACAGTTACTTCATAGCCCACTGGAACTAGCGACATCCATCACATATAGTGGTCTATACGACGTGGGCCACCTCGAGTTAGACAAAACTCACCAGCGTCGTAGTGCAGGGCTACTTCGAGTATTGAAGAAAACACGCATTATAACTAGTTTTAAGTAACTAAAATCCCTACACTCATATTTACGTACACTACTTACTCCTTGCTAATTCCACTGGTAGACTCATCAACAGCAATATTTCCTCAGGCTGCCTAGAGTCACTTGCAAAAATCTCCACGCTACAACACCTCCATCTTGCCTTCAGCGACAGATTTGAAGAAGGTACTAAAATCCGAGGCATTTGGGAAACACATCTTTACACTCAATGGATGTATGACAGAGTTCGGTTTGAAAATCCTACGGCTTTTATGCCCTTCACCAATTTGACTTGCCTCGCCATGCTCAACCTTCGAGGCAGGATTCCTCCATGGGCCAAGTGTATAGCCAACATTCTCATCGCAAGCCCTGCAATGGAGAGTCTAAGCATTTCCTTGAGCGAGAGCTCTTTTGAGGGGACAAGCTCTCTAATGAACTGCGAGGAGATCCTCCAGTCATTCATGGTAGACATCTGTGCTCGCTACGCTAAGGAACAGGAGCCTCTTAGGCTTAAAAGGCTTCATCTAGACGACTATATAATGCCCCCAAAACGCCAAAACTTGGAATTGCTTACAGATCTTACTGTTTTAGAGGAAATCTCAGTCTACAACAAGTAAGTCAAGGCTTCGTTCTCCAATATAAGTCCATTAGGCTAACCAGTACTATTTTAGCTGCGAGATAGAAGATGCCGAATACAAGATCGACTTCAGCATATTTTCCCCCGAGATTAGCCCTTCGCTAAAAGTTATCTCTTTCCACGAGCTACCAGACGAAATATGGCAAGGTTTTGCTGGCTCGTGTGTTGGGACGAGGCCCATCGAGCTTCGTTTTAGCCACCACATTGGGGATGAGGAAGAGACCTATCGGTTTCTCCAGGACTACTTGGGACCCAAAATCCCCGATCGTCGTTTTCCGCAACAGCATGGTCCCACGACTTGCCCCGATGGCAACACACTTGAGGATGTGGATTCTCAAGAACAGCTGACGCTTTTGGGTATCAATATCAGGTACTACAATTTAGTACGACTGGGCAAGCCTCACTACGTTACAAATATCTGCGATACAATTTCCAAGTTGCCAAGGCTAGAAGCCTTATGGCTGGACGGTTCAAAGACTAACAGGACGTTGATGGAATCAAATGCATGGCACAATTCTGCAATGGAGCTGGCGCGCGCTGGCCCCTTGCTAACATATATTCGCATCCATGGTGTACCATGGCAGGCTTGTAGAGAACCGGAACTCAAGCTCATCTATCTGGACGAATGGGATGATGAGGAGGTCCGACCAGACTTTTTCGATACTGAGTATCCGAGTGCCTGGGCAAATATCCAACGCTAATAAACGGAGGCCCCTGCTTAATGGCTATAGTATAGGGAAACGTTAATAAAACATGCGAAACACAATTAGCTCCGATTTTAAAGTTATTTTATAGCTATTCCTACGTATCTGTTACAGGTTGCTCTGATGGATTTAAAGCACCCTATTGAGAAACTCTACCACATCGTCCATTCCCTGCGGTGCATTAAACCAATGCCCACCCGTCGGATATTCTTTCCATGTGATGTTCGCACCAAACGAGTGCAGCACTTCAGCCTGCTTCTTGCCCCAGTCCACCGGGACAAGAGGGTCGTCTGCGCAGTGCTCGAGCAGCATCGGTGTGTTCTTCAAGACATCTGAGTGCGTCGGGGCATCTTGTATTTGCAGTACGGCGCGCATTTCCTCCAAGTTTCTTCCGGCAAATGGGCAGCGGCCACTGAAGCCAATGTAAGCACCGAGCCTCTTCTCGGGCGTCGGGATATCGAGATTGAACAGCGTGTGCACGCTCGTCGCAGAGCCCATGCTGATACCCATCAAAATGACCTTCCTCCAGTTTCCTTGCAGTAGATCGGCCTCTTTCTTCAGAAGGGCCTTGATTTGAGGGACGACTTCTTTGAGTCCCTCAGCTTGCAGCTCCTCGTTTTGGGCAAAGCTGCTCGTGTTCCAGACGTCAAACCACTGTGTCCATACCTCTCCGAACATGCTGGCACAGGCTCGTTTGGGCGCCTGAGGGAACACCCATTTGAAAGAGGGGAAGACGTCTGCTAGTTTGCGGTTTTGAGAGTCGCGCGAGTTGGCGAGTGAGGCACGGAAGTTGATGGCGTTGTCGCCGCGGCCGTGGAGGAAGATGACGGTGTGAGAGTGCTGGTGGCCTGCTGTTGGGGCTACTTCGATTGTCTCGAGGGCCATATTTCCGATTTCCTCTGTCGTTTTGTTTATTCAACCCCTTGGTGGAAAGTTTCGTTGGATGTCTCTGGGTTTTATACCAGATGATGTTGCCTGTTGGTTGGCAGCCTGTGCTGGCGCCTAGTTGGTGGGGGGCCTGTCGTGGGCGGGCGCTTAGACAACGACTACCAGATATACGCTGGCTAGACGATATTATGCAAGGGTGTTTCGGTAATTCCATTTTTATTTTAGCGAAAGTTGGTATGAATAGCTGGAGACGAGGCCAAAAATAAAAACCTAAAGAACAAGCTAAGGTGGAATACCACCTTTAGAATTGGTTACGAAGCGTCTTGCGAGAGCTCCGGGAAAAATTCAGGAATAAGACGCGGGTTCACCCTAATTCGAAGCAGATTATCGCCAAAATCGCCATCAAATATTCGAACATCGCTGTAACCGATGTCCTTATTGCCCATCAGCGGTCCAATGTAAAGGCGTAGAGCTTTCATCTGATTGCTCTCAAGAGGCTCTTCTGCCTTTACAAGCATATCGCGTTGGCTTATAATGCACATGATTACATTCGCAAAATCATGCTTGACGACTATATCAAAAAAGCTTTGAGATGCTGGGTTGAAATGGAAGCTTGCTGTCGCCGATATCATCGGTAGCGATTCGTGCCGACTGTCGTTTTGCTGGTTGAACGTGGCTGAACGTGTATTTTCGTGTATTTTCGTATTACTGTCCATATAGGCTTTAAGTAGCCTTGAAGATACATACGGTTGGGGGTTGTCTATGCGAGCCCATCGGCCAAGGAAATTCTCTCCGTCTGGCTTTTGCCGACGCATATTGGGTGATCGCTCGCGCTGAAGCCGGAGTAGAGTATAAGCTATATTCTGAGTTAGTAAAGAGTATGTACATGTAATGTTATTTAACAAACAGTCTTGACAGGGTAGATCCTCATATTCAAATACAGAGCGAACAACATCGGGATTCTCGTATATCCAATCGGGCGATAAAACCTCATTGTCAACCAATTGTAGAGTGTACTGTATAAGGTAATCGAACTGGGTGACCGGCATTTCGCGCAATTCTTTGGTTGTGTATACATCATAAATGGCTAACCGAGCTGGTAATCTGAGTTGATTAATCTCTTGTAGCCGCTGTTCGTAGCTATTCGGAGGCACCGTCCGTGGCTCACCATCTAAGTGGCCAGGAAGGTTGCACAACAAAACTATTAATTCTATAGTAGGAATGTTAGCTGAAAATCACATAAGAAAAGTAACAGATATACCACCTTTACCAAAATCTGGCGGCAGCTGGGTAACTACGTCAGATAACTGCAGAGCTATTGTCTTCACTATTCCAGCGATATACCCTGAATCTATTGTATGTATAGCGTCCACAATAATTTGTATAGTTAACGGGGTCAACCTCGATATCAACTGTTGGTTGCACGACGCAACAATACATAGTAGATGATGGAACTCTATTGAGTAGAGGCTATTATTTGAGCATCTCCCACGAGATAGTAGGTTCAGTGTATCAATTATTGTTGATGTTTCTTCGAGTTGGTTAGACAACAAATGATAAATAAGTCGTAATAAATCTACTTCTTCTTCTTCTTCTTCTTGGGCTTCCTTTTGTCGCATTTGCGTGTCATCTTCGTAAGGCAAAAACGATAAAGGCATTGTTCACGAACTTGATGATGTAGAAGAATAGCCCAGGCTGATCAGCGGTCACCAGATAGACCAGCCTCACAGCCGGCCACCTTGGGCGACCACCGGTGAAGGGATGACCAAAACCGTGGCCTGAGGCACTAATCATGCAGGTCTCAGTCCTCAAACCCCCCAGCCTACAATTCAAAGATGTATCATCACTCCTTGATTTCTTGTATTTTAACAGTTCTCCTAAATATCGTTCTACAAGGGACTAAGCTCACTCTTCGGTACCCACCCAAATCGTCAATCACTAGTCTTGTACAAGCGGCCCACTATCGTTAGCAGCAGCTAAGAGAGCCAATATGCCACTAACTAAACAAGAACTACAAGCTGAACTGCTGAAACATGAGCATTACCCCGTCGATTCAATCAGGAAATTCTATGAAATTCGAGACCAGCGCGAAGCTGTACGAGCTAGACTAAATCGCTCTTGGACATCAGGCACTACTCACCTTCGAGCCATGTTTGCGACCATGTCCAGGCCACTAGAAACAAATGTAATTTTTGTATATTAATTTCAAGGCAACACTAATAATAATTATAGACGGAAGACGATAGAACGGAATCACCAGTCTGGATTTCTACGTCGACTATACGAACAGAAGCTTTGCAAGAATCTCCCGAACCGCCTCAAGACTCCACAGAGATACAACCAGAACCCGATAGCTTGCGACAGCACGATCCCAACTGGGGTCATCATACACACTCTAATTCCTCAGCTCAGCATCCACTATCATATGGCCAGCCATATGATGGACGGGTAGATAATCAAGAGGACGAATCATCATCTGATACACCTCAAGTACATGAGCGGCCTCGTGATGCGCGAACGGCCATCCAGTCGATCTGCCATTCAAGAAACGTATCCGTTACTCGAGCAAATACTCCACATGAAACTCATCAACCAGTGGTACCTACCCGGACCAGCTCTATTCCTATTCACCATCGCCCACCGTTGGAGCAACGGTCCAACGCCTCTGCTCAACGGAACAGGCCGTTTGCCAACTTGGCACAACTACAAGGCTCTAGCCAGGCTAGTGCCAGAAGCAAATATATGAGAGTCTTCAATATTAGGACCGGAAGAGTAGTGAAAAAGGAATTTCGAACTCGAAGGAAAAAGAATAGCTTGGGGTTTATTGAAAGCAATTTTGGTCGACCTTAAGTAGGTATTTCTAGAAGAGACATTACACCATCCCAGTCTACCACAGAGTAGAACATCGGGAGGAGAGCATAGACATCCAATGATGGGCAATTAAGTTGACAGTGGATAGTTGTTTGCCATTCCGAACCAGAACTCGGTACCCAAGGCATATACGAAATTTGCATCCGAGTAAGAAGGAAGCCGCATGATTCACAGCTCCGACAGAGACCGCCTTGTTAACTGTATGGAGGAGCTTGTAAAGTACACGATTGTTATGCAGCCCCACTGTGGTCTAGTTGGCGATCGGTTTAGTGAAATGAAAGAGCGTGGGTCCAAGGAAACATAGAGATATACCTAGATAGAATAATAGAGTTGTATGGAATCTGAGCTGTCGACTATATTTTCTATAGTTACGAAAGGATCCACTGTCTTTTAAATTCCGTGTTGCGATACATCTCTGTTAACTTCTCTGCTGGAGTTACCACTTACACAGGAAGTACAGAGCCAGCAAAGATGACGACAACGAGTTAAACGCAAAAAGGAACTACGAGAATGGTAGAAGGTGACCAATCAAACGCAAGGTCTGACAAACTTGACTCGCTTGCAGAGATGATAGTCACCCGCTTGCATACCCTAGAGTCACTAGGTATCACACGAGCGTCTAGTATACGGCCCTATCTTATAGCAGTTGATATTATAGTACGTCTATCTGTAGCTCGACCGTATGCTTATACATCTTTCTCCCCGAATCGCGCTATTAGCGTTGTAAAATACGCAGATATTACGTCCGCGCGTGGTGCAACCTGCCAGTTCGAATAGCAAAGCAGCGAGCTCACCAAACGCCGCAGCTCTGTAATTTTGACGCCACCATATTGAGCATAGTAGAATAATCGAAAAAAAAAAGTCTGACAGCAGCCTCGAAGCTACAGTAGCTGCTGCAATGAGAACTCTGTGCGCGGTCATTGAGTTTACAAGGAACTCTGGGTACAGGCTGCTCAGGCGATCAATGTAGTACAGCATATACAGCAGCATTTGGGAAGTAAGGGCCAGTCTTTCGGTAATATAAGTAAGGTAATCTCGAATAGTTATATTCGGTTGGACCCTGGCAAATATTAGGACAGGAAGTGGACATCAGTGACTAAGTCTTGCTTACAACGAATGGAAAGGCGTTGGAGGCTTAGAGGGAGACTCTGGAAATATCTCTTCATTCTGCCGGATAGCTTCTTCAATAGACTTACTGACCAATATGGCCATTTCACGGGCAGAGACTCGGTCGTATGCATTCAATGATAGCATATCTAAGGCTAAACTGTGATTCATCGACATACTAGAGGGGATTGCCTACGTGTGATATACTGTGTAAGTGGTCGCGACTTGGCAAAACGGCCGGTATCCGCCGGCACGCCCCCATCATCTCTATGAAGAAAGCCTAATAATAATAGTTCACATGGGAGCGTACAGTCGAAGCTGCGAATAGAAAAAGTTTGGGTGCGAGCGAAGGCCCAGTCAGTGGTGCACGAGGTCAATGTGTCAGTGGCTGTCTGGCATTGGTCCATTGCAAAATTTCATCAGTTTGCTTACAATTACAGTGTTAGACATGATGACATACCGCTTGGAAATAGTGTATCCACGCCTGCCAAGTGGTCATATTCGACGTGTGAAGCAGGGGATGATAAGAGTGTGACTGGTTTCCACTATCTTGCATCACTTGCGTACATGGACAGTCTTGCAAAACGTTGCTATTCGTTATCGTTTATCTGAACGAGGGAGGAATGTGTCACTTGTAACCATTAGCATAGTGTTTCAGGGCATGCCGCACAGATTAGACTCCTGCAGTTTAAACACGTATACTAAAGTCAAATGAAGATTGTATTGAAAAACGCTTGCGCCATTTGATATTGTACATAAGAGCAACCACCCATGTTCGCTTTGGCACTAACCTTAATTCATCTCGTCTATTAATCTAAAAACGGCCGAGTTTTTGACCGAGCAGCTTGTATTCCCAATGCAGCCAAGTGCCGCTCGTGTCATTCCGGGATCCTGTGTGCCAGGAATCTGTATAAGAATGTCGGCTGCGGCATCACACGGCATCTCTTGACCACCTTCATGGTTGGTAGTCATTGTGAACGGTTCCATTGTGAACGGGTGCATTGCGAGCGGCTCTGGCAGCATCGGATAGCTTGACACCGCAGAAAGCGTGTCATAACTATCCATAGATGGTACTGGGTGGCTGCGCAGGTTGTGCCCGTGATGCACCGCCGGCGATGCCGTTGCTGCTGGCGACATGTGCAAAAAGTCAATATCAGGTGATATGGACTGAGCTTGCTCGTCTGATGAGACACTCGAGACGGATGTTGCAACCGCAGCCACCGTTTTGGGTTGGAGGGGTAGCCGCTCATCATGTTCGGACAGGCGTGGGAGCAGGTATTGGGCAGATGCGAGGGCCTGGTCGACTTCAGCCTGCGAGATGCCGTGCCAAGCCAACAGGGCCCTGAGGCACTGGTTTTCGAGCGAAATCGCCTTGGCAGCCTCTTGCATCTCAACAGTAGCGGAAACACCCTCGCTCCTGAACCGAGCAACCTCCTGGGAGAGATCTTCGATCAGCGCCTTGCGTCTGGCGCGGGACCGCCGCTGACATTCGCGGTTCTTCTCATTGAGATCTGCAGGCTTAACCTGGTCATTTGTTAGTTGGGCTGCTTGTTTGCTTGCATGTGCGTGTAACAGTCGCATGCTGTTAACGTACCTTGAAGGGCATGAGTGCGGCGGGTGGCAGGGCGGTCCTGCTGCAAACCTTGGTATGTTTCTTTCTTTGGCCTCGTGGTGTTGGTGTGTATGCCTATGCCATACTAGGGCTGAGGCGTTTTCTCTTATCTCTCTTATGTAGGAGCAGTCTGTATGCGCGCACACATAGTCAACGTGATCCGAGACAGCTCGTCTTATAGTTGGGGGCTACTTGGTAGCCGTATTGTGCGTTTATCATTCAGTTTGGTGCTTTTTGGGCGAGAAATAATTAGAAATATGTAGAAGAGGAGCAGAACGCGCAACACTATGGCGTCAATAAATATATGGAATCAGATCGGGCAGGGCGCGAGTAAGTCGGTCTAGAACTGGATCATCAGGCGGTTTACAAATACATGGGGGATAACCAACGGTAAGTTCCAGCGCCCTTGGAAAAAAAAAGGGCGTGGCAGTGCATGCTGCGAGTGCCGGCTGCCGGAAGAATTTGTGTGTCACGGGCCTGCTGTGATTGGCTGGTTTGTTGTCTTCTGTTTTTAACGTTTTTAGTCTGTTGGTTGATTAGTTGACTGTGGCGTCTTGGTTGCCCTTTCCGTTGCTTACACCACGTGCGGCCCACTCCACTCGGCGGGCGCCGACTAGGCTAACGCCGTTACAGGGCTGTGCTGCGCTAAAATCTACGCTTGCCAATGTGGTTCCTGTCAATTCCAGCGAGTTCCGGGGAGTGTGTCAGTCCCTCGTGCCGATTGGCCGATCGACATATGTCAATCGACAGTTGCAACAGATCTTGTGTAAGTTGGAAGGTATATAACGGTGTTCAATAAATCAGTATTGGTTTAGAGAAAGACAGATTTTACACAAATCAACAATATCTTTGAATACCGATTCAAAAAAAAAAACAATTTATTAGAAAGGATATAACACTATTCACCACAACAATGTCAACCAAACCAACGCCCCAAACGACAGCTCCTCCGGAGCCAGTCGATCTCGAGAGGCAGCCCAAGGAAGAATCCGACGACAAGGAAATCGTTTCTCCATTCAAGTCCCTAGGATGGTTAGACCGTTTCCTAGCTGTCTGGATCTTCTTAGCCATGGCTGTTGGCATTCTCCTCGGAAACTTTGTGCCGGAGACCGGCCCAGCCCTGCAAAAGGGCAAGTTTGTCGGTGTCTCGGTACCAATCGGTACGTTTTCTAATGATACCCCAGACCCAGACTGTCTCCTTTTATCCTTCGGCTAACAGTTCTCCCTCACATATTAGCCGTCGGCCTCTTGGTCATGATGTACCCTATCCTATGTAAAGTGCGCTACGAGTCGCTCCATGAACTACTGTCAAAGCGCTCCATGTGGACGCAGATTGCCTTCAGCGTCATAGTAAATTGGATTGTCGCCCCATTTCTTATGGTACGTTGTGTAACGCCACGTATGTACAATTACACACTGACTCGCATTTGAACAGCTAGGTCTAGCCTGGGCCTTTTTGCCTGACAAGAGCGATCTGCGTATCGGTCTGATTCTTGTTGGCCTGAGCAGATGCATCGCCATGGTAAGCACCATAAACCTTGCCCCGTCTAGGCAGTCATCCAATATTTTACGTGTGCATAGGTCCTTATCTGGAACGGTCTTGCCGGCGGTGACAACGAATACTGTGCCATCCTTGTAGCCATCAACTCAGTCTTACAGATGGTCCTCTTTGCACCCATGGCCATCTTCTTTATCAAGGTAATTAGCCGCGACGCCAGTGTCCACACCGTCTCATATGAGGTCGCAGCGACCAGTGTGGCCGTGTTCCTAGGCATACCTCTCGGGGCTGCAATCATCACCCGCTTCTCTCTCCGCGCGTTGGCGGGCGTAGACTGGTTCGAGCGCGTCTTCCTCCGCTTCGCAGCCCCCTGGTCCCTTATTGGTCTTATCTACACCATCCTGATGCTGTTTGCATCACAGGGCCGCCAGGTTGTCCACCAAGTCGTGTCAGTCGTCCGCGTGGCTGCGCCACTCACTGTGTACTTTGTCCTGATATTCTTCATGACACTCTTCGTCACGCACCGCCTCGGCTTTAAGTACGGCTATGCCGTGACACAGAGCTTCACCGCTTCCAGTAACAACTTTGAGTTGGCCATTGCCGTGGCAGTTACTATTTTTGGGCCTGACAGCGACCAGGCTCTGGCTGCCACCGTTGGGCCCCTCATCGAAGTACCTGTTCTGCTGGGGCTTGTTTACACCATTCGATTTATCCATCGCAGGTGGGGTTGGAAGGTTTGAGTCTACAAGTCGCGTGAGAGTCCTGTAGGAAAACTGTATGCATATGTTACACTATAGCTACTCTAATTTTATACTCAATCAGTAGAGGTCATGTTTCGTTGATATCTCCAAGTAGTACTATTGCTCTAGCGAGGTCAACGCTTCAGTAATAGCTATTTTATTGCATGTGATAATGTCTGACAAGCAAACACGCAACATGGTGGATGTCCAACGAGATGCCATTGTGGAGGTAAGATACAAGTGGGAACCATGAACAGGACCGCGGCGGGAACCGCGGCGGGGATTTCTCCGGGACTGACACAGCACCTTTACGCTATTGGCTGGCCTTACAATCGATCGAGTCACATGTCAGTAGTGGCGGCCACGCGGCTAACTCAATCAATGCCAAGCCTCATTCGAAGTTCTCAATTTTGAAATGGAAACGTCCATTATTCTCTATTAATATCCTCTCCACTCTTTGTGCAACGTTGCTACGTGTTGCCGCTCTTAGTCCAGGCATCTGCATCATATTCATCCATCCACTCGACGTATTCATCACCCCCCTGAGCCCAGCCTTTAATACCTTCGCATAAAATAGAGCTGTCTATAACATGGCCATGCCCATGCTCTCTGTTATAGTCCTTAAACCAGCCGGCTGCCCTTGCCCCACGCCCTTTAGAGGAAGCTATGAAGAGCGATAGGTTAGCAATTGGCAACAGAATGAGGTAGTCCTCGCCAGTGTGTCGTCTTACAGCAGTACCATATCACAAGAGGCACATTTGCTGCCTGCAGAGCCGTATGCAGCGTTGGAATGGTAGGATACAGACTCTGGGCGGGAAGGTTAATAGACCCACGAATGGTGCCGCCCTACACGCCAAAACTGTGTTAGCAGTGTGCTAGCCAACAACAACCGGTACATACCTCATGATCGTTACGGCGGAGATCAATTAACATAAAATCTTTCCCGGCAACCTTTTCATTATTTTTGAGCAGCGACAGCAGCTCCTGGCGTGTTACCTTGCCTACTTCGGCATCACTGGGTTTAGGGTATGCTGCGTGCCAAGGGATAGCTTTTGTATTCTCTGAAGGCACGGCCATATCGAGGAGCCTCATCGATAGGGATCCGTGATATGTCGTCTTGCGGGAGAGCCGGTAAGTAGAACCGATGATGTAGCCAGTTTCAAGTTGGCCATGTGCAGCTTCATACTCATCCTAATCATAGCTGGCAGCGTCAGTATTGCTATTAAATAAAGATTCCATTTAAGCTTGTTGGCTCAAAGACTACCGATCTGGAATGTGTCATAACTCTTGTACTATTGGCTATAAATTCAAAATAGAAAGAAACTAGAAAAACGGCCAGATGTCGGCAGAGCTGCAGTAGAGCGGAGCAATTGTGATGTGTGTCAGTCCCGGACGCTGATTGACCAAAGCTAATCGACGAGGCCTCCATGTAAATTCCAACCATAGATGGAGTAAGACATTGATCGCCCTTTAGCCTTAAAAGGATGTACCATTTAATTTGTTTCTGTCAATAATTACACATCATACGAACCAGCAACATGCCTACACTTCAAAAACAAGTCGATCTTGACACTCAGTCCCAACGGGACCTACATGGGCTAGTTTACGCTCTTCGACTCATATACAAACGATGGAACTGGGGAAATTAAAGCAAGTTATGTTATTTCTGTTACAATCGAGAATATTCGCCTTTTAAGAGGACCCAAGGGACTACGCAATTATGTAATATATTTCTATGTTTGAATCTGCTCTTCCTGCTTGGTCTGACCCTCGACGTCCGCTCCTCTCTTTGGCAGCTACGTTAAAACTTGCAACCTACCATCTCTGGTGCAAAAGCATAATACCGAGCAGGGATAGCTTAACCTGCATTGATGATGATGAGCCAGATAGCGTATCTCCACGTTTGAAAGGAGAAGCTGAGAGTCCAGTCCGGTTAAGCCAAGTCTATGCTAATCCGGCTGGGCTACCGTTCTTTCCTTCTGAGGAATGGAATCCTCGCAAATCCTACGACACAAATCCTCCGAAATAGATCCATTATAATATTAAATGGAAACTCACACTATTGAAAAATAGACGCACGAAACTTACATGTAATACAGAGCAGAACGTTGTCCTTGCCCCAGGCGACTTCTGGCAGATCCAGCTGAAGTCTAAGGTCGACGCAGCCGTGCTGAAGAAACTACCTGGAGACAAATACATCCGCGACGAGGCGTTTGCTGTCGTAAACGTAAATGATCGAGCCGAAGATGACCTTGAACTGTCCCTTCCGGACTGTGACATTGAGTGGCACGCGATCGAGAAACCGTTGGTGGATTGGAGTCATCTCTACCGCTCTGGTAAGTGGCTGAAGGTCAAAATGGAGCTTACACGCTGAGTAAGGCGGCCACAGAAGAGGAGATCCGTAATCGGCAAGGAATAAAATCCCAGCATGCTGAGTTGGCTGCACAGACGCTGAGAGATCGAGCAGCAGGCATATCGCAAGTGTGGAGAGACGTATTTCCCATCCTCGAATGTCCTCAAACGGACTGTAATGTTAGCCCATGGTGCATGTACGATACGCAGACGAAGAAACGGGTTCGAGTTGAGATGTATCATATGCAACAAATCAGGGATTACGTTGAAGCAGGTGGGACGGTTAGGACACATAACGACGTCCCGCCTCATATTCGAGATCAGATCATGCAGCGAGCTGAAAAAGCCTCGACGGGTAGCAGCCGGCTTTGCCGCAAACTCCCCGATCACGATTCAGGCGATCCAACCACCACTACCTCAGCCTTCCAAGAAGAGGGTCCGCCGCGATTGCACATTTGATGACGAGGAACTTGCCCAATACTGCAAGTACCTTTGCGACCGGGTTAAAAGTGGAGGCTGGAAAACTGACGTACGAAAAGCTGCGAAACTAGCCTTTAAGAATCGCATAACATTGGATCAGCTTCATGAGAACCCGGATAAAGAGATAGATTTTTTCCTCAAACACGAAACACCTCGAGGTGTTGCTTATTCTTTTGTCACCCAGGTTCCCCACTGGTGGGAGAAATCAAGGGCAATCCAGCGTTAAATAGCCAGCGTTTTGCTTTTTAAATAACAATAGAACGATAGATTACAGTATAATGGATTATTCTGCGCAGATACAGCTTCCTGTTTCCGTAGAGAGTGTTGCTTATGGGGTACTTTAGAGGCATTCTTCCGATCTTATGCAGCATGCATGATTTGCTCGTCCTCACCGCCTATGCACGTCAGTATCACAGCCTCAATACCCCGCGCCGCCTCCTATATGTATACTTTTAGCATCCATCTCATGGAATAAGATGGGTAAACATAAATTTTGGCCTTTCAAGCGGCCCGAAGGCAGACAGACACCAAAAACGCTGCCAAACTTGCTGTCTCCGTCTACCCCTGATGGCGCCACATCATCAAGCTCTAGCGTCTCCGCAATCGAGTCAGTTGGTCCTGTCCCTGGAACATCTAACAACCCAGCTCCTGCCATCAGTAATACGACCGCTGAAACGGCTACCCCGACGGCTTTGTTAAACGACGCAGCAAGTTCAAATACAGCAGCTCTCGCCTCGCCAGCAACAGCCGAGAATGACGCACCACTGGCAGACTCACGTTGGGACCACGCGTACGATGCGCTGAAGGTCAGCCATGGTGAGCTAATAGAAGCATACGAAGACTTGCTCTCTAAGTCATTGCATCAAGGTTAGCACCCTCGCATATCTAAGCAACTTTGCTATGCATTTAACATCGCTCACAAAACTTATAGTGCAGATACCCCATCCTGACCACGCTACTAATGTGGTTCCCCAGGGTGACGCAGCTGCCCGTCGACGGAAGATGGATACTATAATTGCACTTGGTCTAGAGCATGCGGCCGACAAAGAGACGAGCGTAACCATTGCCGGGCATAAGGTTACTGTTGAAGAGGCTATTGCGAAAACAGCCGGTGTTGTTTCGTGGGCTGAGGATTATATCAAGGACGCGGTCAAAGACTTGCCATACGCATCTATAGTCATGATCGGCGTATCGCTGGTTCTGCCGCTACTGAAGAACCCTGTTGTGGCGGAAGAGGCTCGTAGCACTGGGTTCACGTATGTTACCTCGCAGATGCGTTACTACGCTGCCATGGAGTCGCTTCTGCTGCCCGAGGACATGGAGTCTGTTCGGAGAGCAGACCTGGCAAGTCGACTGACTTATCTCTATTCTCTTGTTATAGAGTTTCAATTTCGCTGCGTTATTCACCTATACCGCAGCAGGACAAAGAATTTCTTTCGCGGAGCCATATACTATGATGACTGGAAGGGCACGCTAGCCAGCATCAAGAGCGCCGAACAAGATTTAGACACCAAGTTCTTCAAAGCCCAGTCAGCGCAAAGCGTGGAAACCCTCAGGTTGATGCAACGCGAGGCAGATGAGTCGCGCAGGCGACTGGATAGTACTATGGACGAAATTGTCCAGCTTATGCGAGAGCAGCTCGGCGTCGCGGCCAGAATGGATCGACGTATGGAGCNTATGCGAGAGCAGCTCGGCGTCGCGGCCAGAATGGATCGACGTATGGAGCAGGCAGAAGATCGGGCTTGCATAGAGGCATTAAGCAAAGAAGATCCTCGAGATGACAAATCCAGAATTTTGTCTCAGAAGGGTGGTCTTTTGGAAGATTCGTACCGCTGGGTGTTCACTAATGAAGATTTTCAGCAGTGGCGCAGGCGCGACAACGGGCTGTTGTGGTTAAGAGGAGATCCTGGCAAAGGAAAGACAATGCTTGTTTGCGCTATCATTGATGAGCTAGAAGCATCTGTATGGATGGTTAATTTGTGTTACTTTTTCTGCCAAGCAACCGATGAACGCATCAGTAACAGCACAGCAGTGCTGCGTGGATTGATCCATATGCTGGTCAAACAACAACCTTCGCTCATGCCTCATCTTCGAAAGGCTTATGAGGAGGCTAAACTAGTGGAAGGTAGAAATGCCTGGGTAACCTTGTCACAGCTTTTCGATAAAATCGTCAATGATAATCAACTGAACGAAACATACTTGCTCATCGACGCGCTGGACGAGTGTACAACGGATTTAACGCTCCTATTGGAACTCGTTGACAAATACGTATCACACCCACGTATTAAATGGCTCGTCTCCAGTCGAAACGAATTGGCGATAGCCGAGCGCCTTGATCGGCCTAACATTGGCAGTCAACTGTCATTGGAGCTGAACGCTGCCTCCGTATCTTCAGCAGTGCACTCATATATACAACACAAAGTAGGAGAGCTGAAGGCGCTGAAAGGATATACACAAATCCAACACGACAACGTTTCACTCTACCTAGCCGACAATGCCAGCGATACGTTCTTATGGGTAGCCCTTGTTTGTCAGCACCTTAGTACGCTTCCTCGTGGAATTGTGTTAGACACAATAAAGAGAGGATTATTCCCGCCTGGACTGAAAGATCTGTATAGGCGAATGCTTCACCAAGTCTATAGTACCGACTTTGCGGACCTCTGTATACGGATTCTAGCGGTAGTCTGTACTATATATCGTCCTATTACTATTGACGAATTGCCATCAATAGTGGAGCTTCCCAACGACTTAGCGGAAGATTCAGACGCATTACAGGAGATTTTAAACACGTGCGGCTCTTTCATTTCTACCAAGAGTGGTGTCATCGCGACCGTGCATCAATCAGCGGTAGACTTCCTGAAAGAACAGGCTAGTGATGAGATCTTCCCTGCAGGGCCTAAAGATGTACACTATAAGATATTTGTACACTCGCTGTATTCACTTTCGGTTTTTTTTAGACGGGACATTTACATCCTAGTTGATCCTGCCTATAGATTCCAGAACATTCAACGACCAGATCCAGATCCACTTGCAGCAGTGGGATACTCATCTGTTTACTGGATTGACCATCTAGGAGAGAGTTTATCTCTGTCTGCGGAAAATGAGGTTGTGGAGATAATCAATCACTTCATGCAGAAAAAGTATTTATACTGGATCGAGGCATTGAGCTTGTTGGGTAAAATTTCACAAGGGGTTCAATCTATCGCAAAACTGAAAGAGCTTACCGTGAGTTATATACATTATTATATTAATCTAATTAGCTAATATATTCACTAGCTAAAAGTATCCGATGTATTGCTTAGAGACACTGTCCATGATGCAGAGAGATTTTTGCGCTACTTTAAAGTAGCTGCTGAGTTGGCCCCGCTGCAAATATATGTATCGGGGCTTCTATTCAGTCCTACGAACAGTTTGACAAGAAAACATTTCCAGCAAGATAGATTTAGTCGTCTATCATTAGACTCGCCAGCCAGTCCAGAGTGGAGTGCTTGTATACAAACACTCGAGGGTCACAGCAATTGGGTTAGATCGGTGATATTCTCGCCAGATGGCAAGAGTATTGCTTCTGGCTCGTATGATAAGACTGTTCGAATATGGGATGCTGTGACTGGGAGTTGCAAGTATATCCTCGAGGGTCACAGCGATTGGGTTATGTCAGTGATATTCTCGCCAGATGGCAAGAGTATTGCTTCTAGCTCGGCTGATAAGACAGTTCGAATATGGGATGTTGTTACTGGGAGTTGCAAGCATATTCTCGAGGGTCACAGCCATCGGGTTGTATCAGTGATATTCTCGCCAGATGGCAAGAGTATTGCTTCTAGCTCGGCTGATAAAACCGTTCGAATATGGGATGCTGTGACTGGGAGTTGCAAGCATATCCTTGAGGGTCACAGCAATTGGGTTAGATCGGTGATATTCTCGCCAGATGGCAAAAGTATTGCTTCTGGCTCGGATGATAAGACAGTCCGAATATGGGATGTTGTGACTGGGAGTTGCAAGCATATCCTCGAGGATCACAGCGATTCGGTTATATCGGTGATATTCTCGCCAGATGGCAAGAATATTGCTTCTGGCTCGGATGATAAGACCGTCCGAATATGGGATGTTGTGACTGGGAGTTGCAAGCACATCATTGATGGTTATAGTAGAGAGGTTACATCAGCACTATTCTCGCCAGATAGACGCCCTACGCCTCCTCTAGAGCTGAAAAATAATATTGAATTAGACATGGGAGGTGATGACTGGATAATGGTTGATGGATCTGATTTTCTTTGGCTACCTGCGGAATATCGACCAACCCAAATCGCAGTCAAGGGTTCGCATTTGGCGCTGGGTTGCGCTTCTGGCCGAGTTCTGATATTTCATATTTCAGCGTAAGAATAGTTTGCATTTTCTTATTGATTTAGGTAAACAATATTAATTCCGGGACCGCGGAAATTACCCCTCAAGCATTGCGATTCCTCCAGTTGCCCTTTTCGTCCCTATGGCGACGCCCAAGGTGTCGAACGCTCCGTTGTAGAAATTCGTCGAATAGAAGCTCTGTATATCTTTCGTGCTTCCAATACCTTTTGATGAATGTCTTTAATTCTGAGAAAAGTTCTTCTATAGGATTTAAATCTGGTGAATACGGGGAGGAAATAATACTTTTACCCCTGCTGCTTCTCACATAGCTAGAATCCTCTTCGAATGATGCAAGGAGACGCTGTCCATCACAAGAACAGACTTGGGTTCCGGAAATCTGCCGCAATATTGTAGCAGTTCTGCTATGTAGTCCTCAAATACGGCGCCGTTAGTAGCTCCATCGTATACTCGTGAGAAAAAGACGCCATCCTGCGCATAAGCCGGCAAACTTTGGCGTTTCCTGTCTCGAGTGAACATTCCTTTTTGGATTGGATCAACTCCTCGTCGAGCTCGGCCCTTGTTACGTTGAGCGGCGAGAATACTACAGCCAGATTTGTCAAGGAAGACTAGCTGGTAGGACAGGAACTGCATCAATTTCTGAAGATACCAGTTCCGTAGCAGCTGGTCCCGCTGCTGGGCCACCTGGCGAGTCTTCTTCCACAGATAGCCTGCTCGAAGCCAGCTTCGGCTGATAGTGCTAGGAGACGGCTCAATACCAAACTTTTTCTTCAAAAATTCAATATTTTCCCCTCTATTTTCCGTAGAGTTTTCTTTGGCCCTTTCACAGAGAGCACGCATCATATCGCCAGTTATTAGTCTTGGTCGGCCGGCCGATTTCTATCTAGGAGCTCGAGTGGTACCATAACATTTTCTGTTGAGGCGAAGCCGACGAATGGTAGACTCAGGTCATAGTACTATAGGTGATATTTCTTTATCTGATTTTCCAGCAGCAAATAGAAATAAAATCCTGATATGATCCGCCTCACTTATTGGCGGCGCCATGGTTACGTAAAATAAGCTTCTAATTATGCGTATAAAGCATGACTCCAAATGGGAAGGAAGCGGTGATGGCTGGGACCCTATAGCTGGCAGCGCACGCTAAAATCCACTTTGAACGCCCGCCGTCTGGTCTTTGAGCGGTGCTCTTGGCTCAGAGCTTCGCAGGTACTTAGGGCAAAACCTGGCTGCCCAAAAGGTACATTCTTCTACAGTGAGAATAATAACTCGCTCCCTAAATTGCTCCGTGCGCAAACCAACTCTGGACTGGCAATCTGATCATTTATTTCGGCCTCGGCTGTATGCTTCGATGTTGTGGACTAACATGTGTCGATAGGTGCAGAGGTTATCGTTCTTAAGCCGGAAGAGCGGCCTTCATCTAGGGTATATCTCTATCCGCAGATATTTGCGGGCATCTCATATCTGCTGGCAAGCGGTTTCCTATTTTGGTTGTGGAAGGATCTGAAAACCAAAAGTGGCCAATGAGACGGACACACCATTCATGCGACGGAAAAGAAGATCCGTAGACATCTCGCTTCTAAATAGACAAGAGTTCCAACTAGTCTAGCTAGCCACTGGGTAGACGCTGTTTTATGGTACTGAGTTCTCGGATGGTTGAGAGTGAATAGACAGTTGCTGGACTTGTATTGCCGTGTTAGCATACTTTCACGGAATCACACATTTTTGTCTCATCTCGCCAATCTACTTTGTCCCATTTCTGGGCTGATTCTTCCCAACGGCTGCCCCTCCCCTCCCCATTGCAATTGGCCCATTCCGTGCTAGCCTTGCTGCAGCTGTTGTAAATGCCTGTTGGACTGTGGAGCAGGCCATCCATCTAAAATAGGTCTTTCTTTGGTGGGCCACCGCAGAGCCACTTAGTCACTGGGCGTTTTGTTCTTCTGTTGGTGGCGATGGAGATGCATTGAAAGAAAGGGGCAGGAGGACGGGCGCCCTGAACGGTGGTGGGCAGGTGGCGGGTGCCAGTAAAGTGGAAAAAAGGGTTGCAAAAAAAAAACGTGTGACACTGCATGTGCGCCAGCAACCGGTGAGGAGGATGCTCGCTACAGTGCGTTGCGTTGCGCTGCGCAGTGATAGGAGGACAATTGGGCCGGCCCTGACGAGCGGACTGTATCCCGCTCTGACATGTTATTCTTTCTCTTGTCATTTTTTTTCTTTTTTTTCTTTATTGCACGCATCTTCTCTTTCATCTTTTTATTGCAGCATTTGTCTTATTCCAGCCTAGGGCCAATATATCAAGCCCGTGGCGTGCACGGTCTAGAGCCCCGAATTGTGGCCCTGGACCCTCTGCCGTGGACAGTTGGGCTCCGCCTGGGGCCCCCCTTAGACGACAGGCTAGGCGGTGCTTATTTCCATATTGGTGTGAGCGGGTTGGTTGTTCAGTAGAGTTAGGTCTGTGTGCTGGCCTTTTTTTTTTTTCATATCGTCTACAGTTTCTTTGGGGATTTATCACTTTTTCTTTTGCCACCAGTGTGCCCAATCCCTACCCGTGGCGAAAAATATGCCTTTGCTGCAGCTGCAGGTTCTGCAGGGTCCAATTCTCGCTTCGGCTCTTTTTGTCTCTGCTGTCTCTGGTGCTTATACTAAAAAGTACACTACGTCATTTCGCCTGCGGGCTAAGCTACACCTGCGCCGTTCCAAAGTTCTAGAGCGCGGAGCTGTGTTTAGCCGCCGCACCGGAACGGTGGCCATCTTGTTGTCTCTTATGCCGATCGTTGTCACCGCCTGAAAGAAAGCGACCCAGCTCCTTGGCCACCCGTGTGTAATGTGTCTTTTTAACCAGAATAATCACGGGCGTCCGTGTGTCTTGTCTCTATCTATCTATCCCGTGCGCATCGATGCGCCGCGAATCTGGTCAATCCCGCCATCGTGGTACTGCGTTCGGGCATTGCATCGTCACCGCCCCCAAACTTGTCCACTACTAGCTAAATTAACTGATGGCTGTAGCTGTGAGTGCTGCTGTAGTCATAACAGCTCAAGTGTAAGCCTTGCCTCCATATGCTCGCTCTAGCGATTTCCCTCGGCCTTCGCTAGTAATTTGGCACTAACCTCATTGCGTACGCCCGCTTGGCACTTTCGGGGGGCACGCGATGCAGCGGTTTGTTCTAGCCCAATCACCGCTACAGGCGCCGTCAGCCACCAACTAAACCAACAACAGCAGTTGCTCAAACCCCCAATTACAAATGTACAAATGTTACCGTTGGGTAGCCAGCCAGTCCGTCAGCAAGCCCCCCCTGCCATTGCCGTAGGAAGTGCGCTACAGTTTCAATATGGTTAAATACGTGCTTATATGGTACGTCGGAGGAGTAATACAATAGTATTCCACCGTTTATCTATTGGCAAGGATTCCCCGCTCCGTTGGGTGTAATGATGGTGGCGGAGGCTGTCCTGTGGAATGAAAGGTGCCAGATTATCACCAGGGAGGATAAAATGGACGCGGATTTGTTTGCTGTGTTTCTCGAATGTAGACTGTTTGTCACAAATCCCTCTCCTTTGTGTATAGACGTGCTATCTGCCATTTTTTCTCCTGGATTCATCTTCATCGTCTTCTTGCTCTCCCACTAGAACCTATACTGGTGCACTAGTACCAGTATACAGCTACACAACTACAACAGTCCTGATGACTCTTGTCCTCGCTGTTTCCATCGGATATACGGTAAAAAAAAAGCACGTACGATACTATATTAGCCCAATCAATTCCGCATATCCGGCTTCACTTCCGGCATTAGTGCTTCTCCCTCTTTTGTCCGTTCTGGTACCAGCCAACTCCTGTAACCCCTCCTCCGTGGACCCTCCATCTGTCCCCGTGCCCCTCCGTGGAATAAAATAAAAAATAATAATAATCCCATAACCACAAGCAAGCACCCACCAAACGCTACGTCACTCGGCCGTCGCAGCCCCAGCCCAGCCGGCGGCACACTGCACCAAGCGCTGTTTTTGGCTTGCCGGTTCACTGCTGGCTTGGTACTGCTGTTAACTGTGCTGTTTTGCGCCGCGCCTCCCCTGTGGCCAGCCTCTTCTTCACCGTCACTTGGCTGTTTCTATAGAATAAACAAGCACAAATTCTTTCCCGTACATGTAATTTGCGATTCACCAATCTACTTCCATTGTGCATCGGCCAGCTTTTTTGTGTGCCTGAATCTTTTCCCCCTTCGATTTTTATTGGGGGCGCATTTTCCCTCTGCTTCGCTGCCCCTCCACCGTCATCACCATACACCACCCACTCACGCCCTCTGCCAGCCAGCCCGCCAGCCCCTCTTCCTTCCCCATCAGCTCCTCCTCAGTTTTCTCCTCGCTTCCCCGCGACCTGTCCCTTCTTGCTGCTACAGCATCTGATTTGAAGCTTATCCTGTGCATCCTCTTGTATGATTACCGTTCCTTGAAGCCGCAAAAAGCACCCTCATCCTCTTTTTCTCCTTTACCTCTGGTTCGTTTTGACTTGTCAACTTCCCAGCGCTCTCGTGACGGCGGCAAGCTTCAGCACACGATTCATGACCACCACCAAAGATCCTGTCCGCTTTGCCACTGCCTCCCCATCACCAAGCAGCAAGCAGCTCGCTCTTTTCCTCAACATACTAACATCTTCATCGAAATCTAGATCACAACACATACCGAAACCATGGACGTAAATCTCGGTGACGCGGTCGATATGCCCACCTTTAACCAGATCCTGGAAATGGACGACACCGACGAACGCGAATTCTCCTCCTCCATCGTCTTTGGTTTCTTCGAGCAAGCAGAAGAGACCTTTAACTCAATGGATAAAGCACTGTTCGTGGAGACTTTGCACCGGAGTAGACTGATATACTCACACGCTATATAGGCAAGAACGAAACCTCGAAGAGCTCTCATCGCTCGGCCACTTTCTCAAAGGCTCATCCGCCACCCTCGGCCTGGTCCGCGTTCGCGACGGCTGCGAAAAGATCCAGCGCTTTGGCAAGCTCGAAAACGAAGATGGCTCCTCAGAACCTGACGAGGAGCTCCAGCTTAAGCGCATCACACAAGCTCTGACCACGGTCAAGTCGGACTACCAAGAAGTCGAAGCCACGCTCCGCCAGTTCTACGAAAACAACGAAGCTGCCTAATAGACCAACCACCCTGTCTTGTTTTTGTTTTTATCTTTCGCCAAGACGTATAATGTCTACATAGCCTACTGGAGAAAAGCTGTACATATGCCGGAGAATCATCAGCATCTTGGAGTGGCCATCCTTAAACGCAAACAACCCCGCCACGCGCACAACGCCCTGATGTCGACCAGACAGCAGAGGACGACATGATTTGTTTTTTAGAGGCAGGATATGGAAGGGGCTCATGAGGACGATTAGGAGGAGGATATGGTGCATTTGTTTTATTTTACCAGGGGTTTTGGTACTTTTTTTTTCTTTTCTTTTTTTTTGGCTTTCGTTCTCTATTCTTTCTTTTGTTGCTGCTACTTGTCTTGTATTCCCACACAAGCAAGAGCGCTATGCATGGGCAGAGGCGGCGGGCAGCACACAGTTGGTTGGCTGGCCCTGTGGACACACGCGCGCACACTCCGATTTTCGATACCTTTGAAATTCTGCAGACACAGTTCTGCTTGCATACATTTTTTGCTGCTGCAAAAAAAACCTTGCTTTTGCCTTTAAGTCTTGTGACATGTCGTTCGTATGCGTAGATTTAGACTTTTGTCTAGAGGCGAGCCGGCGCAAAGCATGGCCATGGTCAACACACCACCACCACCACCTCCGCAGGCTGCAGTAGGACAGCGTCACTCTGCGGGGAGGGCCTTGGCTGGTCATCCGTCCCCCTAGCGCGGTGACGATCTGCATCCGCGACCAGACGAAAAGCCAATCTGCGCCCACTAGTATTTATTCGCAATATACAGTCTTATCCATTTCTACGGTCCAATGGCAAAATCGCCTACGCATTTCCTTGCGCTGCCGCTGCACAGACATGCGTCTCTTTCTGCTGCTCTCAGCTCATTTCAAGCAGACGTCACATCGCCCATGTCGTTTGCTCTGCCAGATGCTGCCGTGAGACCGCCAGGCACGCTCCATCTAACGCTAGGCGTGATGAACCTACCACAAAAGTCGAATGTTGATGCCGCCATTACCCTGTTACAGCAAGTCAAAGCACACTCGATACTCCAAGCGGCGCGCGAGCGAGCCGGCGAGCCAGCACAGGGAAGCTTGCGGATACACCTCAAGGGCTTACAGGCAATGGGCAGCGAGGAGAAAGCGACAGTGTTGTATGTCCCGCCGGAAGATGCGGATCCTGCGTGTCAGGGACTGTTGTATTCGTTTGCGAGTGATCTGAAAACCAAGTTTGTCGAGGCGGGCATCATGGAGAGTGAAACGCGACCTATGCTGCTGCATGCGACGGTGCTGAATACGATATATGTCAAGGGGAGGAAGCGAGGGAAGGATAGATTGACTATTGATGCGCGGCATATATTGGCGCGGTATGAGGATTTTGTGTGGGCGGAGAATGTGGACATTGAAGAGGTTGGGTTGTATAAGATGGGTGCGCAGCCTGTGGAGGGGACGGATGATGTAGAGTATGTGGCGGAGGCAAAGGTATTGCTTGTGCAGTAAGGATACATCTGTACACTTAATATTATGCATATTGAAGCGTTGAAAAGCATGGTTGAAAAGAGAGACTTGCCAAAATTTACCTCGAAGATGCATTAGAGTATAGCGGAAGCTGTGGACAGCAAGATATCAAGCGGTGCCAGTGGCGGACCAAAAAAGAAAGTCTTGTCTGCGCTCAAGGGTAGTTTCATTACCTGGGTGATGATGTAAATGGTAGGAACTGGTGGTGACTGGTAAAAAGAATGAAGCACAAAAAAGACAAAAAAAGATAGCAATTGCACGTTTCGATCGTGCGACTATTGAATGTTAGTACTATGCTCCTTGCGGGATTCGAATGGTGAGTCGTACCCTCCGGGTTATGAGCCCGGCGCGCTTCCACTGCGCCAAATTGCTTTGCGATGTTGCACTGAGCCGCCAAAATAGACTTAAGAATGGGGACCGCTTCCCCGTCTGCGCCAACGGCCACCCACACATACCTTAAGCTACAAATAAATTCAATCAAAAGAATAAACGAGACCAAAATAACCCAATTTATTTCCTTTGTAATTTCATATACTTCAAATCCCACATATACACACTCCCTCGCGGCTACTATGCGGCTCTTTCGGCTGCTACCACTAACAAACGGGCTCACACCTTTTTGGTATAGCTAGCTCTGACGTAAGATATTCCTACTCTTTGTTCGCCTATTGTCTCCTCGCTCTCGCTGACCAAAGGATCGGTTTCGTTCGTCGCCTGCCTAGCCTATTGTATGTGACCGGCCCGATTAGAAACAATGCGCCCCCCATTCAAGCTAGCTCTTCGCAGCTCTCGATCGTGGAGCAGAGTCGCATCGCCCCGAGGTCCCAGTCAGCCTGCATGAGCCGGCCCAGTATGTCTGCACCGGAGACTTCTAAACAGGGCCATTACCAGCGAATAACCTCGCATTAAGCTAGTCTAGACTACTGCGCACAATGCCGAGATTATGGTCCATGCGCTCGGCTCACGCGGTGAGTTATAGTAGCGCGGTGTATATATAAGACGCAAATGCCGCCAAGAAGACAGAGGATGCGATGCCAGTGTAAATAGGACGAAACTAGCCCACGATGCAAGCTTCCACCCGTCCATTCGGGCTACTTGCCGCCCTCTTTGCGCTCCTCTGCTTTGCTAGCATGGCCTCAGCCGCCACCTACGTCCGCCGCGGCTCCGACCCCTCCGTGATCAAGATGAACAACACCTTCTACTCCGTCGAGTCCGGCGCCGGCGGCATCTGGATGCGCTCCGCGTCTTCGCTCGTCGGCCTCGGCGCCAACAACGTCGACCGCGTCAACGTGTGGTCCGACAAGGCGGGCCGCGGCGAAGTATGGGCGCCCGAGCTCGTCGAGGACGGCGGCAAGACATGGATCCTCTTCTCGTCCGGCGTGGCCAGCAAGCACCGCATGTACGCCATGAGCGCGGACCACCCGATGGGCCCATACACGAGCGAGACCAAGATTGCGCTGCCGGACGACCAGTGGGCGATTGACGGCACCATGTTCAACTTCAACGGCGAGCGCTGGTTCGTCTGGTCCGGCTGGGAGGACGGCACGGGTAAAGAGCAGAATCTGTACATTTGCAAGATGAGCAGCCCGACGCAGTCGACGGGTAAGCGCTTCATCATTTCGCAGCCGCGTGAGCCGTGGGAGACCAAGGTGTCTGGCATCAATGAGGGTCCTGAGGCGATCATTGATCCGAATGGTCAACTGCACATTGTCTATTCTGCGAATGGGAGCTGGACGGACCGGTACTGTTTGGCAGATTTGCGCCTGCGTAAGGGCGGTAACCCGACGTATGTGTGGGACTGGTACAAGTCGAATGGGTGTCTGTTTGGCTCGCACCAGGATGGCATGATGAACGGCTGGGATGCGACGCTGGATGTGGACGGGCCGGGACATCATAGCTTTGATATGCCGAATGGCGATATCAAGGACAGTCCGGGGGGGACTAACCATATTGGCTTCTCGTACCATGCTGTTCCAAAGGGGACGCAGTACTCGTGGGAGAATAGGGATGTGTATGCGGGTACGTTTGTGTGGTGGTCCAAGACGACGTACTCGCGCAAGAATGTCCCTGGTGCGAACAATGACGAGGGATACAGCTTCAAGTTCTTTGAGTAAATTAGTTGGTGGTTCAATTTGTATTGGTCACACAAAGTATATATCTTACAGAATGTACATTTCGGAATTTCAGGTATTCATTGCTCTGATAATCTACAATAAAAAGACAAGACGTGATTCTGCATATACACACATTACACAATCATAACAGCGACCGCAATGGCAACAACCGTGCTCATGGCTGAGGATACCCTGACGGCAACGCCGGCATTGTCCTTCTTATCGCCCTTGCCCTTGCCAGTATCGCTGCCTGTCTGGACAACCTGAGTAGGAACTAGAATCATAAAGTTAGTTTCGTCATGCCTTTTTACTGATGGATACGTCTGGGTTTTCATACCTGCTGATCCTCTGTTGGTAGGAATGGCATCGCCCTTGGCAATCTCAATGACATTGGTCTTGCTGGACAGCTGGTTGGCTTGGGCTATACCAACGACGAGATTGTCCCCGTCAAAGACAAGATATGCAGAGCGAAGAAACGGGCCACCAAAAATCAGACTATCCGTTGAAGTAGGCTTTGTTATGACCAGGGTACAAACGTTTTTCCAAGAAGCGGCCTTAGGGCCCAAGGCTGCACGGACTTTTTGCTTGTCTTCGAAACTTGTGTCATCTAGGTCCCAGAGAAGACTTCCCAGCGACACATATATACTCTTTGTACCAAATTGAAAAGTTAGTGAGGCATTGGCCTCTGCACGGGCGCAATCAACCCAGAGAAGATCATTTGTGGTGGCGATAGCCTCCATAGACTCCGAGATGGCATTGATCTGTGCCTCAGGAAGCTGTACGGAAGCGCTACCGGTGTCTAGGATAATTCGTTGGTTATCAAGTGGTGGGAAATCAGGCACACCACGAGCCGTCAGAGATGTCATGTTAACCGCCCAATCATTAAGCGCTTCGGAGTTACGGCGTGGTATAGATACGAGAGGAAGCTTCGCAATGTCGTCGTAGTACCGTTCAGTATCCACACCACCAAACAGAATGGTTCCAGAGTCAGCATGAGTCCCGTTCAGAAACACGCTGAATACTCTTCTTCCGATGATGTTTTTGGAGACAAGATTGTCAATGAATTGCGGATACGTGACGTTTGATTGGCTGCTCGACTCGAGGGTGTTGAGTCCAAGGCCAAAGATTCCCGCGCGCACAGTACCTTCGGTTGCAACAGCCATGATTTGCTTCTCAATAACGGCACCACCAATGCTCACCTCGTCTCTCATATATAATCCCAAAGCTTTCGTGCGATCGACAAATAGGCTTCCAAAGTCAGGGCTCCCACCGAAGTCGCTTTCACTCAGTTGTTCAACCGTGGTGCTCTTGGAAAGGGTAACTAAAAGAAGACAAATCAGCATCGCGTAAGTCAGGCGTGTAAAAACCAATTCACCTACACGGAGTTTTACATGTCGGTTTTGGATTGCTGCAAGTTTCAACCGAATCCGTGAGAACGAACAGGTCACTGCTTCCTGTATCAATCTGCAGTGTCACTTCCTGGGGCGGTTGGCCAATTGTTACATTAACGTAATACGTAAGTTGATTACGGTCGGCAATGGCAGTCACAAACTTGTCGATGCGACGAGGTTCAAGATGGCGAGCATGAGTGCGAGACACAGGGTTGCCGGGAAGGGCTTGCTTCGTCATGTCGAGAGACAATGTTCCTGCAGACGCAGAGGCCGTCATGGCCGCCAAGCAAAGGAAGGCTTTCATCTTGAACTGTCGATGTCCAAGATTGAGAAGAAGAAACAAGACAGGCAGTGGAAAGAGAGAAGTGTCTGCGATGATGGAGAGCAGCTGCGGCCGAAAAAAGGGGCACAAACGATGGCGTTTATAGAAAAGATTAGCCTCGGCGTCTGTGCAAAACAGGCTGACCTGGCGGGCCAAGATGTCCACGATGGTTGGCCAGCTTGTTAGCCGCAGAGTCATGAACAAGGCTGTAGCCTTTCCTGATTAGGACTGGCGATGTTGCAGCGGGGCGGAGCCAGCGCCAACAGACGATGAGATTGGCGGCGGAGGTGGTGCAGGCGAGATGCTTTGAGAGGGGCATTCCATGGCTGGGTAAAATTATAAACAGTGCTTGATGGGTGTGTAAATGTTGAGAAAATTGTGGCCGAAATTATGATGCTGAAATAAAAGCCCAAGAAAAATCGTCAAGGGGCGGGTTTGGCGGACAATGAAGCTGCACCACCATCCACCAGACTTTCGGGGAAATCGCGTCAAAGCGCAAACAACGGGGCTCACCAGATGACGATCCCCCAAAAATAGCAGCAGGCCGCGGTCGTTGGCGCCAGGCCATTGGCTGCGGGATTAAAGAAAGAAGGAAAAAAAATCCCGAGTTATTCCTGATGCGGCCAAGTGTAAGGGCTGTGCTGGTGAGCTGCTGCCCTCTGCAAGAAGACTATCGCCAAGTCGATTAGTTGGGATGGGCGGTAATCGCTTGGCAGGGAATGGCGACGCATCGCACGTGCATAGCAGCCTGTTCGGAAGCAAACCGTAGTAGCGAAAGCCACGGAGCTTCAGATGACCGTCATCTGGTTAGGCTCGGAGGATGTTGTCGTTGGCATTGGTGTCGTCGGGCAACAAAGCGGTATCGCCATGCTACCTCGACTGTCGTACAACCAGCAAACATGATGATGCGGCGTCGGGTGTCTGCTGGATCGGTAGTGCACCGCATCAACTTTGTGAGACGGCGGTAGTGCAACCGTGATTAAGCAGCTGGTACCCTTCCCGGCTGGCGCTGCATCACCCCATGAGACAGACTGCAGTAGTGTACATCAGCACGGCTACAGTAGCTTAGCTATAAAGCCGCCACGCAGAGAGGCCGGCTTAAAGGACGTGGCGTCACTTTGCCAATATAACTTGTTGACGATGGCGATGCCAGCGAATCTTTTTGGGGCGCTCGGGAGAGACGGGCAGCTCAAACCGCCGCCATGTGCAAGCGAGCACATGACAAAAAGAGCGAAGACGAAGCCCAGTGGGACCGAGATAAGATGAAGCCAAGCATTCGCGCGAGCAGTGGTTGGTGGATTAGCCGGTAGCGTTGCAGTTTGAGTTGCATTGGATGCATTCGCTTGCAGCCAGCACGCAGCGGAAGAAAGTAGTTGCATGTGTGGTTGCGTGTGGCGGCCAATGAGTCGCTGGCTCCAACGAGGGGCGGCCGCATGGCACAGCGGCCGTATGGGGTGCCGATGATTGAGGGTTGGGATATTTATTGGAAATTGGGGATTTTTTTTGGTATAAAGAAATTGGTCTCCCCTCCTTTTGTAAATTTTTTTGCATCTCTTTAAACTGCCCAGGCAAGTTGTGATTGAAACAATACTTTTAAGGTTACAGCACACATTTAGCGGGTGTCCACAGCGGCCCGTAGCGCTTCTTCGTTGCATTGTCTCAGTGCACCCACCACCATCCATCCCCCACCATTTCCCCCGCCACGGCTGCTGTTGCTGCTACTGTAGCTGCCCAACTGGTTCCTTTCTGCTGCTGCACACTGCATCGGCTTACGGAGCCTCCTCTGATCATTATCACCTGCCGGCTTTCCTTTCCCGCCCAAATTCTCCTTTCTCTTCTTTTCTTGTCATCCCACTCTGTCTAACCCAACAGCGATACTGCAGCGATACAAGGAGGGCTGTCTGCTGTCGCTTTTTATCACCCATAAAATCAGGATCCGAGCAGCTTCTTTTTCGTGCTTGTCCTGATTTCCGCTCCTTTATTCTTTGCGTCGTGTTGCTGCCAGTCTCTCGTTCTTGCGCACCTTGCGACCACAAGCTTGCTTTTCCCCGCACATCCACAGCGAACTCCCTCTATCTCGACATTTTCCGTTGGCCTCGACGCCATCAGCGCCTAATCGTCGAGTAAATATTTCCTGGATTTGCTGCGGGCAGCTTCCATGCGCAAATCTATACTTCCTAAACCACGACCCGACATTACCAGAGCCTTGCACGCCCACCCGAGCCTGACTCTTTAACCACACCACCGCTTGTCTACTGCTGCTCTTACTACAGTGGCCATGACGAGCTCCTCCTCCCTTGTAGGAGACATTAATCTCCTTGTCGACTCAGTCGGCCAAAGACGGCGTCTCTACCCCCACAACGAATACCTCTTCGATGCAGGCCACAGCTTCGAGTCGCTGCCGGCCAGCAACTACCAGGCGTACTATGCGCAGTCTCTACATCTGACAGAGACAGAAGCCGCTAGGAAGCGTCGCCGTCGACAACCCTCGCCATCTCGAACTGCCTCCTCCTACACACACTCATACAACTGTAGTGTTTTTGACCATGACGACTTGTACTCCGTGTCGTCGGCCTCGTCGGCGCCGCCACCAAGGCATGGCATGCAGCCGACGCAGCTGCAGCGTCCCATGGTCCCCGATCCCGATCCGTTGCCGACACCACTCCCCTGCGAATTTGAAAGCTTTACAGGCTGCGACCTGCAATTCCCTCTTGGAGCCATCGACGGCTGGGTGCAGCATATCGTGACGGAGCATCTCCGCTCCCAGCTACCCATGGTCACCATCTGCTGGTTCTGTGACAAAGACGAAGCCAAGTTCCAGGCCCGTTCGTCATCTTACCACGATCGCTATGTAGCATACCGCGAGCGCATGCAGCACATTGCCATGCACTTTGGGGACAACTCCACCGTGGCTGATATGCGGCCTGACTGGGAGTTTGTAGACCACTTGCGCGATTGCAACATCATTAGCAAGGAACGGCACCGCAAGCTCACAAGGTACCGAGAGCTGCATCCGCCGCCGAGCATTGAAATCAATACCGTTCCATGGCAGCGCGAGCCCTGGGGTTCAGTGGTCGTTGAGCGATCCGACCGTCGGCGAGAGCGGCGCCAACGTATCTATGGATGAACAGGATGACCTCGTTATGAATTTGATAGTTTTTGGAATGACCTTTTTTGCATGGGAATGAACTTGACTTGGCCTCAAAAAGACGGCTTAAAGGAATTAACAGACTGGCATACAGGGGGCTTTTTATTTTTGAGCTCCCCGGCGTTTTATCCTTGGTTTTTTGTTTTATCACGGGAAAAGTTTGGACACCGCCTTCCGTTGGTCTGGCATAAACGACTACTATTTAATACACACTTTGAGTTGAATTAATATTATTGTATACTTTGGTTATCTACCTTCCTCCTCTATTGTCTAAAATAGACTTTGATTTTTTTGGGATTTTCTTTTGTTTGTATGGTCATAAGGTCGTCCCATAGTCCTCCTCCCGGGTAGTTGGTTGGCAGTGAAGCACTGTCACGACCAACTGGCGAGAGAAGTCAATACGGTGTTCCGCAGCAGATGGTATACGCAGGGGTGGCGCAAGATGAAAAAAAAGACGAAAAATCACAAATCGCTGGTAAAAGACACGCTGTGTGTATTTACTTTGTCAGGCATAGTGTTTCGTAGACGCTCGTCTTGACTTGTGCCTGGGAGAGCTGCTTGGCGCGAGGTGTTGTTGAGTGGCTGTGGCGCTCGGCTCGGGGGATTTCTGTGTGGACCGTGTACTTTTCAGGCTGCGTTTTTGTTAGTTGTCTTATTCTTTGTATAAAAAATAGAAATAATAGAAGAACATACGTTATTTGTTAGGCGGTGGATGAATCCGCGGATGCTGTGAGTGGTGCTCTTGACCGAAGAGGGACGGCGCTCAGAGTGAGTGTCCGACATATTGTTTGTGGTGTAAGCGGGTTTGGTTGTAGTGTAAGAGCAGCGTTGTGCAAGTTGCAGTCTTCGAGATGTCCTCAAAGAAAAGATGATTGTTTTGTAGTGATGATTAGAATTCTTCTTTTAAAAAAATGTCAGGGAGCATCGCAGTCTTAAATACTTGAATCGCTGCGGGCGTCGTCGCAAGGGCACGCACGCACACAGCTCCGAAGCCGATGAAACGACCGTGTGCGTGTATGTGTTTACTCCGAACACCGCCATGCACCATTGCAAATGCACTGCCGCGTCATAAAAAAATCAAGCGCTAAATTATCTGCCCACAGCCCTGTGACTCAATGACACGCACACGCTATTATTAGCGTTCAGCCCCTTCTTCGGCACTCAGCGCCGCACGGGTACTGCATCAGTCAGCCCGGCGAGGCTCTTTGTGGCATCGGCGTAAAAATTAATGTAGTGGAGTTTAGCGCTGAAAGTGCTTATCCACAGGCGATCCTGTAGGGCGCAGGTTACCAAGCAGACCGTGAATCAACTCCGGCGCTAGTCCCGTTCAGGGCATGACGTCGGAGTAAATTCATCGGACCAGGCTTGTCGGAGTAGGCACGGCGCTCGGAGTGCCTACAGCATGCACGGAAGCTTGTTTTCAACCAAAAGATGCTTGTTTTAAAAAATGATACGAGAAAAATAGCACGTGAAGGACATACAAGCGGAGATCAATTCTGTGTTTTGTTCTGTAGAAGTTTAATTTGCTCAGGCCGTAGAGGTGCCTGTGTGGTTGTGCGTGTAAGTGGGTGAGAGAGTCACTTCGGAGTTGCGATGCGCCGTTATCAATCACTACCTGTAAGCGTGGGACGACTCACGACACACATCGGAGTGTATGTTCCCCGGTGCGCTGACCGCCCCTACTAACAATAAAAAATGCTGGGGTAAAACAAGGGGCTTGGTGACGTGCTTTCGTGGATGACAGGCGCCCTTTCTGCTCATCAAGCATCGCGGCGCAAACGCCCTCCCAAGCCGAGTCCCGGAACCGTTTACTGCACGGGCGCCGCTGCCGGAGAGCCGGAGACAAACACGATTCCAAGTCGGACTAAAAATGGTTATCAAGAAGCGTCCAGCCACACACTCCATAAAGGTGGGATCCCAGCGTGCGTGCATCATTATTCACCATCCGCTTATGAGATGGCCCATGGCGTATCTTGCTCATACATGGTTGTCCAGTCAAACATGCCCGCCCACGTCGACATGTCCAGGCCCTCCCAGACATCGCCGTGCAGCCCATCAGGCGTCATGAAGTCGGGCATAAGCACGATAGGCCCCGGATCAGGAATGGGTGCAGGCTCAGTGTACGTATTCGGCGTCGTTATTGTCGGCGGCGCATTCAGCAGCTCATCGAGGGTCCGTGAAATAGCCACGCCCGCCCGCTCACACATGTCAAAGTTGGGCTCGTTGGGGCCCGTAATGCTTTCCAGCTCCGACACAAATACGGACAACAGCCGCACAAGGCGTGCACGGTCGAGCCCCGCCGGCAGGTTAACTGCCGCACTGCCCTTGCGGGCTATGGTTTGTGCTGCCTGGGCTAGTGCAATGGCTGGCGACAAGCCATCCCAGAGCATCTGTGTGAATTTGCGTCAGTAACGTTCTTCCCGATGTCGGGGCAGCGATGTACATACCACATGGGCAAATCGCACATGAAACGATATGCCTCTCCGTCGAAATGATCCCAGCTCCTGTACTAGCGATAAAATATGGCTTGATGTCTGGAGCAGCTGCATCTGCGACTCGGGGGCGTGCTTGCTCAGCGTCCGCCATATGAGAAAGTCGCAGTGTAAAAACGTCAAGTAGACGTTTGTCAGCATAAAGCATTCTTGGGAGTCTGAGTTTTCTACCCAGCACGTCGGATCGTAGCGCAGAGTTCCTGGAATTGTCCCCCACGTCTTCCAGTTACGTTCTGATGCCTTCTTTAGTCTTGCTAGGTTCTCGTCAGTTACGGCGCGGTACCGGTGTTCGTGCACAAGCTCCAGCATCTCAGCTATGTGCGAGCGGACACGCACCCAGCTACTGCCGCTGCGCACGCCAGCCAGATTCCACCCTTCCGGCGTGACTCTAGTTTTAGCTACGTCTTCGTCGTTTTGCAGAATATCCTCGTCTGGCAGATCCAACGGTAAAATGACGCCCGAGTAGCGCTTCAGCAGGCGCGGGGGGCGATCAAAGACTGTAGCGAGGAATTTGTCTTTGCTGTAGATGCTGTGGAATATTTTACGACGCCATTGCTGGATGAAGAAGGGGGTGTCTTTGACAATAAGTTTGTCGTCGTGCATGCCAAAGACAATGACGTCTGAAATGAGGTCCCCTAGAGCCTTCCATGATTCTTCGTCTGTAGAGCTGTGTTAGCAGCTGATCGTAGTGTGATTCAGGACTGATTAAACACTTACAGGCGTGGCCCTTGACTGTGGCAACTAGCATATAGTGCGTATGGCCCAACCAAATTAACAAATCGTTTAGCTTGGTTACGGCGCGGCAAATAGTCAGACATGTGCCCGAGCACCAGAGCATATTCTCCAGCATCGCTTTGCGCCCTTCGGCGTCATCTAGGTCTAAGCGCTCCGACCACGCGGCAATGGCGAACAAGTCTCCCAGATATTCAAGCCTCACCACATCGCCAGCAAACATTTCAATAAACGCCTGCGGTGTGGTGAGCTGGTCAATCTCGATGGGCTGGCTAGTGAGGGCAATGATTTCATTGCTCAGCTTCACCAAGTCCGCCTCTTGGTTTTCGTAGGACACCTTCTCCATCATGACATCGATGCTGTGCATGGCTGGAATCAGGAGTGTCTTGGGCGAGGTCGTAGCCTTGCTGCGCTGAAAATAGTTCTCAACCATGGTCTTGAGACGCTGTCGGCTAGGCTCATCGCAGAGCTGCCTCAACACACGACACAGTGCGTTGACTCTGCTGTTGTGAAGCTCGTTTTCACTGTGTAATAGACTAGCACTATATGCTGGGCTGGAAAAGGTGGCTTCCGTCAAGAGAAAGGGCTGAGCGGCTATCGGGGCGGGAGACCTGCGCTCACCAGGCGTAGTGACATTGCTCCAGGTCGGTGAAGGGTCCGAGTTGGATGTGTTTGGGGCTACCTTCTTCGTCATAGGGCTTGGATGGTAAATGCATCGCAGCTGAACGCCTCGTTGGACGCAGCTACCGCACACTGGCCGCTGGTGGTCACAGCGCGTCTTGCGTTTGCGGCAGGGCTCGCACGACGCCAGCGCCCCGTTGCGCCGGGTTGCCCGTGCTGAGAGGTCTCTCATTATTGCTCGGGATGCTTTAATGGTGAGTTTATCCGGGCGTCCCGCATGGTAAAGGCGCCGGTCCTGCTGTAGCGGCGGTGGTGGTGAGGGTGGTGATGTCGGAGTTGAGTTCGGCTCTGCCAGTGCCCGCCAGCCAAGGCTGTGAAGACTTGGCGCGGGGCGGACCATTGCCGCATTGGGACACGACCACTTACACGAGCAATAGAGAACAGTCAATACAAATAAATCCAGAATAAACTGCGGATAAAAACAACCGTCATTCAAATGCAAAATAAGATAAACTGATTACATTACAAACTATACTCAAAGGCCGGGTTCTCCCGATCCGTAAGATCCATAAACTCCTGACCATCCTGAGCCACAAACCCATCACGAACACGCTGCTCTCTCTTGCGCGTATTCTCTCTCTTATAGTACCATCGAATAAATACTAGATCGAGAATACATAATCCCCAGCAAGCCAAAATGGTAGCCTCTGCAGGGATGTATCGCGGCTTGGTCGAGGGCACGAAGATCTGAGGACCAACCAAGTTTCCCACGCAGTATGCAATAAAGTACATTGCTCCGACCGTGGTTTTCTTTGTGTATCCAGCCACATTGCTCGAAAGCATTGAGAGAAGGGCGACAAAGCCAGTTGGGAACGCCTGTGTCAGATAGTACCCGATCAATCTCCCCACCGGCATGGACAGCGGCAGCGCGATAATAAGAAGCATACCAAGCATAGCCACTGCCAATCCTGGGATACTAACAAAGATGCGGTTCTTCAAACGAGGACCCAAGTAGCCGGACAGCACAAGTGCAACGATTTCTACAGCGCCGCCTGGCGTACCATACAGCAGTGACTGTTGTGGCGTGTATCCGAAATCCACAATCAGCTGAGAAAAGAAATTGGTGATGCCACCTGCACAACACACCATTAGTTCCGAGTTTTCCGAACCAAAAATAGGCTAGTACATACCGTTGGGAATATTCACAAGCAACGCAAAGACCACAAATGCCCACGTCATAGGATCCGTCACGGCCTCCACAAACTGGTGCTTTTTGAAATGGCTGTTTCCAATACCTTGCTGGTTCTTGCGAATTCTCTCCACGGCCATCAACCGCTCCTCCTTGGTCAAAAACCGCGCGTTGAGCTGATTATCAGGCATCAAGTATAGAAACACGACGCCCACAAGCACCGTGATGAGCCCTACCGCGATAAACAGGATCTGCCAAGACGCCAAAGTTTCGCCCTCTCGCTTCGGGTGGTTAATGGCAATGCCGTACGCAATTAGTGCACCGACAATTTGGGCGACACCATTAAAACTGAACCAGATGGCAGTGCGGGCGCTCTGCTCTTCGCGGGTATACCACTGCGACGTGAAGAGCGCAAAGCCAGGCGACACGGCGGCCTCAAAGACGCCCAGGAAGAAGCGTACCGCTAATCCGCCGCCAAAATTCTTGGTTGGCGCCATGAAGCACAGCACGGCTCCCCACATGATGATGTTGAATGAGGACCACTTGGCTAGCGGCAGTCTCTGCAGCAGATAACTGGTCGGGTATTCCCAGACAAGGTAGCCCACGTAGAACATGGATCCGAGCCACTGGTAATTAGTGCCCTTGAGGTGCAGGTCCTCCTGGAGGCCCATGATGCTGGCGTACGAGAGCGATGTCTTGTCTAGAAAGTTGAGAGCGTAGACGATGCACAGAATCTGAATTTGTTAGCTAAAAACTGATGCTTATGATGCAAAAATGGTACACACAGGCATCAAATTCATGTCGATTTTCCGCAGAAGCTTCTTTTCGGCTTCAGGCGTGATGGTAATGTCCTCTGTGTGCGACGCAAACGCCTCGAGCCTGAAATGGCTGGTGTTAGCTGCGCACCAGTGCTATCAAGAATAATCACACGCACGCTTTATCGCCATCGCGTATCTTGACAGCTTTGCTCATGCTGCCTCGCTCAATCGACCCCGCGCGGTCTTCCAAAGGTACATCGTCGTGCGTCTTGGGGGGATCGTCCTTCATTGTGGGGGTGGAGTGGTTGGGCACCGTTTTGCTAAGTGAGTCTAGCGTAGTCAAGTTAAATCTCGTAGCGTGTGATGTACGCCCGTTTAGTTGCAAGCAGAGCCGCTTGAAGAGAGGGGATGGTGAGGAGATATACTCTGCTGCCGCCGATCACGGTGAGCAAAGATGCCGAGAAAGAGGCGAGGAGGCTAATCTCTTGGCGGGAAGAATGCCGTATTTCCTGACTGTGATACCCGATGGTGTTATCTGGCAGACGCCACAGCTGAGGTGGAATGCGGGGGAAGGGGACGCTTATTGCGCTTAGCCGAAGATGCGTGCTGTCGTATCGGCCCTCTCCGACAAGACATTAGCGATGTCGGCTGACCAAAGAGGAATAAGTAACAGCCGTATAATACGTGGAAGTGTAATTGAATACTGTAGACAATAAAAACAATAAAAATTACTTGAATTGATTGAGCTAACTGTGTAAGGACATGGCAGCCGTTCTGTGTTTCTGCAATAGTCGCACTTCTTACTGTGGAGCATCTACAAACAACTGAGTACAACTAGAATAGTTGAACAGCCATCACGAGGATCGTATGTGCGCGTAAAATACATATAAAATCAAATATAGAATTCTGGAATCTACAATGCTTAAATATATAGTTGCTTTTAACGGCCCGCGCTACTCCGTTGTAGGGACATTCTCCTCTGCCACGACCTTCTTCTTGTGCTTGTTCTTGCTCTTGTTCTTGTTCTTATTCTTCCTTTGCTTCCTCGCTGACTTGAAGAGGGCCAGTCCGCGCTTAAATGGTCGCAAATTGATGTGTGTAATAACGACCAGGCAGAACCATACCAGTGCAATCGTCGGCGAAACCCATGACGAGTTGAGAAAGTCCCACGCCCTGTCGAAGTCATACCACAGGATCGCAGTGAGTCCTGTTCCGAGTGCCAGTACGATGATGATGGCGAGCCGAATGATGGCCCAGAGACGCCGAGGAAGAGTGCTGGAGATGCTCTTGAGCACCACAAGCAATAGAATGGCGCAACCAGAGGCAACGTATGTATACGCAAACTAAAATGGCAAACGCCGTTAGTAATTATGCGAGGGCATTGTCGGTAAAAAAGAGAAAAACTTACTACCAAGCCATAGCGCTCCCAGTTTAGATAAGAAATCTCAAGTTGGAAACTCGTTTTCGTAATCTGATCGCCCTGCCGAGCATTTTTGGCTGCAACTTCACCTTGAAGATCGATGCCAAAGGCCGCAAAGACCACATTGCATAGAGTGGCAATAATATTAGTGAGAGCTTCCAGCAGCGTGCCGCGAAAGTTGTTTATCACGGCTGGTTGAGGACCGTTAGGATCATTTATGTCAGTAGTAGCGTTGACCACGGCAACCCAAAAGTCAGTTGGGATTTTGGCAATATTGCCAAGAGCCTCATTGATAGCGTCTGTGGTGGCCGTGCTTTTGACCGGGTAGGACTGGAAGAAGCCCTGAATTGAGGCGTTGAGGCTCTGGACAACCAGCTGAGAGGTGATGGACTGGTTATAAGTATCATATGTGTCGGAGGGGTCGCCAATATCCTGGATTTGATTGATGGCAGTGGCAATCTTGCCCCAAATGAGGAGCTGCACAAATCCTTGCATGAAAAGAACGAGAGCGAGGTGGAATGGAAGGTGGACAATGAGCCAGAAGACCTGACGGAAGCGAGGGAGATTGAAGTTGTGGCCCAGCCAGTCAAAATAGACTAAGAAGACAAAGTAAATGGTTGCAGCCGCCGCAGCGAGGTAGCCTCGCGTAGTGTTGTCTATAGAGTACGTTAGGACTATACGGGTCATGGGACAGAAAAGTAGTACATACCCCAAACATTGGAATCCAAGCGGGGACCATTAACAATGGTAATGACCTTTTTGGCCAGCGACTCGACACCCTCTCCGAGAATCATGACAGTCAGTAGCGCCATTCGCTTCATCAGATGCGTGCTACTGATTTCGACTGTGTGCGCCATCTGTGCAATGGCAAGAGTTGCCAGAGCCTCCGCGCCAGAGATGAAGTACCACGTCATGTAAACACGGTTTCGACCGTCTTCCTTGAAGGCGAAGCTGACGCCTAGATATACAACCGCGGCGACAAAGTAGATGCTTGCCTGGAGAGCAAGTGGGAGGATGCTGCGTTTGTGCTTGCGGAGATGGAAGAGCATCCAAGAGTACTGGACGAAGAGGGCAGCGCGGGATACAGCCAGAATGAGTGCTATAGCGATGTCGATTAGTCCCATGCTTTCGCAACGCATACTTAATCACGATCATGGAAACTTACAAAAACTTTGCATCACGCTCGATTCCTGTGAGTCGGAGGAAGGGTCGAACTTGGGAGCGACGACGACGAAACCAATCAAGGCGCCGAGCTGTACAGCCGTCGCAACACGGGCTATTAGACTCTTGTTAGCGAACCCGAACGGCAAGGTTCGAGGTAGAAGGCGAAAATCTTACAAAATACGGAATCGGTGGCGTAGCGAACTTCGTAGAGTGTAACAGCGAACCAAGTCAACCAGAGTAGACTAAACACAGTGTAAGCTTACTGATTCACAGCGAGGACGGGCGAAAAAATAAATATTGTCGTACCAGAAATAGCCGATAGAGGCCTTGAATGTGCGACCGCCAGTGACCTGCTTAACATCGCAAAAGGCGTTGTATGTTGCGGCAAAGAACAAATCATAGAAGATTTCCAGCAGTGTTGGCTCCTCATACTGTGCGTTGGTAGTTTGTTAGCCATACCAGGTGCGCGCATTAAGGGAAGGAGCAAAAGAAAACAACATACGCGTTTCATCTGAGGATACTCTACGACTCCATCTTGATGATGTTGATCGGAGTCGCTCTGCTTCACAAGCGGACTAGAGAACATGTGCAGCTTGACAGCCGCTCCGAGCTCCTTGGGCTTGCCGTCGCTGCTGCCGGTGAGGGTCCTCGGAGTAGCGCTCAGCGCCTTCTCCGAGTCGCGAATGGATTCTGACGAGCCCATTATTGCAAACGAATGGAAATGGAATACAGTCAATGTAACCAAGTGCGTGGGAATGAGAGACAAAGTCTTGCAGCAAGACGCCGCGATGGGTTTTTGAACGGCCAAAAGGATGACAGTGTTTCGGGACGCGAATGCAGGGAAAAAGGAGACACAAGTGCCGAAAGAAAACGGCCTCGGGCACTGAAGGTAGTCATTGGTCGCCCTATATTATCGGGTGGGGGACCAATCTAGGCGTTGCCTAATTTGTATAGTGGCTGTGTAGTGTTGCAGTGTGAGCTTTTTTTTTTTCGCTGACTCTTACTGCGCTTACGCGTGGTTATGCATTTAGTATACATGGCATTGCAAGATTTGCATAGTTAAGAATGAGTATATATGCTTAGTTTTGTTTTATTTTAGTTATCTTTTGACATTTTGCTTTGACATCGGACAACATAGACAAGTTTGTTCGGTCAGCCCAAAAGGGCTGAACTCCGGATCCGGCTATGATGTGTCTCTCCCCTCCACTTTGGCTCTGCTAACGAACACAGCCTCCCAGTAAAACGAACTCGCGTGGGCGGCGGCGTAAGGCTTCATGCAAGGGCCAAGACTTTTTCTACAGCGCATCCACGATGGCTATGCGCAGGCGTTGGCCCGCTGTGGCGTTGCTGCGCTTCGGGCAATCCGGCTGGTGGAAGAGGGGTGTTCAATAACCTACAGTGTAAGTTTGCGTCTCTATTGGTCTGGCCAGTACAATGGGCTGAAATGTAATTTACTTTTTGTTTGGACGATCGCTCGCTTAATTTTGTTCATGTTAATCTCTAGCCTTGTTCGTCTCTATGTTTTTCATCCAAATGACAAACACGTTGAGGGTTACGGATAGGGGGCTACAGCGACTAAAGCTAACATTGAGAATATGACAGATAACTGAGTGGCAAAAATCATACCATCGTACGATATACGCCAATCGGCCCAGGCACAAAGATAAATATTGATAGTAAACTTTTCATTATATTTTCATGTATATACAACACAACACTAAGCTAATCAATACCGTCTCCAAGAAGAGGTAAAATATATACTAGGTCCACACCAATTCCATTCTGCAAAAAGACCTCACCATTACTCGAGCGACTGTCAGATCATTACCCTACTTGTAGTATCGCTAATTAAAAATCAAGCTTGGGTAACTTTGGCAGCTTACGCAACTTAGGCAGCTTGGTCAATCCAGGCACCTTGGGCTGGGACAAGCTGCACTCTCTCTTCTTATACAGCGTGGCACTGTCGACAATAGAGCTGTCATTGGAGTTGATCCAGTCGTGCGTCATGTGGGTACAGTTGTGGAAGGTAAGTCTAGACCAACCATACGTCGCGTTTCTCTGGTCCATACGGAAACGTTCATACGGCTTGGGAACAGCCGTGCCATTGTCCAAGCCGTCGTAGTGGCCGGCGGCACCCGACGTAATGTACCAGGGGGCAGAGGGGTTATCCAGCTCGTTGGGGTCAATGGTGCCATTGTTCAGAGGCGCAGAGCGCTGATAAAAGTGCGCATGGCCCGACAAGTACAGGTCGACGCCGTACTTAATAAAGAGGGGCTCAAAGTTGTTCTTGCAGCTCCAGCAGATGGTGTGTGTCTTGTTGGCGTAGCTGAGATACCATGGTCGATGGCCGCTAGCAATGACCCAGGGAGTCTTGGTGCGGTCAACAGACTGCAAGTCCTTCTCGAGCCAGTCCAATTGGGCATTGGGATATGCGCCAAAAGGACCAGTGTGGTCGCCTTCGCCACCGTTGGTCTCGTCAGGGCCAATGACTCCGTTGCCAAGATCCGTCTCCGTGTCCAGCATGACGTAGTGGACCATGCCATGGTCGAAGCTGTACCAAAAGTTCTCGGTACCACCCGAGGACTCAGCAGGCATGCGGAAGCGGGTACGGAAATCGGTAAAGTTGTCCTGGCCGGGGCTGCAGATGGTGTCGTTGTACGTGATGTGGTTGAACGGGTCCTTGTAGGTTCCGCAGATGCAGTTGGCCTCGTGGTTGCCGGCACCAACCATCCACGGCTTAGTGGAAGACATGGGCGTCATTTCATCGTAAAAGTCGTTGAGGATGGATTCGTACACTTCGTAGCCTTCCTGGAGAGTCGTGTTGGGCAGAAAGCCTTGCGCCTCTTCCTTTAGCCAAGCATCGGCATAGGCAAAATCACCAGCTACTATTTGTTAGTTCCATAATACTTTGAAAATATTGGAAAAATAGGGAAAACGTACGGTGGAGCATGAAATCATAAGTAGAGATGAGCTTTTCCAAGGACTGCATTGTGTTGTTCTCCCCTGGCTTCAAGATGTTGTTGGGGTTCACAGTCTGACCAGCGGACGTGGTCAAGCCCTTAGGCCCCATGGTACCCAAGTCAATGAGGACAGCAGCCGAGTAAGGGGTTCCATCACCAGCGGATCTGCTTGTGCGGAAGCTGTATGGTGGTGTTGTGGCATTGTCAGCGAGCATATCGCTAGGCAAGTAGTAGTAGGTCGTGTCAGGCCTCAACCCCTTCAGCGCGACGTGGTTGTGGTACGTTAGAGACGTGTTGTAAGTGATGGACACGCTAGAAGACGCTTGGAAACACAGGTCGTCAGCAGAGCGGCCATAGCGCACTGTTGGCTGTGACAGCTGCTTGAGCGTGTTCCAAGACACAATCATGCCCGAATCCGTGGCATACGCAAGGCGAACCTGCGAATTGACCGTCTCATTCATCATTCCCAAAACAGCGTTGCTGGAGAGCCCAGCGAAGGCAATGAAGCTTGCCAACTGCTTAGAGAGCAACATGGCGAATGACAAGGACCGACAAAAACAAAGATACAGTTGAAAACTGACGAGAAAAAGAATGTAACGGGTTGGCACGCGAGCAGTTCTTGTTGATGCGACTGCGCCAGTAGCCTATATATGGGATTGGCAGATTTGCAGAGCAGGCTGCAGGGGCTTACTGCTCCAGCAACAAGCTCTCTACTGTACTTTGCGTGTTCAGCGGCCTTGATCCACTGCAAGGATCTGCGGTTAGGACGGCATAAGAAGAGCGTCGCATTTTTCATGCATGGCATCGATAATTTCAGTGCACGGTCGGGGTGGTCAGTGCCGTATGCAGCTCTAAGCAGGGAAGCTATTTGCCACGCCATTTTGTATGCAGAGCATGGACGAATTTTTAAAAAGTTGTTGAGGAGTAATGAGCAGGGAATGTCAACGTCTGCATTTCAAAGTAGGCCTAAGCTGTCACATACTTTGTTCTAGTGGATGTCATCTCGTCTGTTTAGCACCACGGCCATCTCGTATCGCCTATGTAGGCGTCGCCCACGAATTTTCTACCGAACAGTACAAGCTTGGTTTCAGGTTCCTGGTGGCTGCATTAGCGGGTGGATCGGCGCGTGGACGAATCAACTCGTGGTTATTACGGTTGGGTAATGCTATAGACGATCACAGGTGGGTGGGTGGGTGGCTGGGGACGGGGAGCATTGCCTGTAACGGCCACTGAATATTAAGACATTAACGAGTTTACATTATAAACATCTCTATGGATGGGTATTTTGTACTGTGGCCGAGGATGCTATTGAGCCCGATTTGTAGTTTGCAGACTGTTGCTCGACACCCTGCTGTTCACTTATGTTAGCAAATGAACAACAAAATGGGCTAGTAGAAATGGTATCACATACTATAATGCACTCTTCATCACTGTGCTGCAGCGTATCGAGCATGTACATGTTGCCGGTACGTCGCTTAGAGCTTCCACCGGAGCCGATTGTTCTGAGTTCCCGGCTACGGCCGCTCAGGTCCTGAAGGGCGCTGCCCTTGGATCCAGATCGGGCCGAGCTTCCTATTGTTGTTCGAATCAGACCATAGATGGCGGGAGCATTTGCAACGACGGCCGCAAACAAGATTTCGACATTTGCAATATCGTGCGATGCTCCTGAGCGATGAAGCTTTAAGACATTCATAAGCAGTCGCAGCAAGGTAACTGCAATAACAGAGAGGCCGACAGAAAAGAGCATAATGAGGCGGAGGCGGGCAATCCAGCTCAGCTGAAGTTTGAGCAGGTGGCGTACAGGCAGGACGATCAGCATAAGGTCCGTAACCATTTCGAGAATCGAAAAGACGAGAAGCTGCAGAGCGCCGGCTGCGCATTTTCCAGGAGGCGGCACAACCTGCCAGTAGAGCACAAACGGGTGGCATTCAATCAGACAAGTGATGGCCGCTGGCACAAACGTCGCCGCAAGAATTGACCAAGAGACAATGATGACGATATTGCGTCCCAGGCCTTTCAAAAGGTTCTGGATAACACACATGACGACCGATTTCTGAAGCCAGACACTGTAAGTTGTTGGTTAGTGGCTTGCCAAGACAAGAAGTGTGCCAAGAATTACTTACTACACCGTGTAGAAGATCCGATTTACTATCGTGAGCTTCGATCCGATCTCGCGCTGGTAAATTTGTTCATGTGTAAATGTTTTGTAGATTTTCGCAACGCCTTGGTTTGTGCCCCAGACAATCGGTACGGTCTCGCTGGTAGATCGAATAATCAGAGCAACAACAGCGGCCATGGTGAAGTAGTCGCCCAGCTCAAACTTGCCCAGTCGGAACCAGCGCAAGACAAGCCGCAGCAGCATAATGACGATGGACAGGCCCGTCAATAGCCACATCACCAACAAGTTTTCTGTAGTTTCGTCCATTGTGACAAGCTTGTGAAAGAAGAAGAGGAAGAAGTGTGAAGGGAGAGATCGCGAAAGCGTATAAGCCAGCGCAAGCAGAGGCTAAGCGATAAGGCTGGACTACCAGGGATCAGGCTAAATAGCAGATATTATATCCTTGGCTGAAAAGAGAGTTAAAGAAAACTGTTTCGATTAAAGTTCTGAGCGGTTACATATGTACACCCGTAGATCCAAAACTCTTCCCCCACGCCACGCAGAATACAAAACAGCCAGCGGTGCGCAGAAGGTGTTTCGCAGACTGTTCGGCAACTCGCCGGGGTTCTGCTTCCAGTTAGTCCAGAATATGCAATGCAATGTAATGATACGCGCATGATTGGCAATATACGCCACGCAATGGCCTCAGAACGCACTGCGACGCCATGCGCTGAACCATTACCCTTCTTGGACTCGGTGCCGGTAGCGTCGGGCGGGGTATAAGTGGTTGGTGCGCGGTCACGCTGTGCAGAAAGAATGCAGTATTGGAAAATAGAGGCCGAGCGTATACATACATACAGACAGTTACTGTAAACTGGGCGTTGGATTGGGGTCATTGCTTGTTCAGTGCTTTCCGCCCGCCACACCGCTGGGGCAAGCAAGCAAGCCAAACCACTTACACGGGATGAAGCCCACAGGCACCAAATCGCCGCCTCGCTATTGGCTTCTAGAGAATGGGGGAACCTGCTGATCGCCGCGGGCCCTGGTGGAGAGGTCAAAGCGGCGTGGGACGGATGCCGCTTAGCCGTATTTCTATCTGCAGTAGAAGAAACAAAACATTGGAAGAAACTGTTTGCTTAGCAGAAAACGTTGTTAAAATTTTGAGAATGATGGGCTCGAGAGTATCACCTGCTGCATCTATTGAAAATAGTTTCACTCACCAGCGTTTCAAAGAAGCCTTTTAGTTGACAGTGCGTACCTGAAGCTATGACCATATTGTTAGACAGGCCAGAATTGGGCTGGAAATCAACAGAACTCTGTAGAAATAGCCAATGGAACGTGCTTGGGACAGCTTGACGCTACCGTTCTGACAGAATGCCTAACCCATCTCAATCCTTTATTCTTCGCTAAGTAAGCGTGTAAAAAAGCTTGTTGTAGCGAAAGGGCCTTCTCTCACCGCCACACAAAATATCCAGAAGCGCAATATTATTACATGATTGTGTAACTAGTATTCTTGAATTGTTTTTAATATTCTTGATTTTCAAAATTGCTTCTCATTGTTTTTCAATAATAGCGCGTATATACGCAGTCAAGCAGACACTATCTGTGAAGACACGGCTGTGCAAGTCAGGCCAAGCAGGTGGACATAGCTTTTCGACAGGTCGTTTATGTTTTTCAGTTTCCCGAGTATTCCGAGAAATCTTTCGAGTTGTGCCTTGATTGACTCACCGCGCTCTCGGTTGTTGTACAGGAACTCGACGCTAACAAACAGCGGCATGGGCATCAGTGGATGAATCTGTGCGCAGTTAGCACCATTTACCTGTCTAATGGGTGTCACGCATACGTTGAATACATGAAACTCGGTTAGAAGCTCCGCCATGGAAGCGACTCTAGTGGCAGCCTCCAGTCCCGGCTTCAGCATGTCGAGGGTGGCTGGGTCCTGGCGGTCCTGCACCATGGCCCCAGGGCGCCCATAGATCCCACTTTGACATAGGTACAGAATAGACGTCTGCGCCATGATGTGAGCAAATAGCAGCATAGTATCATCAGTATCTGCCGGCGCGGGGTAGTGCTCCCCGAGGATCTGCAGGCGGCTAGCTAGGATACCATTGAGCCACTGCTGATGGTCTGGCTGGTCTGTGCTTTCATCCCCATAAACAGATCGAATGCTGTGCTGCTGGTACTGAAGAAGGCTCCTACCGCAAATCGTGGCAAATATTATGCACTCGTTTAATGGCGATAGAACACACGGACGGCTCTCAGTCATGGCTTCGGACAAGAAGGGCCCGACGGTAGGCTGGCTAGTTTGGAAATCAGCCTCGGCAACAGGAAGTCGCGTACATATCTGGATAACAGTTATTATTTTGCGATGTTTCAATGAGTACTAGGAGGAAAACCACTTACGACATGTTCATTGAGCGTAATTGGCCAATCGTTGCGCATACTAATGAGGTGGTCGAGAAAGTACGCCATCCAAAATACGCGGCGTTTCTCTTCTTGCACGATAGAATTAGGCTCTCGTGCATCTTTAGATTCAGGTCTGTCTAGCTCGTGTAATTTCATTAGCTGGACAAGGCGAAAGGCTCGACCGGCAGTCATCCAGGCTTGCCAATGGTGGGCCTTCATAGACTCATACAGAGCCATGAGGACAGTCGCCTGAGCCATTTCGACATCAGATTGGTCAATATTGCTATTCTTGCGAGATGTACTCCAAAGATCCAATCTGCTCTTGGTTTCTTGGTAAAGAGATTCTTGTAGGTATTGAAATTGCCCAGATAACAGGGCTGCCAGAGTCCACATCGCGTGCTGGAGGCATCCTTGGCTAGGGGTTTTGGTCTCTGCAGTGTTTGCCCAACGAAGATAAGATCTTTGGTGTAATATTGGGACAAACAGATGAACACGGTCAAAGTACAACTGGTTCCTACGATGCTAGTTAGCGACTTTGCAGAGACACTATAGAGGGGCTTAACTATACAGCTCAGCTTGCATGAGTTCGGAATTGTGCATGTCTCGACTGGCAGAGGATTCTTTATTTTGAGGCTTCTCAGGTGTTTCTGATGAACTGCTCTGGGCATCTTGGATAAAAGGCTGCTGTTGTTGTTGCTGAAGTTGGCTCTCCAGAAGGGCTTGTCAAAGAACAGTTAATAAGCGTACAAGATATGCCAATTTTCCAAGATACATACCAATTTTATTTTCTAGAGCCTTCAGATAGCCCTTCTTAGGACCTCTGGCGCTCCTATTTGTATCAACAACGCATTGTGACCCAAAGTCTACGCAGTTGGAGCACTGTGGTTGGACGCCATCACATTTGCGCTTTCTACTTCGACATTCATTGCACGCGAGTCCAGATCTTGATCTCTCTGGAGATAGTGACGTAGACGTAAATGTATACCGCATACTTGCTCACTTATGCTTCTACACCTCTTTGGACTGTGTGTTGTTGATGTTGCGGCACCCTCGGAGCTGACGGAGAGCCTCGTGTGCGTGTGGCTGCGGAGAGTTAGTTAGCGCCAAGTAGATAGGTAGCAATCATGTACATCACACAATTTCGAACATTATTTATGCGAAATTCACAAAATGTGCTAGCCAGCAATATACGGAGACTATATTTCGGATTCTATATAAGTCAAAGATGGACACAAAGGGCCACATGTCTCCATCATTTCTCAAATCTCTAGTTGTACTTGTATAGACCATGGCCGTTGCCCTCGGAATCTTCAAAGAACTGGAAGAAGCCCGTGCTACCCTCAGGAATAGGATCAGAGATCTTCTTGCCACCGTTACTGACAATTTTCTGCCGTCACATGAATGTTAGCACTCAAAGTCAAATCGTCATACAAGGTAATGGTTCGTGTACTCACCTCGATGGCAGCAGCAAGATCATCGACATAAAAGTAGACCTTTGAAGTCCCTTTAACAGTGGCAATGTCGGCATCCTCTACTTGACGAAGGGCACCGCCAGCAGGAAATACGCCGTCGGGAACAGTAAATATGAGTATTTTATCTTCGGGAATGCCGAGGTGGGAAGGCTTGAACTGCCACCCAAAGACGGCAGAATAAAATGCAGCGCCTATAAACAGTTAGCAGCAAGCAACGTTTTACCAGATAGGATGAACTCGAAATTAAATCAGGTCAAACTTGCCTCTTGCAGTGTCCTTGACGGGGATCTCCAGGCCAACTGGGGTTCCATGTGTAGGGGCCATGATGAAGTATAAGCGGATGTGCTGTGGATAAAAAACTCTTAGAAAAATAGGTAGGTTTCTAAAAGACTAGCTGAGGAGTTCTCGAAACAACTGACAAAAATTACGGATTTCTTGCTGTATTTATACAACTCGTGGCTGCTGCTGGCTGCCATGTCGCCATCTCTTGTCATCCCATAGACCACCACGTACAACCAAGTTACCGCTTTAGAGCGGCTAATCCCTTGGAGTAAAAGATACTCCGCACAGGATAGGAAAGGCTCCGATTCTCCCAGTGGGGTTTCGTCCACTAGACTGGCTGCAATTCTCGGGCTGCTCGGAGATATTGCGGGGTCACCCTCTAACAACAAAGTTAATATGGGAAAATACTCTGATAATTACGGTGTCTACAGCGGATGAAAAGCAGCCCAAACAGAAGAAAGGATCAAGCAGATACGCAGTGTTTGTTGTGGTGGGACGGCGACAGCATTCTCAAGCAACACCGCATGAGTCACTAGAACAGGACAATTGGCGAGCCTTGCCGATCCTTAATCCACCGGGAATACCAGACCGCGCGCCGCCACCATCGTCAAACCTTCCCCTCTCACATCAGCAGTGCACCGCAGCCATACAGCGCTCAATCTAGCCCTGGAATGACGGAATCCTTAACAGAGTCCAACCAAGAAAACCAAGCATCGGAAAGCAATGAGTCGCACCAGCCGCAGCATCACGATGACCCGGAGAAGGGCATCGCCGCTTGGCTTGGGGTGCTTGGTGCGTTTCTTGTGTACACCGCATCATGGTACGTTCTGCACATCAGACGCACAGAGTATACATCACTAAACAGTTTTTTGTTTTGGTAGGGGATTCCTGAGTACATACGGTTCATACCAAAAGTACTATGAAACGACATTCTTAAAAGATGTCTCTCCGTCTGCCATTGCGTGGATCGGCACACTCGAGGGCGTCATCCTCATCAGTACGTAACCATCTGCAACGCCAGATAATATGCTGGATGTTCTTTAACAATTTTTTTCTCAGTGGGAGGAGCGGTAACTGGTCCGATATATGACCGCGGTTACATCCGCGAGCTTCTCATCTCGGGAACGTTCTTCACCGTCTTCGGCATCATGATGCTCAGCCTTGCCGAGACATTTTATCAGGTTCTCTTGGCCCAGGGCATCTGTGTCGGCATCGGTGGTGCTCTCCTCTATGTACCGAGTATTAGCATGATAGCTACTACATTCACGAAACGGCGCACCTTGGCCGTTTTCCTCACGAGCTCAGGGAATGCTGTTGGTACGGACGCTACCCAACTAAAATTTAAGACTGGTACTAACAGCTAATAGGTGGCATCGTATATCCTGTCATGTTTGTGTCACTGCAGCCCAAGATTGGCTTTGCGTGGACAACGCGAGTACTTGGATTCCTAACACTGGGCGTACTGGTCGCTGCTATCCTCCTCATGCGATCTCTTGGCCAAGCCAAAATGCCGCAAGAGCCCCGTACTCTGGTGGACATGACGGCATTTAGAGACCCCGTCTTCATGGTTTACTGTGTAGCGCTCTTCTTCATGTGGATCGCGTACTGGGTTCCCTTTTTTCTGTTGCCGACCTTTGCACAGTTCAAAGCTGGCGCAAGCTCCGATCTTGCATTCTATGTGCTTGTCATTTGCAATGCGTCGACCATTATAGGCCGATACATGGCTGTCCCGTTGACAAAGCAAGTCAGCAGTGCGGCCGGCATGGGCTTCCTTTCACTAGTCACCAGCATTTTGCTCTTTGCCTGGACTGGCGTGCGTTCCATCGCAGGCACCATTGTCTGGTCTGTATTTATTGCCATCTTCATGGCCCCGTTGTCAGTAGTCTACCCAGTCCTTATTCATGAGCTCACACCAGACAAACGACTGGTGGGAAACAGAATGGGCATCTCGTCGTTTGCCGCGGCGCTGGGGACGCTTATTGGGTTTCCTGTGACGGCTGCGTTGAATGACATCGAAGCCGGTATCTTCTGGAAGAGTCAAGTATTTAACGGAGTCTGCATTCTCCTTGGCGCATTGTTGATGGTCTACGTATATATCAAGACCAGACAACCAAAGGAAGAGAAAACTGCACAGGCAGCTGTTTGAAGCTTGCCTCCAACTACATACGTACATACATGCACATACCAAGCATTCAAATACATACACACTTTAAAAGTCTATTATTTGTTTAAGCCGAAGAGATCCTCTCCATCTCTATGATAGTAGTACTTTACAATGTCTTGGGCAAGATGGAGAATCCAACCGGCTTGCCAGCAACAAGCAGGTCCAAGTTCTTGTCAAACGCAAAATCCTCTTCCCTGACGCAAAAGCCAAAGCCAACTCCCGCAGCATACTTGGTGAGGCCACTGTTGCGGCACTCAAGCATTCCCTTGGCCTCGAGATTCTTGTCACTGGCATACGACCATTTCTGAGGAGGCTCATTGTCGCCGCACTGAACTTCAGCTCCAGCAGCCACAACGCTCATCCAGTTGGGCTTTCCAAAGACGTTGACACCGTTAATATGGACGAGGCCGTGGTCAGGTCTAGCGTTGAAGCCAGCAAAGTACATCTTGGTGTTGTGGTCCATGTAGCCCTTTTCCGATGTGGAGGCATAAAACATGGGAATCCACTCGAGCTCGACAGCCTTCTTCATAAGGCTCAAGCCCTTGGGAAGGCGGCGGACGCGCTTCTCGTCATCGTCGTCCTCGTCCCTGCCGGGGATCTCGCGCATCCAGATGTGAATTTCGTCGTCTGTGCAGTTGTTGTAGATGGCGGTCGAAAAGCTTCCGGGAACGGGTGCTACAGTGGAAGCAGTAGCAACGGTCGCGAAAAGAACCGCAATGGCAGTGAATCGGCAAACCATATTTGCGACTGAATATATGCAGTGGGTAGAGCAAAGGTATTTCACAGTGGGTGGAATGGGCTGTGCTTCAAGAGCTACGGCAGACGCTGGTTTAAATGGTTTCTGCTCATCTTCCTAGCCGTCCTACACCAAGGTAGACAAGATCCAGTCAAAAGGACTAGAATTCTTGATTTCTCAGCGATGATGTAGTAGTGTCGTCCGTTATGTAATGGGACACTGGTTTCATTTTTGTCACCCTGCCATTTATAGTGAAGTGGCGTGGCGATTGATGTAACCTTGGCCTGACATTGTAGCCGAGCGATCGGTACTAGTGCATACTAGACTGGGGGATGCCGCTTGCGCAAAATTCAGAAACAACAGGTTCTCAGTAGTAAAGTCAAACTTTGCGCTGAAACAATTGACTGGCTCTGTCCCCGATTGACTTGGCAGTACGTGGAATATTTGCAGTTTGCCGCCGCTGCAAAGGCCCGGCCAGACGAATTGCCGACATGTAATCTAGTCTAGTCCAGGTTGCAATACTTTTAAACTACTGGCACAGCCTCTTTTGTTGTCAGGACGGTCTTGCCAAAATTCTTGCTCGACTTATACCAATGCTCCGAGGAGCCATCATCACATGAAGGGGCTGCAGCGAATGTATAAATGAAAGAAGTATTATTGCAACAAAAGCAGGAGCTAATTTAACCATCAAGTAGTGTCTAATTTACAATTTAGTAGACCAAGACCAAAACAATTTTTGCCCTTTACTGCCCATTAGAATTTGGCTCTTCCCTTCAAAGTGATAATCTTGCCTGACAAATGAAACGTTTAAGTGAGTGTAATTCCAGGAGACCTGGAGTGTTTTTTTCTCGGGCTTTAGCCCTGAGAAGAGTAGCGAGAAGCGCTGGACGTGTCGTAGCGAATTGTCTCGTAGTTACTGCTGTTATATCCTCTTGAGCGTCTGCTGCTGCGAACACTAGCTGAAGGCGTCTTCATGTCGCAGATGCGTTCAAGATTCAGCCTGGAGCTTGGGTCAAACTCGTAGGCCATTTGAGTGCCAGACAATGTTTGTCTGGCATGGTAGTAGGGCGTCCAAGTCTCAGGAGGGATGACCTGGTATTGCGTGATGGCCCTTCTGCTGGGCGTTCTGTACTCTGTGATGTCGGTGTAAGAGGCAGAGATGTGCTTGGGCAAAGCCTGCACAGGACGAGGAGGGGGGACCGCCTCAGGCTTCTTCTCTTTGCCGCAGCAGCTGCCCATCTTGAATGAAGGTAGGTAGGTAGGGGAGAGGTAGGTAGGTGGGTAGGGTTTGGGGTGTGAAGGGTGGGAATAAGTGAGGTGAGGGGATATGTCAAGTGATTGACTATATCAGAAGGGTAATGAGTTTGATTGTATGGTAGAGACTGAAGTGATAGGGAAGAACAGGACAAGGACTCTGGAAATTGTCTGGAATATATACCATTAGGCATTAGTTTGAGTTTGACAGCATCGACAAATGCTTTCTCTGTATGCTTTCGATGCAAGAAATCTTCTTTACTGTCGTGTCTGTAATGTACTCTTTATGAAGAGAATCATAGTAAAAGTGTTTAAGCTGGTAAAATCCAGTTGACCACATGGTGTAGCGAAAAGCTTGATCGAAGCGAGAACATTGATTCAGCAGACAACGGGCACTCGTACGCCGTGGTGCAAAATCTAGGGAAATCTGTCAATCTCTTGGCTTTTTTATATTGCCATTTATATAAATAGATGCGCTGAACAGTTTTTAGGCTGTAATATCTCGGTTCGCTGGCGGCTTACATCGTGGAGTGTCGTCCACCAAGGAGCCATCACAGCTCCCATGCTCACGACTGAGAATTTTCTTCGAATCATGTTGCCCAAGAAAAAGCATTACATTTTTAAAGAAAAAAGGGAAAGAAAACTATAGGTGCTACACGTCCTGCAAATTTAACACCATGTACCAAATACCTGGCAACCTCATATGTCGAATACTTGCACCATGGACGAATGTACAACCCACGTCGATGTTACAAAGTTCATTGAAACAGTTTCAAAAAAGCCAATAAAAATATTGCGATTGAATTTTTCCCACGTGGCTAACCACGGGAAAATTTACTTAGGCGAAAGTGTAAAACCGGAATTTTCTCGCTTTCCGGAAGCATGTTTACATCTTCAAACCATGTTCCGTGAAGCAAGGTGTACGGGTAGCTCCTTCGTCTGCGTTGGACATGGTTTTCCACTCTCGCCATGCTTCTCAAAAAATGCCTTGGCAAATTCTCAACACGAAAAAAATTGAATACTTTGAATTCTCTTTTATATTTGCATGTTTAAAGTATTATTACCCTTTGTAGGTTTCAAACTCTGTTGGTTTACGCTGCGTTCCGGTTCACCTCGAGTGAACATCATCATTTGCTAAATTTGCGCTTTTCACTTTTCATGGGCTTGTAAGTGAAAACTCTATTGGACGCCCAGTCGATATAAAGAAACCTGTATTCCCACTTCAGGTTTTATTCTTGACACACCCAAATCGACAATCAAAAACCAACCTGTAGGTATTGCTTCTTTGACAAGTCGTCGTACATTGGCACATGACCACTTACAGAGACCTATTTAGAACAACTTTCATACCAGAAACCCGGCACAAGGACCAAATCTTAACCTTCCTTGCTACAGTCTCTACAACCAGACACTATCTCAAGATGGGCCCCATCTGTAGCTGTCTTGCTGCGGACGACGCAACGCTCAATGATCCCATCCGCCTTGCTCTAATCAAGGAGAAAGAGAGATTGGACAGACAGCGTGAAAGAGAACGTATGCAGCGTGATGAAGAACAACGCCAAGCTACCATAGCAAAGATGAGGGAGCCAGTGCCACCTATGCTCACAAAGATGCTATATTCAAACCCACCTACAAGGACAGTACAAGCGAAACAAGGCTCCATGCCAGTTCGCCGTCCGCTGGCAAATACGATGCGATCCCCGCAACGTCCAAAGCCGGTTTACTGTCCCCTTACAAATACAATGCATCCTACACAAGCCTCGAAGGCAGCTACATTTCCGCGGGCAAATACGATGCCGTCAAAGACGATGCTGTCAAAGACGATGCCAGCCCCGCTTATGCTCACAAATAGAACGGCATTCAACCCGCGCTTAGACGCAAAGATGAAACAGCCAATGCCAATACAGCGCCAAAAGGCAGCGAACACGTATTCCGTGGGCGAACCTTCTACGAGCAAACTTTATGCGGGTAAAGGTCCTGTGAGTAGAGGTCCTCTGAGCAAACAGGCTGTAAAGAGCCTCCAGCCGTTAAAGATGACCTATCGACCCATGGAGCTCGATTGGACAGAAGACGCACGCAGGAGAGGACAATTTGTCCCGGGAGCTGACGCTGCTCGAATGAAGAAGCAGACGGAACGCCCCCGTCTACCAGTCCCAGGCGTATATCGCAGAGTGAAGTTCAAGCCCCTCCCGAGGCCAGCGGTGCACGAAGACGCATGTGGGTGCTGTAAAGACCGGCTTATAGATGCGCCTATGCCAAAAGGGAAAGACACAAAGACCGAACGGCCATACTCTAGGCTTGTTGATTGGAGTGAGTAGCGCAACTTCTGCAGAGGAGTCAGTGGACGGCCGGTTCTAGTCCAAAATCCTGAACAGTTTCCAATCAACCCATGGAAACCGGTCAGGTTTACAAGTACCGACCCAAAGTGCCCTACATACTGGATCTCTAATGGAAGCCCGGGCACTTTGCCGCCATTAGGGCGCGAGTACTGGGTTACAGATCCGGATCAATCGCCAGAGGAATATTGGCATGCGTTGTGGACTCTTCCGCCTAATGCTTTTAGGCCGAATAAGAAGAGGTTGCAGAAATGTAAGATCGAGGTCGACGGGCAGAAGTGCGAATGCTGTAGGGAGATCGAGCCGCCCGAGAAGGACTAGCATGGAGGTTGGGAACATGGACGACGACAAGCACACTCTACACTAATTTCTTTTGTTTTTGTTAGAACACAAATAAATTTCACGTGCTTTTTTTAAGCTACTTTCAAAGTTTGTGACCAGTCATGCGAAAGTCTGGTTATACATGCACGATACTTGTAGGACGAGGGGATCTCTCGATAATTTCCAAATCTAGTAATAACCACTGTCTCCCTTTTGAGAACGGCTACATCCAAAAAATACTACTACATTTTTTTAGTGGCCGGAAAAAATTGCTATAGCGTGCCGCCCAGATTACCCGTCGCCGCACTTACAGGGCGGACAGGGTGTCTTAGACGGCGGCGCGCGCAGCGTCAGGAATGCAGATGAGCTCAACAGGCAAACAATAGGAAATATTACAAGCCAAGCGACGCGTCTTTCGCACTCTTTATATAAAAAGGCGACACGCCAGTCTTGGCATTTTCACTCCATCAAGCATCATCATCATCATCATTCATCATGAAGTTCTACCAGCTCTCCGCCCTCGTGGCCATCTTTGCCTCTGTAGCCTCTGCAGGCGACGTCTGCCCTCAAGTAAAACACCGTCATCGTCACTACTAAATTCGATTTACTAACGTGTATTGCGTGCTCTAGGAGCTCGAGGAGTTCATTGTCGGCAGCCACTGGTTCGACATGTGCGCCCACATTGGCTGCAAGTACGTTGCGGATACGTCTAAGCGCCAGGGCTGCTACTGCAAGGACGGACACAAGCGCAATGTGGTACGTGAAACTAGACTATTGGCACAAGTGTCGATTCAAGTAAAGCTAACAAGATGTTTGTATTCAGATTGGCAACTGCGTTCCCATCAGCGAGTGCAACGATCCCCGATGCCCTGCTCCCCCCAAGCCCAAGGAGCCCGGACTAGGCGATCAGCTCGAGGGCGTCATTGGCGATTTGGCCGGCGTTGAGAAGCCTAAGCCTGGTGCTCCTAAGCCCGCGAATGCCAATGGCCTCAAGGACGTCCTTGGTGATTTGGCTGGTGTCCCGAAGCCCGGTGTGAACCCCAACACGGGTCTTTAAGCTACACGTGGAACTTAATCTGGTCTCCTGGGCATTTTGCACGGGATAAGCTGGCGTCACGGGTAAAAGAGGCATTGTGTGTATACTATTTTATTCCATTGAGATGTTTCAATACAAAAAATGTCTATTATACATGGTGGTTTTAGTCTCCAACTTAGGGGAGAGTGGCAATGTCTATTGTTTTGTTCTCAGAGGCGGCTGCTGTTGTGCGCGCTTCTCTCCGCCGCTGCCATCGCGCAGTAGGCGCGGCGCTGTGTCGTAGATAGGTGTGTCGTTTCCGCTTAACAAGCAGATCCAGATCTACATTTCTATATCGTATATCGTAGCGTACCCATCGCTGTAGTCCGGGAAGATGCATCCCCAGAGAGGGTAGTGCCAGTAGCGTGCCCACGTTCTTGGCTTCATCTGGGTACACGTCCTTTCCTTCGTCTCGTGTGCCTCCCAGCCACTTCTCATTGACTGCGTAAAGACCAGGGAGCGAGAAGCGGATTTTACCGGGCGCATAAGCTCTAAGAACCTTTTCTAGCCTCTTCCTCTCTTCATCGGGCAGCGCTCGCGAGAACTGCTTCGAATGGGATGGATGGAAGGGCAGGATGCGAAAACGTGCATTCGGAAGTGTGCTCGCCAGACGGATCCAGAATCGATTGTCCCATAGTTGGTGATGTTTGCACGTCTTCCAGGATGCTCGTTTACTGATGCGTGTGTCGGCGAGTGGCGACAGCTCAGATAGTGGTGGCACGGTTGGATTACCAGACTTTCGGTCAAGCAGCCGTCGAGAAGGCATTGGTCTGTTGGCAGGGTATGGTGCTCGTGAAAGCAGCCATCGGTTATTTGGTAGCGGCTCAAACAGGACGCCTGCAATAGAAAAAGCCTTGCGAGATGATTCGCTACTGCTGTCCGAGAAGAGCTGTGGGAATAGCCGGCGGACGACGTTGTCCAGATTGGGCAGGGGAATATAGCTCTGATCCGGTGTCACAAATTCAATGAGCTTTCGAACCATGACAGTGGCCAGAACTTTTTGCTTCTCTTTCAAGGTAGCGTCTCGCTGTGCCGAGTTTATGCGTCGCTTACGGCCGACATCTATAGTTGGCAGTCGTATACGAAGAGTGCCAGCATTGGAGTCGAAGCTGCGGACAACACCTTCGCGTTGAATCAGTCTCTTTGCCTCGTCCTCTTCTTGAGTGGCGCGTTTATCTGCTCTCTTGCTCAGTCGCAGAATGTTCTCCTTTTGTAGGGCTTTGGGTAATGTGTGATTTCGAAGTAGGTGGCGGACTGCGTTGCGTGTAGTAAGCGTCTTGTCGGCATTGGTGGCGTCTTCGAACCAAGGAACGCCGTTTGCCTCGCAGGTAGCAATCAATCTATCCTTATCAAACTCCAACAGCGGTCTATATATCCAAACGCCACCGTCCTCAATGTTGAGTGGCTTGAGGTAGGGCTGATTGGGATCGTGCGTCCTCGTAACAAAGCCCGCAAAGCGAGACGTCTGATTGAGGACGAGGCGGGACGTGATGGACTCAAAGTCGCCCGACACGCGGACATCATCTTGCAAACTTCGCCGCAAACCGCGTATTTCTCTGTTTGTCGGCTTAAAGCTCAATGCAGGAAGCCGCTTGACTTGGTCATCAAGCAGGCCGCTCTTGTGGACACCGCTCATATCGTAGCATTCGGGGATTGCATTGGCGGCTTGCATGCCTCTGAGGCCGCGGTATCCATGACCGGCAAGCAAACGCATAAGCACCGTCTCATACTGGTCGTCGCGGTGGTGCGCCAGGAACAAGCTGCTAATGTGGCGCTGGTGACATGTTGCACCTAGAATATGGTATCGGTTGTTTCTGGCAGCGCTCTCTAGGTTCGGTAGTGTAGCAGGATCGATTCCGTTTTCTCGCTCATGTTTCCACCGCATGCGTGACACCATGACTCTCAGATGCATCTTGCTGAGAGATTTGGCCACGGCACTAGCTTCAACATCGCTGCCGGGCCGCAGCTGGTGGTCAACCACGACACCGTAGGCGCCCATAAGGGGGTGATCGGCAATCTTAAGCTTCTCACCGGATCGAATGAGACAGGAAAATAAAAACGCCAGGGCCATGGAGTCCACACCCCCCGAAATGGCGAGCCCGACGCGCTGCGGGCGTGCATGGCGGGCGGCTGGGAATCGCGGCGGGCAAATGGCCAGCAGGGCGTCTCTGAATTCGGCAGCGCCAATTGGCTTGGGCAGCCTGTGCAGGGCGCTTGCTGCCTGTGCTGCGGGATTCATTCCATTGTATGCTGGACGAAATCCCTTTGCAGTTGGGTGTTGGTGAGGTGTTTTGGTTTGGAGGGACAGACGGTGAAGAGGAGAAAAGTTGTCGGCGTGACACCAGGTGTTGCGTTTTGTCTTATCGATTGACAATTCGCCAGCTGCCGCGGCCGCCCAGTTGACGGCGATGCCACCTGCGCCAGGTGGCAGCGCGGACCGCACTCTAGGTACGTACGTACTGTGCGTACTGTACCTGATGCGGACATGACATGCGTTTCACATGGAGGTACAGTAGAGCGTTCTCTCCCAACACAGCCATAGATGAGAAAGAAATAAAATGATGTAAAATGGAAATAAAAATTAGAAATAAAACAGACGCATAAAACAATTTTTCTTTTTTCTTTAGCAAACACATAATTCACCGCATGGCTCTCTGTAAGCGATGGGCATTACTACGAAGTACACTCGCGCGGGGTTCACCCATCGGCTACAGCACCTACCTGTACTTTGACGCCCGCAGTTACAGCAAACGCCATGCAAGTTACCTGCACTTCCTTCACTTCACATTCACCTTTTGTTTGCCCTTCTGCAGCCTTGTTCTTTTCTCTCTTATTCTCTTATTCTCTTATTCACTTTCATTTCTACATCCCGGCGACTGTGTGTTTTCTTTCTTTCTGCTTCTATTTAAGCTCTCCTTCTTCGACTTCTTTCGTTTTGTCTACTTCGCCCCCATTGCCTCTCTCTGCCTACCCTGCACATCAACAACACCACCATGGCTGCCACCAAAGACTATTTTTCTCGACTTCCTGTTGAAATCAAACGTCAGGTGGTCCAAGAATTTGTCGACGCCAAATACCTCAGCGATCAGGGCATAGAGGATGTGCCTATTCCGATGCACTCGTTGGAAAACTTCCACGGCATGACAATGCAGAAGGTTGGTCCACCAAAGCTAGGCAAGTACGCTGCTCTTGCATCAGATTGGAAACCTCTCATCGAAGAGCACACCTTTAAAACCATCCCCTTCGTCTCTGACACGATGGAGGAAGCCAGATCCGTCATGTCTACTGATCGATGCGGCCATGTTCGCCATGTTCGGTTGATATTCAAGCTGCCTGAACACTTCCGCTCTGATCAGCAGGCGGACCAGACAAGCTACTTGCCGCGCAGCAAGCAGAGAGAGCTCAACGAGGCATTCACCATGTTTATTCAACAATCCTTTGATATCTTGTCCAACTCTGGGTTTAAAGATGCCTCTGTTGCACTGGAACTAGTGGTGGAAGAATTCGGACCCGTCTGGCGAACAGACTGCTCGCACTTTGAATACTTGCGCGCTGAAGAACACAATGACGGCGATTTGGGCATTTATCTCACCCTCGGGAATGTTGTTTTGCCTCAACTTGACTGCATTTTCAGGGTCGAGACCATGGGAGTCCGCACCCGCATCTGCATCTACCCGGCGTCTGCTGTCGCTATTGCATCCCAGTGCCCCATGGTTGAGGGTGCCCATCTTTACATGTACGATTATTCCTTTGACACCAAGCACCGTATCAAGATGCGAAAAGGTATGCAAAAGTTCCATTGTCCGTTATTTATAGCCCAAGTACTTACTAACACAACACAGACCTCGCAGCCAGCCTCGACACCCTCCCAGATACTCTACAAAGCTTTACATGCAACCTTTCGCTCATGCAACGAATGGGCAGCGGCAAACAAGTAGCCAACGTCACCTCCCCAGATCCCCTAAACGACGTTCTATCTCTGGCAGTGTACAAAGTTAGTCTCAAGCCCCGGCTTCAATCCTACGCCGTCCTGGGCAGCTTTGAGCTGTGTGTCATTGGCCCTGAGTCGGCAGCAGACGACTCCCCCATTCGGCCTTGCCTGAAGACATGGTCCGTCCAGATGCTTAACCAGACTCCCTCTGGACAGTTTCTAAGAACCGGCCTCAAGCGGAGCTTTGTCTCCAACATTATGGTGATTACCACAGCGGATCCCGGCCAAGTTCCCGAGGTGGACAAGTCACGCTATGCCCCAGCCCCCATCCTGCGACGAACAGCAGTCGCTGCAGCCAAGATGCCAAAACTAGAAAGGATGAACTATATTGGCATGGTTAGGGTGCAGTACCTGCCTAAGAGCCAGACCTTGATACGACTCGACCAAAACCCATGTTACAAGCTTGATGAGAAGACAAAGAAGCGTTGGCAAACGGCAGTCTGCGCCCATTCAGGCCCGTCCGCCACGCTCCGAATTGAGGGCGATCAGGGCGAACCAGAGGAACCCACTGAGAACGGCCCGCCGAACATGGCCGCAACTATCGCCGAAATGGTCGCAGGTATCAGTCAGGGTCAGGGCTCTGGCCTTCCGACCCCCTTTGGTCCTCCTGGCAATCCTTACAATGTCCATGTTCTACCCCCAGGATCGCCAGACGACCTCATGAAGATGCTTGGAATTTTTTGAATATGTTTGGACTTTGATTTTGAGATGCTATGAGTGCTAATGAATACTTTCAAGTGAGTGCGACGGTTGGTTAATGGATAAGGTGTTTGATTTACTACGTGGCATGTTTCGAATTATTGTTGTTGTTTTAGCTATGTCAAGTCAGGTTGCTAGGTCTACATGGAAAGCACTCTATTAGCATATTAATGAACCTTTTACTGAACCATCCTCTTTTCATTTATCTTTAATTTCTAAATGGATTCTAGATGCATCAATCTGTTTGCTGCGCTAGCATTGCATCGCTCGTTTAGGACCTCGCGAGGCTTACTGGGTTTTCCCCGCCGAACCGGCTACTCTGAGTCACTCCAACATGAACGAACAAACCATATAACGTCTGCATTTCGCAGATTATCTTTCCATTCTTCTTTCACAGCATATTAACTGCACATGAAAATGGCGGCCGATTATATAGTCGAGCATATCGAGCCCAATGAGGAGGGCCTCGAGCTCTTTCTCTCCAAATACAAGCCGTTTCGCCTAAATGCACTCCAGACAGATCCCTCATGTATGCATGCCAGCTGATATACCGTGCCCATTAATATTTTACTGATGAGCTATAGTCTTTGGATCGAATTACGCGCGTGAAGTCGCCCAGGATGACGAATTCTGGTACAACCGGCTGCGGAATCCCAAGACACGGACCTTTCTAGCTCTTTCACCAGGGCGGGATGTCCTGTCATCGGCAACTATGGTGATCATCCCCCAGATTTTCCCCGTATTCAAGAAACTGTTGGGAATTGAAGATCCTCCTGACGACGACACCGCAACACTCGTCCAGTGGGTGGTTAATGCAGTCTACACTGTCGGGCCAGCGCGCCGCAAGGGCATCTCCAGCGCCATCTTGGACAAATCGGTAGACTATGTAATGAAAGACTCGGCCTCAAAAGGCCTATCTTGCCTGGTAGTTGTGAATACGCTGAATGGGAATAGACCGGCATTGAGCATGTACGAAAAAGCAGGTTTCATCCGAGCGCCTGACGAGAATGGCGCCGAGGATCATGGCGAGGTGATGCTGTATATGTGGAGGCCGGTGAAATAAAAACATGGCATAAATATAAGCATTAAATATTTTAGATGTATATAGACTGTGGGATATACTCTAGACACTAGTCTACGATTGTACCATGTGTAGTACTCATGTCTATCTATCTGCACAATGGTCTCTCAGCCCCTCTCCTTATCGATGACGGAAATTGTGCCGGCTTTAGATGTTGCATCTTTCAAAAGTTCCATCTGCTACTAAGGCGACAACTACTATCTCTCTCTCTTTTTCTAAGGGAGTGGCATAGCTCTCCTAGTATCATCACATATATCGAGCTTCGCACCATCGCTCACCATTTCGGCATTTGCTGACCAACGAAGTAGTGCATAATCGGCAATAATTAAAATAGATTTCTATTTAAAGCTACGATTTTATAAAGAGCAGCGGTCTTAAAATATCATTAAATCGTTTTGTGTTGTAGGGATATGCTGTGCTGTGTTGTGCCCTGCTTTGATACCTGTTGGTGTCCTGAAAGACGGGCGCTTTGCTTGGTCTGCTCAAAGCCAACACAGCCATCCACAAAGAATGAAACGCCTTTGTATTGCTGTTTCGTCTTTAAAACTACCAACGCAATATTAGAATCTCATGTTCGTTCTTTTAACGACTACGCCTGAGCACTCGTTGTGCCGCAGAACATAGCTGTACAAACAGCACACCACTCTTTGACAGCTTTTGCAAGTAGTTTCTCATGATAGTATCAGAATAGCCGAAAGGTATAAAGGACCATGGATATTCGCTTCTCAGTCTACCATTTCGATATCAACAACATCAACAGCTCTCTCACACTTACAACCAAAGCAACACTAACAAAAGCCCACCACCAAACCAACCAGCAACTACCAAACCGCGAAAATGTGCAAAGTCACCGCCTATAAAGCGGAATGCCTCTGGTGCAACATGCAGCAAATTATGAGACTTGGACAGACGTTCTGTGACAAGCGAGTGTATGTCCCGCAAACAGACTCATGCCACTGCGACGACGCTGTCATTGTAGACGACGAGGATAGCAAACCCTTGAACTCGCAGGAGAAAGTTGTCGTCCATCGCCGCTTCAGGGGGACCCAGGGGTGCCGCCATTTGGGAGAGATTCCCTTTGACGAGGAGGACTTTGTCAATATGGTCCCTACTGCTGAATGGAACGACATCTGCAAATCGATCGGTTGGACATTCCGCAACCCAGCAGGTAACTAGGTGTCCGCTAACAAAACAGCGGGCTGAGAGCATGTGGCTCAAGGCCAATCCATCCGTTTTATCTCTCGTTCATGACGGCGGCCGGTCCTGTAAGTAGGATATTTGTGTGATTTTAACTAACCTGTACATTCGTTTTAGACACATAGCAGCAATGCAATAAAAGCACAAAAAAAGATACCCTTTGTCTGTCTAACTATAATAATACTGTAGTGGGTGAATCACAAGTGTTCTATTTTAGATGTATATATATATATAGACTACGAAATATTAAGCTTAAATCTTAAGTTAGTTTATAAATCGAGTAATAGAGCCCTGTCCCTCTAAAACTGGACGCGTCCTGTCGCAATTGCCTAATCTGGCCTACCGTAGCACCGCCGCTATCGGCCGCTAGCTGCTCTAGGCTACTCTAGCATTCTGCGAATCGTATTTACTTGGGTAGCTATATCCCTACGAAACCCGTCGCGGCATGGTGCACACAGTCTGCGCAAGTTGCGATCTGAATGGATGCCGGAAAGTAGTGCTTGTGCTTGATGGTAACGCATGACCACGTTGGAGAATGTTGGCGGGTAACAGTCCCAACATGATAAATCTATTGCCTGCTAGATAACTTATATAGACAAACTGTTCCGATAAAAGCACCCGTAACTCAACGGTCTTAATTCAGCACCGTTATTGGGCGTAAACTCTTGACACCTAGGCTCGGCTACCCAAAATACTTGTCAGGATCTATATAACTTATATGCTATTAAGCGAGCCCTTTAAAGAGCGCGTTCACTTTCTTCTGGCTCGTCAATACTGGGGGCGCTGTTTATCGCGTGGGGGATCGCTCTCCTGGCCTTATCAGATCTATCGAGCTTCGCACCGTGGCACGCAGTCTCCGGCTTTCTTGGCGAACAAAGTATTGTAGCGGCCGAAACAATTGATCACTGGACGTGTATATAGTGCTGTTCTCCGCACGGACCATTTGTGGCGTTGTGCGGTCTTGAGCGCCAGGGTCACCAACGAGGTACACCTCCCAATCCAGTCTATGCCAGCGGGCGCTCGAGCGCTGGAACGGTCGCTTCCAACCACTGTCAACCTCTAGTCCTTGACCTGGACAACATCGACAAGCGTAGCCTAATGGCTTCAACCCTTGGATTTGGTTGCTCTGCAATGAACCGTAAGTCTCATTCATTTTCTCGTGACATCAGCTGTATTGGACCATTTCTGAAAGACCCGTTTCAATGCTGGAACCCTTATTCTGATCTCGTTAGATTTACATTGGACCGTAAGAACACTGCCATTTAAAAATTCACCAAAAAGCAAATGAAATATATCGCTCCAGTAAGTGCCCGTAGTAGCCCGTACATTCTCTACCGTAAACCCATTATCATCATCATTCTCTTTCGCAGCTGCACCCTCCAACCATTAAGTTTATATTTATGATTCAACGCCGTACATGTTGGTTAGATGAATTGCAGCTGATATTTGGCTATCAATTTCCAAATTTCCTACCGCAGGTGTGGCTGCAGACCTTGGGAGAGAAAATTGCCCGAAAGGAATCAAAGCCCCGTTAAGAAGGCCGATCAGCAGCGGAGGTTGGCTTCTGAGCGTACCAAAAGTAGTAGTTAAAGTAGCGATGGACGGATACTTTGTTCAGGGCGTTTCGGGCCAGCGAAAGTCTTATTTCGGCTTCTGCGGAGGACATCCCCAGCGCCTCAAAGGGGCGCCCAGCAAGAGTCGGTATAAAATCAAGGACAGCTGTCTTTTGGTAAAGACCAATCAGTTTCATCGTCTTGTCCTTTGCCCATACGCCGATGGGTACTTTCATTATTCGACAGTGCACATTTGTAAACCCAGCATCAATGAGCAAGCGTCCAAGATCGGCCGTCAACGACGTATTCAGTCCAAACTTTGCGTAAGCTTGGGCAGCCAAGTCGTACAACACTTTGAACGGATCGTCGTCGGCCATTGTGCCGTCGTCACAGCAAGGATGGCCATGTAACTCTTGAAATTCGACCCATCCGCCAGGGCGAAGGCTCCTGCAAGCACAATAAGCTAGCATCACGGCTACGAATACAAAAGAAAGTGGAAGGATGTAGGGATAAGTGAGAGACATTAAGTGCAGAGCGCAAACTCTAACCTGGAATACAACTTACTGGTAAGCATGCCCTAGTACAGTAGGCATGTTTTTCAGGATCAGCGCCATGAAGCGGAAGTGTGCCAGGTCGACATCACTGAGCAGCCAGTCTCTTTCGCAGTCGTCGATTACGAATTCGACATTAGCAGGTACCCAGGACGGTTGGATTGGAGTCAGATCTATGCCCATGACAACTGCACTGGGATACTGATCGCCCACTAAACACGAAAGTCATTAATACGCACTCGACAGCGCTGGGAGTGAGATTAACCTTCTATTGCCCATATTCCTTTTCGCCATAATGTTAGTGACTGCCTGCAATGGGAAGTATGAGGGATGCATAGGCTTACCAGTTCCAGTGCCGATATCAACAATCTTTTGTGGATGCGTGCCGATGGGCGAGTAGAAGAGCTTGCCGTCGGTCAACTCCATCAGCATCGCATGCTTCATGTCTTCTCTAGTCTGTTCCAGATCATCATTGGGAATAGGGTAGCGGCTGTTTTTGAATGATTGATAGCGGCGACCTTTTTCATATGTGTGCGCATAAACGCTTGATGAAGCGCTGGCAAAGTCCGAGGTTACGCTTTCAGCATAGAATTCATCATCGCTAAAAGCTTCACTTCCCGCGGCTTCAATCTCAAGGTCACGAACCTCTGCTATCTCGGGATGCTCGATGGTTGCTTCACCCACCTCGCCCTCCTTCGCTTGGTTCGGAGTAACCATCGTTGGGGGTGTTGGAGTTGGAGCTGGGCGTTGCGCTAATCAGGTCCGGAGGCGAGTTGAACCGGTGCGCGGGGAGCCTACAGCACGTGATTGGAACCTCGCGTGGTAACATTCTCAGCAATACAGAGTAAACCGCCTTTCAATATCACGCCCTGTATATCTTTTTTTAAAATGAATTATATAGCAGGTGTTTATTTGCATCACACGGCAATGTTCTGCTCACAAGTTTGTGGAAACTGGCTGCCCAACCCCCGCCAATTTCGCCTTGGGTCTGCCACCATGTGTACTGTACTAAGTAACTAAGTATGGGGCGTTGGATTGTCTCCGCGCGATTTGCGAACCGACGTTCCGGCGAAAATCTGTGTAAGTGCACCTACAATGGGGGAATGTACTACCGTGCGAAGCCAAGCCCATTAATTTCTAGTCTAAGAGATGTATAATTTCAAATGCAGTCGAGTGGCACTCTATTTGGCAACGAAAAGTATTATTTTCAAGTGCTCTTGCCATGTCCTTGCTTTGCCATGAGCATCTGCCCAATCATTTCAATGTCAAGTGACTTTTCCGCCTCGGACAGAGACTGCTGCACTGCCTTGGCACCCCTCTCAATCATTTCGCTCTCGTATGCGCCGATAATCTGCTCTGGTGATTCTTCGGTCGAGTGTAGTTGCGTTAATGCGTCGACGTAACTGGCAACATCTGTGATTGAATGCTGAAAGCCTTGACCGCGGTCTTTTTTTGGTCCAATGTTAGTCAAAGGCTGCAGTGCTACAGGAATGCACTTACAAATAAGCATGGGGTGTGCGGCATCTCCGGCAAGAGTTACGCGCCCTCCGTAATTATCCCACTGTGTCGGAATCCAGTATTTCATCTCACTTATACGAACGTAGCTGCCCTCTGGAGTCCAGTCGATGGCTGACTGGAATATGTCTCGTAGTGGTGGCGTATTCCCCTTGATATAATCAAGAGCTTCCCCATCCTTGAGATCTACGGCGTTGCCCTGCCATATCTTGACCCAGAATGTGGTCCACGTAGATTTGTCGCTAGGGTCTCCAGCCGCCATAACTATTGAACCCGTAAGCCCTACCGTGCCTCTAAACGATGTACAACGTCGAACTTACCACCAACAGCACCAACAGCGTTTGTGCCCATCATGAGCGCGGCCACAGGGTGTGCTTGAATGATTGCATTTGTTTTTTCGGAATCATTAAATTCTGTGATTCCGGTGGCAAAGAGAAATCCGGACGTACGCGGCTGAGCTTGCTCGGGGCCTAACAACAAGTGTCGCACTTTAGACCATGTGCCATCTGCTCCGAGAAGATGATGGGCATCAAACGATTCACCGTTGGAAAATTCCAGTTTAATCCCTTCGCTGCTTTTTTTAAATCCTGTCAAAGATTGATTCCATCTTATATCAATATCCTGCGTGAGGAGCTTGCGCAGGCGTCTTCGGCTAACACGCCTGGAACCGGGTGTAGGGCTGCTGAAGAGGAGCTCACCGGTCACGCCATTGTAGCATGGAAGGCTCTCTATTTCATCTGTGAACTCCAAGTGAGGGTTACAGAGAGCCCCATTCAAGTCTTTGAGAATATGTGCCGGAACGAGCTTCTCAAAGAGCGGCATCGCCCAATGGATCAGCATGGTCCATTCTTGAGGCCGGGCGTCGATGCTTGCTTCCTGCTCAAAAACGACCACATTGAAACCGTTCTAATTGTTTTAGTCAGCTCTGGTAATCGTTACACGGATGTCTCTCTCGGACCAACCTTTTTCAGGCCCTGTGCAGCAAGCAGGCCCGTCAGCCCCGCCCCAATAACAGCCACCGTAGGCCGATCCCGGTCTAGGGAAGCCATATCGGAGGGCTTCTTTTTTTGTAAAAATTTCGAATATAAAGAAGAGAACTTCATTAGTGCTGAGTAAAGCAATACGCTAAGAGTAAACAGCAAATGTCCTGTTCTCGAGGCCCTCGCTAAGGGTGGGGTCGGCAGTTGTTCGGTGTGAGATCTCGTGACGGTATCTGGTGGTTTGAAGTACAAAACACACAGTGTGTATTCGCACGGTACCAGCCACACCTCTCGTAGCTGGTCCGTACTCAGAACAGAATTACAGAGTTCAAGTGATCAATTGTTTCGGCCGCTACAATACTGTACAGGAACAAATAATAATAAAAGGGGTTGATTTTGATATATATCTATTCCGTTAAGTTTCGTTATTCAAATTGCTCACATTTAGCTTTCCTGGTGTGGTGGTTCCTGAATCATCGTTTTGGTGGACCGCGACGGGGACGCGATCGAAGTGGGGGCCGCTCGCCCCGTTTGAGGCGATCTGGTCGGTCGGCGAAGCCAAGCTCAAAGGCAGCGGCCGCGCTCGTTCCCGCTGAAGGGACAACTATTACGGTAGAAAGGCGCAATGAACAAGCTACAGAGGCCGCAACGGCCGAAACCGAAGTGGAAACAACTCACGAGGTGGCGAGTCGCGGCCGCACGGTGGAAGAGGCCAATTCCATCGGGCAGAAGATGCTGGAGTTGATTGAGAAATCGTACGCTGAAATGCAAGAGATGAGGGGGGAAACGTCTGAGCAGAGTAAAATAATCGACGGCCTCGGCCAGAAAATAGAGGGGATGTAAAAGGAACTGGGTGAAGCTAAGGACGAACTCAAACAAGCACGCGAAGAGCTGGCGAAGACGCGTGCTACGCTTGAAGCTATCACCAACTCCACCCCCTGGAGTAGCGCGCAACCTTCTTACGCAGATATCGCGCGCACACCACCAGAGAGTCAACCTAGCAACATCAGGACTCTCTCAACCACGCGTACGACCAGCACAAATTCTAGCAACGCCATCTACTGTACAGTCGAAATTCCAGAAGCAGAAGATACTGTGAATGAGAGAGTGACAGCTAAGACGATTCGTACTATTTTGGAGGAAGAAATTCAAGCAAAGCCTGGCCAGGGATCTTGGAGATGTCGGGCAGTGACTCAGGACCGATCAAACCGCCAACGTATGAGAATCGCATGTCGAAATGACAACGAACAAGAGATAGTAAAGAAGAAACTTGAAGAAAAACTGCCCGCAGCCCGGATATTAGATGATGGCGGTTATCGGATCCGCGTGGATGGTGTTACCCGCGCCATAGCTCTCGACGAACAAGGAAACGACTTGGCTGGGGTGGCGGAAACCCTGAGCACAGCAAACGACACGGAGGTTGTGAGAGTATCTTGGCTGAGTGATAGGTGTGTGAAAGACTATGGATCGCTCCTTGTGGAACTGAAGAAAGCCTCTGAGGCTCGACGATTTTTGGATGAAGGATTCTTCTATGTTGGTGGTATCTCAGCAACAACGGCAGCATTAAAGCATCGCCCCCGCCCAAAGTAATGCTACAACTGCCAGGAACTCACTAGCCACAAGGCAGCGGACTGTAAGAAGCCGCAAAAGTGTGCTAGGTGTGCTAATGACAGCTATAATCACCAGGAATATACTAAGACTAGAGTTAAGTGTGCACTCTGTGGCAGTCCACACGAATCGTTTAGCAAAATCTACAGATTACTCTATCCCGCTAGGAATGAGTAACACGCTGCGCATTATCCAGCCAAATATTAAGAAACGCGGCGAAATACATGACAGCTTAATGAACGACGAAGAGATTACGGATGCAGCCATCATTGCTATTCAAGAGCCGCAAGCCCGGTTGATCTAGGGCCGGTTGCTGACAACCCCAATGGCACATCACAAATGGACCAAGCTAGTCCCTACAATATGCAACACGGAGGGGAGATGGGCTATTCGAAGCATGCTTTGGATAAGGAAGGATTTAGAGGTGGAACAAGTGCCGATGGAATCGTCAGACTTGACGGCGGCACTCGTCACACTACGGGGACGCAAACTGCTGGTGGTTTCCGTCTATGTGGAGGGAGTGAAAGTGCAGGCATTAACAGAGACATGCAATCAGCTCAGGAGAGTAATCACAGAAATGAGGAGAGACGAAGGACAACCCGTTGAGCTAGCAATCGTCAGGGATTTCAAAGACACAACCAACTATGGGGCGGAGAAGATGTGTCACTGTTGATACAAGGGGAGGCGGATGACATCGTCGATCTTATGGGCGAATACAACCTCTGCAGCCTACGGCCCAGAGGAACGAAAACGTGGCAGGGAGGAAACTACGAGTCGACAATCGATCTGGTCCTAGCGTCTGAAGAACTGACGAACAGTCTCATTCGGTGTGCAACGTGCAACACAGACCATGGCTCGGATCACAGAACCATTGAGACGTTATTCAGCACGACAGTGCCCGAGCCACGCTACCAAGAGAGACTATTGTTTAAGAGCGCGCCGTGGAAGGAGATTAATACAAGTATCGCAGCAAATCTAACCGACACGATCGGTCAATCCGTTCAGGAAACAACACAACGCCCCCATGACCGTGGTGGTGGAGGCAGTACACACGCTTACCCCCCAAGAGGTTCCTGGTGCAGCTCTGAGCCAAGAGCAGCGTCAACAAGCCGAAGGACATTTTCGATATAAACTGTCAAGATTAATCATCCATAATCAATCACGTACACAACTAGAGGTCTGTTCTCCATGACAATATCGCCGCTACAAACCCCTTAGGTACAAAATCTTATAGTCGTCAAAATTGCTGCGCCTTGTTTTCCGGTACCCTCCACGCTATTCGCATAAGCTCTTGTGGAATCGGCTTTTTGTTGGTGATTTTTGATGCGAAAATTTGCAATTCTTTTGACGGCCCTTTTTCATAGACCATAACACAGCTGTGGCGGTTGCCAAGACTCATGATCGTCCTCATTTCGGATAACAGTGTGACCAATTTGCGGAGTGAGCTTTGTTGCTGAGACTCCCATTGCTCGAAAAGAGGTTGCACGTGTGTAATTGCGACATCTTCGAATGTTCCGTCATTGTGAGTTCCTACAATTAACCATGGCGTACGACCAAACCAAAGCTGTGGCAGAAATAAAGCTGTCCGTTTAGGCTTTCGCGTAGTTTTTAATTCTGCGAGCAGGGACTGTGAAATTGCTGTATACCTGCTCCTTGGACTCGTTTCTAACGACAAATTGCCTATTTGATGTAGAATGGACTGTATGCCGTCATCAGTTGGAGCCGTTTCATAGTAAGCATCGACTTCAAATCGAACGACGCAGCGTAGATTTCCCAGTTTGTACTGTATGACTTGGTGGTGCCCTGAGCTATGTTCCATTCCTTCTGGGTTACTTGTAAAATTCTTTTCAAAGCTATGCCCAAATCGACTGTCGGCATGCTTAAGAGTTTCAGTATCCATTTTCTCAGACCGTTCGATCACTAGTGTGTCATTTGCCAAGCACAAATTCAATTTAAAGTCGTCTTGAATTCGCCCCGCACAGAAATCAAGCAGTTTTCGCAAGCTATTGCGATTGACAATGATATCAACATCGTTGAAGTTAAACTTGGGGTTCATAATCCTTGTAGCTTCAAACATCGGCCAAAACGAGTAGCCTGGACTCCGTGCGGCATTTTGGTCGATATAAAAGAGTCCTGAATCTGCTGTCACTCGCATGGGTAAAGCGTTCTTTTTAAATTTGGGCGGTTGACCTTTATTTGATAGTTAGTCTCAATCCTTACTGGATCATTTAACCCTTACCAGGAACCCAAAAAATTGGCTTCAGGCCTTTTTTCCAGGAGTAAGAGCATACCACAAGGATCGGCTCGCGGCTTGAAACCTGTTCAGTAGAACAAGTCAGTGAACTTTGAGCGATTGATCGCTTCGAGTTCAACATGTCAACATCGTCCCAAAGCCAAGTTTTCCGTGAATTCTCAGCATACTGTCGCTTGCCACCTTTTTTCTTAAATGTTGTTCTTTGACCCTGAGGGGTGGCATGAGAATCTCGCCAATGTTGATTGAAAGCTTGTTCAGTGTCGAAGTATCGACCACAGGCACAATTGCTCATTTCGATAAGATAGGCCACACAGAATATACAATATAGTACGATTTTATTATTATAGCCCCTCTCAAAATAGTTATCGAAAAAACGATGCTGTATCTCAAGTCATGATAAAGACAAAATCGTTTTCCGTCCTCTGAGAGTTCAGCTATGTGACGATCTTTTACATCGAACCAATAACCTCTCCGCACGTCGGCAGTTAGCTACATGTGGCGTTTCCATTGACGGCCAATGAAATGATCTCTTCTAGCACCAAAGAATGAGTAAATCACATGATATATTGGGCTACATCCCTGGTTTTGGGCGTTAAGGCGAGTGCCCGTGGTAGCCAGGGCCGAAAAAGTTACTGCCAGCATTGAGTGCATACAGTGTCCTACATATATTACACCGTGTGGCGCTACGTCTGTGGCTGTACCCAGCACAACTACTACAATAAGTCTTGATCATTATTTTCCGGCGGCACAATAGAGCAAATAGGCACTTCTGCCTGCTAAAAGTAAATGCTTGATCAGAGAGATTCATGACCGCAAATGAAGTTGCGAATTTTGCGGCTGCTTGCGCTCGAGCGCGCACAAGACGGCCACTTCTAGGGTTTACGTTATGTCGGGACTACTGGCAGCCATCGCAATCATTGCCTTTTTGATTCATCAGGATTCATAAGAAGATAATTGATGATATGAATAACAATGACCTATTCTGTTCATGCCTTGTGCCTTACCCGAGGGAATAGCCGAATGGCTCCCCTGTTGGCTCGCGTCTGGTCTTATCGTACTGCATATATACCACTAGATTACACTGTGTACTTAGTGATAGAGCTCGACTGGATTGCCCGTATTAGACTGAAATTTATTGGGATTTACTTACACCCTTCAAAGTTGTACTAATAGCAAAAAATCACGTGAATATGCATGAAACGGTTCTACTCAACTTAGCCCGCGGCCCCAACCACGTTGCACCACTCAAACCCCGAGCTAAACCCCTGATGGAAATTACTCTCACCCAAAGTCTGCTCTAGATCTTCGCAAGTTAGTTACCATGGCAGCAAAAATCGCAGTTATCACCTCAAACAAGGAGCCGTACTTCGATGACATCTACTCCAAGCTCATGGAAATAATTCGTCAAAAGCAAAAGTTATTTACGCTCGCGACATGTCAAAGGCCGTCTCGCTGGTATTAGAACAACGTCAGCCGATCTTCCTCACGGAAGAGGCATTAACAGTTACCAAGAACACCCGTACTTAGAGGAAAGAACAATTCCCGCCCCTCAAACTAGCCATTCTGCAGTTTTCTTCTTACAATACCACACACAAACATAATCCCCAGGCTATATAATAGTCCAAGGATACAAAATGGGAAGCCTAAGAATCGAGCTCCCATCTTTCCCGCGAAGATTTTGAAGCCTTTGTATCAGGGTGGTTTGGGCCCAATTCCCGCTCCAGAAGTCTAATGCATGCCTCAAGTAATTGGATGGCTGCTGCCTTCCGATTCTGCGACCAATAAGTGTGAGCCAGATTATTCATGGTCGTCAATGTGTCAGGGTGCTCCTCGCCTAGTACTTTTATCCTTGCCTCTAGTGTCTGTCGATCCATTGTCTCCGCTTCTTTGCGCTTGCCTTGCGCCAATAGCACTGATGCCAGATTGTTCCTGGTCGTCAACGTGTCAGGGTGCTCCTCGCCTAGTACTTTTATCCTTGCCTCCAGTATCTGTCGATCTATCGTCTCCGCTTCTCTATGCTTGCCTTGGTTCTGTAGTGCCAATGCCAGATTGCTTATAGTCCTGAGTGTTTCAGGGTGCTCCTTGCCTAGTACCTTCTTCTTTGTCTCTAGTGTTTGTCGATCCATTGTCTCTGCTTCTTTATGCTTGCCTTGCGTCCATAGTACCAATGCTAGGTTGTTCCTGGTCGTCAATGTGTCAGGGTGCTCCTCGCCTAGTACTTTTATCCTTGCCTCTAGTGTTTGTCGATCCATTGTCTCTGCTTCTTTATGCTTGCCTTGCGTCCATAGTACCAATGCTAGATTGTTCCTGGTCGTCAATGTGTCAGGGTGCTCCTCGCCTAGTACTTTTATCCTTGCCTCTAGTGTTTGTCGATCTATTATCTCTGCTTCTTTATGCTTGCCTTGCGCCAATAGCACTGATGCCAGATTGTTCCTGGTCGTCAACGTGTCAGGGTGCTCCTCGCCTAGTACTTTTATCCTTGCCTCTAGTGTCTGTCGATCCATCATCTCTGCTTCTTTATGCTTGCCTTGGTTTTGTAGTACCGATACCAGATTGCTCATAGTCATCAATGTGTCAAGGTGCTCCTCGCCTAGTACTTTTATCCTTGCCTCTAGTGTTTGTCGATTTATTGTCTCCGCTTCTTTATACTTGCCTTGCGCCAATAGCACTGATGCTAGATTGTTCATGATCGCCAATGTGTCAGGGTGTTCCTCGCCTAGTACTTTTGTGTTTGCCTCTAGTGCCTCTCGATTCATTCTTTCTGCTCTCCTGCTATTTCCTGTTGTATACTGAAACCACGCGGTATTGTTTAATATTAAAATCCAGTTCCGAATGTCGTCATTCCCGGTCGGGCATCTTTCAATTGCTCTTTGAATATGGGGCTCCAGCCTCCGGCATATCGCCCAGTTTTGAAAGGAACCAAATGGATATTCTGACGATAGAACCCTCAGGTATATGCATCGCCACCTTTCCTGATCATCGAAAGTCGACAGCCAAACTTGTGTACAGAGCTGTACAAGAGCATGCATTTCTAGCGTTTGTTGTTCCTCAGCTGTAGCTACTAGGGCATAGCCCATTAGCACATCGATATCGTCCTCGAGATCCTTATCCATGCTCTTCTTATAAAAGGCCTTTAAAATAAAATCTGGAATGCCTTGAGGATGGAAAAAGCTCATAAAGCAGAGCAACTCGGCAGCAGACTTCCGTTCGCGCCGAACTTGATCGAAAGTCATCTGCCATGTTGTTAGTACGGCTCTCGATGCGCTTTCGTCACGGCGTAGGTCTGGCGCCTCGAGAGCTAATAACCCAATCTTGGTCTCTTTGCTCTTCTGAAACTTTTTAAGGTAGGTTAAGATTGTCTCCGCACGACGAGTCCGTCTCTTGATAAAAGATGCAGCTTGAACAATCGCAAGCGGTAGATAGCCAAGGGCATTAATCAGATCAGCAGCTATACTGTCGTCATAAAGCTTTTCTCCAAGTCTCGCACGCAGAAGATCTTTGGACTGGTCAATTTCCATCACTAGTACCGAAAATAGTGAGTCCTCGCCGACGAGCATTTCTGCCGCCCTCTCGCTTCGCGAGGTCACCAGCAGACACCCTTGTCCTGTTTTCGGGACATAAGATGCAAGAGGTTGTTCGCTTGCAGATAGACTAGTGGGCTGGTACAAGATATCTCTATCGTCTGCATTATCGATAACCATTAGCCACGGCCCATTATCGTCATTTGTCAGCCAACGATGAACAAGCTGAAGTACGTTCTGTTGTGAGTCGTTCCGCCCGGGAAGATGGAGACGTTCGGCAATGTCCTGATACGATTCCTTAAAGCGCGCAAGTGAGCTAGCGTGGACCCAGAGCACCCATGTCGATGGATTGCGGCGTCGGACGTCGTGTGCATGCTGGATTGCGATCTGAGATTTCCTAACTTTGTTAGCTTTCGTCCCTGCTACCCGAAATGATCTTACCCCACGCCGCCCAAACCAACGAGAGCGGCCCGCTTGCCAACTCCCACCATGGTCGTCTCCAGCCATTCTGAGATATTGGGCCGTTTAATAAAGGTGGGATCGGGAGGGAAGGGAACCATGGAGAAAGGTTTGACAGTGCATGGTGGCATAGATGAAGTAAAGGTAATGTTGACAGCGCCGCCCGACACCTGCATGCCAGCAACGACATTGTGGCCGCTGATCGGACCCTCGATATTCATGGTGTTCATTGGTGCTGGATATACGTGAAAGACCAAGAGACCTGAGGCGCAGCTAATGCGAATCCTATTATGAATCTGCACCGTGGATCATGTGATTACTGGCGAATGAGGATAAATCGACGGCAGCCTGGCCCCCCTACATCATGGCATTGTAGCTCAACTCAACAGCCAATGCCACCGCAAGCTATTATATACGAAATTAAATCAAATTAAATTAAATCAAATCAAATCAACTATCAGCCGAAACACGATGCTTACCACGTATCACAAGCCGGAAACCCGCGATGACTTTGAAGTTGCCATTATTTGTGCACTTCCCCTTGAATATGATGCAGTATCATACACCTTCGACGAGTTTTGGGACGATGATGGAGACGATTATGGGCGTGTAGAGGGAGATCTCAACAACTACACAACTGGCCGCATTGGAAAATACAACGCTGTCCTAGCCTTGTTGCCACACATGGGCAAGGCGAATGCGGCTGGTGCAGCAGCAAGCATGCGTTCAAGCTATACACGTTTGAAGCTTGTTCTGCTCGTTGGAGTTTGTGGTGGCGTTCCATATGACGGACACAGCGAACTTTTCCTCGGGGATGTTGTTATCAGTCAAACAGTCCTGCAATACGATTTGGAACGCCAATACCTAGATAAATTGGTACTCAAGGATACTGTAGAGGATAATCTTGGCCGGCCTAACAAAGATGTACGGAATTTGGTGGCGATATTCCAGACGGATCGCGGCCGAGACAAGCTTAATGAGCGAACTTCCCAAATTCTCCAACAAATTCAGACTAAAGTTAGCGGTCGCCGCCAGCGGAAGTATGATTATCCAAGAAACACGAGAGACGAGGTCTTTGATTCGAATCACCGCCACAAGCATTATTCGTCAGATATTTGTGTCTGTCGAAAATGTTTAGCCTTGACAGACCCTGTATGTGACGCAGCACTGAGCCTGTCCTGTGCAGATTTGGGTTGCGTTTTAGGTGAGAGCTCTTGTTTAGCAAGAGTTCGCTTACAACCACTGGCCGACGCTCCTCCACAACCAGAGATTCATGTGGGCATGATTGCCTCTGGCGATTTAGTTCTGAAGTCAGCTATAGACAGAGATCGCCTACACAAAGAAACGGGAGCTATTGCTTTCGAGATGGAAGGTGCCGGTGTGTGGGATGAGACTTCTTGCATTATTATCAAAGGTTTATGTGATTACGCAGACAGTCACAAGCACAAAGGCTGGCAGAATTATGCCGCTGCGACGGCAGCATCGGCATCTAAAGCAGTGCTTGAACGTTACATCCGCACAGATAAGACTGATACAGCCAGCAAACAAGAGACCACAGGCGCAACGGGAGACATGGCTTCATCAATCGGAAGGACCGTGTTTCGGGGCCCAATATCTGGCCATAATGTTGTTGCAGGCCTTACAACCACTGGGGGAACTTCAAGGCTCGAATTCAAGTCGTAGTCAAACAAACTCCGTATTGCTTTTCTCACCACTCCCTGTAACTTACTAACTATAACCTTTTCGAGCAATTTCCGCTGGCTCTCGCTAGTCTTGGTGCCATAAGAAATAAAGGTGCAAGAAGCTAAGTTGACTTCTGTCGCACGGTCAGTAGAAGGACAGCTGTTGTGGCCCCTGGCCGAGAACGTCAACTTCAGTACAAATATACAGTGCGATTAAAATCGTTATTCGCACTAGATGGACACCAATCTTTACTAGCAATAGACAGGACAACAGGAAGCTACATATACACAGGATAATATTGCTTTAAGAAAGGAGACTTACCTTCTGTATCAAATATGTAAGGCATATTAGCCTAGGGCGAGAGAAGTCATGAAACAAAAGCTATGAGCCATCTTAAGAGCACACTCGTCCAAAAGTGGTCTTCAGTTTGGAGGAGGACACTGTCCTATTATAGAAGTTGGGCCGGGGCAGCGAGATACATGTACGGTGGGTGTCGCTAGCGGTACTTGTGACCACAGTGTGATCTGAGGTGTCTCGCCACAGTGGTCCATGCACAGGACAACTATAACTCTGTTCCTTGATCATTCATTTCTGCCTGCACAATATTTTCAACCCGACTAGTATTTTGGTTTATGGATACGCTGTGCTGTGCTGTGCTGTGCTGCATTGTGCGTTGCTTTGAATGCTTTGTTGGTAAAAGACAGGCGCTCTGCTGGGTCTGCTCAAAGCCAACGCAGCCATTCATAAAAACGTGTAACGCTTTTGTATTATTGTTTCTTCTTTAAAACCACCAGGCCAAGATCACAGCCTCATGTTCGTTCTTTCAGCGACTGTGCCCGAGCATTCGCTGCGCGGCAAAACACAACAATACACACAGTGCACCACCCCTTTCACAAGATTTAACAGTATTTTTTCTCGCGATATTGTTAGAATAGTATTTTCTAAAGTTATAAAAGACTATAAATTCCGCTTCCAAGTCTACCATTTCGATATCAACAACACCAACTACTCACCCACCTTTACAGCAAAGCAAAACTACCAAACAACCACCAACTACTATACCAGACTGTCAACATGTGCAAAGCTACTGCTATAACAGAGCAATGTTCCCAGTGCAACGAGAAGGTAATCGTCACACTTGTATCGCAACCCTATGACCAAAGCGAGTGCCGACCGGAAACCGACACACGCCACTGCCCCAACGGGTCTACGATCGTAGATGACGAAGGCAACAACCCCACCAACTGGAAACTGAAAGTTCTCGTCCAAACCAAATCCAACTATAACCAGTGTGGCCATTTGGGACATGTCCCCTTTAACCATGGCAAGGATCATTTGAATGCAGTCCGCCATTCTGCGTGGGCAGACGTCTGCAAATCCATCGGATGGGAATTGCGCACCTACCAAGCACCCGATGAGGTACGCCACTAGTCGGTAGCTAACAATACCTCGAGCTGAGAGCATGTGACTCGACGTCAACACCTCTGCCGTTTCTCTCTCAAGACGATGGCTGGTCCGGTAAGTGTGAGGGTTGCGTGATTGGAACTCTCGATTTACATAAATAGCAGAAATGCAAGAAAAATTGAAAAATTGAAAACAAAATAAAAAGATACGTGTCTGTGTGATTTTGACAATACTACGGTGAGTCAACTACCATTCTTGTAACTAAAACAGCTTGCGGCTCAACCAGTCACGTTGGGGTTCGGTTCCCATTGGTAACCAGCCCATTGGGACTTGGCACCCTCTCCCCTGCTCATATTCCCAGGGATTACCTATCGTCATCATCCTCTGCCTGCCTACAAATATGCCTCAGCGATTATGTAGCCTCGATTGTGGCCGTGACATCCCCGAGGGCGGGTAGGCAGGCACAACCACCAATTAGCCACGGCGTGTGATAAGCCCTATGATGCTGCAAATAGCAAGGAAATAACTGGTTCTCCTGCCCAGACGATTCACCGAACTAAGCAATTGTCAGATGGTTACTTACCCACCCAGAAAACCTCATAACCGTCGAGCAAAAAACGCCCTGGTGGACTATGACGTAGTATCACCACGGAAGCGCTACCGAACTGACTAGCCAGCGTCTCCACGGCCAGCCTTGCGCCAGGATCAGCAGAGGCTGTGTTAGGCTAACGCCTCCGGTAGCTAACTTAATGTCGCCCAGTAAAAGCATGTTTACCGGGTAGTAGCCCCGCCATATTTCCATCGTCCCCAGTAGGCTTACCGAGATGTTAACTTCTCAAGGTATTCCATAGCCCCGCTGGTAAACGAGGCAGACTCTTCCTCCATGAGTCATTCAGACGAATGCTAACGATTAGGTTGAATGTTGGCGCCGATGGTAGTGATGCCGTTGAACCCTAAAAAATAGTATATAGTCCACGGTATCCCCTACTGTTTCCAACCAGATATCTCCCCATCAAACCAAAACCACTACTACTACTACCAAAGTCTCCTCCACAATGCAGTTCACCAAGCTCGCCGCCATTGTGCTCCCCTTTCTCAGCCAAGTTGCTGCCCTGGATCCCCTCCCTGCCAACCCTCTTGTGGCTGGCGCGATTGTCCCTACTCCCGCACCTCAAAATGTCCACGTTGTGCGCCGTGATACCGAGTCGTGCGCGACCTCCCGCATGAACGAGCTTTCCATGCTCGACCCTCCCACTCCACCAGCCGCATTGCACGGGGTTCGACCTACACTAAGCTGCACTATCACGGCCCCGGCCAGTATGTCATCGGAGATGGTATCGTACGCCGTCGCCGCCGAATCCTATCTTTCCAACATGTTTGCCGCGGCCGATAAGCATCCCAACCCTGCCCATTGTGGAGGCGAGGTCAACATGACCGTCTCTGCGGTTTACTGCTCGGAGCCATCCATCACTCTCCAATTCACTGGCACCAGAGCCAATATGACCGCTACTAGCACCGTTATCGCAAACTATGCCAAGATTACCAACATTCGCCTGTCGGCTGGTGTGGCCAAGGCTGTCAGCCACGGCCTCCTCGCTGGCGCTGTTGGCGCCGCTGCGTTTATGGTTCTTTAAATGGATGGAATGACGAGATGTATCATTAGCTTATGAAATAGATTATACCCCCATAGGAAGTTGTTTACAAAATAATGATAAAATCATTTAGTCTGCCCCTGATTGCTTCACCATATTAACCATAAGCAAAGCGCGCGCTTGGCTGCCCACAGCTACCGTGTTGCCACCGCTGCAAACCATTCTGGTAAATACCTTGCAACGCCTTCGCCGTCCTGACAAACCAATTGCACAAATTCTTGACCCTGTACAGAAAATGGGCTGATCGGCGATTGCCCAAAGGAGCGTCACAGCAAGCTATGGCGGGACCCGCTCGCAAACGCAGCCTATCACAACGACGGCTGTCGGGCTTCGAGGCTGTCTTCTAGAGCGAGATTGCACGGCTTTGACTGTCAGCTCGGCCACATATCAGGGGCCAATTTCATCTAAGCGCTATTCCTTGTACGCGACTTAAGCAGAGTTGGCCTCGTTGGTGGTGGAATAAGGTCAATGAGGTCGAACCACTGCGAGTAGCAAACTTGTGTAGTCTTGTCGTCGAAAGAGAATCCTGTTTCAGCAAATGATGAGAATATTCCGGCAAATAAAACACTACGCTACTACAATGCAAAACATACTGGAGATCCTGGGGGTGGTAACCGGTAGCGGTACGGGAGCGGTACCCCTAGCGTCTAAGCACAGCCGGGGGGCCGATCAACGAGGCCAGCACCTAAGAATAGCTCGCGCGATCAAAGCGCATCGATTCGCAGTGTGCCTGAAATGAAGGATATTGTTTCGTTTATATCCATCTACTCGAGACAATTTATTATAAATATGGTCAAAAATCCCCCTCAACGTATCCTGTTCTTCATCCTCCTCCTCTTCGCTTTGCCTCCATCAACAACACCCTTCTCCTCCTCTTATTATACCACCACCTCTTCTCCCCTCTTATAATAGCCACTGCTACTACCTTCACCATGCAAACCACCTCCTTTGCCGTTGTTGCTCTTGCAGCCTTCCAGCAAGCTTCTGCCGAGCTGGTCCCCGCGGAAGCCGTCCGCGCCGTTGGTCCACAAGTCACCCCCGTCCACGTCTACCGCCGCGACGAAGCCTCGTGCCTCGACAAGGCCAAGAGCAAGATTGATTTCCCCCCTCCTCCCAGCGCCATTGCCAACTTGCCCACGGCTAGCAATGCGGACGCTTGCAAGGAGACCTTCCCCGCCAGTCTGTCGTCCGAGGTCATGGATTATGCAGGCAAGCTGTCTTCCTGGGCAGAGAAGATGAAGACTTTTGTCAAGCAAGAGCCTGCGCACTGCGGCAGATCTAGCGCCGTCGAATTTTCTTCATGCACGCTGCCGTCCATCACATATGTCTGGTCCGGCGCCGCTGCTACCGCGAATGCCTCGAGTCTCATCAACAGCCCTCCTTTCCCGAGCAAGATTGTGATTTCTGACAGTCAATCGTCTGCGGCAACTTCGAGCGCTGTCAGCAATTCACTGTTGATTGGCGCTGCTGCTGCTGCGATTGCGGCCTTCGTTGCTGTCTAACGGCCTTTCCTCCTCCAACCGGCGTGGCTGTGCTATAGAATAGATTATACCAAGAGGGGCTGTGGGGAGTGCAGTCAATTTAGTTTATTACGTTGAATTTATATTTCTCTTCTACAGACGTTGCTCTCACTCAGACTTGGGTACTTTTTCCGTGAACCTCTCTCTAAAGAAAAGCAAGAACAAAAAACAATTTTGTCTTTCGTTTTTGAAACAGACCCTGACCGACCTCAGCTCAGCCTCAGCCCTGCCAGGTGCCTTCCGGCGCTTTCCTAATCGGGCAATGCGCCCTGCCAGCTGGCGGCCGACCACCGGGCGCAGTGACTGGCTTGGCGGCGGCGGTCATCACCGATTATCATGCGATTATGCGTTCAGTTGCCGCGATTGGTGCTTGGTAAAACTTTTTGGCAGCAATGTCCCTCCAATTTGTTCTTCTCACAGCCAGCAACCGGCTTCTTCTTTTTGTCTTTTTTAGCGTCAATTGTAAAGATCCCACCTTAGAGTCAAAGCGTCATCCCCCTGCACGGCCCCAAACTTAAAGAAGCATAGTTTGCTTTCTAGCAGGGCGCCTAACGCAAGCATCATTTCACTATGATTGGACTCGTAACACGAAACAAGGCTCTGGCCCCAGATCGTATAAATCAAAGCCACGAAGTTACTGGGGGCACCTGAATCGTGCAGGCCGCCTATAAAGACTTTGCTTATTCCCATCCTCTCAGGAGCAGAGCCTTCTCCCCAATCCATCCCACAGTGTATCCCTTCAATCTGGCACACAGCTCTTCTTCTTCTTTCTTTTTGCCCACTATGCAGTTCTCTACTACCACTCTCGCTGCCATCGCCCTCCAGCAGGTCGCTGCCAATGCCGCCACCCCGGGCGAACGTGCACCTGCTCTGGCCGCCCCCCTTGCCCTTATCGCAGCTACACCAGCTCCGACTGCGACTGTTGCTGCCAACGTCCATGATATCCAGCGCCGCGACGCTGTCGCTTGTCTCACCAGCGCCCTCCTCGCTCTCAATGTCCCGACTCCTGCGCCACGCCTGCAGAGCTATGTTTTTGGGGCCATCACCGATATTAACACTGCCTCTATTAACGACGTCTGTGTTGCGCAGGTGCCCGCGAGCCTGTCCTCCGACTTCATGGACTTTGCCAGCAAGGCGAATGCTTTTTATAGCAGCCTGAGCTCGCGCGAGCCAGCTCATTGTGGCACTTCGGTTGACGTCCCTCTACCGAAGGTCCTTTGCACCTCCGAGTCTGCGACTTACATCTTCACATCTGATGGCGCTGCTGTGACCACTGAGGTTATCAAGAACGGCCCTCTTCCTACCAAGATTGTCATTTCCGACGCCAAAGGCGCTGCCTCGGCCCGCACTTACAGTGCTGGTATGCTTACTGGTGCTGTTGCTGTTGCTCTCGGCTCGATGATGCTGTAAACAGTAGACAGGAGGTGGAATCTGGGATAATGTATACCTTATGAACATACGACTACTTGATATTAAATACCAATTTCAACTTATAACCCCTTACTGTACTCATATCTTCTCTGCCCATTGTGCCGCATCTATAAACCTTTAATATGTGCCGACTCTTTTCTACCTTGAACATCTCCTCTCAGCAATATCAACAGCCAACCACCAGCAAACCGACAACGACAAAACTTTCCATACATGTACCTGCAAAAATGCGATTCACGCCCGTCCAACCAGCATCCGCCTACGCCTGCATCTCTGTTTCATCGTACATACCATCTACGCATTCTGATTCGCCAACACAACGCCACGCTAATGCAGCCCACCCGTAAGTCAACTAAGTTACTGCCACTGAAAATCCTTCTCCCACAGCGCCACGGTCCGCTAAAAACGGGCGGCCTCAGCTGGCCCCATCCCTACCGTTCCAGGGGTTCGTGCCTTGTTTTCCTACTGCTGCGTGACCTCTTTGTTCCATCTCATGTGTTTTTTCTGTTCTCTTTGTTCTTAGAGCATGTGTTCTTTGGCTGGCTCGTGATCGCGGGTCTCTTCTCTCCCCTCTCTCTATCCCCCAGCTGGCCTCTGTTGCTCTTTGTTTGTGCCTTTTTTATTTTCATTTTCACGATTCTCACGTACTGTACTCGCATCGACCTTCACGCGACCTGTCAAGTCACAGCCCTGTTCTGCTGCCCCTCATCCGAAACGACATCCCATGACCTAAAAACTAGCCGACACCGCTCCGTCCCCGACGCAAACAAATCTCGACAAATCTACCCGAAATCTCAAACACTCTTCAAAGACAGAACACAAATTCCCGAGGGCCAAAAAATCCCAGATGGTCTCTCAGCCGGAGCCGCACGCTCGCCGTCGCGGCCCTTCGTCCGCCATCATCCCCCGCTACTCATCCGGCTCATCGTCCCGTGAAAAACGATACAATCGCTCGCATGCCGGCGGCACATCATCGCATGTCTTGAGGAATGAGTTTCCGATATTCACGCAGAGCGGCGATGTCGACATAGTCATCCGCGCAGGGCCGCTCGAAAAGACATACCTCCTCCATAAACACACGCTCACGCGATGCAGCGGCTTCTTCGAGGCCAGCACCTCGGACGAGTGGTCGCGGGCGACTACTGTAAATCCTACTGCTGCTACTTCTACGACAAAATCAAAGCCAGACGCAGCGCAGACACCAAAGCGTCTGGCGGCTGGCAATGAGCTAACACGGGTGGGCAACGCATCAACAACAGACATCGCCACATCCCAGCCAACAGCTCCCCCAACTCCTCCTCTCTCTGCGACATTCCAACCCAAACGCTGGCGATACGAACTCGACTGGGGCTCCTCCGAGGATGACATCCCCATGCTTGTCCAGAAAGAGGCCCAGTCGACCCCGGCACCTCTACATTCGTCCATCTTCGGCAACGTCCCGCCCATATCACGAACCATGCAGCGCGCCCACACTCACTCCGTCTCTCTCGACAATTCTTCCTCTGCCCGCCGCTCCTCCTTCTCCCGCTCCGTCGCCAATCTCTCTCTCCACCACGCCGCCACCACCGGCCCTACCGCCGTCGTTGCAGCCCCCGAGGAACAGGACATCCTCCGCGACTACGACAACCTCTTCCGCATCTTCTACAACTACCCGCCCCTACTAGACGGCATCAACGTCGCCGACGCCTATGTCCAGTGCAAGCGCCTCCTCTCGCTAGCCGATCAGTACGACGCCCTTGCTGTAGTTGGCCCTCGCGTCGACCACCACCTGCTGCAGTTCCAAGCCCGCCTGTGGAAGCAAGTCGCAAAGTACCCCGTATCCTACCTCCGTCTTGGATATCTCGCTCGGTCCAAGGTCATTTTCCAAGAAGCCCTCGTCCATGTCGTGGGTCAGTGGCCGTCGGGCGAACGTAGTCTTCGCGCGTCTCTTCCCAGCGCCGTGCTCGATCTGATAGAAGACAAGGTCGACGAACTCGAAGAAACAGTATCCCGCGTCGAAGGCCGTCTTTTCCGCATCACACTGCTAACATCACGCGGCGAGCGAGTCACCCCGCAGACAAGCTACCTCGACTGGCTTGTCCTGAGCCTCTTCCGGCAATGGCTCGCCGACAACACCACGCCGCAGCCCAACCCGTCCTCAAACCGCACCCGCTCCGCCCTGCCGTCCTCGGTTCCGCCCATGTCTGCAGCTGGCCGGGCGTACCGGACAATTGCGAGCCGGCCTTCGTCTGCATATCTAAATCATGCTGTCTGCAAGGACTTCCTGAAGCTCACACCCGATCTGTATAGTCGCGATAATCTGCGCCGCTTTGAGAAGCGGCTGGAGGAAGTCAAGTCTATGGCTCGTGAAATCGTAGCCCCCGTTATGGGAAGCAGCCTAGAGCTGGATATCCTCAGCGGTGGAAGTAGCAGAGACTCGGGCAAGCCGTCAGATGGCATTGGATACCTGACTTGCACGGCCATTCGCGATGCAGATCTACCTTGGTCGCTGGACGACTAAGAAACATTACCAAAATATTTTAACCCTTTTTTGTTTATTTCCCTTTTACTTTGTTATAATTGCATCTCGCAGCCCCGTGGATCTGGGCCGCATACATATACCAATATGCATTTTATGTGGAAAATGGCGATACCCGAAAGTTTGGTTCTTTGTATTACAGTTTGACGAGCATATTGGATTTAAATACTATCAACTTCGCTATCAATGAAGAACAGAAAATACATTATAAGGAAATTACCTTTTTTTCAACTGCTAATGAAAAGAATAGATCAACGTCTCGGTTTCGTTTACTCGGAGCCAATAAGAACGTCGACATCGCCAGACAGGCTGCCAATCTTGGTGACGGAGTTGCCGGTACCCTTGGTTGCTCGCAGCTCCTTGCCGACGAATCCTCCCTTTCTCGTAACGCTAACTCCCTTGCCACGAACGCGTAGATTCGACGACATGCCTTCGGCAGTCAGGACACCTTCCCATGAACCAGGGAAGCGTAGCTGCATGTTGCCACTAATGGTGTTATGGACTGTTCTGAAATTGGTGAGACCCTTGAGAGTCTTGTCATCACTAGCATCAGTAACGACATCAACTACCTCTTGTTTGTTGGCCTTTGCCTTTGGCAGGCCGCTGATGATGGGTTCAGCAATCTCAAGTCTAATATCACCACTCTTGCTCTCTGTGTCAAGCCTCGGTCGAGACGACTCTGTAGTCCACTTCTTGTCGAGAACAGGTACAACGCGGGCAGACATGTCACCAGATATCGTCTCCAATGTGGTGCTGCTACCAATAAAGATGTTTGGTCTGATTTCTCCCGAGGCAGAATGCAGGCGCACAACGTAATCACGAAGAGGCACCTTACCCTGACCAGCCTCGTCGAATCCCTCTTCCTTGACATAAATATCGCCTGAAACGGTCTCAATAGTGAGCTTAGCAGACTCAACGTGGTCCTTGCTAGCTTCCTTGGGCGAAACATCCAAACGAACGTCGCCAGAGGCCGTCTCGACCTGCAGGAGATCGTAGAGAGGGAACCAGCCTCTGACGTCGCCGCTGACAGTGCTGATCTGGATCTTGCGGGAAGCGATTTCGTGGGGGTTTGTGTTCTTCTCCTTGCTGGAGGTTGTAACGTCACCGGAGACAGTTTCCACCGTAGCGAAATCTCCCAAGCCAAGCACCAATCCATCCGCAAAGGTAACGTCGAGCTGCACAGACGAAAGATGCAGTTGTCTCAAGACGGACTCATTGGGAACATAAACAGTGATGTGGACCTGGATGCATGGTCCGTTATTGCTGTCCGACCAAGTTACCCAGCGCGGCGTAATGACTTTGAGTTCCTGGTCTCCACCGTTGTTATAGAATGAAACATCCGAGCCAAATACGTTTTCGTTGGAAAACATGGCAACCTCCACTCTGGCACTCCCATCCTTTCCAGCAGGTCGGACAACAATCTCACCAGAGACACGCGGGTTGGGACCGATTTGGCGTCCGTGGTTGCGCTCAATTTCCTGGCCAATGTGAATGGTCTTGTCAAGATCAAAGTCAAGGTCCCATCCAAACACACGCGCGCTGGGCTTGGTGTTGAGGCAGCCGTTGGTAGGGCTCCATTCAAAGTCGGGATTATCCATTGGTGGAGGCTTAACAGGGTCGTTGCCAAATGCAGGAGGAGCTCGTCTCTGTAGCGGAGGTTAGTTTGTCAAAAGAAATATACAGCTCAAGTGAGTGTAGACATACCTTTGAGCCCCAATCAACGTTGACGCCGGTCAGAGCTAGAATGATGGATACGATGACCAAGATGCCGAGCACAGTCTTGATAAACTTTCTAAGCTTGGATGATTTACCACGTTCTTGCAGGCGCATCCACAAGGGGGGCTTGTATCCTTCAGGTGGTTGGCCAGGGTATTGAGTGTTGTTTGGGAGGAAGGGTTGCTCTTCAGGGTTGCCCATTGTTGATACTGTGTTGGAGGGCGGGAAGGTCTGATAACTAGTAGGAGCAGTAGTCGGTGACGTTGGGGTATACGCAGGAGGTGCGTCAGCGTCGTGCTGCAAGAGCGGACGTCTGTCTCCAACAGGGAGCTGTGGGTAGAGGGAGGCGGAGTGCGCTGCGTCTTGTTCAACGCTGCGACGATGATGGTAGTTTTGGGCAGACTCTGAAGGGCCGGCTAGCGGGAATGGGAGAGTGGACGGTATAGAGGAGGATTGCGGTGGGGGAGAAGAAGTCGTGGATGGTTGCGTGTGCCCTTGGGCCGTATTTAACATGCGTTCTCGCTCCGCTTCTTGCGCCTTGTCTTGTGCAACAGAGGCTTGCTGCTGCTGCAGGGTCGGATCCTGTACGAGGACGTTGGGGACAAACGGCACGTTGGAGCTTGTGCGGGGAGACACTGGGGAAGCTAATGCATCGCCAAATGCCGAGGACGCGCGGAAGTATCCATCGGCCGGCGACAGGGCATCGTCAGCTCCTGCGTCGCTTCTGTTTTCCTCTGCCTCAGAGTAGAGATTATCTGAGTAAGGGGCCGGCATGACGAAAAGTCAGCGCCAATGGGCGGCTTGCGTACTGTGTGTCTTTGGTTGCGTATGAAACCGAAGCCGAGAGGAACAAAAAAAGTAAAAGCCGAGAAGTAGGGTGTCACGAATGCGGCTGCTAGGAGTGTCGCATATAGGACGCTTCAGTAGCTCTACGCAGCGCCAAGTTGAGAGACAAAGAAATTAAAGGCTCTGATGGGGAAAATGACGCGGCTCCGAATGATGCAGGAGAGAAAAATTGATAATTCGGAGAGAAAGAGGCGTGAGGCTCGGGGTTGAAAAGGTGGGCATTTGCGTAATGACTGACGCCAGCGCTAGTGTTGAATGGGGAGGTCCCCAGAGAGGGTTGGTGGGGCGTCTGCAGGAAGTCGTCCACTTCAGCCTCGCTTGTGCTCCAGACGTTGTTGTGCATGAGAATTGTTTTTATTTTACTACAATGTGATCGGTTGTGGTGGAGAGGTGAGGTTGTGGGATGTTTGGTGATGACTAGGAGAAAGAGCGAAATATTTGTCCGCCTAAATTTGGAGGCAACGAGAATCGTGCCAGCTGGTCGTCAAGTGTCTGCCAACTGCTCGCCAGGTGCACGCTGGCTGGTGGGTGACTCTTATTTTTTTCGCTGATCAAAATTAGCGTGCAGCTGGTACGCGCGGCTGCCCCGCACTTTGCACCCGTTCGGCGGTCTAGTGTGTATACGCCAGAGAATGGTTGACGACAGCAAGCTTTTTGGTGGCGGGAGATGCAATTACCAATCATGTCGATCATTTCATCGCGTGGGCTGTGTGTATTTTGAAAACAAAAAAATTCGGCTCATCTAGAAATAGGCTTTCGATCCGGCGGAGAGCAGCACCCCCATATAAGAGCGTTGTGCCGTGCAAAGGCATTCATTCCCTTTGTTCAAAATATACTCGACGGAGAAGTTTTCTTATATTTTATGGTAAATGAATACATATTCTGTACCCCGTAGCAATTACTTAATAGCCGCACAACGGTTTTCAGGTATATAGATCTGTCTTATATATACACAGTACAGGTACGATATGCAACTTGTAAATATTGATGGATATATACATGTAGAACGTCACCCTTCACATATACTTCGCTACAAACACCTAATTCCACTTGATTCGCACAAGAGGTGTCGTGTACTGGTCCTCGTCGTGCTTCGTATAGGTGATAAAGATCTCGTTCCCATCCGCAATACCCAGTCCGCTCAACCCAGGATGTGCCTGCAGCGAATACGCAGCCAGCGGAGCTGAGCCATCATGGCCCTGATAAAAGAAAACCGGCTTCTCCCAAGGGCCCTCAATCTTGTCTGCCGTTGTCACCATAAAGTACGACGACACGCTAATGCCTGGCTGGCCAATCCACACCCACTTGTTCCAGTGGTACGAAAAGTAGTAAGTCCCCTGGCCACCAGCACTGACATTGGGAATATCGCAGTTGTCGTTGATCCCTGGCCGCTTATTCGTCCAACTGCCATTGACCCAATACTGGTACTTGGAATGGTCCTCGACGCTCGCAGCCGGCACCTTCGCCAGACACACCTTTTTGTTGTCTGGCTGGCCAAAGAGATAGGCAACTCCATCCTTGACGACGCTGCCATATGCCCCAAAAGGAATACTGCCCTGCGGCCAAAAGTGTTCGTCAATGAGTTTCTGAGGAGGCACCATGTTGCGATCATGTGAGTTGACATCGTATACAAAGCGGTACAAGCTCGTCGCTGGGTCTTTATCCACCGTTTCAAGACCACGGATATGCGACTTGCGAATCCATGTATAGGCTGTCGTGATATTACCATTAACAGAGGTGACTACAGGCGGTGAGTCGCTCCAGATGGCATACCGCGTGCCGTCAGGACATCCGCCGGCCGAGTTCTCGGGGCACTCATCGGCCGCGTAGGGAAAGTAGGGCTGGCGGCTGGAGGTGGCATACATGCTGGTTTCCGGAGTGTTTAGGAAGCCAAAATTGGTCCATGCTGCTGATGATGCCCAGACAGGTAGAATTGGCTTGCCGTTGACATCATTGGGCTGTGTATCGCGGCACGACCATAGCACTCGGTCTCCTACACGTGTAGAGCCGCAAGAGTCTCGGTTGAGATGAGGATCAATAACGTTGCCCATTTCTTCAATAGACTTGACTGTGGGATACCAGCCGCGTGGGGTGATGTTGGCTTGTGCAGACACGAGAAGAAGAAATGCTGGCATAATAGCCAGTCGGCGAAGAATAGGCGCCATTATGAGTGACAGAACGATGGTGGCTGAGAAGAATCTTGGATAAAATGGCGGTTGGCTTTACAAAATTCGGTGCAATGTACTCATTTTATATTTACAATAGTCGGCTAACAGGGTCGTTCAATAAGTCTCCGGTGTCAGCTACGACATCACTAACCGATCGGGCCGATATTGAACAAGCTTTGTATCCAAAATACATGGAACGGCGACTTTATTTTACTTCGCCGTATTAAACTACGCCTACATTGTATTAGCACAAAGATGGGCTTGTCCTTGCATCTGCACACGCTCAGCGCACAGCACTTTGATTAGGATATGTATCCATTTCTTTTCTACACCACTCTCTGGCGTGACCCAAACACATGAATAATGCATTTCCCAATATGCAATTTTTCACTACATCCATCAATCTCTGTAACAGGCCTTCATAATGGAACTTCTCGTGGCGAATAAAGTGAAGGTCCCAGTCCTCACCGCGAGACTAACTTGTACAGTCGTATATTAGTACCACATCTGTAAATTGTACAAATAGATTTCATAAATATTAAATTGATTTATAGTGGGCTCAGTGGTGTTATGTTTGAATTTGAAATTTACACGATGTACCGGATTGGCGCTAATGTGCCACGATCAACTAGCCACCGCCTAGGCGACGCCCACCGTGTGTAAAGCTTCCTAAACACTACCATACGGGATGTAGAAGTCATAAAACAACAGGCTATTGCATCGCCAAGCACACATATTGCACCAAATATAAACCTACTGCCAATCAATATGAGCGAATTCCATCTCTTCCCAAGGCTACCATCCGAACTGCGCCAGCTCATATGGGCAGTCTGCGTCGCCAATAAACTTCGCATTGTCGACCTCAACGCCGACTTTAGCGACAGACACGTGAAACCAGGCCCCAACGACTACAGCATAGACAAGAACAACTCGTTCTTGCTCGACCCCGGAGAGCACGGCTTCAAGAACTTCAAAGCGACGCTCATAGCCCGCGACGATCCCGCGCACGCCTGCCGCGAGGCCTACCAGACACGCCAGCTCCTCTTCCACAACATTTCAAACGTATCCAACATTGGGTCATGGTTCCCATTCAGTACGGGCACTCTCCAGTGCAGCGCTTCTGTCCTTATCTGGTTCTCGCAGAAGCCGTGGTTCGCTAAAATCAGACACTTTGTCGCAGAGTACAGCGTGGACAGGTCCTACAACTTTCGCAACTACGGCCTTGACTATATGCGGATCACCACCGAGGAGCTGTTTACTCAGTTGCCGAATCTGGAGACAATCACATTTCAGATGACATTTGGCTTGATGTATGCCGACATCCGCCGCGGCTCGTCTCATAAGCACTGGCTGACGCTCTGGTTCGTCATGTTTGAAGACTGGTATAACCCGCCCGAGGGAGTCGCCAAGGCCACGTTCCGAGCAGAGGTGAAATGTGTCTACCATGCTCCGAAAGAGGAGTGGCTGACACCGGAAAATTATACGCAAGTCCGCGAGGCGATGCAGCGGCAGTGGGAGGAGCTGTCCGAGGCCGACAAGGAGAAACACATGGAGCCCAAGACAACCGCCAGATCATAGCTTCTCCAAAGCGGCCATTGAGCCTTCGCTGTAAAATTACAGAGGACTATTTAGAATATATTGTGTATATGTCTTCATTTGTCTATATACACGCATCTTTGTCTAGCGCTCTTGGTTTAAACCCGCATCTATATGGAATTCTGCTGATTGGTGTAGTCCTGGCTACCTGTCCTCCTCGGACCAGACCACTCCCAACGCTAATATCTCTCTCTCTCTCTTTCCTAAATTGGGCCAATGCATGTGATAATAAAACTAAATAAAAAAAAGCGGTGTGAAGGTAAATGACTCCAGATGTCTGTCGTTATGGAGAGGACTTATATGAATAGGTATGCATGGCTGGACAAATAAAAGAAAATAGGTTTGCGTGTGCAAAGTTTAGTGCAGACCAAGGAATTTCTTGGAATTCTCATACACAACCCAGGTGATGCTCAGCGCCGGCGCCACCTTGAGCATGTTGGGCGTCAGACCCTTGTAGAGACCGCGAATGCCTTCCTTGGCAATCGTCTTGGTTGTAACGTCCCAGATGCCGGTATATCGAGCGCTGTGCATGGCGGTTCCTTGTGCCTGCAGACGCGTGCGCACCACATTGAGCGGATAGACGACAGTAGCACCAAAAGCGCCAGATGTAGCGCCAATGATGCCCGTGGCGACGTTGCTCACATCAATATCGTCCTCATGACAGCCTGCCTTCTTGGCATAGTAGCCCTTGTAGGTCGTCTTGAGCAGCTCAAACGTGCCCATGTCGATGGCGCTGTACGGGAACATGCCAATCAGGCCCATGGTAACACCACGGTACCAGACGCGAAGTCCACCCTCAGCAACCATCTTGGATGCTGTCTGGCGAACGAGCGCTGCACCAGTAAGGCCGCCCTCGACGGTCTCGCACTGGAGTCGGAATTTGAGTGTGTCGAGCGGGTATACGCAGAATCTGAAACTATGCGTCAGCAGGCGACAAGTCACGAGACCTAGACGAAACAACTTACTGAGCAATCATGCCTGCAAGGCCACCGGCGGTAAACTTGGAATACGAATGAAGCTGCGATGGGTCGCCGTGGCCTTCAAAGTTGGCCAGCGCTCGCTTCGCGGCTTCGTAGGATCCAAACTTGATGGCTGTCTCTGGCATGATCTTGATAACGTTCAAGCCGTTGCCGGCAAAGAAGCCGCGAAGCCCGCCCTTCATGTACAAGTCGGTGACGGCGTCGCTAAAGGGCCGGATGCCATTCTTGAGAGCAGCGATCGGCCGTCCTTGCTTCAGAGCGCCAATGGCGGTCTCCTGCCCAACTGTGGTTTTCACAAGAAGGTAGACTTTTAATCGGTCGAGAGGTGCTGTTGCTGTCCTTGATACACCACCGGCAATGGCACCCGCAAGGAAGTAGCCTGGATCAGGAGCAAAGTCTGTTAGTCTAAACTTTTTCGGTTGCGTGGACTCGGCGTATTCCTCATAGAAGGCGTCCTCGTCCTCGTCTTGGATGCCATTGCCAGTAGCAGCGTTTGCATACGCCGACAGAGGCTTGCCATGATCCGGCCTTGCCGGGTCTTGGTCCGCAGCAAAACTTCCAGCCAGAGGTCCAGCCTCTGACACTCTGCTGGTATTATGTTTTGAAGAAGAAGTAGTAGTAGTAGTATGTGATGATGATGATGATTTCACGGCCGCCCCCGACCTTGTCTCTCCTCCATTGGCAGCAACCTCGCCAGGCAAGGTCGGGGACGGCGGTGTTGAAGATGATGATGATGGCTGTGATGATGATATTGATGAGGAGGGAGAGGAGGACGAGGATGCCGTCGTCTGTGATTGTGATGATGGTCTAGGGCGCGGCGGCATCGGGGAGACGACTCTGTAAAAAGAGCCAAACAGACTGTTAACAAGAGAGCTGGAAGAGCTTTCCGTACCTAAGCCTTCCAGGGTTTCATCGCTCACGGACGAGTCTCCTTCGGGGGAGACGTTGACCACGGCATTATAATAAGAGAGGACGGCGCGGAGTTTCGATTCGTCGAGGTGTGCGGGCATAAAGAGGAGGAAGTTTCTGTATCCGGTGCATGTTAGCAGCTGTCCATTTTGTCAATTTGGCCATCCACTTCTGGAAAATCCATTCCCTAGACTCAGCAAGCACGTCGACTGTTTGGTTTGGGGATCGCCGGCTTCCGTCGGGTAGGGCGCCACATGACGCTAGCTCATCTGACTCGACCGTCCCATCAACCTGCCATGATATCAAAAAATAAAAAGCAACTGACCTCCACTCTTTGAAGCTGATGAATCCATCGTGATTGTCATCCATGTCTTGGAAGAAGTGATTAAGCTTCTGGTTGGACACGGTCAGGCCAGCGCTCCTAAAGGCGGCCTGGAGCTCGTTGAGATCGAGCTGTCCGTTGCCGTCCTTGTCGATGGCTCTGAAGAGATGTTCGAGCTGTCGTTCCGCCTTTTCGACCCATGATTGGAATTCTAAAACCAGTTAGATGCCTTCTATCGTCTGTTCCGATGCATCCGGCCATGTGCATACCGTCGTATTGGATTTTGCCGTCGTGGTTGCGGTCCACCTCGCTCATGATCTTTTTGAGCAGACTATCGGCGTTTTTGAGAGCTGTAGAGCATCAAAAAAATTAACATCAGTAGACAATTCAGACCCTCCATCACTATTCCGCTGCTTACGGTGGTCAATCTTTTGGAATCCCTTTTGTAAAGCTTTTTCGTCGAGCTCGTTGGCGCCAGACGGGCACAGACGGTCCCAGAGCAGTTTGATGCGAGCATCGCGGTGACTCTGCGATTCGTCGAGACCGTCCGCCGCCTCAGCGCCCTCCTTCGACACGCTCATATCTACTAGAGCATGTCTTGCGCGCAATCGGTGTGCGCGCAAGGACGGGAAATGGGCGATGGGGGAGACTCGGTCGGTCGGAAGACTCCAGGAGCTAAAAGCAGCTAAACGCAGCGGGGGTTAGCTCGGAGTCGACGCGTGCAATGGCCGTTCAGCGTGGTTATTGGCCTAGCATCGTATTCAATCGGATGAAATATCGATCAAGTCGAGCTCGCTCTGTGGTGAATTGAGAGCGGCGATGTCGTCTATGGTGTTTTCGAGGGGGGCAAAGAAGAGGAGGAAGAAGAAGCGGAGTAAAATTTACGAATGACGCCAGCAAACGAAAAAGGAAGCATCTTTTTTGGCAGTGGCCCGAGGTCAGCCGCTACAGCCAGCGTACGGTTGGCTGCGTTTAGGCTTTTTGGGGGGCGAACGGCCTTCTGTGGTTTAGCGCCTGTGGGTAACCTGTTGTGGTGCATCTCGTGCCCTGTAGCCCGCCCTGTCAGCAGCCAGTGCAGCCAGTGCAGCCAAAGCTGGGGGAGATTGCCCCGCAGAAATCCATTCCCGCCCTTTCTCCAACTCGGGCTTCACTTTCGACATCATCGCCATCACGCACGCACGCACACACGCTGCTGTCGCTCCCTCGCCCGCTTGCTTGCTTGCATTGGCACTACCCCTATCCGCCTCAGACCACAGAGACATGAGCATTGGCCAATAGCGCCGCTGTGCTGTGCTCTGCTAGTCAAATAGCAGGTCGACACCATGTCGGCCAACTACTGGGAGTCGACCCAGCGCAAGCACTGGCTCTTCACCAAGGAGCAGCTGGGCTCGATGCGCCAGAAGCTCGAAGACGACAATGCTGAGCTCGTCCGCATGTTTCCTCTGCCCCAGCCACGGCACCTGGCCATCTACTTTAACCAACGTGCGTATCGAGCTGGCCTTGCCGCCGTCATTGGCTAACCTTTGCTCTACAGAACTCCTCCGGCTAGGAAAACGATTAACGATTCGGCAGCAGGCCATGGCCACAGCCCAGGTCTACCTTAAACGATTCTTCTCGCGCATCGAGATCCGCCGGACGAACCCATACCTGGTCATCACGACCGCCATATACCTCGCGTGCAAGATGGAAGAGTCGCCGCAGCACATCCGCCTCATCGTCACGGAAGCCCGGCAGCTGTGGCAAGATTTCATCGGGCTCGACACGTCCAAGATTGGCGAATGCGAGTTCTTCTTGATCAGCGAGATGAGCTCGCAGCTGATTGTGCACCAGCCGTACCGCAGTCTACTGGCCTTGCGCAGCGAACTCGCACTTGTCGACGAAGACGTCCAACTAGCCAAGTCGGTCATCAACGACCACTACATGACTGACCTTCCTCTCCTTTGCCCGCCGCATACCATTGCCCTCATGGCTATCCTGCTAGCTCTGGTGCTGCGTCCAAACTCAGCGGTACCAGGACAGCCCGCGACAGCTGCTACAGCGGCCGCCGGTCTCGCAGCGGCACAAGCAGCCCTCAACCAAGCCCACGTTCGAGGGGCGGTTGGGCCCATTGCTAATCTTCCAGACAACCCTCCGAATCTGCAAGGGGCGAAGGAGAAGCAGCAGGAGGCACGCATCACAAGGGTGCAACATTTTGCGGCGTGGCTCGCCGAGAGCGAAGTCGACATCCCCGCCATGGTTGACGCGACACAAGAAATCATCTCATTTTACGAATGCTACGAGCAGTACAACGAGAAGCTTACTAGGGAACAAATCAATCGCTTTGTCAAGGCTCGAAGTTTGGATAGATGATACAAAAAACGGCACGACTGGGCACATCTTGATGTCCATATACATGTACATTGGCATTGGCATTGGAGTTGGTTGGTTGGTTGACAGAGGCAGTTCAGCGCATGTTTGGTGCTTTTTAGCGAGTTGTATAACGCGGGCGTTCTTTTGGAGAGGGTTGAGACCGCGCTTATCAAGGCAGCCTCCCATCGTATATTATTCTAGGTTAACACGGTTTTTCTTCCATGAATCTATCGCAATCCTTGCGACTTCTTTTCCTTTTGATATGGCGATTTCATGCCCGCCCTTGACAATGCGTATTTCGACAGCCTCTTCTCCCAGCACAGCTTTTGCGTCTTCAACCCATTCGCTAGCAACGACAATTGGATCCTTGTCGGCGAGAATCAAGCAAATTCTACCACTCTCCAGCCCACCGTCTGACGAGTCATCGCGTTTTTCTCTGCGCTTTGCCAATTCCTCGCTGAATTTCTTCCACAGTAACTTATGTTGTCCATATATCGGCGCACTGCGAATCGTGCTCATATACGCCGGTGTAAACCCGTCGTTCCCGTCAAGCTGCCACTTTACCACGTCTCCGACAGTCACGCCAGGGGAGACAAGCACCTCGTCAAAATCCACTACTTCATCATCTTCGATGTTATCATCAGTCGGCACATCAGCACTAGGCACCCCCTCTTGCGGCCGCAATCTCCTCTTTGCCAGGGCCAGGAGGACCGCTTCCGGGATCAATCCCGGCGAGTAAAGCAATCTGCTCTTCCAGCCAATATGCGACATGCGTACAATCCCACCAGGACACACCATCGTTACCGACCGCAGCAGGTTGGCATGATATGTAGCAAAAGCTGCCGTCAACGCACCACCAAGCGAATAACCCAGTATATGAAACGCAGACGGCCCAGTCCACGCCAGCGGCGACGACGCTATAGCCAACAGAATCTGCGACGTGTACAGCCTCTCATCAAAAGGAATATCCTTTGGTGCATCAGAGTATCCTCTGCCAAACAAATCTATCCAATATCATTAGCAGCGCACTATCACATTATCCAAACCAACACAACTCACCAAACAACATGACTCTACACCCACTCCGGACAAACTCCTTTGCCATACCCCCAAGCGCCACGCACGGTGTACCAATACCATGAATCAGCAACACCTTCTCACCGTCCTCTGGCCCCCATTCAAAGACCTGGATATCACCATACGCCGAGCGGACCAGACGCCCGCCCGGAAATGCATCCGGCGGATACGGCAGGCTTGTCTTGCCCGCAGCCTCGGCGCGCGTTCTAGCCCGTATGATTCTATTTTTCTCCCCGGGCAGCTGCAAGTCGCCCAGCGCCGGGCGGATGAGGCAGTAGACAGCGATACCCGCGGTGACGGCGGCGCCGGCGGCCACCAAGACACGCTGCGTAACCAGCCGCTCCATGGTTACGTAGTGTCAACGGTATAATTAGAAGCAACGTTAGACAGACAACAGAAGAAGCAATGTGTTCGAATTGGTCGCGTGGGAAGTGCCGCGCCTTGCGGTTCTATTTATTCGTAGTGTCTTTTTTTTTGGTGAGAGGTGAATATGCGATTGATTGATTGATAACCCGAAGCGGCATGCCGGGACAAGCTTTCCCAGCGGCGGTGGCTGTCGCGAGTCGTGATTGGTCCGTCGGCCGGGACTGGGCGGTCCAGAATGCCGCCAGCTGGTGCTACCCGGAAGCGAATGACGGCATCCATTGATAAATGCAGTAAATTTTGTGGTAAATATTTGAGGCCTCTGCATGAGTTAGAAGTATATCTTTCATATAATTCCGCTGATTAATTATAGTATATTCAATATTGGTAGCCGTAAACTACGGGCCTACTTGTAACCTCATCCACGAATGTACTGACCGTGGTTCAATAACAGATGCCTCATCTAACATATCAAAACTCAACAGATATACGCTTAATAAAATACAATACTTTATAATCAATAGTTACGATAATTTATAATATGTAATTTTCACATTTTTGGTAAATTATCTTCACCTGTTCTACCAACTGTGGCAAAGTGAGGCTGCAACACATCGCACCAGCCACGCCAAACATCACCAGCCAATAGCACCACCCTCCCAGCCCATGCCGAAAGCTTACCTCTTCTACACCAAAATTCTCCGAGCCCGGATACAACAGCTTCCTTCACTTACTTTGTAGTTTCCCGCAGAATGTCTTGTCCGCTTTTCCTCTCACGATCATCGGCTCCGCTCCCCAACCACTTTTCACGTCATACCCCGTAAGCACAATCCTTCCTAACCCGGGGAAACAAGCACCTTACTCGCCCCAGTACTGTACTTTACTTTCCACCAGCAGTAGAAAGCAGCACTGGCCACCAGCGGCACGAATGATCGCGCAGGCTCTCTTCTCAGCCGAACGGAGCCGGGACCAGGTGAAACAAACTTCGTCTAGCGTACCTCCGGGCCAAAGTCCGCCACGTGTGACATGGATGAACATTTGCGGTAGCGGGAACTACCGTTGGGCTTGAACTGAACTGCGCAAGAAACTTGGCTGCATCCTTGAAGAAAAGAAAAGAAAAAAGTTTTTCTACCTGCCTTATGCCCAAAAGTCGACAGCAAAACCCCATGTCAAAAAGCGGTGACGGGGAGTATCTGCAAGCCCCCTTGCTGAAAAGTGCTAGTGTGGCTGCGTGCCCACAGCTCGACCAACCGTAGCGCCCAGATGGAGGGTCAGATTTAAGCCTGGTGTCGGCACCACTAACAGCTGCATAATACTGCTGGTTTACGGGGGATGTACCGTACATGGGGGTGGTGGTTAGGCCGCGAGATGTGGTTGGCGAGGATCTGCTTGCCAGCATAGCGCGGCAAGGCGATAAAAAAATTGACATGAAAGATGGCGGTGTCTGATATCAGTGAAGATTGCAGGTTGTATGTACTTTGACCGAGAGATAAGTGGTGTCTGTGCCTTTGGCCGCATGGGCATCTTGAATGTATTCCAGTGAAGATGTGGTTGGACAATAGTTGACTTGAGCTATTTGTAATTGCTCGACTATGCAGTACAAGTGTAGACAATCACTCAAAGAGATTTGGATTACGCGCTGTGAAGCACGACAGGGGAACATCGGCAACTGTGTACCACTGCCGTTGTTGAAACAGAATCCTTCGCACAACCTTCCACAGGGCAGCGGGCACCTAGCCACAGGCGAACGCGCCCGCATCTGGTACATAGCCCGCTAAGTAAAGGCTGAGATATTCATACTGTACTGCAAACAAAGTCCTACAGTGTCGCGCACTTTGTAGTAATAGCTGTTGGACGTAGTATTTCGCGCATGCTTCTCTGCCGTGGGGAGTTGCCTCGCTGGCAGGCTAGGTGGCCTTTGCCATGAGATGTTTTGCATGCCGTAGCGGGCGAAAGCGGCAGAAGCGTGGCCTTGACACGTTCATCAGAAGCTTCCATGTTGTAGCGATGGAACAGAAGACGGAAAGACAGAAACTCTATAAAGCAACCGCAAAACGCGCGCCCCAGTGTTATCGATGTGCTGTGCAAAGATGTCTCGTCAAGCGAAGTATCCAGACAGGATAGACAGCGGGAGGCGCTGCAAGGCTGGCAGACTAGCGCAAAAAGTAGCTGAGACATATTTTTCACAGCATTATCCACGGTACTTGTGGTGTATCCAGTACCTGTGCCCACGCGGCGCGGGATGGCCTTACCGTTCTGGCAATGGATTCGCCCAAAAAGGTTTCCCAAACGGGTAACTGTTGGTTAGGCGCTAGCTTCGGAAATGATGCCGGCGCACATCCCCTTATGCCAGCGACGGCAGACTAATGGAATATGCCTCGCGTTAGCGCATGCATACTCCAGAAACAATTCGATTCTATTCGTTGAAATCAAGTACACTTACGCGGCCGATTCGTTTCATCGTGGCTTTGTCTCGGGCGCTGCCGGCGTCTTCGGAACTACTTGCCGTGACGTGCTGTCGCCCAACAAGCTCATCTTACCGTCTGACGGGCTTTTGTTTGTGTTTGACCGGGATGTTTAGTCTAGATTGTAGGTCTGTAGATCAATGAAATGATCAATCGATGTTTGTGGATAGCATCGACAACCAGTGGTGATATCTGGTTCTCGACATCTCGAAGAAGCATCAGGCAAACCAACATCCGGGCACATACGGGCAAGTCGACACACCAGGCTTTGACAATATTAAATCAGCGCGCCACATGCTGCCCAGAGATGGAGATGCGAATCACATCGGGATTGGAGGCCCCAAGCAGGGTTGCAATCCAAACCGCATCCACGTAATCTCACCGGCATGACGTATGGGCTCGTGCTGTGAGGCCCTGAACCGCGAACCCCCGGTCCATCAAGCTCTTGATAATAAAACGGTCCCCTTTCCCGTCCAATCCCCTCGCCGACTCTTTCAAATCACAGAAATCCTACCAGACTATCCCCTTCCATTCAAAATGCGCTTCTCTATCCTGGCCCTTACTGCCGCTCCTCTTCTGGCAATGGCCAAGAGCGCCCTGGACTTTGACTTTGACGATGTCCCAGAGCCTTGCGTCAACATCTGCCGTCCCGTTGCCACACTTGTGAAGCAGTGCGACGTTGATAGCGACCACAAGGAGCGCCTCCTTACCAACCAATGCATCTGCACCAACAAGAGCTTCGATGTTGCCAAGATTTCCGCTCTCTGTGCCGACTGCATGCACCAGAACGTTAAGACGAAGCGTGATCACGACAAGCACGCCGACGCGGATGACGTCAAGGGTACGTTTTTTTCCCCCTTAGTACGCCTCAATGTATGATGGCAACAAATACTGATGCTTTTTTTTCTTCCTTCAGATATCGACCACATTATGAGCACTTGCACCTTTGCTAGCACCCACTACGACCCTACCGTGACCAGCATGGTCGCTACCATCACGGTTGATGCTGTCGCTCCCAACAACCAGAACCAGCTCACCACTACCATTGAGGGTCCTTCTTCCCACAACGCTGGCCCCATGGTGACGGCTGCTGCCAACATGGTCTACATTGGTGGTGCCGCTGCTGCTGCTCTCCTGCTCTAGGATATATGAAAGAATATCCACACTGTGTACGAATAACTGGATGTGAGACGCGTCTGATGATATGGCGAGTTTCGCAACAACAAAAATAAAATAAAATATCCGTAATAGACGATAGAGTAATGAACTTAATTTGACAACTCAGCATGCAATATATTACAGTGCCTTGCCACGCCTGAAGCAATGTGCTGAGACTATCAGGGTAGCAAGGGGGACTCGTGTATTCACGCACTGCAACTGGGCTAGTAGTGTCTCGGATACCGACATGGGGATCATCATGTCGACCTGACAATGGGCGGGCCACGATCCAGAGCAATAGGATGATGCCTTTGCGGCAACAGGGCGGGTGTACAGCATGTTGGGTGCACAACAGCGTGCCTCAGCGCCAAGGGTGCTCCGAGCCAACAGGAGCCGCCCGCATTGCGTCAAAAGACAAGCGATTGGCATGGAGGGGCGATGCAAGGCGACGACCCGCCTCCCAGCGGGCGCTTGTGGATAATAATATCTTACTGGAATGAAGGCGCTGACGCTGTCGGGGAATATTCCTATTGTTTTAAGAGGCCTTCCTAATAGTATAATGACCGGGGCTACCGCTAGGACTTGCGGAGACGTAGACCTGAATTCACTAGGTCTGTTATTCAATACCACGATTGACGAACTTGGCTGTGCGTCGCGTGCCTAGGGGATACCTCCGTGCAAGAGAAAGCCTGGCGACAAATGCAAGACATACACTTGGCCTGCTTGCGTACACCTTTAGGGACGTGCAGAGGGAGGGGAAGCCTTGCCTAGCTGTAAAAAACCATGGATGAAGCACAAAGGGAAGTGACTGTGGTCAAAGCTAGGCGCCCATGCGGATCGGGCTGGCCACCCAGTAGCGAGGCCGGAGACCCCTGAGAAGATGGGCATCCCATGTGTGTCATAGGATGAGACTCCAAGTATTGGATAGCTCGGAGATGGGATATCGGGCCAGCAGCCAGGGGTTCGGCGCCTCCAGTTTCACTAAAAAAGACACAGCTATTGTGTATTTCTCTGACCGTGGTATTGAAAGCTAATTCTTCAGCTCTGTTTACGGAGCTGTGCAATGCAAAGTGTTGAGCGTCTCTAGCTTCGACGCCGTCCGTGTCATCCGCCGAGCAACATGACGTGCTGTCTGGCTCATGGTGATCGTGCACGGCCCATAGCTGATACAGCTAGCGGACATGCGCACACTGAGCTGGTATTTTTCCGATATCGCATGAATGTGTGTAATGCAAGCGACGCATTGTTTTACCAGACGAGATTGAATCGGCCGACCTGTCTGTATGCCTACCCAGCTAGTCAGAGCAAGCAGTGACGCAACAACCCCCCATGGGGACGGTTGTCATTCGCTGTCAGATGAGCGTTTACGGCTGCGTGTTCTAGATGCAGAGCTGCTATTTGCCATCTCCACGGGCGGCAACGCAAGGCACCACAGGGGCGTGGCGTGGCCGAGTCTAGTCATAGCGGCGCCGAGTGACTTGCGCCAACCCTGCGGCAGGTTTCGGTGCCTGGGACAAGAATAAACTTTCAGGCGACTCCGGCACTGTCGGGCGTGCCTAAAAAAGGACGCACTAAATTACCACGCCATGACTTGTTCTGGCTGGCATGCACAGCGAGACACGCCTGGAGCAAAAGGGGCGACCCACGCCAGAAGCGGTCAGTTGATCAGCTCCAGGGGACTGGAATGGCACCTTGTGGACATTCTGTCAAGAAGAAGCTTTGGTGCAAAGGCGTGGGCCTGAGTGGATTTGAGGTGGGTGTTGCGTCACTGTTCAAACCGGCGTTGTTTTGCTTTGGTGTTGTGATGTTGATTGAACTTTTGGCACAAAGCCTACTTGGGGGCACCAGCAAGAGAGGCTTTGGCAGCAGTGTCGGAGGGTGCGCCCGGGAATTCTCGAAAGGAAGCAACCCCGACCGACTAGCGCTGTAGATGATGTGGGAGGCTGGGCCAGATGCGGCGATGATGGTCACTCGTTGGCGATGTGACTGGTTGGGGGAACAGTAAGGCTCAGCCAATCTCGCTCCTCTGACTGTGTGAGAAAGGCGACAGTGTAACTGGCAGTGTTTTTTTTTCTTGTTGGGGGGCGTGCTAAAGGCCACTGCTGATGGTGCCCAGCGGGTGTGGTGCTCCAGCTGGCGCAAGCTGGCAGTGCCGGCACACTGTGAACCACAGTGCGCAAGACTGGGCAAGTGGCCGCCAAAGGGTTCTGACCAGGGAAAAAAAGAGGCGCTGGGTACAAAATGCGCCTTATGGAAAGCCACGCTACAGTGGCTGCTCGCTCACTGGACCTGGGCTCACTCCCCGCATCTGCACGCACGCAGACAGTGGTTGCGGCGTGTCTCAGCGGCCCTCCTCGGCGTCACCGCACGGTGTCTGGGGCAGAAGTGGCTCAGCACCCAAAAACGGTGCGGGCTTGGATGCGACACCGTGATGGACACAGTGTCAGGCGTGCGTCAGATGGCCGGATGCAGGCACTGTCCTGTAGGTACCAGCTCTGCCAGGCGCAAAATTACAGCGTCTTGGGGGGCACTCCACTAAACCCCCTGCAGACTAGCGCCCTGCACGGTGGGCCAATCACAGCGCTGTGGCGAGCAAAGCGGATCTTTGTTTACGAGCACTCATTCGCCAGCGGCACCAGGGCTCCACCATGCGGATCCACCCTGCGACGAAAAGCGCCGCCCCCGGTATCGAAGCCTCTCCCACCTTCTGCCTGCGCCTACCAGAGTACGTACTGCCCACAGTGTACGCCGCCCGCCTCAGCAGGTACCTCTGCCTCCCACCGCCCACCCGCCCTGCTCGCTACCCATGCCCCGACAGTACAAACACCGCCGGGCTGCCACTCACCTTTTCCTTCTCTCCTCCTCCAACCTTTCCCACCATCCGTCCCGCCTCTTCATTTTTCCTTTCCCTACTTTGCAACGCCCGCTCTCCGCCAACAAATCAACGAACTCTTCTCTTCTTCTCTCTTCTTCTCTTGCGTCTTACTTCGCAAAAAACGCATTGCAATTTTTCTCTCGCCAAAACGCCATTTCTTCGACTAGACCGCACTGGCTGCCTCGGTTCCCCCCTCCTTTGCTGCTGCTTCACCATCACTGCTCGCACATAGAGCTGCCATCTAACAAAGCACACATCGCACGTCGACAGAATACTACCACAAACATGGCTTCATACTACCAGTACAATACCCAGCCTCCCCCAGTCTCGCACAACCACCACGGCGGCCGCAACCGCCGTGCCGGTCGCCTCTCCGTCTCACAGAACGCACAGAGACAGTTTCGTGGCGTCCGCAGCATGAAGGAGCTCAACGAGACGGCCGCCCTCTCTGCTTTCCGCACCAAGTTCGAGGCCATCCGTTCCTTTGACATTGAAGACGATCTCGAGTTTTGCCCCGGACTGTTGACCGAGAACGACGTGAGTAGTCCCACAGGCTCTACCTGTTCGTCGCCCGCCCTTTCTGACCGTAACCCTTTGCAGTTGGTTTCCATGTCCAGTGCTTCCGAACGCTCCTCTTTGGCAAGCAACTCTCCTGATTCTTCCCCGACTCAACAACCCAACTCCGTTGTGTCCGGCTTCTCCCTCAGCTCCAACTCCCCCCCTTTCGTCCCCCCCAGCCTGAGCCAGCAATCCATGAAGCTGCACCAGCCCGCGGCTACTCGTGGCCGTAACGCTATCCCCATCATCAACCCCCTTACTGGTATCTCCATGGCCAGCCCTCCTCCTTCTGTTTCGCCCGCCCGCATGCAACCCATGGGTCGCAGATGGTAGGTGGATCTCCAGGACCGAGTTCCCGCGTCGTGATGCGGATACAAGGTTCGACCCTGGGGCTTCGCCATCATCACGCGACCCACTGCAATTTTGAAATTTCGCCAGCTGTATTTTGCTTTGTTTCCCTTTGTTGGTTTTTTTTCTTTCTCTCTTGCCTTGGCGGGCGAATTCAGGAGCAAATTGAAGGAGCCGCGTTTCTTGCGTAAGACGCGGCTTTGGAGGTATCACACTTTCTGGGGCTGGGGGCTTCCTCTTCATGTTGAACCATGGCTTTTTGGCTGTGGCTATCATGATGGGCTGCTGGCTACATCACACCACTTTTTCCTCACGCACAACTCTGTACAAGCACCTTATAATCGACATACCCCTCGCAACAATATCTGGTTGCGCCACTACTAATGAGGATACATCGACGCGACTTGAGAAAGTATGATACCACTTTGCTTTTCTGCGTTTGCTTTTCACGATATACACAAAATTCACGAAAATGTCCGCCTCGCAAGGCCGAGGTCCGACACCAACATCGGCGTTTACGAATTTTTGCTCTATACACCTGGCTATTTCGAAATATTTTCTAATTGCATCGGTTCGACGCGGAGTTTTGGCTTTTTCCCCGTCTGGTCACGACTTGTTTCAGCATCACATCACGTCCGGGGCGTGATGTTTTATATACACATCAAAAAGGATCCTCTCCATGCCAATGGAGGCGTTCCACGGTTCAAAAAGATCCATATAGATTTTGGAGGTTCACGATATTGGGGTACGACGCGTTTTGTTTTTTTCCATCACCAGTCACATATTCCGGCTAGACCTGGCAATGGTGCGATGATTTTCCGCGCGATTGGGTAGCATCTTTGCGCTCCTCTCCCACCGTCATTGGTATCTTTTCTTTTTTGATCATTGACGGCGGAGTCGCATACACCTCCTCTACCTGATTTTGCTCTTCGTTGTACAACGCTAGCGCCTGCTTTTTGGGTTCATGATTTTCGGCTTTTCGGTGTTTATTGTCGGCATACTCAAGATTGAGTGTTGGATTGGGATGAGAGCATTTGTTTTTTTTCATGGGCCGCGTGCCACATGTGTTTATTTTGGGCTATCCTGTTTATGATTTTCTCAACTTGCATCGGCGGATGGAAAGATTATCTGGCATGAATCGTTCTGGTTTTTTAGGGGCACTGGTTTTTTCATTTTACAAATGTTGGGATATATGAGAAGCCGTCGCGCTCTCTGGTGTTGCCATGTTTTTGTTTTTTTACTGCGGGAACTTCTATTCCCCTGTGGATATTGGCGCTGAGGTTGATACCGCGGCTTACATGCCTGCAAGACGAGAATATATGATACTGTTTTACCACTCTTAACCCTGGAGTTGTCCACTTGCTTTCTTGTGACAGTGATGTGTGTATAATATGTATGCTGTATATCCTACGCCACTGATATTCATCGATGGCATCATGTGTGACGTCACCAGTCGTAATGCTGAACCTGCTAATGGTATAAAGAGAGACGCACAGAGTTGAGCTTTGGATGAAGCTGTTCAATTGTCTTCACCGCACAAGAAACATACGGAATCAAACTATGCTTACAACGCAAACAGTAAAGTTCACGCGCTGCCTCGCCGTTGCAGCTAGCAGGCGACCGTTCTCTACGACCCTGCCTTTGAGGCACAAGGAGTCATCTGGTGGTAAGAAAAGAACTGTTTTATAAAGGAATTATATTTGCTAAACGCAATTCAGAGAATGAGAATGTCGAACAGCACAAACATGACTTGTTACAGAAACATGGTCAAGGAAGGGGCGAGTGGAAGCCTGAGCTGGCTTCTGACAGTGAGGAAGCAGTAAGGGCAGACAAGGGAAAACAAAGTATAAAGGAGATGCAAGAACAATATACAGGGAAAAAGTAGGACAACTTGTTTGCTGGTACTATGAAACGTTTGTCTTCACAAGGATAGACATGCTTGCCTTCTCGCCAAGGGTTTGGCATCTCAAAGTATATATATATGAAGATGGAGGGAAGTTCACAATTTTTTTCCATCATCAATTTCATCACTACTATACCGAAGAGCAGACGAACAATTAACCAATCAAGATAAAATATCTGCAAGAATGGCATCCGAGGACAACGACGTTATCGCAGAGCTCATCCCCACGACGCCCATGGCGCTCCAAGTGGTTCGACATGCGCCGGCGCATCTTCGTCCACCTGTAGAGGACCCTATCGCTCGTGGATACATGGAGAATGGCTCTGACAAGATCCAGCTGCGCTTCAGCAGCCCCAGAAAGTACGCCGCCGCCTTCTTATTCGGGCGGAGCTCCGTCTGTGACGTCAAGCTCGATGTTCCTGGCCGGGAGTGCTACGCCAACACCATCCAGTGGGCGATTAGTGTGGCTCCCGACGGCCATCTAAGCATTGTTGATGTCAACTATGATGGCCAAGGCAGTTGCAAGACGGTTGTCATGTATGACAAGCAATATGCCACCCCGCGGTGCAACTTCATCTGGCGTCTGAACGGGGTTCCCGGGCCAAATAGATGGCCGATTAAAGTGACAGCCCTGTCCGCCTATGCTATTACTAAGGACGGTCCTCTGGATAGCAGTATTGGATTCAGAGTCAAGATTAGTCCCAAGCTCTTCACCTCAGAGAGCCGGGCACTTGCTGCGGGAGCATTTGCTGCAGAGGATGCCTGGATGCCGCAGATTCACAACAACCCGGCGGACAATATATATGTTCGACTTGGCTCACTTGGGAAGGGAAGCTCTGGCTCAGTATCACGCCTATGGAACGTGAGTACTGGAGAGCAGATAGCCAAGAAGGAGTTTTGGTCGGCCACTTTTAGCACTGTTCAGCGAGAGACCCGCGCGCTTCAAAACCTGCATCATGTGAGTTAGCCCGGGCTGTGTTTGTGAGAAGAAAGCTAACGATCTACAGGAAAATGTCTTGAAGATGATGTTTTATGCCGAAGAGCGCATGGAAAACCCCCACCGCCAGTTGCGCATCTTGCCCGTCTTGTATCTCGAGTATGCGCCCTTTGGCAGTCTCCGCGACGCGGACAGGGATGATCCTTTCTCGTACCAGGAGCGAATGGACGTTGTGCGCCAGTGCTTGAATGCTCTGGTATACCTGCACGACAACAACATTATGCATCGGGACATTAAGCCCGAGAACATCCTGGTCTTTTCCCGCAACCCGGTGCTTGCCAAGATTGCTGACTTTGGCATCGCAAAATACCAGGACGAGACTAGCACGACAGTCTGTGGCACCTACTTTTACATGGCCCCCGAGATTGCCCCAGACAGCCCGTACACATTGAAGGTCGATGTATGGGCTCTGGGCATGACTCTTTTGGCTATGACACACGGCGAGCTACATTTGCAGCGCCAGCAGTTGGACAGGATAAGGTACGGGACAATGCCCAGCAGACCATACAGGTCGTTGGCCAGATGCGCGTTTACCGAGTATGTCAGTCTGTACATGCTGGTCAAAGATCCTGAGCAGCGCCTCTCTATGCGCCAATGCGCCGAAACCTTGTTCCCCAACGGCGGTGAGCTGGCGTACCCATGCTGTCCATCAACATGCACCATGCTTGACGATAATTCTGCAACGAGCATAAAGACCCAGACATCCTATGGGACGGAAACCGGCAGCCGTTCCGAAGAATACAAGGTTCAACACTTCGACCTTTGTGACGACCCTGAACAGTGTGCCTGCTGGTACGAAATGACGATATCGACTTTTCAAGAAGATAACTGGTATCAGACGTACTATTACGAGGATGGTCTACGTGCTCAAGGCCCACAGAAGTGGCCTGATTTTAAGTGATTCGATGGATGGTGTTTATGATGGTGGATGAGGAGGAGAACAAAAGACCAACGAAGCAGATAGACAGATGAACAGACTGCTATGAGGTAGGATAACTTGATCGATTTATAAGATGAAATTGATTTTAACTTTTCGGATACTTGTGTGGCCGCCACGTTGCTGATTTTGTCGTTCGAGTTGAGCATTGTACTCATGACAGCGTATGCCTGCAACGAAAACATATGTGAACGGAGAAGTGGCTTCTTTTGTATAGTATTGTTCTGCAATGAAATCAATGCATAGTTTCACATCAGAGCTGGCGTACACGTTTGGCGACTCTGACAAGTACAATTACGTCGGGAAGCCTCTGGCCACTACGGATTTTGACAAGAAGCTTTTGAAGCGAGGCTCGCGTTCAGGGTCTACATTTGCAAGCACCGGAAAGCCAACTCTGGCAGGACGTGATACACTACAAGGGCTTGCAATGGCGTCCCAACGAGGAGGTAGTACCGGCTTGTTGAGGGAACAAAGGCGTCTGTGGCTCTCAAGGCTGAGAGGCTGCGTGAGTGGTGCAACACTCCTAAGATGATTGCCGTGATGGGCTATTAGACCGAAAATATGCCGAGGCGTACAAAAGTTATTGCCATGAACAATGATTTCTGTATTAGTATTAGGCAACAAGGCTGATGATGGGTGTAACAAGGTGTAACCACAGCCGACCGGTTTTGGTGGCCGGCCGACATGGCGACCGCATTTGTTCCAATGGCTAACTTATATTCATTTTAAATCCACGATAATAGTGTCTTCTATATATCCAAGTATACGTGAAAAGTTTATCCTTACAAAAGTTTGATACGGGACTTTGTTTTAGTGCTTAATAGAATGTTGTATAATATCATATCTACAGCGGATGGTGTTTGAAGTCCAGTCCGCCACACGGCCGCGCTTTTGGGCCAAGTGCGGGCGGAAGCCTATTCACATACGTTCATGTTGGATCTATATTGTAATTCACGAGTGGATTGGATTTCTGCCTACGTATTTCGTAGCTTCCGATGTCAACGTGACGTTTCTAGGCATATTCGTTGACTGATAAGACTCCAGCTCTGTGATGGCAACATCACGAGATGCTCACAATCTTGTATTATTGGTTTAAAGGTAATCATGTGTATGATATATGGCCTCGTAATTAGGTTACAGTTGCCTAAATCACTGTCGTTGATGAGTGTAATGATTCCGGTTGTCAAGTATATAAGTTGAGCGTCTTCTCCGGATATCGTCTACATGTCATCACCATCCATTAACCATCCACAACTTGCATAGCATTCATCCCTGGAGTAATATTCAGAAGTACACTATGGGTACTTCTAATAACCAGAGTCAGTGCCCCCGTTGTGGTGTGGTTTACATCCAAGGCCGCTCTCACACCTGCGTCAAGAAGTAGAGTCAGAACACTGGCCTCTATCATGTAAGTAGTTTGTTTAATTATCATAACACGAGACTAACAAGACGAAGGATTAGTACAAATTGTTATTAATCTACGAATTCTGAGATAGCTCAGCGATGGAAATGGTTGCGCAACCTGGACACTCCTTGATTGTTTTCTTTTGTTATTTGCCTACAAACTGTGACACACTCTTTTATACGTTTCCTTTGTCATACACCTTGGATAGATAGTAAACAACAAACTAGTTTGATTGAAAGACTTTGTGCCTCCCTGTAGACTCTTCCAGTGATTACTTACAATACATAATCCTACTAGGGGAGACTAAATATTTATCGCTCCGCAAAACGTTACTTCACATATCCCACAGACCGTATGACTGATACGCCGGTGTCCAGACTGTTAAGCGCCATGCTTAGCCGCCAGCCCAGCCACAGGGCTGCTGCCTGCTTCGTTTCATCTACCCCGCCTTGTGTTTAAATACCTTGTGTATTCCCCTCACGTCTGAAGATATTCTTGGGTTATTCTAACCATACTCTTTATATCTTTTTATAACAATGACTGCTACACGAAATTTACCTAGTAAACGATGGACATCATTTGATGATTGGGACCACAGTGGCCTGAAAGAGCGGCTAGAGGCAGCCTTGGAAAAGATCAACAAGACGGCTCTGATAGACCATGCCCAGCGCATCAAGGGACAGAAAATCACAATGAGTGAGCCATTCTCGGCTGGCCAGTACTGGATGTGCTTGGAAATGGTCGCAGAAGACGGTAGTCTTGTCATCGCTAGAGTCCGACTTCCGCGGCACCCAAATGCAACTATAATCCTCTCAGAAGACGACCAGCTACTCGCCATTGAAAGCGAAGTCAATGCGATGACGTTTGTCAAGGCTCGGTTTCCAGAAATTGCCATTCCTGAAATCTATGCTTACGAAAAGAGTGGCTCTGAGCTGGCCACCCTCGCCGGCGCTAGCTACATGCTCATCGAGGGCTTCTACGGGAACAATCTGCAAGACGTCGAGTTTAACATTTGCGTCCTACCAGTATGTGCATGATGTATGTTTTCTGTTCAGGCATTTATATTAACAAACTGTTGTTTGTAGGAAGACGTACAACAGCACATCATGGCTCAATGGGCCAGTATCCAAGCGACACTAGCCAGTATAACGTTTCCGCAGATTGGGTCCATCAGTGGCTTCCAGGAGAATGGCGAACCGATACTAGGCAAACTGGTGACATCGCAGGCAGCTGGGGAATTACTCAACGCTGGTCCTTTTGCTACGTCCGCCGAGTATTTCACAGCCCTCGCTAATGCCACCGCGGCAAGACTCGAGGGCGACGGGCGGACAGGAGCGCATGTGTTTGCTGACATTGTTCGCAAGACGACTCTATTTCAGGACCATGTTCCCGGTAAATTCCCTCTAAGCCACATGGACATGGGCACGCAGAATATCCTGGTGGATGATGACTTCAATTTTGTGGCAGTCATTGACTGGGAGTTTGCGCAAACGGCTCCGTGGCAAGTCAACCACTTCCCCATGCCTATGACGATAACTTCCATGAATATTGACGGCATTCTCAAAGATCCAGAGCACCTTGCCTTTGACAATGTACGGCAACAACAAGCGTCACGCGTGTTGTACATGACAGCCTTTGACGCTGCAGAGAAGAAGCTGGTAGAGCAGAAGACGCCACTGGACAACTCCTTCTCCGCCGTTTTGAACAGCCCAGCCTCTACAATCTACGCGTGCTTTACTCATTTAGGCCGTATGCCTGAGTACGATGCGGATCTTATAGAGGCCATGGTACGGCTTGCGTATGGGCTCGAGGGCAGCGCAGCGCAAGAATACATTGCTAGCCATACTTAGTATACGCCATTCCCCTACAGGCGCAATAGTGGCGACCGTTAAAATGTGCCTTTTATTTTGTGCACTTTTTTCTACGTGCTGTGGTGATTCAGGCGTGACGTCATGGAAGCGCGCAGGTGATGCCGCCATCCGTCCGGATTGGGTTGACACTAGACGCTGATCAAGGCAAGACGCGCCACCTTAAAAAAAGAGAGACTGTTGTTTTTATTGAGAGATAAGTTGGAAGAATAAAGCAATAACAATACACATTACTCAATTCACAACTGCCATCACCGTACAACTTTTGACAAGCAACCCACCATGTCTCTCACAGCAGCTGTTCAGGACTTGTTCAAGTCGGCCTACGAGTTCATCGCCTCTATTTTCCATACCATCTTTGCCGCTTTTGCGTCGCTCGTGCATCTCTTTGAGAGCGTCGTCTTGAAGATTGTTGCCGTTGTCGGCTCCATTGGCACGTTTGTTCTCGGTATGTCATTGCTACACTCTTACACCAGTACAGTGTCGCGCCTACTAACACGCTCTATCTAGGCAACTTTATCGTCTTGAGCATCGGTGCTGGACTCATGTTCTTCTACTTGCAGCGAAGTGGCAAAAAGCCAGCGGCTGCCTTGAAGGCCAAGAAGACAAACTAGCTGGCTCGTTGAGTGAGTGCGATCGAAAGAAGAGCAAACGAGATTATGAATGAATGCAATATGATGTAGCGCTGGCGTTTTTAGGAGAGGAATTAGGCTTATAGGCTATTATCGGGTTTGTTTTAAATTTAGTAATGGCTCGTTGCATCTTAAAATTATGCTTTCATTTAATAGTAGCCGTCTGTGCAACATGTCACGTATGCCTGGCGAATCTGTAACTGGATTGCATCATATCGCAGATCTTATCTCCATCTCATCAACAGAGAAAGCACAGTGCCCAGTTTAATGCAGGATATTGAGATTGGCCGCCACGACTTGCTTATACTTCGTACCCTCTCAGCTGGTAGAGGCAGCACAATTTTATCGTCTAGTGCGGCTGCAGGGATATAGTACGTAGTGCTACACTACTTATAGCACAGAGTTGGCCGATGCGCGCGCAAAGAGACGAACTCATTTTACATGGCATCCGTCGCCCACCGACGATATCACTGTAAAGCACACACTCGTTTCAAAAAGGATTTGTACTAATTGCCCCGTCACATTTGGAGGAAATGATGCTCGTGTGTCTTCCTATTGCGGACATGCTTGCGGCTCTGTTCGTTTCTGCTCCTCTTCACCTCACCTCTCTGCAAGAGGTGCCTATGTTTGCTTTGCGATTTCGGAAGAAGACCGTTCCTAACTAGCGTGGAACTAGAAGCCAGTGGCCTCAAGAGGCCGCTACTTCTATTGGAACGCTAAAAGTGACACCATAGGCGACCCAATTTCTTCCGGCACTAATGCAAAGCGGTGTTGAGCCTGCTCGCTTCGGTGAAAGCCGTTCAGTGAAGCCGCGGTTACAGTGCCCTGTCGCCGCTTGCGCTGTCTGTGCAATCGTACGAGTAAGCCTTTGCCTAAAGTGGGAAGAGAAGAAGAAGAACAATAAAACGATCGCATCCATGGAGTCAATGGCATCTTAATGGATACATGGGATGTTCATCTCATCTCAACTACTCGGGAAGACGAATACAATCCCAGCATTTACATTTTGATCACCATGTTACTGTAACATTTTTTCGCCTCGGCGAACTGGCTAACAAGGATCAAGGCAAAAAGGGGGTTTGCTTTTTTTTCTCTCTACATTGCATGCTACGATAATGCATGCCCTAGCTCTAAATATCTTGAGTGCCTTGGCGCTACTTTACCAAAGAACGAACTGAAACATCGGGTAGTCGATTCCCCGATTCCCAGTTACTTGCAGTATTCATTTCGGGAATCCTGCTCGCCTTTTCTTTTTTTTTCTTTTTTTTTTTTCGGAATTATTCTGGGGGACTGCGATCGGCAAAGCTCTTGACTCGCGCGCAGGACGGAGGCGCAAGTCAATCTATTGGTTCCCACGCAAAACTTCGATAGGCGAAACTGGAAATCCAGGAGAATATCTTTGCCGGCAAAGAAAGCAGAAGCGAGAAATGACAGAAACAAAAGAGAAAATTCACGCAGCGGAAGAGGAGGAAGCCGGCCCCCAAATGGCGTCCAAATCTCATATAGTGCCTACCACGCCACGTTCACTAGCGCCGACGATCCAGTCTTTAAGAAGAAGACTTTTGTTTGTAGGGTCCATTCAGCACAGTCGGGGATTGCCGCTAAAGGTCGGCCAACAGGGGTCGGGGACAAGCCACTCAGGCATCTAGAACAGCATCTAGACTAGCTTAGATGCCGATGGACAGGGGCAAACACGCCTATTCTTCCGCCGGCTCAGCTTTGCTGCAATGCACAAGCGGGTAGCCCTTGTCTGGCTGTAATAGTGCACTAAGACAGGCCTATTATAGCAGCCAAAGACGGGCCCAGGAAGGGGAAACGTGCCCATCCCGCCTGTCCATCACCACTTTAGCCGCAGTCAGTGTGCCCAAGCGTAGCCCAGGCCCGATGGATCCGACCCGTCAGCCGGAGATGGCGATGGAGAAAAAACTGGTAGTCTGATTAAAAAAGGGCTGTGGCGCCCGTCTCTTTTTTTGTTTGCTCTTTGTCTTTGATTGTCCTTGTCTTGTCTTGTAGTGTTTGTATGCTATGACGCGATCCTCATAGCCAGCACTGATATAAGCGCCGTCTCTCAGTAAACTACAACACAACAGAAAGAAACAAAACGAAACCAGGAATACACACACAATGCGTTGGGCTTTCGTCTCGGCGTTTGTCTCGCTGGGCAGCCCGGCCATCTCCAAGGCCCAGCAGTGCTGTCCTTGCCCAACAACTTCTTCTCTAGCGTCGTCTTCGCTTCTTTCTTCCGCGCCTACTCTCGTCTCCTCTACTCCAGCATCCTCCTCTGTACCCCCGCCAGCGTCTTCGTCTCCTTCTACACCACTGCCTCAGGGCCGCACCGTCACCAGCACCGTCCTCATAATCGCCAAGGATGACGATGAGGTCGGCACCGCCAGCCCGGTTCTCGATGGCTACGGAATTCCCTGGCAGAAGCTGCTGGTCCCCAAGGATGGCACTGCTTTACCGCCACTCAACACCACAGCCACCGATGGCCTCTTCGGCAGCATCATCATGGCCGGTGGTATTGTCTACGAGTACAACGGCGCATACCGCAGCGCCTTGACCGACGACCAGTGGAAGCAGCTCTACAACTACCAGACTTCTTTTAGTGTGCGCATGGTCCGCTTCAACGAGTATCCTGGCAGCGCCTTTGGCACAACGCCCGTCGATCCCAGCAACCCGGGCTGCTGCGCCGACGACATGGACCAAGGCATCAGCCTGGTCGATGTCACCTCCATCCACAGCGCCAACCTCAAGCCGTGCGTATCCCATAAGAGAACATCGTATAGAAGCAACAGCTAACAACCCATATAGTAATGCTCCCCTCTCCATGAAGGGCCTCTACCACTACCCGGCCAAGATTACCGACCCTTCCACAACCACCATGTTCGCCGCCCTCGAGCCCGTCAGCCGATTCCCGGGCCGTTCCGTCGGTGCCGTAGTCAACAACTTCAGCGGCCGTGAACAAATGGTCTTCTTTACCGCCCTTGCCCCTCAATGGTCTCTCACCTCTGTCTTCCTCCACCACGCCTCCATCCACTGGATGACCCGCGGTCTCTTCAGTGGCAAGCGCAAGGTCCATCTCAGCCCTCAGGTCGACGATCTCCAGATCCCCACGGCGCTCTTCTACCCCAACGGTACCAAGTTCCAAATCTCCACGGCAGATCTCGACGCCCACGTCCACTGGCAGGCCCAGCTCAACACCCATCTCCCCGCCGGCTCCGAGTTCCGTCTCGAAATGGGCCACAATGGCAACGGCAACATTCTCGAAGCTACAAACTCTACCTCAGGCAAGGACAAATGTGACCCAGCAAACGCCATCGCCTTCAAAATGCCTCCTGCCACACCAATCGAGTTCAAGAAGCCTCTTGGCTCTGGTGTCGATAACTGGCCTGCATCGTATCAGCACTATCAGTGGTCTGACGCCTGCTCTAACCTAGGAACCTTTGCCAACTGGTTCCGCAACCCAGACAACCTCAATGCCTTTAGCCACGTCTCCCACACCTTCAGCCATGAAGAGCTCAACAACGCCACATACGCCGATGCCCTTCGCGAGACGCAGTTCAACCAAGCCTGGATGAAGCAGGTGGGCATTGACCGTGCTGACCGCTTCTCCCCGAAGGGCCTCATTCCTCCCGCCATTACGGGTGTTAAGAACGGCGATGCCATCAAGGCATGGGCCGACAGCGGCGTCACCTTCATTGTTGGTGACAACACACGCCCTACGCTGCGCAACCAGCAGAGCAAGTACTGGCCGCTTGCTACAACCATGGACATGAACGGCTACGACGGCATGTGGATTATCCCTCGCTACACGACGACCATCTACTTCAACTGCGACAAGCCCGAGTGCATCCTCAAGGAGTGGCAGGTGATTGCTGGCCGCACCGGTACTTTTGACGATCTTCTGACCGATGCCCGCCTCACCAACACGCACTACATCATGTCGTTGTCTGCGGATCCCTTCATGTTCCACCAGGCCAACATGCGCCAGGTCGACATGCCCGAGACGACAGTCGGCTCGCAGACGGGCAAGATGTCGCTGCTGATGAGCTGGATGGAGACGATTACCCAGGAGCTTACTCGTCTCACCAACTGGCCCATTACATCGCTCAAGCACGATGACCTGGGCAATTACTTTTTGGATCGCATGGCCCTAGATGGTTGCAAGCCCAGCAGCAAGTTTGTCTTTGGCCCTGACGGCAAGTCGATTGTGCAAGTCGTTGTGAGCACAAAGGACAACACTTGCAGCGTCCCCGTGCCCATTACTATCCCGCAAGGTGCTGCTACTGGAGATGATATCGAACAAGATGTCGTCGGAAGCGAGCCTCCTATTGTTTGGGTTACGATGAACGGCAGCCCTGTGACGGTCACCTTGTCGAACCCCGTCCAGGTATAAAAGTAATATGAACTTGTTTTGTTTCTGGTGATGAATGTAATGGGTGATTGAATTGATTTACATGTTAGCGTTTCGGCTGGTTTTGTTTTTGTCATTTTTATAATACCGTCTTCCGTTGTGAAGGCTATCTACATATCTACATATACATATGTACTTTTTAGAGCCAACAATATACCCTAGCTAGGCTCAGCATAATTGGAACAAGCACTTTTGCGCTTTACTTTCTGCACACTCCGTTCTACCTTTTGTGTTAGCACTATGAGCCAATTATATAGGAGGGTATGTGATTCGTTTACCTTGTGGAGATCGACAAAGCAGGCGTAGGGAGGGCAGCATCTGCTTGGGCCGGTGTTGGGGCAGGCTGCGCCAGCAGGGAGACAGCGGATCTGAAACAGCCGTGCGGTTAATATTGCTTTAACTGAATGGAGTATTTCTAGCATAGGTCTACCTGAGCGGAGCCGAGGGCAGCAAAGGCCACGAGGCTGAGAACGACTTGGGTGATTTGCATGATTTAAAGCAAAGGTGATGCTGATGATGACTACGGTGTATATTTTACAAACGCAAGAGGCGATATTCAACACAGGCGGGACTTTACTACTTTATATGTGTATGTACTGTTTATATGCGTGAAAGGACGCCTCTTTTCTCCATCACGCGTTCACTATAATATTTCTGCAGCAGCTCACGGGTCTGCGGCCATTTATATACAAAATGAGGCGAGCCCGCGTTCAGCAGCCCAGGCGCCAGCCAATGGCCAGGCTTTGTGACCAGGCAGGGCCCTTTTCAGTATGCAGCATTAGATTTCTTACATGTCGGCGCCCAATATTGTAGTGGGGAGTGGGTGTTCTCGACCTGGTCTGTAACAAGCATCCAGTTCTTCAGCCGTTAAGGTAAGCATGACTTTTGTCTACTAAAACCGAGTCAGGCTGCAAAAATGCCGGTTTATTGTGCGTAGACAAGTATCTAGAGTAGCATGTGGTGTCTAAAAGCCAGCGGGAAAAGGAAATAAGACATAGGCTGCGCGGTGGGTTGCGTCGGACTTTATGCTGCCGCTGGACCGATGGCCCGGCGCTACTCTAACTACTGTGAGTTAGTTTCCACAGTTTTTTTTTTCAGACTACTGGGATGACAGCTACCGTACTGGTCAGCTCCTCCTGGTGGCATCGCCAAACGGAAGCGCGCCATTGAAATGCAGCAAGGCAACCAGTCTACCAACCTTTCTGCTATCGAAACTCATAATCGAGGTGAGGAACTTCTCCACAATTGGCAAAAGCAAAAACAAAAAAAGAGGTTACACTCAACTTAGATCTTGCCCACACACACCAGTATGCTTTATCCATAAGAGCCGCTTCAGCCTCAACAAATCGGTACTCGGCGTCGTTCTTCCACCGATTCGGACCAATTAGAAATTCACCATCCTGTTTCCATAGACCAATATGTCACACTCTAGAAATCATGTCATTAGCTTATGCTGGCGTTGCCGATGCCGATTGTTGAGCTGATGGTGCCCCTTGAACCCACCTCTATTTACCGTGCTGCGGCTGGATTTAAGCTTCCCGTACGAGGCACCTATTTCGTCCTAGCGCACGTCGCCGCCAGCCAATTACCGCCCAGTGCAACCGCCCCAAAACCTAAAATGGTGCCCTGGACAGCCTGCGATGCTGGTGCTTGGCGATCTGCCTTGTCTTATCTCGTGGAAATGGGTGGGTGGGTGACTGTAAGCCGGCAACCAGCGCAGAGGAACTCGGCAGGCAGATTTGGAAAAGCAGCTGTATTTGGCGGCTGAATACGACTGCGAGACCCTGAAAATCACAGGGAGGCCTCGTAGGGCGGGTGTTATATGGTGTGTCTATGTCTATATAAAGCTCAAGCCATACCACCGACTCTGCCGATCTTGTCTTCCTTATTCTTTTCCCACAGATATTCCATTATTACCTTGTATTTCTAGCCTCAAATACCCATATACTCTACCTACACCACTACCACCAAACATACCACATCCACAATGAAGTACTCTCTTGTTGCACTCTCTCTCGTCGCTGCTGCCACCGCTGCCGACACCAGTTTGTCTCAGATACTTAGCGGAATGAAGGTCTGCGGCTGGGCCTGTCTTCCTAGCGCTGCCTCTGAGAACGAATGTGCCATTACCAACCTCGACTGCCTATGCCAGACAGGCGAAGGTGGCATCTTGGCCGGCACTCGCGTCTCATCGTTGACCAGCTGCGAAAAGGCCATCAAATTTTGCGGAGTTGAAGGCGATAAGCACTTTGGTACGTATTTGCTCCCTTTGACAATTCTTCTTCTTCTTTACTTACACCAGTTTGTTTCGTAGATCTTGGCGATGCTCTCGATTCCGCCTGTGAGCGATTCCGATCCGGCAAACCCTCGGCCGAAGAGCTCCAGAGCATGACAGACTATATCAACGCCCACTACGCTTCGGCTACAGCGGTTATTGGTAGTGCTAGCGCTACTGGCGGCGGTTCGGCGGCTGCTACCACCACAGTCAGCGGAAAGCCAGCTAAGAGCACTGGTGCTGGATCGGCAGCTGCTACTACCGCGGCTACAGCTGCGCCTTCTGGTAACGCTGGTGCTTCTACAACAGGAGGAGCATCTGGACAGAGCTCTACACACAAGGCTGCTGCTGGGCCTACAGCTGCACCCATGATGGCTCTTGCTGGTGCTGGCGCTGTGCTTGCTGCGATGCTCTAAGTGACGGGCTGTGTGGGAGGAGAATTACTGTATATTACGAGTTTATAAATAAGGGAGTCCGGTTAACGAGTATTTCGTACAGTTCCTATACTTGATTGTGGTTACGTATTGTCATGGCTTACACCTTCTGGTTGTCTACACACCGCGGTGTAAGCACCACCATTGTAAAACAGGAAGCATAGTATTTAGAGGTTAAGTGATCTTATATTATGTAATAAATATTAGCACTTGTTATCTCTTATATTGTATGTAGACTATATCTTCTATTAACTATCCTCGGAGTAAAATACCTCCCTCACGTACTCAACAATTCGTTCCATCAAAAACATACTCGGTGAAGATATTCAAAGAATTATTACTTCTGGCTGGTAGTTACTCTTTTTAATTTTATGTAAAAGTAGAGAGGATAATAGCAAATTGGCTTTACATACCAGATAAAGTTGTTATTTTATAGCTTTGCGCTAAATTGACTCGCCAAGCTTCGACAACGCTTTTGCACGACCTGCCAGATATAGACGTAAAAGTCAAACATAATGAAAGTTGATCTTGGGAGGAAAGAGATGATATTTTGGGAGGTTTGAAAGCAATGAGCTACTAAAGTCTAATAGAGTTTAAAAATAACTTCACTTTATAATTAAGTATATTAGTTTACTGTGCATGGTTTTGCGTGCATGGTTTTGAGAGCATAGTTTTAGAGCGAGGTTTTGGTGTATGGCTCATAGAACTACTGCTTCAATCTAGTTGATAGTGAAGGTATGCTAATTCTAAAGAAAATCCCAAGTTGATTAATTAGAAAACAGACCTATCGTTCTAGATTTTTATATAAATATTCAGAAGAGAAATGTAATAGAATTAGTATTGAAAATTGATATTTTGAAATACAGACTCAATGCTCCACAGGAAATAAAGGCTCAGTAGATCAAAAATAATAAAATAAACCTATCATCAACCACACTGAATACAGTTTGTTTTTAAATATTTATAAATGCATTATATACGCAACCTTTGTAGAATCTCGTTCTAACCTTGAAGCTCCGTTTAGGGAAGATAGACCCTGTTCAAACTTCAAGCCGACCATGGTCGTGAATCTGTTATGATTTGTAGATAACTATGTATTCTGCATAATTTACAAGTATAAGTAGTAATTATACACATTAAAAATAGCGATATTATTTTTAGGCGAGCTATTCTTCGGTCCCTTCGTGGATTAATTTTTTTGGAACCTTGCACCTACCGTTGCGATTAACCAAGGTTAGCACACGGCGGGTTACATGTACAAAACATCCAGCCAACTACCTATCTTTACTGGGTAGAGTTTATATTATAAAAAATAAATCTAGTTCTTTAAGAGTTTATGAAAGTAAAATTAATGTCTTGTTCTTTTGCTAACTTGAGGCAGTGGTATTGCGACCATACAGCCGTTACCTAACATCAAGGGTAGCATTGTAAACAACACCCACATGCAATACATACTAGCGGCTGTTAGCTCACACACAGCCCTTGCCTCTATCCTTTTCTTGGCGATCGTAGTCATCGGCTCTATCCGAGGTTTGCCACATCTTGGCACTCTCAGGTACGGATTACAACCTCTCTTGGAACGGGCCTGCGGAGAGGGAAACAGACTCTGTATGGATTTACCCACGATACCAACTACAATGCGGATACTTCTAACCGAGGCTTTTGGTCAATTGCGTGATATATTCCCCCTCTACAGTGGATATTTTATTAGCAAATATTATTTACGTACTTTACCGTGAGTGTCAGACTCAGCGCGACGAAATCAGCAGCAACTGCAAATCAGCTGCAGCAACAAATACCAACCTGAAAACCTACGCACAGTCTCATCAGGTGTGCTGCTAAAAGACATGCCAAGTGCCCAACTCTTTTCAACCTTCCTATTCCCGCTCTCGTTTCGAGCAACAGCGCCCATCGCGCTGCCGGTCTATCCGGCCAATGTAAGGTCAGCGCAAATTCAAAGAAGACTGAGTCCAGCTGACGATAAAGATTGTGGCTCCATATTAGGAAACTACTGGCAGTCAAATGTCATTAGGCCATATCTCCTCTGACTGGTTGGCCAGTCTCGTGCCTCGTACCGTGGTGCCGGTAGTTGCGATAAGGCGCTAACAAAGGCCCGCATCCAAATCTGGAAGGTAATCCAGCGAGCTGTCATGCCGATCAACGGGGGCACTTCCCCAGACACAATGTCGGCAGCTGTCTAATTCATATGAAACAAAGGAGAAATACGGGGTGCGACGGTGAGAGCCTTTAGACTAGGCCCAGTGCAGCAGCTGGCTCAGGCACACAGAGCCCATGACAGCTCGGCTAGACGTTGTCACTGGCTTAGTGCGTCAGTTTGGGCAGGTCAAGGCCCTCTGAAAAAGTTCCCAGTGCCGTTATCCGGGGCAAAGACCAACGGTGAGAAAGCTGGGGTAGGAGAGCTGGGAGACGGGAGCTGTGACGATGACTGACTATTTCGGGAAATATATAAGAAGGAGCCTGGGAGAACGACATCGATGGATTTGTTCTTTAAAGCAAACGCCAAGCCGAGCCATATTCTATCTTCGTTCCTATTTCCTTCTCCAAGCCAAATCGCACTAGATCGGCGTTTGCCCCTGCCCATCTCACACCATGCCTGGCCTTACATCTTTCTTGGCATACGCCTCTTTGGCTAGCGCCATTGCTCTGCCTTCGCCCATGATCCATGGCCCGGGTCAGTTCACCGTGGATGTCAAGTTCAACCCAGACTTCAAGAAGTCTGCCACCTCTACTGCCGGTGCTCTTCTTGCCCGCGACAATGGCAACACAACTGCCCATGACAGCCCCTCGCGCGTAGATGCCGAGTACTATGTCGAGCTGCTTGTCGGCACACCCCCTCAGAAGCTGAACCTTTTGTTCGATACGGGCTCCAGCGATCTGTGGCTCTTTGGTGCCGATGCCCAGGGCTCTATTGACCCAGGCCAGGCCAAATGGAACCACACTGCTAGTAGCACCGCTAAGCTTGTGCCCGATGGCAGCTGGTCCATCAGCTATGGTGATGGCTCCGGTGGCAAGGGAACCATTTACAAGGACACCGTCTCTGTTGGTGGCATCTCTGTGTCTGGCCAGGGCGTCGAGTACGCCACCAATGTCTACCCCATGAGCAACGGCGGCAACATCCTCGGCGTTCCTGTGTCTGGCATCGTCGGTTTTGGCTTCGACAACATTAACACAGCCAAGCCTAAGCAAAACACTCTCTTCACCAACATGAAGAGCCATCTCGACCAGCCTCTCTTCACAGTTGACCTGCAGCACAAGGCCGACGGCACCTTTGGTTTCGGCTTCATTGACGACTCCAAGTACACCGGAACTATTGCCTATGCCGATGTTGACTCTAGCGGCGGTTTCTGGACGTGGACTTCGTCTGGCTACGCTGTTGGTGACGGCGATTTTGTCAATGAGAGTTTCAGTGGCTTCACTGACACTGGCAACTCTGGCTTCTCTGTCCCTGATGGTCTCTACCAGGCTTACCAGAACGCTTTGCCCAGCACTGTCGACTGCAACACCGTCCTGCCCGACCTGTACTTTGGCGTTGGAGACTCCAAGATCAAGGTCGCTGGCGAGCATCTCAAGGAGAAGGATGACTCTGGCAACTGCTATGTCAACTTATCCTCGGGTGGTAGCAGCGCTGGATTTGGGTCGCCCTCCATGGCTGGCGCCTTTGTTGTTTTCGAGAACGGCCCCAACGGTCCTCGCATTGGCTGGGCCAACAACAAATAAATCATACCAAAAGAATGAAGAAGACGACGAAAGTACATAGGGAGCAGATCACGCTTGCTGAATACTCTTACCCAGCCGGGGTATAGAGAGGCACGCAGAATTCAATTACATATTATTATAAGTCTGTACATAGAATGAACCATATTTACCAACATTAACTCCGAATCCAGGTTCTACTCCTTGTCCTGTGAACCGTTGTCTATAGTCTTGACATGTCTAAATTTCAATCAATCCAGGTCCAGCAAGAGTTTTGCCAGCCACCTCTGTAGCATTGGCAAAGGGGCCCTCGCTTGTGGTGATGGCGGCGATGGTGAGGCCGTCGAGTTGGAATTTGGCATAAGGGAAAGGTGCCTTGGCAGTAATAACATTGCCGACAGTCCTATACCAAAATGGTTAGTATCTTGTACACCCTTGCATAAAAGTACAGATTGGGGTTAGAAAAAACATACTTGTGGCTGGTAAACTTTTGCACAATGGGGACATTCTGGCCACTGATGAGCACGATACGCAGGTTGTTGGCATCCTGTCCATTGCAGTTGAAGGTGAATTCAATCTCCTCCGTCTTGGCGCTAATCTTGGGCGTTTTGATGGTGAGAGCCTCAAAGGTAGGTAGAGGCAGCTTGTCCGGGCACGAACCAGGAACAATGACGAGCTGTTGAAGAGCCGAAAAGGCAAAGGCACCCGAGCTGGCGGTGAGGAAAGGCTTCGCGGAGGGGACCTTGGCGAGTGAGCTCATGGATCGGAAGAAACCATTCTGCTCACCCTCTTGGCCAATAACAGAGCCAACCAAGCCAACAAACTTGGGGCCATCGCCGGCAATGCCAAAGTTTGTTTGGGCCTCCTGCAGCGTACCAAGAACAACGTCGGTAAAGGTGGACGTAAAGGCAATCGCATCATCAAAGTTGGTGACGGGGAAGCGGTACTTGCACGGGGAGATGGTCTTGCGGCCAGCAGTCTGAAGAATGCCGTTGGCACCGAGGGCGTGGAGCTCCTCTTGGGCAATGACGGCGCTAAGGGCAGACAGGACGACGGTGCGTGCAGCAGGGCTTCCGACCTCGTAGCCGGGGACGTTTTCTGTGATGTTGGTGATGAGGGAGTCGAAAAAGGCCACTTCGAAGAGCTCATTGAAGGCAATCAGAGACCAGATAACGGCAGAAGTGTCTGAGATTTCTTTGGGGAGCTGTCCATCTGGAAGTGTACCAAAAGCCTGCTTGTTGATATTTAACAAAGCAGAGGATCCGGGTTGGACATTGGGGAAACCATTTGCCAGGGGCAATTGGCCGGGCTCTCTGCTACGCTCGACTATGGAGTTTGTGTTTCGCGGTGTAGTAGGGATGGCAGAGGCACCGAGTGCCAGAAGCGCAAGGGGAAAGGTGGGGAACATTGTGTTATGGAGAATGATGGTGAATAAAAAAAAGAAAGAGAAGAGTATATATGTGTAGTAGAGGTGTAGATAAGGAGGACGGTTGGGTGGTAGTGGTGGTTGTTTTCGGATACCGGAATGGTGATTCATCTAGGTTGTTATATATCTCAAACTTTGTCTGTATCATTAGCGATGCACTGCCCGAGCGTCTAGGAATTGTAACCCATGTTTGGAGATAACAATCACGGCTTCCGTAATCTCCGGATAAAACTGAGCAATTCACGCTTTGGAATCATCTAGGTTCTCATTACCGTTGATTCCAGCCTTAATTGTGTCAGCGAGTTTAAAAACGGTCACATTTTGGGAAACTACAAGCCACCCATGACACAGCCCTATTTCTTCTATTATTGTGCCCTTGTGTCGTTCCGTTCGTTCGGCTCTGTAATGCTCCATCGCCGCAGCCAATAGCATTCGTGCTCAGAGCCCAAGGGGGGCCAAAATGTCTCCGATGTACTATTTCAGTCTCCCAAACGATCGTTCATGCTGGCCAAGGCGGGGGCGCGTCTAGCGACCGCTGCATGAAACTGGAGGCTGTGTTGTAAGGCTGTGTTGGTGATCTCCCGGCACTTCCCCCTTCCGGTAACGGCCGTCGGAGGAACTCCATGCCGCGCATGGCTAACGTAGTGTTTATGCCCAGAATAGGCAGTTGTTGGGTGGAGGTTCACGTATGAGTTCAAGTGCTTGGATGTTTTGGCTTAGAAATGACGGCCAGCCACGGCGACGAGGCGGATAATGCGCATAGCCTCTCCGCGCGCTTAGAAAGATGGTTATTTTTAATACCGGAAACTAATTGAAGCGGTTTGAGGCTCTGCTGTCTGTGATATATGGCTTGCTGAAGCCGCCTTTTATGTGTCTACTACAGAACGGTAATTCACACACGACTTCTACATATTCCCCATTTCCTTTTCTTGTTTTTCTTTGTAATTATTTTCCTTATCTTCGTCGTCTGCTCCAACTATATTCGCCATTCTAGAACCACCATCATCAATATGCGTCCCGACTCTGCTCCTGGCCTAGAGCCATACAGAAACCAAAACTGGGATGCCTCGTCATTTAAAAGCGAACCCTACGATCCCAATGCTCCGTCTGCCCCCAGAACCGCTCGACGCATTGCTACAAATGGATTCATTAGCAAGATCCCTCTTGTTGCCATTGTGCTCCAGATGATCGCCGTCAGCGTATCCATTGCTACGGTCGGCTTGCTCGCCAACGCCATTGCCATCTACCGGTCTAGCAAAGACTGGAAGATTGTCATGGGCTCCGGTGTCATCCTACCAGGTTGGCGTGAACCGGGCGATAACTTCATGGTGCCCATCTATTCGCTTCTGGGCTCTGCAACCACGGGGGCCGTGCTTGGCGCCATCACATTGGGTTCTACCATCTTCATTGTAAGACATCCCCTACCTATAAGGCCGTTAACTAGACTAATAATCGGCCACAGCACATCATGCAGAAGCATAGCCTTCTCAACAGCCATCCTCTCCTCATCGCAAGCTCCCAGTTCATTATTGTCGCGCTGTACATTGCGTCTCTATCCTTCTTCAGAGTCCAAGAGGATCGCCTTGGCATGTTTGGCTGGAGTTGCGCCCACCGTGTCATGGAGACTAAGCAAGACGGCAACTCCATCGGCTTAGGAAATGTCTGCATGTCCATTGTAAGTTTGAAAACAGTGTAAAATGCTTAATTTACATTGTATGCTAACGAGCGACTGTTTCAGAACACCTCTTGGTACTTGGCTATTGCTGCCGGCGCTGTGAGCACTCTGATTCTGGCTCTGGCTGTTGTAGTATATGTACAGAACCGCGGTTCCAAGCCCAAGGGAGCCGTCATGCGCCGCAGAGCAAGCTATGCCGAGTTGAAGAACAAGCAAGTGGATGATGACATCCCCATGCTGGCTAGACCCTACTCTCGTTAAGTTGGCGTCTTAATTTGTATCAATTTGTATGGAAAGCTGCTTAACAAAAGCATATAGTAGTAGTAGTCTGGGATAATAATACATTAAATTCTTCGTCGCTTCAACTGTCCACGGCTGCAGGCATCCTCCATTTCCTCATACTCGCCAGTTTCTGGAGCAGATCGTTTGAAGGTAGAGCTGCGCGAGGTTCCTGTCAAATTGGTGCCTGGCTTACACTCTGACTAAAAGCAAATTTAGCATATTGAGTTTCTTATATAAACTTATCTATTTCAGCTACTCACCATGTTGTTTGTCATTGAAACCTTCTTCAGAGAGCGGCAAAGAGCTCGGCGTTTGGCTTGTGCCTCGCAGGGCGACATGTCGCGTTGCCTGGCAGGACTACCCGCAGCATCGTGCTCTTCAGAACAGTCAGTCTTTGGGAGCCCCTGTTTGACCAATAGTTGGTAAGGATATGTAGCTAGCTCATTGTCATTCCTTGCTAGAATATGAATGAACCACAGGGCTACATTGTATCCGAGGCCGTTCTTATGGGCTCCATGCCACGGGATAGAGACATATTCCATGACGCCATATTCTTCAATATTGGGAGTAGGCGTCTCGTCTGTTTCGTTCATCATCCCAATTCGAAAAATAAACGCTTCAGATGTGGTAAGAATACATCCATACCGGCAGCCTTTCTCTATACAGCTACTAAAGGCTTGTCGAATAGGCTCCAACTTATTTGGAAAGAGTTCATGCTTTTTCCATGTACCATCTTTTTCGGTAAATTCTCTAATGAGAGAACTTTGAAATTTCAAAGCAGGCTTGAACTCCTTCGACATTCTCTCCACGAAGCTTGAATGGCACTGGTACCTCTCTTTTCTGCATATAAGAGTAGTACCTGCATCGGCTTTCAACAAGCGTCGGCGATCTTGTTTTTCCGCTGATGGCGGCGGCGTGTTTTCTTGGATAGTAATTTCTGTTGTCTTTGGGTGGTCTGGCGTTGTGTTCGCACTAGGAGGACTCGGAGAAAGCAAAAAGTTTTTGTTGTTACCAATTCTGGCAGTCCATGTGCATGCGTTAAACTTTTTGTCCAGAATTTCCAATGCTGGTTGCACGATTGCGTGCGTCCACTTGCTAAACAGATGTCCTATACAAGGCTCAGCAGCGTGTACAACAGTATCGCATTCACAAAGATGAGGCTTCGATATGGGAAGCGAAACAGACGTCGCCGCCTCGTACAACGAGTTGTTGTATATTTTGCTGAGTGTTTCGAGGTTGAAGTCGCGCCATGCTTTAACTCTGCGGGGCTTGTGGTACGAACGAGCTTTCAGACTTGTTGGAAGTTTCGTGTTTTTGACGCTTTCACCCGGGAGAAGCATGAGTTGAATGGTGGGATTATTGTACGACAGGACGTCAAGGATGGTTGTTGTGTTATTGATAGCAGTCGTCATGTTCATCAGTATTATAGTAGTAGTCGTCGTCGCGGCAGTAATCTAATGTACGTGTATATAGATATTAAAGTCTAATTGCCTAGAGTATCTTGCCTTGTAATCTATTTAATATACCCTCTGATAGTTGGCCTGTACCTTGTGTGTTATTCCGGAGACGCCGTGGCTGGGTATAGTATCTGCGAATAGAGCCAATCGTTGGAAAACAAGTCAACTTGCATCATGCAGTGATTCCTTGTTGTGATTTTGAGTAGATCCCATTTTAGAGCGACGTCTAGTCGGGCGTCTAAATTTTTGTGGCTGATTGGTGGCAGCATCAGCGCTACGCCGCGGCTGAGTGAAGATGGTGTTGTGGCCGTGGATACACCACGCTCAGTGCTATGCAGGCGGCAACCCATTCATCGTCCTAGAGAGCGCTTCGTGCCGTTCCCGCATCACGCCTCCAGCGTTACGCCAAATGCCTTAAATGCAACACTTTACTCTTGTGATGGGTGGGTATATGAGCGACCGCCTGGCCACCTGAACCACAAACCAATAACACAGACGGCGACGTCAAAATACGCTCTCACAAGTCATGAGTCGGCAGCAGCGAAGAGTCACTAGACAGTCAGCTGAGGACCGCAAGGCTCAGTATTTTCGGCTTCCCCTACCACCCTGCAAGGGGCCCAAGTTGCATGCCTTCCGCCAGGATGTCAAACCTATCAAGTGGCTGTCGAGGCTGGATTCCCATAACTATACTGATGCAGACCGCGGCGAGGTCCCATTCACTTATGTCTTCAAAGTCGAAATAGACTCGACTATATACGCTTTGAAGGTGGTATGTATTATTGTGCTCCCTCAGATAACTCCAGGCTAATGTTAGATATCTAGTTTGACTTCTTCCATGTAGAGGACTACAGAAGATACTGGGGAAATCTCATGCCAGAGTCGTATCCTGTCGAAACAATCCGACTCCATACAGACCCCTTCTACGCTGAATGTCGAGCGTATGGGCGTATTATGGAAACCGAAGCCAAACGGCCGAGGATGATGCCTATATGTGTTCCTTGTTATGGATACATGATGTTGAGTGAAGAAGATCGACATATACTGGAAACGAGATTCTATCTTGCGTTTGATGATATACATAGCCGCCGCGAACCACTGCGGGCACTCGTCAAACAATATGCTGGCTCGGACCCAGGTATTACAGAACATAGCCTCACAAAGACAAGGCAACGGATGAAAAACATGAACAAGCTCGGCATTTATAACAGAGATATTGGCTTGGACAACTTTCTAAATGGGCTATTGATCGACTTTGACAACGCATGGACAGAGCCACATTGCTTCATCCAAGACATGCCTCGTCCGCACCATATCCAGGAAAACAAAGACTACGACAAATACAAGTTTGATGAAATGCTGAAGTGCAGTGGGTTTAGTAAGAAGTACAGTTTTTACCCAAACGCCGAGTTTTGTACAAAGTTGAGAAGCAACGTTGTGCACTATTATAGCGACGCGTTTAGTGATACAACCACAGACACAGATACTGAATCGTAGGCTGTTGCTTTGATTTCTACTAGTGTATGCCGATTCTACAAGAATCGGATAATTTTACGACATTCATTTTTGTAAACATATTTTTGACACGTTGCTCTATCCACGACCGATATATAGCCCCAGATAGATGCTGAATGAGATTGCTATAATTGTCTACTTGAAGCAAAACTACATTCTTCCAACTATGTAAATCAATCACCCTTGGCTTCCTAGGCAAAGCGCCACCACGTCAGCCGCGGCTGTGCTGTCCACTCTCGTTGTAGCGGGCTGCCTCGCTAGACGCCTTGCTACTACGCCTTCTCATTAAAACTCATTAAATCATCAAACCTCTAATAATCATTCGCACAGAAGTAGACATCGCTCCAATACGACCTGTTCATATCTTACACGCCCTCAATACACTGCATCCCACCGCCATGGCAGCTCGCGACCAAGTCCTTGCGCTGCCAGAATTGACGGCGAATATCCTGCTACATGTTGACCAGCAAACGCTTCTCATCTCAGCACAGCGCGTCTGTAAAGCATGGCGAGATCTAATCCATTCCGTCCCATCTTTAACGCGCCACCTCTTCCTCGACATCCGTCCAGCCAGTGACGGGCCCTACGCTAAGCAGCCGCGGCGATTCAACCCTCTTTTAATGAAAGCATTCCCCTCCTTCTTCAAACAGATCGCGCATGGCGAAGAGCCTCCTAAACCGCACAGCAAAGACATCAGACACACTTTTGAAGATACGGGAATCTTTAAAGCACGACCCCAGGTCCAACTGACACAGCGGGATCCCGACAGAACCATCTACAGCGCGGATGAGTGGAAAGAAGCCTACGATCGTGAAGTAGACATAGAGTCTCAAAACCCGTTTCTACGGCACGGTGCCTCTTGGCTGCGCATGCATGTCTGCGATCCACCAATCACGCAGATTGGGCTGCATAGTACCACCATCTCCCGTGGGTTGAATATGCTTACGTATAACGACTTGGAAAAAGACGACGGTCTACGAATGGATGACCTATACCGTTATTTACTCCTCTTTGCTGCCCATAGCCCGAGCCCGGACTTTTCTGTTCTGTGGCCCAGGCAGGAGCCGCACGCCTTCACTGTCGAAGTGCAAGAGTTTGATCCAGACAACAGCGCCGACTCTTTAAGGACATTCAAGCGTGTACATAAAGTGGTGGAGCCGCCGGTGCTGATACAAAAGTCCACATTCCATAGCTGTATGCGACGGTTTGACGACCGCCAATTCCTGTATATTTCCGTGGGATATTCCTTTTTCGGCGGCAAGGATAGGAGAATGGCGGAGCTGTAAACGCCAATGAACCTTGATGTCCTCCCGCTAGGAAAGTAAAAACGCGTTGGACAATGGAGCCGTACGATGGACGAGATGGCTGTCTGATGCGATTGGTCGCCTCGGTGCGATGTCTTAATCCCTCGGCCGATATACCCCAGTTAAATCCGATTTTCGATGTGGCTATAAGAGCCTCCATCTGATAACAAAATAACAACAGAGCCCGCCTACGGGTTTGAATTGAATTATGTGACAAGATTCTCCCTGTTAACTTTCAGCAATGCCGACTCTGAGCGAGACAACCCACGATCCATCTGCACCAAATGCGCCTGCGTATTCCGTGATAGCCGATGAAGCAAAGCCACAAGATTCAGATGGACAACCTAAAGCGGCCACGGCCAATTCGGTCGTCCCACTGGCTGAGTGGTCAACGGTTACCAAGTACTGCACCGTCGTGGGGTAAGATCTACTTGGATTCGAATGGGAGGAACATACTAAATAAGATGCAGCACATATGTGATGATTCTTGTAGTATCACTGCGGGCGACTGTGGCCCTGACGCTCACGCCGTACATGACCAGCGACTTTGGTGCCCATTCTCTAATCCCATTGACGAATCTATTGGCATACGTTGTCTCAGCAGTCGTTCAACTTCCTCTTTCACGAGTCATCAGCCATTCAGGCCATGTCTACACATTGATCGCAATAGTTCTAGTAGATACACTAGGTAAGTCAACTGCCTAATGAATGCACGCAATAGCAACACTTACAAAACCTAGGCTTGGTTCTGCTTGCAACTTGTCGCACGGTCGAATGGTATGCTGCCGGATTTGTAAGTCTTCGTACTGTAACAGCAAATGGACTTTTTAAACCCTGACTAACAACCTACTAGGTCATGTTTGAAACGGCATTCGGTGGCCTCACTTACATCCTACGTCTTCTAATTATCGATACGGTAAAGAAGCAGCATCAAGCGGTAGCGTTTGGCCTGACTACCGTTCCATACCTCATCACACCATTTGCAGGGCCACCAATGGCTCAGGCATTCTTGGAAGGACCAGGATGGCGGTGGGCCTATGGATCGTTTGCTATTGTGATGCCAGTCTTTGGAATCGCTATGGTAATTGTCTTGGTTATAGGCGAGCGCAGCGCGAAGCGACAGACAGTGCATAAGTCGAAGCTATTATGGGCCAGAGTCGTGGACTACATGATCGAAATTGACGGTAAGTGTCATTTATTAGCCCTTTCAAAGGGGAATTTGACTGAAAATGTGGCCAGTTGTCGGATTGATTCTCTGTTGCGTGGGTATTGGGATGCTGCTCGTTTGCATTACCGTAGCCACGGCTGGCCTCATACATTGGAATTCTTCCGCGTTCATATCTATGCTTGCCATAAGCATTGATCTTCTCGTTACTCTGGTGGGCTATGAAAGATCACTGGCTTCACAACCTTTTGTCACTCCCGGCATTCTATCAGATCGATGTGCTTTGGGGGCAACGCTGGCGATCTCGGGGCAGCATATGAGTTACGGGTAAGTACCCTGCGTCGGGGTTACATGTGCTGAAACTTTTGCTAATCAATGGTTACTCGAGTTTAGTATATGGTTTTCTTATTTCACCTCATATCTACAAGTCGTTTTCTACCAGAGTATCCGGAATGCAGGTTACATCAGTAATATCTATCTTCTGGGATGGGGTATTTCCGCGGGTGTGGCTGGCCTGTAGGTACTATCTCTGTAATTTAGCCTTAAATAACTAACATTGATAGTATTCTGCATTACACACATCGCTTCAAATTGGTCACTGCTATGAGTATCGCGGGCACAATCTTGTCTACCGGCCTGATTCTCTACTGCAGTAAACCAGGATCCTCCATCAGTGGACTGATCGGGTGTCAGGTCGTGTTTTCAATATCGGCAGGATTCATCAGCGTCTCAATGATGATGGGTGTTTTGCATAAAGCTAAGCCGGGCGAAAATCCCATGCGCATGGCCCTTTTCTTCATGATATCGCTTCTTTTTTCGGCACTGGGCTCGACCGTCTCTACAGCTATTTGGCGAAATGTGCTTCCAGGAACACTAGACAGGCATCTACCCGAAGGTCTTAAGAATCAGGCTACCAAAATCGCAGGCTCAATCGTGGTGCAGCTTTCGTACCCACGTGGCTCTGTGGGCCGAGACGCCATAATCCTAGCTTTTGCAGAAGCGTGGAGGTCTTTGATGATAGCTGGGACTTCAGTGCTCGGGTTATCCGTAGTCGGGGTTCTTGCTATGAAGGAAGGGCAGCCATCACGCAGAGTTGAGTCGCCTGAGGCTGACAAGGTTTAAAACGTGCTGAAATAGAAAGGTCGCTCCATTTTTATATAGATGACGAAAGACTTGATTGAATTTGCCGAATTATATTGAAGTTTTATTTCCTCTATATTTTGCGGTCATTGTGTGACTTTGGGCGTATCCTGTTGTGTAGCAGGAGCTTCAATGGGGGACACTTGGGGTAACTCCGAACCAAGGTCGACCTCGGTGGTATCCTGCAGCTTTCTCTTCGCCACCGTATACCATGCCATAGCACATGTGGCAACCAAAAGAATAAAAGTGGTGACGCCAGCAAGCGTTCCTTCTCCGGGCGTTGAGCCGGTTGACTCGTTGATCTTCTCAATTGCCCAGGGATAGCATTTCGACTTGATGAGAATGAATATGCCCAACCCAATGTAGAGAAGAGGGAGGAGATACTCAACATATTTCTGTACAAATGCCAGAATATGTCTCTGCCTCATGACAAGATATGCTGCTAAGCACCAGAGGAATAGCAGTATGTAATAGGTGACGATGTAAATAGCGATGGCGCTCTTTTCGATTTGCGAAAACAGTGGGATATATGTGCCAATATTGTCACCGCCGTTCATAAGAGTGACCAGAGCCACTTTGAATATGCCCTTGAGCGTAGCAGTTGTCGTGATTTCAGTGTCATCATCGTCGTCATCCTGGAACAGTTTGGCAAAGTTCCACAGTCCGAGCAGAATGGGCAGAAGGCCAAGGAAGCCAATTGGCTCAGGGGGCAGGACCAGAGACACTCCAAATCCAATCATACTGATTATAATAATGACTGTGAATCCCAGCAGCTGGCCCAGTGTAATTTTCCATGCTGATAGAGTGCGACTTGTCGAGGCTTCTGCATAGAATGTGACAAGCACGAACATGTCGTCAATGTTGGTGATGGCGAACGTGGCACATGCCTCGCCTATTGACTCGCCAAAATTCATCTTGAAGGCTTTTAGTGTTTCTTTACAGCCTGCAAGAAGTGTAGTTTAACTTGTAGGTGCTTGGTTACGGCGTCTGTGAAAAGTTGAAGGTCGTAGCTTGGTTGAGGCTATGCCCAGCTCAGGCACGTTTCGTCGTGTCACGTGTAAGCTGCAGGCATACCATCATCTTCTACAAAGGATTCGAACGCGACTGGGCCTTGGAATTAGCTTCGTTATAATTCCCAGATACGCGTAATATGAACCGAGGCATTTCAATCCCCAAAAATTAAAATTGACAATGCATTGTAGCTGCGCTAGCACTGGTGATACATCTTTATATGTTGAAGTTCATTGGTACGAATTGTCGAGCCACCATGGCTCCCATAGCTTTATTTACATTCATGAAGATGACTAGTAGAATTTCATTATATAGAAAATTCCTTATGTATTTATAAAGAATACTACCCACTCGGTTTTCCATACGCGCGAGTGGGTGCTCAGTTCGTGGCTTGCAGCGAGTCGGGCTGGACAAAGAATGCAATCGCGATAATGACGTATCTGTGAGATCGAGATTGTTAGCTGCAAGAAAGCCACTGTGAAGAACATCAGATACGTACGTGGCAACTAGAAGCATGCCCTCAAAGTAGTTTGTCTTTCCGCCTCGAACGAGACAGCTGACGACCAAGGTAGACATGGTCAGGACAATGGTCTCAAAAGTGTCAAACTGAAGCGACATCTTTTTGTTGTTAATCCAGCCAACAATGACAAGAAATGGCGTAACAAATAGCGAGATCTGCAACGTGGCGCCGACAATGACAGAGACGGCCAAATTGAGACGGTTGGTTTTGGACCACTGAATGGCGCCAACCAAGCACCCACCATTGCCGACAATTGGCACTATAATAAGACCGATAAAGCTTCGACTGATTCCCAGTGCTTCGACAAACCCGTCGACGCTGTCCACGAGCGCATCGGAACAAAATGCCACACCAAGAGTAGCTAGAATGAGCACGACGCAGCTAGACAGTCCATGAAGCTTGTCTGTTGGCTCATCCTCTTCTTCGGCGAACAGCTCGGCGTGGGTAATAGCTTGGAAGTATAGGTATAGCAGGTAAAAGACCAAAAGAATTATAGACGTAATTCGTGACAGCGTGAGAATATAGTCGTTTGGGTTACTACTCGAGTAGCTTCCTTCGGGATCGGCGATGTGGAGTGCAGAGGGCATAATGAGCGATGCACAGGAGATAATCATCAATGATGTCAGAATCCCCGCCACGTCCACGTTGATGTCGACGGTTTGTTTGTTTCGGCCAGCTAGAAAAAAGGATGTGCCGAGAATCTGATATCATATTAGCGTAGGAGTTATTTCGCACTGGGGGCGGTGAGCATACTAATAGAATCGACGACAGAATACTGCCAATCATACTGGACTGCACAATCGCAATCTCACCCTCCTTCAAGGCGCTGATGCCAACCTGCAATTTGTCAGTTACACCAACATAGCCAATTGGACCAAGACAAAAAAAATAGCTTACAATCATTTCGACAGCATTGCCAAATGTCGCATTAATCAGGCCACCAGCGACCGAGCCAACAACGGCAGCAAGCTGCTCCGTAGCAAAGGTGAGGATAGAAGCGAGGGGCAGCATAGCGAGAAAGTTGAGCGCAAAGATTACCGCGGGTGACCAGCCCCAGCTGCTACCCATGAGGCCAAGCGGGACGCATATCAGGAGGATATTGGAGCTTCCTAAGCGAATTGTTGCATTGAGCGCGTGTTTGAATTCTGCAGTGAATGCTGAAATATAGTTTGGCGGGCTTGTGTGCGTGGTAGAGAGTAGCGGCGTAGCCTCGCCATGGCCATTCGCAGTAGGCCGGGCAGTCATGGCGAGAGAAGAGAAGAGAGGAAGAGAAAGAAGCTGTGGGATATCTGGGAGAAAGGACGAATGGCAGAGAATTAATCTTGATGCAGCGCAGTTATGTTGTCGACATTTGCATGGCACAGCAGACAAAGCAAACAAACACAACCAAAATGATGAAGAGAGAGAACAACGGCGGGAAGAACAAATGGGCCGTTTGGGGCGTGTCTGGCATCGGCAACCGGCACAGGCTGGGCTGGCTGCAGGGGGGGTCAGCGCTGCATGACCCATACTTTGTGCACTGCCCCGTGAGTGTGTGCTCAGCTTTGACGCACACGCAAACACACCTCGCATTGGCTGTTATCGTTGGCTGCAGCCTGTTTTATTTGTTTTTGGGGGGGGCCTGGTCAATCCTTCTCTCCATCTTGAAAGCGTCGTTGATAATAAACGGCGTAGAGGTGGTAATCGACGGGCATCACCCCAATCTGCCCATACACAGCCAATGGACGCCAAAACATCTGACACAATCGACTCCTCCTTGGATGCTACTGCAACTCCCGCGGAACAACAGCCTTCTGTTCGGCGTCGAGCGCAACTGAAACCTGAAGCAGCAGCAGCGCCTTCATCGTCACTAGCAGCAGCAGCAGCATCAGCTACAGCTTCAACCAAGATGCGTGGCAATTCCCCTAACTCGTCGCCTCTCCTCCAACAGCAGAGAGAAGACGATGCTCAGAGTTCTGATGATGACATCAGATCGGCGCGGCTGGCGAGAACATCGTCGATGCCCCGGCTGCTGAGATCGGAGACGTCTCGCGAGCTCAACAACATTCTCAACAATACTCACTATGGCCCTATCAAATGGATGCTGTTGGTCGTGCCGGTCGCGATACTTGCTGGCGTCGTATCTCCACCATCGCCGCTGAGCTTTTTTCTCAACTTTCTGGCCTTGCTGCCGCTATCGGCATTGAGCATTCTTACCATTCTCGTTTTGACGAAAAATGCTGGTGTATCTGGTGGTGTCCTCCGAGCAGTATTTGGAAACATCACCGAGTTGGCTGTAAGATTTTCTCTTTCATTCCCAACTTCAGTGCTGAGCTCCTGTTCCCTAACGTGCTATTTTTATAGCTTAGTATTACAGCGCTGTTCCACGGCATCAGTCGGCTTGTGTTGCAAATCACAATTGGAAGCACACTGATATATTCGCTCTTTGTAAGTTTTACAGAAACACTCTGACTAAAAAGCATCTTGTGCTGACAATTTGCAGGTCCTGGGAGGCTGCTTCTTATGCGCCAGCTTTGGAAAACGAGACGCCGAGTTCAGTAAAAGTAGAACCAGTCTCATGTCGTCCCTCATCATGGTCACAACCTTTTGCCTAAGTATCCCTACGGCCATGTCCCGGTCAGGAAAAGGAGGTGTGCAAATTCCCATCGTCGGTTCGCTTGGCAAACACGAAGAGACGCTTGTCTTGTCCCATCTAACCGCTGTTGTTTTGTCCTTCCTGTTCCTTGCTTACATTGCGTTCCGATTCTTGACACACGACCAATTCTTCCCTAGAAACCCCAACGCCATGCAGTTTAATGTTAGTGGGCGCGCCCCTTCATTGCCTGCTGGCCGTACTCAGGAGGCCAGTGTTCTCACCCTAATCGCTGTTCTCGTTACGAGCATCTCATGCACTGGCCTTTGCGCAAACTTTGTAATTGTCAGTATCAAGCCTACAGTCGACACTCTGCACGTCACGCAGAGCTTCATTGGGCTGGTAGTGCTGCCATTGACTGCAAGCTTTGCCAAGTCGGTTACAATTATCCGACATGCTCGCTCCGATAACAACACTGTCGTTACAGAGAGAATGAGCAAGCTCGACTTTGCTATCCGATCCGTCATGACAAACGTGCTTGATACCCTCCTCTTCATCATGCCCATGCTGGTACTGATAGGATGGGTCGCCCACCGGCCCATGGTGCTTTTGTTTGAACTCTTCGAGGTCGTAGTGTTCGTCTTGGCCATTATTATCATGTCCTACCTAGTGCAGCATGGCAAGACGACGTATTTTGAGGGATGCATGCTTATGGGATCGTAAGTATTCTACACATTTCAAAAGAGGCCGTCAGACGCAGATTATTAAAAGACATTGCTAACTGTTTTTGCTTAGATATCTATCGATTGTCGCCGCATTCTACGTTCGTCCCGAATCTGCTGGATCAATAGCCAGTGCCTATATTCCCTTCTAAAAAGCCGAATACCCTTACTGTTAATGTCGGATAAAATATGCGACGGAAATAATTGCATATCTGCAAAATTTTAGTTAGAATCAGTTGAAATAGAACAAAGGTTCAAAACGACCAAAAACTTACACGCAAAGAAACATGACTCCGTGCAGATATGTATAATGCCGATCCTGCAGCACCTGGTTGACAAGAATGACGGCAAAGAGCAGGACGTATGTCTGCGATGAATCAAAGTAGAGATCCATGGGGCGACCCATGGCCCATCCAATCATTACAAGACAGGGCAGCACAAACAGTGCGATTTGCAAGATGCTGCCCACAATGACGGTGATGGCAAAGTCGACCTTTTGCTTCTTTGCAGCTGCAACAACTTGGGACAGCTCTGGTGCATTGCTAGCGATGGGGATGATGATCAGAGCAACAAAGGCTTTGGTGATGCCCAACGCCTCTGTCAGCCCGTCCAAGCTTTCCATGAAGTAGTGCGTGCAAACGCCAATGAGAATGCCAGATGTAATGAGAACGGCAAAAGCAATTCCAACCTGTCTCATCGAGGGGGTGTCGTCGTCATCACTGGCCATTTCACAGTCGCTTCCACTCCTCTGACTTGTGCCATCCGTAGAACCGAGGTGCTGAATATCATCATGGTCATCGTCATCGGTAACTTCCGTAAACATTTCCGAATGGGTAATAACTTGGAAATAAATGTAGCTCATGTAAACAATCAACAATACGGCAACTGTGGCACGACTGTAAGAAAGGATCGTCTTTTCAAAGTTACGACCTTTATCGATGACGTTGGCATAGAGAGCAGTGGGCAGGACGAGTGCCATGGCCGCAACAAGCATCAGAGACGAGAGCATGTCAACGACACTCGAGTTGACGGCAACAACTCCCTTTGTACGTGTGGCTGCAATAATGCAAAATCCCTGGACCTGTCAAGATGTTAGCCTACGTGCTAAAGGCCAAAGTAGAATAGTGAATGGCTGACCAAAAGGGTGTCGGAGAGGATGCTGCCAATCATGATGGATTGAGCAACACGCAGCTCATTGTGAGAAATTGCTAGAATTCCAACCTGTATACATGGCGATGTATTAGTACAAAGAATCAAAGAAATATGATTGTCATAAAAGCTTGCTTACAATCAGTTCGACAGTGTTGCCAAAGGTGGCGTTGACCAGGCCGCCAATGATGGCACCCCATCGATCGCCAACAGTGTCCGACGCATCTGAAACGAGTGCCGAGAGAGGAATAATAGCCAAAAAGCTAACCAGCGATATTACAACGTCGTGGCATCGTAGTGCAGCCGTGATAAATGTGAGTGGCACACAGATGAGCAGCAGGTTGACGCTAAGGAGATGCTTGCGCAGAAGGCGTCTCACTCGTCGCAGACTGAATGAAGTCGACGACTGGGCGCCAGCAATACGGCCCGACATCGCGAAAAGATATTTCGGATGATGATGAGTAATAAATAGAATGAATTGACAGCTGGCTGCGTGGCCAGACGATATGCCAGACGTGCAGGACAACCACTCGTCACGTGCGGGCTGGTATGACGGGAAACCTGGCTGTGTCTCCAGCTGGGCGTGAGGCCCGGGCGGCGGATCCTTGTCATCGGCAATCCGGCAACGCTCATTCTCCAACGCCTCAACCACGTCGGCAACTGTGAATGGAATTCCGTTACTATACATTATGGATCGGCTGGAAAATGGAAACTTAATGTCGCCATCGAAAAATGGTGATCCCAAGCCCAAAGCGAAGCTGGAGGCTGGTACTAATCGCCGGCGGAATGTCTTTGCCCCCAAGACAAAGACAGGTTGCTTCACTTGTCGGTATGTCTACCAGTCTGACAATAGTCCCCAATTTTTTATTGAACGGTTTAATTAACATGCTGCCCTTCTTTCTCATTTAGACGCCGGCGTATCAAGTGCGATGAGCAGCGGCCTATATGCAAACGCTGTGTCTCAGCAAGGTTTGACTGCGAATACCCTAAACTACTCTCAAAGAAACGGCCACCAGTCCTGGTTTTGCAACCGTCCTCCAGTTCGCAGCCTGCTGGAACCGAGCATGTAGGGTACGAGACAGAACTCTTTGGATGTTTTCGAACGTTTATTGTCGCCAGTCTTGGTGGCTCCTTTAATCATCTGTTTTGGAGAGTAGATGTGCCGGCTGCCGCCCAAATCCACCCGTCTTTGTGGCATTCTGCGCTGGCGATAGCTGCTATTCACCACAGTGCAAGACTGCAAAAAGCACGAGTTCGTGAATCTGGAATAAAACAACTACAGCGCAATGTTATTCGGAACCACTACTACATCCTCGCACTCACTCATTACAACAAATCCATCCGCCACGTGGCTGATCTGCTGGGCTCGCGCCATCTCCACAGCCTAACCTATATGGAGAAGGAAATGGTCATCATCAACAATATTTTATACCTGGGCATATGTTCTATGCTGGAGGATCCAATACAGCAAAATTCCCATAACACAAACTTGTTCAATTTTCTGGAAGCTGTCCGGTTTGGTGAAGAAGACCCTTCTACTCACAGTGGTGTGGCACGGTTCGAGGACTTACTTTCTGTTGTCTTGGCCATCGACGGCAGCTTTGATGGGAATGAAAAAACACCAGATCGCGAGTTTAGGGCTTGGGCCGTTGCAATTCCCAAACATTACGCATTGCAGACAATCACTCAGGCGTATCTTGAGATTTTACCAGTGGTTTATCGTCGCCTTGCTTTTAGTGACACTGAAATACTACCAAGCACCGGGCAGGCCATGGAAGAAATTCTCCGTCAGAAAAGAATACGCTCTTTTGAAGCCAAGCTCGATGCATTTGAGAAAGGACACCGAAATTTAAATCAAAGAGATCGTGAGGCAGTGGAGATGATGAGGCTATATATGCAGTGTATGAACATCAGAAGCGAGATTCTTGGCAAAACCTCTAGAGAAGACGCGATGGAACATGACGCGAAGTGGATAGCCGTCGTGGACCAAATTGGCGATCTCCAAGCACGAACAACGCCACTCGACCGCCCATACTCACACGAAATCGCACCGATTACGTTTGCACCATCACTGGGCGCTTTATTGGGAACAGTGGCAGCATCTGCTCATAATGTCGATACGCGCCGCAAGGCGGTTGATCTGATGAAGAAGTGGCCTTTTAAAGAAAATAATACCAGCAGCGAGGAGGAGGCTGTTGGATTTGAGGCCATGATAGACTTTGGACTCCGCGGACCCGAACGAACAAGACCATGGCAGCAAGCTGGCTTGCCAATCTTACCTACATTTGAAAACGGCAGCCTTGAAAGTGGCATCTTTGATGGGTGCAAAGGGTGTGAGTGCATTTACGGACGATTCATATGCAAGGACCACAAATTAGGCCGCTATACACCAGACATGACAAGTGTGCCACCACGAATCGGTCTGTTGAGTATGTACGAGCGTCGCCACGAGCTACCCCTTACATGGTATTCTCTTGAGTATACATGATGTTCTCCTACGTAGACATGATGAGAATCAATCCGAGTGGTGAAATAATCACAGGACGACTAGTGTCATTCATCAAGATACAACCAGCTACAGAATAAGCATGTTGGCGAAAGCAAGCTATTTTTGTACTATATGTACTATGTACTGCGGACAGTGTGCTCCGCTGTTGTAGCTAAATGTACGTTATGTATACTGGCCACTGCATGATATGTACGAGCAATGGATGCAAAAGCATCGGTGCGTATGCATCTTTTTAAGAAGAAGTCAAGGGCTTCTTGTTGATGATGGCAGTGAAGGCAGCAAGGGCAGCCTCAGGCTGGTAGGCGGGGACCTCGTGACCAGCCTCATAGACGCGGAGCCAGTTGAGGTTCTTGTTGGTCTTGTACTCGCCGTACTGCTTTCCGTTGACGGTGAAGGGCTGGACGCTCTTGCCAGCAAAGGTAGATCCACCAATAGCGTTGGCAGCCTCAAGGTTACCAATCCAGTTGCAGATCCAGTCAGCATCACCGGCCCAGATGAGAGTATTGACACCAGAGTCGACAACCTTGCCGAGGGTGCGGAGGAAAGATCGGCCGCTATCAGCAGAGCCAATTCTGCTACCACCGCACTCAGAGTAGTCTCCCTGAGCACCAATGGCCTTCTTGACAGCGGCAGAGTTGAGGTAGTTGACATAGGTGCTAGGGGGGTAGGAGTCAGAGTCAGCACGGATGTCGTAGACGTCCCAGCTGCCCTCGAGCTGCCACTCAGTAACCTGTCGGCACTTGGAGTCACCGTTAGAGCAGGCTCTGTCAGAGGTGCTTCCGGGGGTGTCAGTGCAGCTCTTCATGGCGGGAATGCAAGTGTTCTTCCAGTCCTGAGTGAGTCTGTCGGCGGTGTCCTGGTCAATGAGAGGGCGGTACTTGTTCTGGAGACCGAACTCGACGTATGCATTGTACTGGTTGACTGGAGTGATGTGTGTTAGTTGCAATCGCGGCTTAAATGGAAGTGATGGAACAATACTCACCAGGGTCAATCCATCCGTTGTTAATACCCAGAGCAACCAGGTTGATCTTGCTACCAGTGATGGTGCCGGCATCGATGGCAGCATTCTGCTGCTCAAAGTAGTAGGCAAACTGAGGACCGTAGTGGCCACCGTACGACTCAGTGAAGAGACCAAAGTCGCGGGACTTGTAGTCGGGGAACTGGGTATAGAAAGCCTGGAGAAGCTTCCACACAGCAGGAGCAGCAGTCTGGGTGTTGGTGGCGTCGTCGGTACCGTAGCTGAAACCAGTGCCGATGGGCTGGTCAACATAGAGCTACAACAGACATGTTAGTTACGCAATAAAAAGGAGCAGGTGATGTAGAGGGGTTTACATACCATGTTGGCAACATTGTTCCAGGAGTTGGGGTTCAACTTGGGCTTGGAGCCACCGTCGTTGAAGGTACAAGGGCCGTGCTCCTGGAAGAGACCAATCATGGAGCTACAACCAGGACCACCGTTGAGCCAGAGGGCAAGAGGAGCATTCTTTGCGTTCTTGCGGGCCTCAAAGAACCAGAACCACATGTTTTGATTGCTTCCTGCGAGATTGTCAGTGGAAATGGCGTCATCAATAACGGCAAGGGTACCCACCAGTGGAGAGATAGCCGGAGTACTGGTTGACGCCGGGCGTGGTCTCGCAGATGCCAGAGTTGTTGACATACTTCATCTGAGACGCAGTAGCAGCGTGCTCATAGACGTTGTAGTGAATATCGGCCTCCTGGATGGTGTAGGCTCTGTCGGCAGCGGGCTTGGGGGAAGCCTGGGCCACGCTGGCAAGGCCAACAGCAGCAATCAAGGTCTTGAATTGCATGATTTCAACGGTTCTCTGGAGTATATTCAACTTCTAATGAAACAAGAGAATGAATCAAGGATTATCGTCAACTCTAAGGAGGGGGAAAACCGTCCCTTCTTATGCCATAGTCGCCCCTGTGCAAGCGAATAGGTGATAAGGGGACTATCCATTTACAGTTGGTTAAGCATGAGCAAAGGAACTTTTAGGTTCCATCTTGCGTGGGATCTGCATGATAAATCGTGGAGGACCTGCCCCATTAGGCAGGTAAACGGTAAATGTTACCCCGACTTTGTGGTTACAATTGGTATCTTGTCGTCTGCCGAGGGACAAACCTCTGTATCTTAAGCAGGTATTTGGTTAACCTTGTTTGGTTTGTCGGTTAGTGCAAACGATCATGTGTTCCAAAGGAGGGGTACTGGACGCGACCTGCCCATCGATACGAAGCCATCAAGGGCCACCTCCCCTCTTTGGCGGGGGTATTTGTTTGAAGCTTGGTTCAACAAGGAAGCTTGGTTTGGACAAGATTTAGTAATCAGATGCAAAGGATGCATTCGCTGCCCAGAAAAAACGAACAACGGGCTCCTGGACGCGTGGTTTCGGCAATGCCAAGCCGTGGCTCACGATCAGCCAAGTCGTACCAGATGGTACCAGCAGCTAGTGAGCCGGCTTGGCTTGGTGGTAATAAGAAAATATTCTAGAAGGATAGCCGAGCTCTAAATGAGATGAAAAGAAGTCTCTTGTACAATTACCCCCCAAGAGGTTCCGATCAGCACAGCAGGGCTAGCGGCTCCTTCCGTAAGCCCTAGCGGCCGTTTTCTCGATATTGCAGAGCCATCTCGCGGGAATGACCCCGAGTCTCACACGGAAATAGGGTGAAGACACAGGGTTACCAAATACAGCATTTTTTGCGAATTTGCTCCGTTATCCATTCCTGTGGCGGTGGGCTCATGCTAATCTGGGGCCAAATAGGTGATGCTGACAGCGCTAACGAAACAAAGTGGACATTTTACTCCAGGTAACCAAGCTTGGAAGGAAAATTAAGCATGCTCGGCACTGTCTAGCGCGCCCCTCTGTTGGAGGCAAAAAATGATGAAGACAACAATTTATGAGCTTTGTGTCGGGGTGACAATGTGTCTTTCTACATCCCAAGCCAGTCATAGTAGCATCCTCAGTGTTGATTGAGGAATAAAGATGGCAGTTTTCAACATCAATCGAGAGGGAGTGACGGCTGCCGCCTTGCTCGCCCTTGTCGGCATAGCGCAAGCCACCATCGCCGCTGATCCATCGTCATGCGGCGGCGCGCCCATCACTAGCATCGAGCAACTCAACAAGACTGTCCACGGTCGCGTATTCTCCAACACGCCATTTGCCCTGCCATGCTTCTCGAGCTACAATGGCAATGCTGTGACTCCCGATCCCAAGGCATGTGCTCTTGCACAAGCCAACTACGCCTCTCTAGGATACCGGTCGCCGATCCCGGGATCGTACCAGAACGGCCAGGGCGGCATGTGCAACGCCGACCCGGCAGACCAATGCGAATTGGACCGCAGCAATCCCTACAACCCACAGCCTTTTGCCAACGGCACCGACTGTCGCCAGGGCAGTGTAGCTACGCACTATCTGCAAGTCGAGGAACCCTCCGATGTTCAAGCTGCCTTTAACTACGCCAAGGCGACCGGCCGAAAGCTCACCGTCAAGAACAGCGGGCATGATTACACCCTGCGAAACTCTTGGAAGGGATCTCTGGCAATTTGGACGCGCAAGCTGACGAAGCTGGAGTATCACTCCGAATTTACACCCGAAGGCTCCCATAATACGAGACAGCGAGGCGTCAAGGCCATCACTACTGGCGCTGGTGCCAACTGCGGCGATGCATACGCCTTTGCAGAGGCAAACAATGTCACCATCATCTGCGGGTACAGCAAAACTGTGGGAATATCTGGCGGCTGGGTGCAGGGCGGAGGGCACTCTGTACTTTCCCCCGTCTATGGCCTCGGTATGGACCGTGTTCTTCAGTTCAAAGTGGTTACGCCGGACGGCAAATACCGCACTGCCAATGCTCACCAGAACCCAGACTTGTTCTGGGCGCTTCGCGGTGGTGGTGGCAGCACATTTGGTGTGGTCATGGAGAGCACGCATGCTGTGGAAGACAACTTCCCACTCATTGTTGCCAATCTGACTCTGCCGACGACCGACAGTGGCCCGATTGTCGATACGATGAAGCTGTTGATCGACAATGCTGTCCGATGGGGCGACTTGGGCTGGGGTGGTCAGATCATGCACAACCAGTTCATCTATGTCAACCCCAAACTGAGCCTCGCCGAGGCCAAGGAGTCCATGAAGCCTGTGTCTGATTTTATCCTGTCGCAGGGCGGATCCGTATTTTTTGAAGAAATGACTTCTTTCCATGACTTTGTGCACACGTACATCTCACGATATTTTGCTTCGGCAGGCGGCATCCTTTTCCCAGCCAGCCGCCTCATCTCCCGCATGACTATGAACTCGGAAGATGGCCGTGCCAAGCTCATGGAAGTCGTCAAGGATCATGCTGCACATGGCGGCCGAATGTACGGCTCCGTTGATGTACCTACCATCTTCAAACACCAAGCCAACTCTACCTCTGGCACACCAGGATGGTACAAGTCGATTTGGCACTTCCATCCTACGGTAACCTGGACTTGGAACAGTACTCTCCCAGAACGTCAGAAGGCCGTGAAGCGACTTAATACCCTGACGAAGAACCTTGAGGCTGTCTCACCTGATACTGGCAGCTATCTCAACGAGGCTAACCCGTTCACGGCCAACTGGAAAGAAGCATACTGGGGCATGGGGAATTACAATAGATTGCTTGCGATTAAGAAGCAGGTCGATCCCAGCAGATTGCTGCTGTGTTGGCGATGCATTGGCTGGGAGGAGAGCGACGAGCAGAATAACTGTCTCACAGCCCTCAGCAATGTCAGAACTGAATAAGCCGCAGACAAACATGAATATATATTACCGAACTCCTCTGGTGCACCTGTCAACATTTTTTAATTTATCTCGCCGTGTTTGGGACTAGCTTAAGGCGGGTGCCACCCCGCGTAATTTCTCCAACAATGCTGTGGCGTCCCATTGGCTTAAACGTTTTATTATTTGATCTGCAGCCATATTTAGATTCGCGGATATGATGCTGACTTGGTGCCAGGGGTGTTCTTGCTGTACGTGGCTTCATTCCCAACAGCATGCCGCAATTCCAAGCAGTGATCCAAGATTTCCTCGCTACTGCCAAACACGCTGGCAAGACAAAGATTGTCATTGATTTGCAGAGCAACCGCGGCGGTATCATTTCTCTCGGCCACGATCTTTTTCGTCAATTCTTCCCACAGACACAGGAAAGCGCTGTGACCTGCTGGAAGAATTCGGATACATATGTTGATATCACTCGAGCCATCAGTGACAGTCTCGAAGGATTCGACCCGTACGCTCCCGGCGCGGACGTTGACAAGGTTGACGATTACGCCCTTACTCTGAACTGGCGTACTGATTCCAACTCGAGCCTCCAGCCCTTTGTTTCCTACGAGGACAAGTTTGGGTCCCACATCTACAAGAACACACCGTACACCAACTTGATGGCGTGGGACTTTAACGACTCGCTCATCTCTAGTCCTGACCATGGACTAGGCGTCAACACCACCGGCTACGGAAACCGCAAGAACATCACTCAGCACTGCAGCTCCGAGGATCTCGTTATTATCTACGACGGATACTGCTCGTCCACATGCACCGTTGCGTCCGAGCTCTTCCGTATCACTGGCAATGCCAAGTCAGTCGTGATGGGCGGCCGTCCCCGGGCTGGTCCACAGCAGGGCGTTGGTGGTATCCGAGGAACCCAAGTCTACGGTTATAGCGACATATAAGACTATGCTAAACGTGCTATCGAGGTGGCCACCGACAACAACATCAAGGCAAGACTCTCTAGCCTGAAGGACCTGAAGCTCTTCCGCGGCAACGGCCGCTCTAATACGCGCGACCAAATTGTCCCCGAGCACAGAGTAGACGGCGTCCCATCCCAGTTTGTCGCTACATACTCGGAATGCCGTCTGTACTGGACCGAACCTATGCTCAAGGATATCCAGGAGGTCTGGAAAGCTGCTGCTCGCTCGGCATTCAACGGCGCCAAGTGCAACTACCGTGGCATAAAGAGATCACCAACTGTGTCTCGATCCGAGGATATTGCTACTGGTCAAGGCCCAGCGCCCGTGTTGTTGTCGCGCAGTCTTCGTGAATCGCCGATGTTGGCATCAAAGAGCGCTGCTTGGAAGGCTCTCTTTAATGTGGACGTTCCCAAGTTTGAACTTTAAAATAGGGTAATGAAGCCATGTGATTTTCTGTTTTGTACGTAAAATTTTGGTTTGGGATATATATGTCGTACAGTGTAGATATAGATGAATATACTTTGGTGGAAACCTGCACTACATCCAAAACCTAGCGTGTGTATCCAAGAAATAAAAAGGCCCTCACATAAATCTAGAATGGGCATACCAACACGGTATATATAGGATCCGTGTATATTCAAGCTCATTTTATAAGCCCTTTATTTTGTTTTGACAGGCGTAATAGCCCCCATGGCAAGGCTGTCCCAAAGTAGCAGGTCGTATACGGAACGAGGCGTATCGCAACGGCAAAAACCCATCGCGAGGTTTCCAATCAAAATCTCCGGGCTTGGGGCTGAAAATGCGCCTTGGGCCAATGGTGCTTAATTATCATCATTTACTCGCTTTCAGGATAAAGGGGCTTAGGCTGACATGGCAGTAAGGGTCCAGTAGCCGCATGTGAGGCCTGCTTCGGAGAATGTTAGGTGTCAGCTCTGTGCCATTTGCTTGTGAATACTATATTTAAGCGAGCCTCTCCTCTACTTTCTCTCATCTGATCTATTTACACCATTCTTTTATAAAAGATTTAATCCAAAGGCAAACATGTCTGCGCCACAAGATTACCCTCCCGCTTTGCATCCAGGTGCTGCGCCGCCAGCGTATCAAGCGTATAATCCCGATACAAAGCAGCCTACTGTCTCAGAGCAACCGATTAATCAACAACAGCAGCAGCATCAGTATGCTCCTTCACAGCCACAATACGGGCAACAGGTGCATCAGCCGAATCAGACTCAATATGGACAGCCGCAGCATCAACAACACGGTGCCGCGCCAGCGTTGCCGCAAGGATGGATCAGTGAATGGAGCTACCAGCACAATGCATGGTATGTACAAAACAAATCATCTACGGTGTTGTCCTAACTAGACTAATCGTCAGGTTCTATGTATATACGCCGACCGGACTAACACAGTGGGAGATGCCCAAGCCTCCTGCATCTCCAAACCAGTCGTTTCCACCTCCTCCTCCAGGTACAGCGCCCGGCCTAGAGACGACGAACAACGAGGGTGAAAAACAAAACTCACCTCCTACAACTGACCCTACGAATCAGTCTGAAAATGCTGGTGCCCCGGGACAATTTCCCTCGGGGCAGCCAGGGCAACCTGGACAAGGACCACACGGACAATCTGTTCAATATCACCCCCAGCAGCAGCATGCTTATAACCAAGGCATGCAACCGCAGCATGGGATGTCACCACAGCAAGGAATGCAAGGAGGCGAGATGCCTGGACCGGATGGCGAGCGTGGCCTGGGTAAGGCTGCGCTTCTTGTCGGTGGAGGTCTTCTTGCAGCCGCCTCTTTTGGACCATTGAAGAATAAGATTGGCAAATACTTTGGCAACAAGCCCCCTGGTGGACAACAGGGAGGCTACCAGCAGCAAGGAGGATATCCTCCTCAGCAGCAGTACAACTACGGAACTCCCCTTCCTCCACCTAGCCCGTACAACAGCAACAGTGGTCCTCAACAGCCTACCTACGGCGGTGTTCCTCCTCCCATGGCTGGCCACGTCAATCCAGTAGGCGGCAGTGGTGGCGCAGGAGTCCCGCCACTATTTATTCACGCGGCTACATTTGCGGATAGAGACATTACGCAAGTGGTCCGAAGCCTCATCACGAGAAACCAGTCCCTCGAGTTCAAGGGTAAAGAGCTCAAGAACCGATTTAGTGATCCCTGGCCCGGAGCCGATAGAAAGTCTTTCATTGTCTTGTACCAATATGGAGACCGACCCATGGAAGTATTGGCTTCCGAGTAAGTGATAAGATGTTCAAGATATAGTTTTCGTCACGCTAACAGAGATAACAGTGACCAAGAGGAACTCATTGAAATCAAACACGGCGCTATATCGAAAAAGCGAATGGACTTTTGCCAGCCGCCTCCTGCCCGCATCGTCTGCTGCATTTGGGGCGTCGCCAATGCTACATCGTATGTATCGGATCAGCCTATAACAACGGCACCTGGCGTGCTGTTGACCGACCGGGAGGAAGAACAAAATCTAATTGTGTCTCGTAGGGCGGCGAACTCACAACAACTCGAGACAGCAGGAGAGATGGAGGCTTCCAAGGAGACGTTGGGTGATGGTGACTGGTATAGCTGGGAGCATCGGACTTTGAACTGCTTCTACCGAGATGATCATGGAAACATTTCTATTGTGTCTTGTAGAGAGGGTGGTACTTTGCGTATGCCATGGAATCCTTTGGCCAAGTGGTCATGAACTGTAAAGCAGAGCGGAGAAGAACGAAACAGAGAAGAGCAGAGGAGGTCATATAATGAGGAAAAGTAGTTGATATTTTCTGGAAAAAGTAGCTAATCTATCCAAAAACGAAACTGAGCTCATATACAGAATACCAAGTAGGCAGATCCTAGGGCTATCTATATACAGTGCCTTCCTCATTTGTTTTCCCGCGAATATATATATGTATTGTCTAAATAGAAGCCATGTTCAAAATGTGCAGATGTTGTCACGAATACACAACTGTGTAGCTGCAGCACTCAGAGAAATACATCTGCTTAGATGCCACCAGCGTAGAAAGTGAGGACCTGGGGCTGGCTAGCCTGGACAGTGCCAGAAGCGTCAACACCACCAGTAGGATGGACATCATCGTACTGGAAAGCGTAGCCCTTGCCGTCAACCTCAATGTCATGGATCGACTTGGCGTAGTAGTGGGTTCGCTTCTCAGTGTAATACTTGGAGGCATCGGGGCCGGGCTGAACCTTGCCACCGGCAACATTGAAGGTAGTACGGACAAAGGCAGCACAGAGGCGGGCACCGACATTCTGGCGTAAGTCGTTGCCACTAGGAGCAAAGGGGCCGGTATTGCAGCTGAAGATATCAGCAGAGGTGGGCTTCTTGTACTTGAGGCCCTTATCACACTCAAGGACGTCGTTGGAAACCTTGCACTTGATCTTGCCATCAGTGCCTTGCGAGTCGACAGTCAGACCAGGCTCGAAGCGAAGGCCGTTCCAGACCCTGGTGACATATTCATCAAAGTAGGTGGCGAAGACGGTTGGGTCCTGCTGGTTGTAGATGTTGGGGGAGACGATGCGGACAACCTTGCCGTCAAGCTGGTAAATGAGATTGGTCCAGCCGACCTTGTCTGAGGCCTCGGCACTCTGAATCGCGCCTTGGAGAGAGCCCAAGCTGCCACGGGGCATAGCCTGGACGAGTTGCTCGGGCTTATCAGCCGAGGTGAGCTTCATGCTAGCAGGCAGGCCGACAAAGTCGACAAAGCTGAGGTTGGCATAGACCTGGCCGTCGTCGGTGTGTGTAAACTCAACAAAGCCCCAGTTAATGGCAGCGTTGGGGTCGGACTTGTTTCCAGGGTCAGGCTGGACAAGGGCGTCCTGGCCAGTGGACGCATCTCGCTGGACAAAGAATTGGAGTTTACCAGCAGAGAAGTAGACTCTAGCAGAGGTGAGAGTCTGGGTAAGCGTGACGCCCTTGGTAGCTCCCGGAGCGCCCAAGACGATTCCGGCGTCATCAGCAACAGGCTTCAGGGTGCCATCAGCGCCAGCGGTCACGTAGTTGAGGCGACCATCCTCGCGGACAAAGGCAATGCGGTTGGACGAGTCCTTGCCGACAATGTAGGCATAGCCCTGATCGGATCCGCCAATGTTGTTGACGAGATCAATGCGAAGAGGACCAGCATTGGCACTGAAGGCGTTGTGGGACACGGTGCCGGCTTCGACATGAGTTCCGTTCAAGGTGTTGAACTTGGTCACCTTGACGTCCTTGATGGTTCCAGGAGTGACGGTGGTAGCATGGTGCTTGTCACCAGCACGGAGGACAAGGGAAGAGGGTGACGTGCCCTGGGGCAAGCTGAGGCCGGCTGCGAAGAGCAGGGGGAGAAGAGAAAGAGACTTCATGTTTCTCACAAAGAGAGTTTGCAAAAGAGATGATAGAAGAGGTAGTGTCAAGAGTTCTCAGAGCTCGTTGTCTGTTTGCTGATGGTGTTCTACATCTTCATTTCGAGAGGAAAGATAGCCCTCTTTATACCCATCATGACGAGCTTCGTCGCCTGATGGTCGGGAGAAAATGAAGCCGCTCTCTATACCGTAATCCATATTTTCTTTTCCAAGGCTCCAATAGGATTTCACCAAGTGTTCTAGCAAAGCCCAAGCCGTGCTTACATGGTGCTTCTGCTCCCGAGATGCATCAGCGAGGCCAGCCAACATCGTCTTGAGGCGAGCTACACGCAAGTTGCCCTGTAGTTACGTGAGTACTGTTTGTAGATAATCATGCCAAGAAAGTACGTAAGGGAACTTATGTCCCGTCTGGGAAAGGCAAATGTCCGAATTTGGATCTATTGGCCTTCCTTTTGGCCAGTTCAGCTCTAGTATCGTTGGGCTGTGGTTAGCAACCAACCATCAGCGCACGGCCTCGAATACTCTATCTTGCAACAATGTAGCAGGTACTAATTTGTCACGATGGATTAGCTATACAGCTTCATGTAAACTCGGATATGGCCTCTTGTAGCAAGTACATGAGCAAAAGGGTTCGTCACAGCCTTCCGAACCGGCATGATGCCTGGCCAACGCACCGGTTCGCCAAACATGCTCCCAGCCTTACACGTGCGATACAACCCATGAACAAGGGTCCAAACACAATGAATACTTCCCACCCCGACGTCTTTTTATCGCGCGTTGGTAGCGGGGCGAGACGGGCCATATGCAGCTTGCTGCACGCCTGCAGGAGCGGGCTGCTTCCAGTGTACTGGATCTGTGCGCCGCAGTGTTTGGAGAAAAGAGCGCAGCTTTTTGTGGCTGGCTGCTAATACGGTAGATAATCTAGTGGCGTTTGGCGATCGTAGTCACTGAAAAGGCTCTCTTGGGGGCAAGTATAACGCCTTGTTGGTGCTAGCTATAGTTGCGAGAATGTATGTTCAGTAGATGGACCCAACTTCTCACGCCTTGTGCACTGTAACAGTAGAGAGTCGCTTCAGCCTTACACTTGTCCCGTTACGACGTAATCCTCTGCAAAGACGGGATGTATCTGCACTGTTAGGCTGTCTAAAGATACGCACGGAGGGCTAGAACGTCCCGATGCGTGGCAACTTTTGTCTGACCAACACGGCCTGGCATGGAACTTGTCTCAATGCCAAAAACGTGCTGCGGCTAGTGTCGAGCGGGCATGCTATTCGCAAACAGAGAGACCGTGACGTGGTGGCAGCCTTGGGGCAAGTCCGGAAGTAGCCCGTCCTCGCTGCATTAGCTTGGGCTTTGTTGTTTCTCACCGAAAGTACTTCCGGTACGCCCGGTCGGGGTCCTCTTCTGGCATCGTGTACCTGATTACTGTCATCTGATGCGGGAGGAGCACTTCAGCCAGCCTGATTCTGCATCTTGATTACTTGAGTTACGTGTAAGGCTGCCAAAGAGCTTAGCAGCAGGAAGAAAGTTCGGCTGAGTGGTCTTTTCGCTTGGCTACTCTTAGGTTGGTTTTTATGTTGAGGCTTTTGCGCCATCCGCCAGCCAAATTGCTTGGTTTTGTGGGAGAAGAGACCTATCAATGTCTACTGCAGAATCACAGCCTGCTTGCCGTAGAGACTCTGCGTTATTTAAAAAATGAAATTCTTTTGAAAGGGCAAGATGGGAAAGTAGTGAATTGTTTTCTCTGTGACTCAATTCATTGGCTGGTGACTCGGCTAACCAACTCGTGTTGGTGTGGCCGACTTTTGTGGCCGCCTGCAGCCGCATGCCATTGGTGGCTTTGTCTTTTTACAGGGCTGATAGACATGATATCACGAAACAAGCGATGCAAAAAGAAATGTAACTATAATTGGCAAAAAGACAAAAAAACATACAACAGCCGGTGTTCGCTGGTCGTCACCGACCCAACTACTAATCTGCCGATTACAGGCTTATCTATGGGAGAGCGGACGGGATCCCGAGTTCTCCTGTATCTATGGTCGTATGTACTAGAAAGTGACTCATTTTAGTATATATCCTTAATGCTTGACGTGGTACTAATAGTCAGGCGCCTCGACTAATTCTTGGTCGTTATAGATATAGGTGCATACAATCAACAAACAAGTGGATGTTTGTTGCCTCTATGCAGGGCCTTATATAAAGTCTTCTGTAGACGGAAGACTTTGAGAAATGTTCTTTAAGAGAATTAACTATTATCTTGAGGTATTCATTTCGCCAGCAGACCGGGGTCGGTACCCTGCTCCTCATTGCTTCCCGATCTTCCGGACTCAAACGAGAGTTCACCAGGTACGTCACGTCAATATTAGAAGATATAAAACACTTCCTTAGCCATAGAGTTATTAAAGCAGCGGCAAGTACCCCAGAGAGACTTTTTTCTAAATAAAGCTCCCAGATTCATCTTTACAGTTGAATTGAGTATAAGAATAGGAGTAGAGACTCTGCATAGGTAATAGCTTAACAGGATCCCGAGGTCTCTAGTACCTTTGGCCATATGTACTATATTATTAACCTTGACAAAAATAAATTACGCCACGTGTTTTACTGTATGACGTTGGCCAAGCCATCCGGAACCAAGATCAGAACTGAAGCAAACGGGCCGACAAGACAAAACGTATTCGATTGAAACGTTGCAGACCTTCCAGGAGCAAGTTAATTAATATATAACTTGATCACCCTACAACAAGGTCATGTTACTTCAGTCAGGTGGTCCATGGCGCGACAAGCCGACGCTGAGGCGGGCCTCCTACGGATTTACCGTTGTCCAACGGGGACCAAACAGTTTGAAACGCGGCTCAGCACTAGAACCGATAGTCTAGTAAGGTGTAAACCGCTCTGTTTCAGCTTTACAAAGCTTTTACAGCGCAGTAATGTGAGGCTTTGGTAAAGAATCGATAAGAGATAAAAATATCACGTATGTACTATACATGTATTGCTGCTCTATTGAGAGACGAATTGTATCTCTGCAGGCGCATGTGGCCTTTATTCATAGGATTCCATTTTCAATACGAAGCACAGAGATAAATTGCCGGCCGTAATGGCTATAGTGGCAAGTGCCGAAATGTCGGCCGAAGCGGCGCTCGAATGACCGGCGTTAATATCGTGGCGTGCCGGTCACTGACGTAGAAGCAAGAAAACACATAACAGCACATAAACCATATAGACAAACCATCCGAAGAGATAAATAGTAGAAGGTGTAACTTAAAAGAAAGCCGTAAAGCTAGATACTTAGGTCTTGTCTTAACTATGCTATCAGATTTATCTTGAGTGCAATTTGTATATAATAAGCCCTATTTGTCTTAGTAGTTCGCCAAAGTAGGAAGCTCCATCCATGTGCTCTATTAGATTGGTATAAGAAGAGCCTCCTTTGAGAACATATATTTTCAACGAGACTCCGTATTTTGCAGCCTATCGTCTTGCTCATTAATAAGCTCCGAGACAGTATAGTCTAATAAGCGACATGAATTGGATATCTAACGTCCTTTTGCGATCTGCCGTCTATTCCTGGAGAATAGGTCACGTTGCACCGTTCTGAACCTCCGTTATAGGCCATGACATGATTCCACAAGTTGATATATTGTATTATTACTAGTAGATCGTCTCATAACCGCAAGGTCAGCAAACTTGTTCTGCCGACGGATTTACCGCATCATACGTTACCATGACACGTTAACCTAGTTGTTTAGATGTGTCGGATTGTAGCTCGGCATAATCGATGCGAAGCGTTGAAAGTTGAGACGCGGCCAAGTTTGAGAATATCACGGCACTTCTTCGAGACGACAAAGAGTGGCATTTTTTTCAACTATAAAATACGCTCTATCGCCTTTGTATAGACACTTTTATTCAGTAAACCTTCATATCTGCAATACTATTCTATTCAAACGTCATTCCTAGTGCTCACTACCCGTCACATCACCATTACAAGATGAAATTCCTCCCTCTTCTTTCATTTGCCTTGCTAGCTAGCGCCCAATCAAAACCTTCCAGTTCGCAAGTCATTGCGCATGCTGCTTACATTAACCCAATCGGCGATCCCACAGCTTGGTCTAGAATGATTGCTTCTCCTAGCAACAAAGTTGGCCTTCTTGTCGCAAACCCCAACAATGGCCCTGACGCTTCGGTAAATGCTGATTATGCCACCGTCATTACTCAAACTGTTGGCTCAGGCAAGAAGCTACTCGGATATGTCCGCACTGGCTACCTGAGCCTTAGCGCCGATCGCTTTACAACTAGGAGTGGTTCGACTACAATCGACGCCTGGAAAACGCAAATCAAAGGAGACATTGACCTTTGGTACCAACTGGACCCCAACATTAGTGGCATCTTCTTTGACGAGTGCTGGAACCAATGTGGATCTAGCAACGAGTTCGCGCAGGTATACAAAGACCTCAGCAACTACGTCAAGAACAAGTCCCCTGGTGCATACACTGTTGCGAACCCTGGAGCTACTATTCCTCAATGTTACGAGAACGCCGTGGATACGCTGATGTCATTTGAAGGGAGCTTTGATACGTACAACAATGCGTATGTTGCGAATGACTGGACCTCTTCTACTCGGAACAAGGTATGGCATTTGGTTTACAACGTCCCAGAAGATCAAGTTAGCAAGGTTGCCGCGCTTGCCAAGCAACGCGGTGCGGACTTGATTGGCATCACCAACGGCAACCTACCCAACCCGTACAACACTCTGCCGTCGGCCAACTACGAGCAAAAGTTTGAGAATGCTGTGTCCGGTGGAAGTCTCACGGCGGCTGCCGCCAGCAGGCGCAGCGCAAAGTTCAGACGCCTGGCTAGTTGGAACTTGTAAATCTTATCACAGTGAGCTGAACGGATATGAAATGCACTGGATGCATAGGATAGTCAGTCGACTATATAACTTTTAAATATGAAATTTTCAGTCCCATTTTGGAATACTTCTTTACCATTTGTATCCACATTATGAAAAGAATACGTGACTTTTAGACCTGGCCAACGTAATGCTACCCTACAGCAAGATGGTAGATGTAACGATCGCCATAATGCCGCTACGCCATCTAGCAAAAGATTAGGCATTAACTCTATTTTGAGTAGTTAGTGTATGGCGTGTTTAGGTCTATAGCTTGTAGCTCATTATAACCCTAGCTCTTGGTCGCTACTCGACAACACCAGTCCTCAGCTGAGGCACGATTACCATCTTTCAACAGCCTAAAAAGCTCCTTCTACCCGATATGACTAGCGGACGTGTTTTATTATTGTCTAATAAATCTAATGCTTTTTCTCAATACCATCCAAGTATGATAATACCCGTTTGCAAAGCCATTCTCGCGGAGCTGCTTGGTCAGGGTCGCTCAGCGCATGTGACGCGTTCGGAATAATTCCACTGTGCTCCTGATCCCAGATGGTCCCTGTAGCAGCTCCGTCTGTGGCAGCCTGCCATCTACTTAATAAGTTTTCTTTGTTTACATAGGCGGGCACCGATTGGTCGCGCCCGGACATGACGACCATTAATTTTGTTCCGAGAAGTCCGCGTTCGTGGACTTTGCCAAACGTTCGCTGCAATTGCGCATCGCTGAGATCAGAACTGAACAAATCGTCGTCACCAGGTAAATCGGGACTGGAAGGGCTAGCAAGGCTCAGAAAGCGGCGACAAGTAATTGGGACGTTGGAATATATCGGTGCCGTCATCCAGAGGGGAATGATGGTATCGCTCTGTTGCCCATCCTTGGTGCTCTCTTGGGCAAACTCTTCTGCTTTTGCCCACTTTGATTGGACTTCTTCAGGAGAGAGACCATTAAAACCTTCGCGAAGGACCGTCATAATGGCTTCGCGATCCGAGACCGGCGAGTGCATGATGGCTCCGTCAACGGCCGGACGCTCGCGATGTTCCAAATACGGGTCAAATGGTGTCTTGGTTGTGTGAGGATTAGGCCTGTATAGGTAGTGTAGAACACATTGACTACCTGTCGAATGCCCCATAATCACCAATTTGGGCTTGCCTCCATATTTTGCCGCTTTATAGTGTTGGATGTATTGAACGCACTTGGCAATCTCGTTGGTGTCGCGGTCGAGATGGCCGAGGCCCCATTGATTGTGAGATGATGACAAGTTGAGTGTGAAAAGAGACCATTTGGTTGACTGAAGGGTGCGCACGAGATCCGACGTGTAGGAAGTTGTGGCTAGCCCATCTCCAAGACCGCCTACGAAGAGTATGCTATTAGGTTGTTGCGATATTTTCGAAGACGTGTATTCAAAGGCTACTAATGATTCCGTCTAAGCTATGTATTAGCTTATCTTATCTCAAGTAAATTTGGAATTTGAAACAAAAAAAAGACCAAGGACGTACATAGTGGTGCAAAATACCGGCAACGCCTCCGCGAGGCCAGAATTGATTTTGCATACTGGGCGCTGTGATGCTCTCAATTGGCTGATGGCACAGTTGCTGCCTGAATCTTGACTTGTTAAAAATGTGTAAACTTGGTACGCATTACTTGTCGCGTAAATTTTCGAATACCTTCAAATTTATTCTCGCGGTTTGTGCCGACGCTATCCAGCGATGGCTTCAGAAGGAGGATCTGATAAGTTCCATCTGATAAGATAACAAACTTGGCGTATGTCATGTGGGAAGAAGAATTTTTAGAATCCACTTCTCACAGTATTTCCGCGCGTTGTTTTACGAAAACATGCTGATGTTTTACTTTTATTTTTTATTTTCATTTTATTAATTATTTAATTCCATTTTATTTAATTCTTCAGCAGCCGAGGTGGCTTGGTGGACCCTGTGCTGGAGACACTTATGCGGCACTTAAGATTACTCGTGCGTTTAATTGGAAGAAGACCACTGTGGCTTTCCATGTACCTAATACCCCGAATTGGTACAAAGTACTTTTTAAACATTTCGTCCACAAAATAGCATGGGTCTCGACCACCTGGCCCACGCTTGGGCTTGTAGCAGACACCATGATGTTATTTGGTCGGCCATATCGGCGCCCCGATTTGTAGCTATTGATGGGTTAAATGAGTCGGAAGAAAGGTCGCATAATTCCACTACCTCTCAAGCATACCAATTGCAGGTACTGTTAATAGTGACATTACCACCACTCGGGATGCATTAGACGCTGTGCACTTAGACGCTGTACACTCACACTTGCGCCAGCACATCGAGTGCAATCCTTATCAATCTTCAAAAATGGCCACACCAAGCAGTGGTACAAGCATGTCAGAGTGCTGGTCACTAGGCGATGGAAATAGCCAAACATTCCGGTTGTTCCAACTTCAAACGCCACCACCGACGGACGACGGTCATGGAATCATTCTATTGTCATGGCTTCTTGTGCTTCTGCGCACAGCTGAAGACTCTCGTGTTTCCTTCTCGTGGTCGCGCGCTGGAGACACTAAGGACCACATCTTAGAAGAAGAGCAGATAATACGAGACAGAAGCGGCCCAATTTGCTCCTCGCTATCCTCGATCCAAGAATACATTCGAGTGACGGAATTATTACCGGGAGCATCAATTCTATTAAGCAATACGCCATTATCTCAGACAATGTCGACTATTATAAATGAACCGGCAGTTATCCATGTGGAAGTGCGGCTTGAGGATACGCGCTTGGAAATTCGATCTCTACGTAACAGCAACGATGTATTGCCGTATACGATCCGCCGGTTCACCGAAACACTCGCCGATACGATTGAAAAGTGCATTGGAAATCCTGATAGCACTATTGAAGAGCTCTTACAACCAACAAAACACGATCTGGATGCAATTTGGTCATGGAATCATCAACTTCCCCCATCGTACAACTTCTGCATGCATGAGATGATTGAGGAGCGCGCTGCTCAATATCCCCAAAAAGAGGCAATTCATTCATGGGATGGAAATCTGACGTATGAAGAAATTGATCGACTCTCTACAGCGCTAGCTATCACTACACGGGAGGCACATGGCGGGATGGTACCACAATTTATCCCAGTATGCTTTGAGAAATCAAAATGGACAATCGTGGCTGTTTTGGCCGTCATGAAATTGGGGGCATGCATGGTCCTCATGGACCCAACCCTCCCTCTCGCTCGACTACAAAATATGAAGGCGCAGGTTGGCACGGATTTGATAATCTCGTCGCGAAAGCAGGTCGAACTAGCTACAGCCATTGTTCCTGATGGCCGAGTTATTGTTGTAGACCAAGATAGCATGGACAAGATATCCGTGTCATGTGAACAAGGCGCAAACCAATTACCTCGTGTATCTCCCTCGGCGCTAATGTACATCATTTTTACGTCGGGCAGTACGGGCACTCCTAAAGGTGTGCAGATATCTCACAGGGCATACACTAGCAGTGCTATTCCAAGAGCCGCTGCTGTAGGATACATGGAAAACACCCGGGTTCTCGACTTTGCATCTTATGCCTTTGACGTAAGCATTGACAGTATGCTGCTGACATTGGGCAACGGTGGTACGCTATGTATCCCTTCTGATGACGACCGAGTTAACGACATCAATGGCGTCATAAGACGCATGCGAGTTACGTATGCCGGCATTACTCCATCCATGGCAAGGCTGCTAGATTCCGATGTGATTCAGCAGCTTGATGCTCTTGGCTTGGGAGGTGAAGCAGCTTCTGCGCGTGATGTGAATCTTTGGGGCCAAGTAACCAGAATCATCATCGGCTATGGTCCATGCGAATGCACCATCGGATGCACAATCAACTCCGACACGGCAACAGGCCGGGACTACATTTCGATCGGAGAGGGAAATGGTGCAGCTATGTGGATCGTTGATCCTAACAACCATGAGGTTCTTATGCCTGTCGGTGCCGTAGGTGAACTCCTTGTAGAAGGCCCTATTGTAGGCGAAGGCTATCTGAATGACCCTGAAAAGACTGCAGCGGCCTTTATTCATAATCCACAATGGCTTACGGCCGGCCACAGCGGATACCATGGACGACAGGGCAGACTCTACAAGACGGGAGATCTTGGCCGGTTTGACCCAGACGGATCTGGCGGAATTGTTTTTGTCGGACGCAAAGACACGCAAGTAAAGCTCCGCGGCCAGCGCATTGAGCTGGGAGAGATCGAAAGCCAGCTCCGATCCACCCTACCATCTGGTCTTACTGTGGTTACCGAGGTCATTAAGCGAAATGGACAGCCAACATTGGTGACTTTTGTTGCCACGGGCGCTTCCGTGGACAAGGACGCCATCACAGAGATAACGCCGCCGAAAGATATGGAAGAGGCTATAGAGTTTTCTAACAACGAACTCATCAAAGTCCTCCCACGATACATGGTGCCCACTGGGTACATTTATGTCAACTATGTGCCGACCCTTATCTCTGGCAAAGTTGATCGCAAGCGGCTTCGCGAATTTGGCTTGTCTCTCACTTTACAGCAACGGACGTCGACTTCAGAAGCGAGGGAATTCAGTGACAACGAAACGACTATGCAGCTGGCTTGGGCGCAGGTTCTTGGTATTGAATCTACCACATTGACATTGCAGTCAGACTTCTTCACTAGCGGTGGCGACTCCATCGCTGCCATGAAGCTGGTGTCAGACTGTCGGGATCGTGGCCTGCTCATTACAGTTGCCGATATTTTCAGCAATCCAACTCTTGAATCGATGGCTTCCAAAGCTATATCTAACAACAACGACTCCAAAATAGCAGAGCCATCACCGTTTTCATTGCTAAACATCTCTGCCGAAGATGCCGTCCAACAAGCAGCGAAAATTTGTGGTGTACAAATCGATGCTGTCCAAGATATATATCCATGCACTCCTACACAGGAGTCCCTCTTTACGTTTTCAATGAAGTCGACGGAATCCTACGTTGCGCAGCGCGTAGCCAAGGTTCCAGCTCACATCTCAGTTGACAAAATGAAAGCAGCGTGGCAAGCAATGATGGCTGCAAGTCCAATTCTTCGTACTAGAGTTGTTCAAATAGGCGACAGTCTCCTTCAAGTCATTATTGATGAGGGTATCGTGTGGAAAGCAGCCTCTGCTTTAAGCGATTATTTGGCGACTGACAAGCAGCTTCGAATGGAGGTTGGCGACTCTCTTGCCCGTTTTGCCCTTGTCACGGAACCAGAGGCGACCTACCTCGTGTGGACGATACATCATGTCGTCTATGACGGTTGGTCTGAGCCTCTCTTGCTTGAGCGAGTCCGACAGGCACTCCAGGCAAATGAAAGGATGCAAGCTGTGAACATCAACAACTTTGTCAATTACATTCAAAATATTGACGAAAATAGGCTGCATGAATTTTGGAAAGACGAACTCGAAGGCGCAGTTGGTCCACAGTTTCCGGAATTGCCGTCACGAGATTATTTCCCAACGCCAAACGGAAAGGCTGACCACCTCATAGAGCTTCCGGAAAATAAGACTAAATTCACGCTGTCTACCCTTATCCGCGCGGCGTGGGCTCTAGTCGCGTCGAAGCATACAGGCAATGACGATGTCGTGTTTGGCGAGACACTAATGGGTCGAGATATTGCCCTTGTTGGGGTAGAAACCATCTGTGGGCCAATGGTGGCTACTGTTCCCGTACGCATAAGAATTGATAAGGAACAAAGTGTGACAGAGCTTTTGCAGTTGATCCAACAGACCATACTGAGTCTCGCTCCATATCAGCATGCAGGTATGCAGAATATCAGGAAAGTCAGTGAAGATGCTCAGTTTGCCTGCGAGACTGGTACTGGCATTGTAATTCAACCCGATGTCGCCGATGGATTCGAAGATCTTGGCTTTGAAACAGGAGATCCTGTAGAAGAGGCTCTGCACTTTAATCCGTATCCATTGATGATAGCATTTGGGCTTGGCAAAGGGCAGCTCCGAATTTCTACCAGCTTCGACTCTTCGCTTGTCGATGGATCCGAAATGAAGCGGATTATGGCGCAGATTGAGTGCGTCCTAGTGCAATTTATTCAAGATCCAAGCAACAGTGTTGGAAATATCAGCCTGGTTGGTGCAGAAGAGCTTGACTGTATTTGGAAATGGAACTCGACACCACCACCGGCTGGCTCATCTGTGTCTCACGCAATCAGCGCAGAAACATCAATCACAGAGGATGAACCTTCTCTGCCGGTGGTGGTGTCTTGGGTTTGCGATATGACGAATCCACAGGTCCTTAGCCCACTGGACTGCATAGGAGAGCTCGTTCTCGAAGGCAGCTTTCCCCCAGGAGAGGCGATAGAGGAGCCAACTTGGCTTACAGCCGGTAGCCAACAATATTCTGGCAGGAATGGCAGCATCAAGAGGACTGGTGATATCGTCAAGCTGCGCCCCGACGGTACCTTATCGTATATTGGACGCGCAGAAGAGATGCTTACTTCGGACGACCAAGCCAAAAGCCTTCAACAACTGCAAGTTCATATGAATCGCAAACTACCTTCATGGTTACTGGCAAGAGCTATTCTATCAAACGCTAAGATGTTGGTATTCATAGAGCAGACAAAAGCCGATGACGTCGCTCCAGCAGAATTACTGTGGATGAAACATGATATTGTCGTCCAAGATGAGATGAACAATACGAACGTTAGCACGGAGGTTCTGCCGTCTGTTTCCCACGAAACGTTGCAGGAATTGAAGTTCTTAAGCATGTCTATCAAGTCCAGCCTCCCATCCCGTTTGCTGCCGTACACATTTATTTGCATCACCTCGCTTCCCCGGGATGGCACCAATGCTGTTGACCAAGCTGCTCTCCAAGCTATTGCTTCAAACATCCCAGAACACGTCATTGATCAGCTAGAGAAAGCTATTTCAGAGTATTGGGAGAAAGGACTAGGCACAGCCCTTACGGCACAAGAACTCGTACTCCGAGATGCCTGGTCAGCGACCCTCTTAGTCGATGCAACAAAGATTGATGTGCAAGACAACTTTTTCAGAATGGGAGGTGACTCGGTATTAGCAATGAAGCTAGTTTCGCATCTCCGCTCTCTGGGTTACAGATTGACTGTAGCGGACATCTTTCGCAACATGCGCTTAGTCGACTGTGCTAAGCGGCTCGGAGTTGATAGCTCCATTGAAGCAACTGATATTGAATACGCACCATTTTCTCTAGTCGAATCTGCGACGTCTCAGACGATTCGCTTAGGACTGAACGAATTTGCCGCGGGATCTTCAGTGGTAGATGTGCTTCCTGCCACAGCTGTGCAGGCTCTTGATGTGCAGGCAACAGTCGTGGCGCCAAAGACCGCCATTCAATATACTACGATGTATTTCAGCGCAAGTATTCACAAGGATAGGTTACTCAAGGCTTGTCGCGACTTGATCCGAGCGCACCAGATTCTACGGACGGCATTTGCTAAGCACGAGTCCAAGTTGCTTCAAGTAGTTCTCAACATTGCGGAAGATGCGCTCATATCAAACGCGGTAGCAGATGGAGGCCTAAATGAGTTTGTGGGCAAACTTTGCAGGGAGGATATTGAGAATGTGATGAATTTGGGGTCAGTCTTTACAAGGTTCTTCCATGTTGCAGGTGAGAACGGAGAACACTGTTTAGTTTTGCGTCTCTCTCATGCCCAGTTCGACGGAGTATCATTGCCAATGCTGCTTCAAGATTTGGAGATGCTCTACAATGGTCAGAGTATTCCACCCGAGGCCCCTTTCTCGAGGTACCTGATGGCTTCAAACGACTCACGATTGCGCAATGCAGCGCTCGAATACTGGAGGGACCTCTTGTCAGAATCTGCCATGTCCAGGCTTGATTTCACCGCAAAGTCAACTGATAGAGGTTTATTCCGGTCGAAAGCATCAAATGTCAAAGCATCCGCATTACCCGACGGTATAACAGTTGCTAGCTTTGTTACCGCGGCGTGGGCGGTATTACTTCGCAACAAGCTCCAGACGGCCGATGTGGTATTTGGAAGTGTGACCTCGGGAAGAAGATTAGATATCAATGATGTTGATAAAATTGCTGGTCCCTGTTACCAAATGACGCCGATGCGGGTTCACTTTCGAAATGATTGGACTATACAGGATCTAGGGCAAGCTGTTCAACAACAGGCTGTGGAATCAGCTGTCCATGATTTCGTGGGATATAGGGATATCGCGACAGATGCTACAAATTGGAACACATCCAATGAAAGTGACATCTTCGGGTCGTTGGTGCATCACCAAGATTGGGATGATTTTGACACGATGTCGTTCGCGGGAAGCGAATGCCGAGTAGACATTGCCCAGCCTCACGGAGACTCCCCACGACCTTTAAAGGTTGTCAGTCACGTGAAAAATGATCAACTCTGGCTCGGTATTGTTGCAAGCGAACAGAATGGGGTGCAAATTGATGAGCTTCTTCAAGAGTTTTTGGAAGTGGCTAATGAGTTAGCATCTGCTAGCCCAATGGCGCCATTGTCACCATAGTCGGACTAATGGTAAAGTAACACAGACGAGATGAAATTAGAAATTTAAAAAGAAAAAAAATATTTATTCTATCTATTCTATTGTGAGGGATGACGCAGGATGTAGGTGCCGGGCAGCTCCGACCCCTGAACCACCAGAGTTACGTTGTAGTTGCACTCTTGCTATTTACTAATTAAACTAGTATTCTTGGTAGAGAATAGCTTGGTTAGGTGATAAATTAACTAAAATGGATCTTAACACGGCATAAATTGCTGGGTGTAGGGTTAGGAACTTTGCGAAGGACAAGAAACTTTTGTAGCCTCTTAGTTTTTTTGGGGCATATATTGAGTTTTTGCTAATTAAGCTTTTATTAATACTCTATCTTGAAATTCAAAATATACTTTTCATGGTATCTAATCAGATCAGTTTTACGTTCCTTTCGACTCATTATTTCACCAAACTCAACAACATCCCAAGGTTAGCCTGCCCACTTACACGGCGCTATAAGCCAACAACCACCACCACGCTGCTCAGCCCTACCACAGCGTACATCCAACAGCATCACACTATTTATTGTGCAATAGTTTGATGTAGTAAATTCGTTCTGTAACTGACGGATCGACTCATGAGTTCCTCGTGGGATCCTTGGTCGACGCAACGGCCATTCTCGATTTGGAATATGCGACTTGCTTTCCTGATAGTATTTAGGCGATGGGCAATTACAATGACAGTGATACCTTGAGACGCCTTGGCAAGGCCATCCTGCAGAAGCTTTTCTGATTCAGCATCTAAAGCGCTGGTTGGCTCATCGAGAATAAGAAGCTTTGGCTTTCGCACGAGAGCGCGAGCTATGGAAAGACGCTGTTTCTGGCCGCCCGAGAACTGGTTTCCACTTGCACCGCACAGAGTCTCGTAGCCATCGGGAAGCTCCATTATTACGTCGTGAATGTTGGCTGTTTTGCAAGCTTCTTCGATATCTACTTGGGTAATCTGCTGACCAGGGCGGCCGCCAAGGCCTAGGTTGAAAGCCACAGTTCCTGCAAATAGAGTGCTCTCTTGCGGTACCAGTGAAATCTCATCCCGGAAGGAGATGTCGCGTGATGCCGTTATGTCAGCGCCACCGACGATGATGGAACCCTTTTCTGGGGTATAGAAGCGCTCGATAAGAGAGATGATGGTGGATTTACCGGCACCGCTAGGCCCGACAAAGGCACAGAAACTACCAGCAGGGATTTCGAGGCTAAGCCCATGGAGAATCTTTGCATCTGGGCGAGATGGATAGGAGAAGTGGACATCAACAAACCGCACAGAGGTGCCCTCCGTTGAGTTAGGTTTAGAAACCTCAGCCATCTTGGTTTCTGGATCTTGTGAGTCCATGTCAATGTGTCCGCGCATTTTATCGTCTCCCTCTTCTACCAATCCAAGAATGCGCTTCATGGCTCCAAATGCATTGGTGAGTTCTGGGGCCAGCGCAAACATTTGGCTCCAGAGGAGAGCGCTGACCAACAGGGAGAAGACAACAATGAGAAATTGGGTCTGTGTATACTCCCCGGCGATGATGAGCTTTGAGCCCCACCAATACGCCAGTGCATTGACCGTGTTTCCGAAAAAATAAGTCAATGCCTGGCAGAAACTAGCCTGAAGTGTCACTCGGAAGACTTCCTGCTGAGGCGCGGCAAGGGATCGGCGGTATGTTGCGATAATTTCATCTTGGATCGAAAGAGCTGCAACTGTTTTGATGTTGCTAATGGCTTCAGTTCCAATATCGATCGACTTTGCAAACGCATTCTCTTGGCGCTCTTCAAACTTGCCGAGAATACGAAGCTCCAGCAGACCGGCTCCAAGCAGCAATGGTACAACTGCCAGACACACGAGCGCAATCTTCCATGCGATAATGTGTGTCAATATAATGGCAGCGAACAGATTGATGGTAATGGAGAAGAGTGTTCCAATCACTGAACCGCTAAGTCCAGCTACGGCATCGCCGTCTCTCGTGATATATGACAAGAGAGTGAGTGGTGTTCGGCCTTTGGACTGGTGCCATTGCAAGTTTTGCTGGAAGAGGGATCGGAACGAGAGCACGCGTACCGTGTAGACCATCTTTTCTGATGCCCATCCAAAACCAACCCAGCTGACAATGTTGGCAAAGAATTCGATGATTGCGAGAATGAAGAACATGAGACCAAAAAAGTTGCCACTCGCTCGAACACTGTCCGGCGTCTTGCAAGGATTCAGGCTAGAGACGGTATGGCCGAAGATGACGGCCTCACCAGAGAATGAACCGCCGACTATGATTGATGCAATGAGAGCTAGGAAAACTACCAGAAGATGAGGGCGAAGAACAGGGCCGTATCCCTTGATAACGCCCCAAAACGAGGTTGGAAGTTCCTCTTGTTGTTCATCTACGGGATCTTCCTCTTCAGCATGACCCTTTTCGGTTTCAGTTTTGTCATGGATGGAGGGCTCCTTTTCAGAAGGCTCCAAGGTTGAGGGTACAGCTGTATCAACACTAACCACAGAATGACTCTCGTCGTCTGTGGGGGAAACTGTTTGAAGTTTGACAAGCTTTGCGTACGCACCATCCATGGTCATGAGCTCCGTATGTGTTCCCTGTTCCTGAACTGTGCCTTTGTGCATGACGATAATGTTGTCCGCACTAGCGATCGTGGATAGCCGATGGGCGATAGTCAAGACAGTTCGGGCCGACGCAATGCTAGCTATAGCGCCTTGAATGAGACGTTCACTTTTGGAATCAAGTGCGGCTGTAGCCTCATCAAGGATGAGGATTGCCGGGTCCTTAACAACTGCTCTTGCTAGGGCGACGCGTTGACGCTGCCCACCGCTAAGGAGTCGACCACCCGCACCAACATCAGTACCGTAGCCATATTGCAGGCCAGTGATGAAGTTGTCGGCGTCGGCTAGTTTTGCGGCTTCCTGTACGAGGCGAACAATGTCCGCAATATCAGAGCCATACTTTTGCACCGCTTCGTCAAGAACCTGTCCGTTGCGTAAATCTTGAGCTAAATCCGATAGTTGGCCAGTATGGAGTGTCTCTTTGTACTTCGAGTGGTGATCATGATGAGAATTGACTAAACCGTGAGCAATGTTTTCCAGAATGGAACGGTCTAGCAAAGACGGCTCCTGTTGAACGAGAGCGATGCTGCTGCGTAGTTCTGCAAGGCCTAAATCCGTGATATTCTTTCCGCCAAAAAAGATTTCACCCTTTTCTGGCGTATACAGTCGTGTAAGAAGACCGGTGATGGTAGATTTACCGCTTCCAGACTGGCCGACAATGGCAGTATGCTTTAGAGGTGGGATAGATATGTTGACATCTTCGAGCACCTGCACATCAGGACGGCTAGGGTAACAGAAAGACACTCCCTTAAGCTCGAAACCGCACTCTCGATGACCTTTATCAGTTGCTGCAGATCCGTCCGAGATCAGCGCATGTCTTTCGAGTGTCTGCCGAAGGTTGTCGTATGATGCAACGGCAGCAGAGAAGAGGTGAATGAACGGCGCAACTTGGCTGAGGAGTAGAGTGGCTAGCCTCTGTTAGCGTAATCGCAAAAAGAATGATATCTTGAAGAATTGTTATACCTTCAATAAGAATGAAAATCACAGTGAAAGTGGCACCAACAGTAGTACCGCTCTTGCCATCACCTCCAATGGAGTCAGCAATATGTCGGCTACCCTGCCAGAATGCGAGGCCATTGGCCGAGTATGCGATGAAGTACAAGAAGCCGGACTGAATACCAATAGCCAACGCTTTCTGAATACCGCTCTTCTGGGCCGCTTGAAGGGCAGTCGAATAGATGGCTTCTAAGCGGGTATTGGCGCCAAACGCCTGCACGACCGCGACATTCGAGAGTGCTTCAGAGGCAATGGATGCCGCAGTCGCCGTCTGTTCCATCACTGCGCCGGCATACTTTTCGATATAGTGACTGCCAATAAAGGACATGAGGAAGTACGCAGGCACAAGCGATACAAGCGTGCCAGCAAGGGTTGCGTCTTTGATGAACGCGACAATGTACGCAGTGACGAAGAAAGACACGCTCGACAGACAAATTCCAACTTTTTCGGAAGTACCGCTTCGAATGGTCTGTACACCAGCGCTCATGCGTGAAGCCACTTCTCCAGACGGGAGACCGTCAAAGTATGAGGGCTCTTGCTTCAGCAGGGCGCCGAGGTAGGCTTCACGCAGGCGTTGCGCCAGTCTTGCTCCGTAGAGCGACCAGCAGAATAAGTGCACATAAATGGCGACAAATTGCGCAATTGCGAGGTAAAGAATCAGAAGAATCTTGTCGTTGATAGGACCCTGCGCGTCTGTGTCGGAGCCCGCCCCGTCAGCCGCATTGGCGCAAGTCACTGCGTTGAAGCTGTCGAGCAGCTGGCCGAAGACGATTCCGATAATGGGAAAAGGCACACCAGCAACGATAGAGGCGGCAATGCCGGTAACGAGAATCGATATATCGCTTCTGGAAGGGTTGGCTGCAAGAAGCAGGCGTGGAAACCCAAGCAGCTTGTCTGCAAACTTGAATACCATTTTTGCGTCTCTACACTTGTTTGGTTTGTTAAAGAGAAACAGACATTTCACATAAGGAAGAAACTAAGCGCAACAGTCATGTAGTGCGTTATTAGGGCTCACCAAAGATGCAATGACCCATATCCCAACGAGTCGCGATGCAGCGGTCGGCAATACGATATGTTCGGCTGCCTCTACTCGCAGGGGTCCTTGAGATGAAAGTCACTTGTACTTGTGACATGGAAAAGGTACATTGCTCGTCATAGCCCAGAAAAAAGATAAAAAAGACTTCTTAGCAGGGTTCTACTGAAACGAGCGGGCTGTGGCGCTGAAGTGGAACTAGCTGGGGACGGTCTAGACTAGGCTATGGCATTGAAGTGGGTGAGCTGATTATCTTATCAGATCCATTTTACCGGATAATTTTCACACCCTTATAATGCAAGTTCATTATTGCCACGTAGAGTCATACGAAGTTACGGAATATCCCGCCTAAAGGAAGATTGATAATAGATGGCAGCCAGGCCGACACTGTATCCGTAGTCTTGTAACGAAAATCTTTAGTAGGGATCCATTAAGCGGCTGCATTTCATCTTATATTAAAGCTTGCGACTAATTAAATAAGAAGAGATGATGCATGACAATCACAGCCTTGCATTCCACGCTGCGCGGTCGGCACTCTCGAGAGGCTTCTCCCTTCCATCCCAGAAGAGCGGGCTCAGCTGGAACCACTTCTCTCTGCTGCAGACAGAGTGGACTGATCTTTTGTGACCAAGGTCCACATATTGTCCAATTGTAAGACCCTGTGCGTTCTCATACGACAAGATAGTAGCTCCAGAGGCTTTCGGTTCGCCAACCACGTTGACTGTCCGCACGTCATCGAGGAAGCAGTAGTGGATGCAGCTCGAGTACCACGCATTGACACGGTGGGCGCCACGGAAAGACGCATCACCCACGAGGGAGTGTCTTCCGCGGTCATAGTCGTGGGCAGCGTAGTGTGCGCCGTAATGATCCTCCTTTGGGGTAGTGGTTAGCGCAAACGCATACCAAGTAGAGATTAAAGATAATGATGGACATACCTTGGACCAATAAAGCTCGTAATACGAGAAGCGTGTATCGTCAAATCGGCCAAAGAGACATAGCACGTGAGGATCAAAATGCAGCTTGCGTAGATATTCTCGGTGTTGGTCAAAAGTGCCCGTCTCATTCCACCCTGCAGCTACTCGAGGGTCATTTTGCCATTTATTAAACAGCTGGACGTCGATATCGCTCGACCAGTCAACGACTTGTAGGGAGAAATGCTGGTCAACTTCGGGAATATAGCGACTGTATACAATGGAACCGACATGTGGCTTTGGGCGACGACTGGGGTGGCGTGTGTAGACAGCTTCTTGTGGGAATCTGTTTGTAAGCTGATATCTCTCTGGCATTGGAGGGTATTGTGTCAATGGCACCCGCATAGGGCCGCTTGTTCCGCTACCGACCGCCCAAATTGGCCTTGGTCCAGCCGGTGAGGCGGCACCCTGCCAAAAGGCGCCACGAAGAATAACAAGTTCGGTATCGTCGTATGGGAGAATGGTGCTCTTGCCGGCCTGAGCCTGAGGTGTTGGTGCAGGGTGGACGGCAGCCAAGCCAGTTGCTAGCAATTCTGTTGTAAGTGTTGATGCATCCCGGCCGACCAGAGAAACTCGAAACTGTTCGAATGTAGGATATGCGAGAAAGATGGCGTGAACAACGTTCCAGACTTGAGCTAGTGATGGTGCTGTGCTATTCCAGGTGAACTGCGTCGCGGGGCTGCGGCGAGCCCTTGCCCATGGAGTATTGTCGTTGAGGGGAGGTAAACTCTGCTTGTTGGAATAGGTGGGATCCTGGAAAGTCAAGTCATCCGAGTGAAGCGCCTCTTGCAAAGGTGTCGAGTTTTCCGGCTGTTCATGAAGAGTCAAAGACAGCTTTGATGGAGTGCCTTGTACTTTATAGATGCTAAGAAAAGGATGAGGTAGTTTGACGACGGGGTACCTAGTCGCACCGAGGACGACTGAAGGAGACATGGTGATGGCGTCGGAAAGGCAGCCGAAGGGACTATGAAAGATGCAAAAGTCGATACGCGTGGGACTGGGGATGATGTATCCTGAGCCTTAAGCACTATATAGAGTCTGGGAGCGAATAAGCACACTCTTAATTATACGAAACGGCGGTGCTTATGGGCCGAAGGCGTACCAACTATCCGAAAGTCCCGTTGGCGAGGCTTGAAATGTGTGCAGCTCGCGTTATGAACAAAACTTTAAAACCGAACGGGTCCTCCCTGATATTCGAGGGCCAGTCTTACTCGCACACACAAATACCACACACAAACATGCCTACAAACGAGAACCAATCTTTACGGACGACTCGCCTCGCGTTCCCGCATTTTCGGGTTAGCTTCCCTGCGGACGGGGTCCTTCTAGTCACGCTGGACCGCCCAGACAAACTCAACTGCATTGACCGGCCGACGTCATTAGAACTGGAGCGCGTATGGGAGCTCTTTGACAGCGATGACTCGCTGCAAGTGGGCATCATCACCGGCAAAGGCCGAGCATTCTGCACTGGCGCCGACTTACATGGTCAGTGGTTTTATCAATCAATTTAGCAGCTGATGGTGGTGGGCTGGCTGCATGCATGCAGGGCACATGCGCTAACGATTTCTCCGGCAGAATGGAACCAGATGAATGAAGCCGGGATCCCGAACGACATGAGCGCACCAGGGCTAGGCGGGCTCTGCCGCCGCGACGGCAAGAAGCCCATCATCGCCGCCGTCAACGGGCTCTGCATGGGCGGCGGGTTCGAAATGGTCGCCAATTGCGACATTGTGCTGGCCTCCTCGTCCGCCATCTTCTCCCTACCCGAAGTGCAGCGTGGGATCGCGCCTGTGGCCGGTAGCCTTCCGCGGCTAGCTCGTGTTCTTGGGTTGCAGCGTACCATGGATCTTGCATTGACGGGACGACGAATAACGGCCGACGAGCTGCGGGCCTGGGGCCTCCTTTCGACAGTGGTTCCGGATGAACAACTGATGACCTCGACCCTTGCATACGCCAAGCTCATCAGCCGCAACAGCCCAGACTCCATAATAGTCGCTCGCCGCGGCGTGCGCATGGCGTGGGAGCAGGGCAACGTTGAGGCGGAGGTCGACGAGCTCGCTAATGCCTGGTATCCTCGGCTCATGGCAGGGGAAAATTTTGCAGAGGGAATTAGGGCATTTGTCGAGAAGCGAGAGCCTCAATGGAGACCTTCCAAGCTTTAACTAGCGCAAAGAAACAAAGAAAAAAACAACTGGTGGCTTTTTCCATGTGGGTGGGTGGAACTGGGTGGGCTGCAATCTAATCAATCATATCATATCAATCTATTACCCAATTAAGGCAAGGCGCTTAAGCACTGAAAGAAATTAAAATTAAAAAATTGAAGATAATGAAGAAACAGCGGGAGAAGGCGAAAAGCCACCTCCTACGTGTGGAAATCCCGCATGTGCCTGTTTTGATTTTTTTGCCTCGTTTTTATCCTTCTGCACACGGATTTGATTCGGGACTGGGCCGATATCCGCGTGACCGTTCGGAGACGAAAAAAAGAACGCAGGGATTGCACCCAATATTGACCCAGAACACTGCGGGTAGTCTCTTCTGGGCAGAAACGCCTCCTTTTGCCTTGTCCCGTTGTCTGCCGATTCGTGTATCGGCGGTTGTAGTCGCCCAACTCTGCCTCTTAAGAGACATTGTAACGCTCGCCGTCTTGTCATCCACAAACTTTCGCTTCGTTTCTTCATTCAAAGTTCACGACACTCTGACACCATGGGCTTTAGCTTCAAGGGCCGCTCCGATGTGGGCGTCAAAGATGTTTCTGACCATAGCGATCCCGCTGCAGTAGAAGCCGGCGCCAACTCCAAGATGGGCAGCATCGATGCCTCTGTCGAAAATGCAGGACGCGCTCCTGATGAGAATGCGCAAGGTGGTGTGCAGCAGGTCGAGGCCATGACACTCTCCTGGTCCAAGGGTAACCTGATTGCTGTATTTGCAAAGTATGTTGTCTCGTTTCTGCGAAAAGATCTCTTTACTAACGACCGGATAGCATCTGGTGCCTCTATCTCGTCAATGCCTGGCAGTCAGCCATTCTGAGCAGTCTGCTCTCCTACGCTACTAGCGACTTTGACGGCCACTCGCTGCTCAATGTGATTCCTGTTGTTTCTAGCGCCATGACGGCAGCCATGTTTATGCCTGTCGCTAAGCTACTCGATCTTTGGGGCCGTCCACAAGGATTTGCCATCATGGTTGGCTTCGCGACGCTGGGACTTATTCTCACAGCCACCAGCCACAGCATTGCCGCTTTGGCTGCTGCCAACGTGCGTTCCAAAGTATACCTTATCCAAGATACTTGGTTAACAAATCATTAGGTCTTCACCAGTCTCGGATTCAGCGGCATCATCTACTGTATCGATGTTGTCACCGCCGATGTTTCCACTCTTCGCAACAGAGCTCTTGCGTACGCGTTTACATCCTCGCCGTACATGATCACTTCTTTTGCTGGTCCTAAGGCGGCCGAGGCATTCCAGGCAAACACAGATCTGACCTGGCGCTGGGGATTTGGCATCTTCGCCATCATTCTTCCCATCGTTGCATCACCACTGTTCTTCGTCCTTCGATCAGCCTTGTCCAAGGCCAAACAGAACGGAACTCTGGTAGAGCGCCAAAAGAGTGGACGTACCCTGCTGCAGAGCATCTGGTACTATATTATCCAGTTTGATGGTATGTAATTTGACGTTTCAAACTGTTTTACGATGCACTCTCTGACATTGTATAGCCGCCGGTGTTATCCTCTTCTCGATTGGTCTGACCGTTTTCCTCCTTCCATTCAACATTGCCGCCACGGCTGCTGACGGATGGGGTTCAGGATACATCATCGCCATGATCGTGCTAGGAGTCGTCTTTCTTGGCATTTTCTTTGCCTATGAAACATGGATGGCACCTGTTCCCCTCCTTGGTCTTGTGTACATGACTGATCGCACCGTTATTGGCGCATGCCTCATCAACGCCACCTATCAAATCTCTTACTACTGCTGGAACAACTTGTTTAGTTCGTTCCTACAAGTCGTGAACAATCTATCTATTGCCGAGGCCGGCTATGTCAACAACACTTTCACTGTTGTTTCTGGATTCCTTCTATTTGGTGTGGGTTTCGCGATCCGCAGAACTAACCACTTCAAGTGGCTGCTTTACATTGGCGTACCAATCTACATCTTCAGCCAGGGCCTCATGATCTACTTCCGCAGACCTGATCAGTCCGTGGGTTACCTAATCATGTGTCAGGTATTGATCTCTATTGGTGGCAACATTTTCATCATTGTTTGTCAGCTAGCGATCCTCGCTGCTGTCGACCATCAGCATGTTGCGACAGCTTTGGCGCTTCTCAACGTTGTTGGCACGGTTGGCGGTGCCATGGGCGGCACAATCTCTGGAGCTATCTGGACCAACACGTTCCCTCAGGCCTTGGAGATGTATCTTCCCGAATCGGAATTGGGCAACGTGACGGCTATTGCTGGCGATATCACCGTCCAGCTAGGTTATGAGATGGGCAGTGAAGCACGTATTGGCATCCAGAATGCTTACGGCTACGCCCAAACCAGAATGCTTGCGGCCGGTACTGGAATCATGGCTCTGGCATTGATCTGGATGTTCATGGTGCGCAACATCAATGTTGGCAAGAAGCCTCAAGTTGTTGGAACTGTATTTTAATGCCACACACACGTTTCTCGGTACAACAATACGCGGTCCCATGAATGGGTCTGCATATTGTGGAAAAGATCGCCGCAAAAGTCTACAGTTAGTTTAGAAGAGTGTACTGTAATAGATTTGTATTCCGTACTAAAAGGTTCTTGTAATAGCAGTATCACGAGCTCGTAGTCTAAGCTCTCCCGAAACTCTGGCCTAGCAACTTCAGTTTTAACCTTGGTATATGTCAATTTAGCTGATGGTTTAGCGTAGCGTGTACCGTTCAATATGCTAAACAGAAAATAGCCAACCGGAGCCTGACACAAAACTTGTAATCCTTTACTATTGCTTGGCTCTCGTGCTGCCTTAATAAGTTCTCTCGCATGCCCATGGCAATCCAAAAGACACCACGCCAATTTATACGCTGAACTATAGCAAACATATCGAATGCTTCTTTAAGATCTGTGGACGATTGTAATATTTAACCTGTACCTTGCTGTGTTAAAGTTGGCGGGGGAAAGTATAGCAGCATTTATCTCGTAAATAGCCATCAAGTCGTTGTCTTTTTCTCTACACTTCTATCTAGTGTATGCAAGCTAATCTGGTGTCTCTAAATCCCCATTACCGCTACTGGCCGGGTTAAATGCATGTCTAAAGTCGTCCAGCTCGCGCAGCTGCTTCTTGGACACACTCGGACGAATCTTCTGAAGGGCATGTATGAAATGCGCATTGGACAGCTGTACGGTTGGGAGATTCTCCACTGCTGTCGACGCATTATCATTTCCGGCAAGATTATACTCCATGGCCCAGAGCAGAGCCGCCTCACCACACAAGTTGTTCAGGTCGGATCCTGAATATCCATCGGTCAGGGCTGCCAGTCTCTTAAGATCTACATCAGGGAGGATATCGTCCTTGTGCAACAAGACACCCAGAATCTTCTCACGGGCTTGTTCGTCTGGAAGTCCAAAATGAATCTTCTGCGGCAGACGGCGCAGAAAGGCAGGGTCAAGATCCATGGGCCGGTTCGTGGCGACGAGAACAAACGGCGCATCACTTGCCCTAGATGTTAACCCATCCAGCTCTTGGAGAAACTGGGTGAGTGTTGTGCGCTCCCACTTCCTGTCCCACTCGCCGCGGCGATAGAACAGAGCGTCGACCTCGTCAAAGAAGACGATGCATGGCGCATGCTTGCGGGCCACTGTGAATGCCGCTCGGATAGATTTCTCCGTTCTGCCTACTGCAGTAAACTCCAACGCGGCAGAGTCTAGAGCAAGCATGTTGCAGCCCATCGTTTGGGCAATGGCGCGGCAGAGATGCGTCTTTCCGGTTCCGGGTGGTCCGTAGAATAGCGCGCCTTTGACCTGTAGTCGAGACAGGAGGACGGAGGATTTCGCGTGGACCTTCATCTTGGTAAGCATAATCAGCTGCTTGACTGTGTCTTTGACTTCGTCTTTCAGAATAACATCGTCCAGTCCTGTCGAATTCATATCCTCTATAACCCGTGTTGTTAGTGGTATATCGGGCGGTCATGTGCAGCGAACTTACCAATCTTGACCATGTATTCCAGCATCTCCTTCTCGTATCCAGCTTTCTCATCATCGGAGTCAGAGTCCGAGTCGGAGCTATCTGAATTCGAGTCATTGTCAGAATTGCTATTGGCGTCGCCCTCGTCATGGCGCAGTTTCTTAGAGAGGGAGATTCGATGCAAGACATCAACAACATCGTCCACGTTGAGTTTCTCTTTGTTCCAAGCCCGTCCTGCCACTTGTACGGCAACCTCTTCCATGAGGTCAATATCCGAGCCGTCCAGGTTGATATGTTCATTATCCACTTTGAGATCCCACTGCGTACTGGGCAGCAATAGCTCTTCATCAAAATATTGCCCCGCATACTGCTGTAGCATCGCCTTCAGCCCCAGGACAAAACGGTTGGAGGCAGTCTCTTCGGGCTTGATAGGCTTTTTGAGTTGGTCGGGTACCTCAACAGGGCGTAGCATAAAGGTGGACGCTGGTGGGATTCCTCCTTTGAATTGAAAGAGACGGTAGTCTTTGGTTTTGTTACTTCGGTAGTATTCCTGGTTAGACTTCTCGTCCACTTGGGATGTAATGAGCAGGAGGACGGATTTGCCTTCAGCCCTAGCGTGATACACAGCCTCGCGAAGTCTACAAAGGACTTTGCGATACGCTACTGGAAGCAGCTGCCTAGCCATAGCAAGGTGAATCATCAAGATGTGAGATGCCTTTGAAGATTCAGTTTTTGAGGCTTCGGTTGTTGCGGTTTCGTCCTTTGAAGCCTCTTCTTTTGCAGTCTCTTCTTTTGGTGTCTCGTCCTTTGAAGTATCCTTCTTTAGAGTCTCTTCTGTTACAGCCTCATCCTTTGGAGTCTCATCATTGGGAGTTTCATCTTTTGTTGTCTTGTCTTTCGCAATGTCGGCCCCGGCATCGCGCATATCCTCCGCAAGGCCCAATATCGGCGCAAAGGCTCGTTTGGTAATCTGCGCCTCCTCTTCGGAAACATTTCGCTGGCATCGCTGGCCAAAGTGATGAAGCATGGGTCCATCGGCAGGATGATAGACCTCGTAGCCCGATTCCTTAGTTGGCCTGCGATAGCTCGTTGCGCCGCTACCATGACCAGCAGGTGGAACAGGTGTATGGTTGCCGTATGTTGTTGCCAAACTTCTGAAATCATCGAGTGACACTGTAGCCAAGGTGGCGTTGAATTCCTTGGCTAGTGCCTGGACATATTCTCTACAGACGTCGTCCGATTCGGCAGCTTTGCATTGGATGGTGGCTCCCATACTATACATGGGCAGCTTGCCAGAAGCATCGCGCATCATCAATGCAGCCAACGTGTCGCGCACTGACGTGAACAGTTGGTGCGATACTCCGAATGCACCCTCTGTAGCCTTTGCAGCCTCTGCTGTTGTCTCTGTCGTTGCTGCTGCTTCTGAGCCGGCATCGGCAATGGTCTCTATCCTTGGTACTGCTGCCGGTCCATCTTGACCCTTTTGATCGATCCAGCGAATCTTGGGTCTAGCTTCCTTCAGCTGCTCTGGTGTCTGGATATTTTTCGACAGGAACCATTCTGGAAGCACGTGCTGAGGCGGCGCTTCCACGTCAGTTGTGGACGTCGGTGTTGGTTGGCCGGGTTCTGAGTCTGCTTCAGAGACCATGGTTGGGTTGGTATAGAATACAAAGTGGCCTTGCAAGCATTGAATCTGGCTGGAGGCCTTGTCTTGTATTTATCTAGGCACCTCTTCGGTCGCAAGCACGTTATGAGGCTGTGGTGGCGGTCAGATGCAAGCTCAGCCCCAACGACAGGCTGGACGGACGCCTTTGCCGCCGAGACTCACACTTGGTTTCACCAAGGCAGACAGACGCCTACAGTACTATAGTTCGACAGCTATTTCCGAGCAAGGTTGCCTAGAGCTTAGCGCGGCCCTCCGCTCACCGAAGAGCCACACCTTGCGAATGTCGAGTGTTAGGATGTAAAAGGGTTCTCTAGGGTATGCCGCAGCTCGTTTGTCGATAAATGTCACCAAATTTGGTTCTCCGTCATTCGGTGAGCAATGATTTTTCCTTCGTACGTTTCACGAATATTGGGTGTGCGAACCATTGGCTGCCTCATCACTCTCTGTTCTGGGAACAACAACAAAGAACGAATTTTCAAACCAAAATTAAGATAGAATTGAATCCTGTCGTATAATTTGTAATATTGTGTATTTTCATTTTTTTCCTCCCCTTTCTAATCGTCGTTACGCAGCCTTAGCGCCGGAGTGATCGCGAAGGCAGAGCTACCCGGGACATCCATATCCCAATACGCCTTGCAGAGTCGGAGATGGCCGCGCCTCAACTGATTGGATTATACTGTAATCTGTATTATATACGTGTTGAATTGCATGTGTGTATATTTGTCCTAATATTTTTAGTCTCATGGCAGTTCGGAATGTTCGTAGCGGCTTGGACACCTCTCTCTTATCAAGGTCAGAGTAAAAGTTGAGTCATCAATAAGGCAAGTCTACAAGCTGGATTTTAGAATATATTCTTATATGCGAAAGTAGATAAATGTCTAGCATATAGGACCATAGACACAGGAGAATTCGGGACCCCATTCAATTCTTGTCAACAACTTAATGGACTCCAATCTTCCAGACCAGAGCTTCACGAAAGGGAGGAAGGTCATCAAGCCACCTCGTTACATGCGACTATTAATAAGAATTTGGTTAGAGTCGTTGAAAAATCCCAAGATAAGAAGCAACAATTTGACTATCCTTACAACCACTGCTATATGAATGAAAGGCTATTATACGCCAATATTCATCTTTTGGCCACTGTAAATCTTAATAGGGTATATAATTCCTCCACTGCTGTGAGAATGCAATACTACGATTTTTTCCCATGGAATCGCTCGCCATGTGTATATCGCCCACTTCTCTTGAAGACCAAAGACTACTCAACATGTCAATCGACTTGCGTGTACTCTGACTCTTCGTCACCTCATAATGCGTCTCTAACAGGGCTTTAACATCGGCCACTCTTTCCGGCCCAGCCTCGCACCCCGCAATAAAAAGTGAGGTAGTTAGGCACAAGTAGGGGTGAGATCCCTTTTGTTTCGATATCGAATGAGCCAGGTCGATGATGGCATCGACGGACTCTGCAACAATGGCTGTGTCGCGCCTGAGTCCCAGTCCGTATCGGTAGGTACACAGAAGTGCCATGTGCTGAGCTATACGATTGCATATGCGATATTCGTCCACCTCATCGGCCGCGCAGCTCTCGCGTATGTCATTGGAGAGAATAGGGGGCGTTTCTTGGTCTCGATCGATTACACGCTGTAGGAAGACCACCAGACTGAGTGCCATGGCGCTGGATGTAGTTGAATTATCGCATCGATCGATATCGTTTGTAAGAGAAGGAAATTGGCCAATGTATTCAAAGGCCAGTGATACTTCTTGGACACATGCCAAGGTGCTGTCGATGGTACCGACAGTTGCTATGCACAGGTCGTCTGGCTGTTGCAGTTCGGAAGAAATACACCGTCTATCCGTAGACCACGGCGTTGGTAGTGCAATAAGAAACTGTATCAGCGCAACGCGGCGCTCAATAAATCGTGACAAGGCGTCGTCTGCATCTTGCTTTCCAGCAAGCACCAACAACCTCTTTGCAGATTCAAAGTGCATGCGCCACGCCGACCCTTCGGGATTATAGCGCAACTCAGCTGTTGACAGCATCAGAGAGGCAGCAGCAATAGCCTTGTAATCGCCATGTGTTTGGTGAAGCTCCTCGCGCAGCATAGACAGCGTCAGCGCATTGAGCTCTAGCAACGGGACGTCCCAGGCATCAGCACCAGGTATGCCTCCCACTGCTGATGTTTTATGTATCGCCGAAAATAACAGTGCAGAGTAGAGGATACACGGATATACACTCGCAACCGATACAATCATGTGGCAAGTATCTTGCTGAATTCGGTCGTGGCACGCGATCGCCGCGGATGCCCTCTTCACAAAGTAGTCCAGGTATACGCTATGCGATGGGTGTCGAAACGCCTTTGCTCCCAGAAATATACAAGGAAGATTGTAAACATCGAGCTTCGGTCGAATCGGCGTCAAGGGAGTCTTTAATCGCTTGTCGGGCCGGGGAGTCGCATAGACGCAGGAAACGCCGTCTTCAAGACACCGACTACACCACGGCCACTGCTCTCCACACTTTTGGCGCCGGCGTTTGCATCGCGTGCAGCCCATGCGCGAACGGAGTTTTAAGCGTCTGTCTGTCTGCATATTGTGTGCTGTAGTAAGGCGGATGAATGGTGAATGGTGATTGTGACCCTTGCTCGACTTGGAGTAGCAGAGTCTTCACGTGCACAGCCACGACCAAAACAATGTCTTTACTGCGTCTCTCTTGACATGACGATGCTTCGCCACGCTCCTCTATCCCCGCTGAAAGGCAGTTTGGTTAGCGTACCGGGCTGTGCGGAGAAACTGCCCCTCACAATTAAGCTCGTCCAGGCTCGGGTCCCGAGGGCTCCTTGGGCCGATCAGGCGGCTTAAACAGATTTGGGTTTCCTACACAAACTGCTACGTTAGTGCGTGTGCTGGAGCGAATCAGAAGTATTTGCGATGGTAGTTACTGCGGGCCGCTAGAACCAAAATGACTGACAAGATGAATGGAATACACAACGGCGAGTATAAAAGGCAATCGAAAGAACATCGTTCAGCAAGTGAAAATACACCGTAATTCAATACATGTCATTATTTACTACCAAACTATCATTCATAATCCGTCCTTCTCGCTTTGTTACCCGCCCATTTGCAACCATGGCTCTGTGCTCTGCTCCTCGCCTAACAATGCCCTCTGAGGCACTCACCCATTCACGCACGTTGATGGGATGGCCCGACATCACTTCACAAGAAACGACTTCCCTTTTGAAAGGCGCCGAGGTGGATGTTGCCAACATTGCCAACGCTATTGTCCAGTTTGAGCCCGTCACGCTCTACTGCAGCCCAACCAACGTGGAGCGTGCCAAGGCGCTTGTCTCACCCACTGTGAATATTGAGCATCTTGCCATTACAGAGCTCTGGATGCGCGATACTGGCCCTGTTTTTGTCAAGAATTCTACTGGAGGCCTCGTTGGTCTGGAGCTGAACTTCAACTATTGGGGCGACAAGTACAAGGGCCCCGATGCGACAGTCGCCTCGGACATTCTAAAACAGAGCAACATTAAATCAGTCAAGGCGCCGTTTGTTGCAGAAGGAGGCGCTATTGAAATCGATGGCGAGGGCACGCTTCTCCTGACAGAGAGCTCGGTTATCAACGACAACCGCAACCCGGGCAAGACTAAGAAGCAGCTTGAGAAGGAATTTTCTGCTTTTCTGGGTGTCGACAAGGTCATCTGGGTCAAGGGCGTCAAGGGCAAGGATATTACCGATTGGCACATTGACGCCATGGCGCGCTTCGTCTCCCCTGGTCGCGTTCTACTTAGCCGCCCGCCTGCGTCATCAGAGCAATACCTCCTGGATCTTTACAAGGAGGCCCGATCTGTACTAGAGACAGAAAAGGACGCCAAGGGCCGCCAATTGGAAGTGTTGGATTTGGAAGAGGCAGATCCGTCGCTCTTTGACGGTAACCCGTACCAAATGGTCCTCTCCTACCTCAACTACCTGATTGTCAACGGCGGTGTTATTATTCCGTCGTTTGGAGACGACAAGGCAGACAAGCGAGCGCTGGATCTTTTTAAAACCCTTTTCCCAGAGCGCAAGGTGGTTGCTGTTCGCCTAAACACTCTCCGCAAGCTTGGTGGCGGCATTCACTGCGCTACCCAGCAGCAGCCAGCGGTATAAGTTTGTGTGCTTCCATACCATTTCAGATTAGCGTAGCTAGTTACATCCAGCATAAAATAATAGTCGGTACATATTGATTTGTGGCTGTCGGAAACAAGGGCAATTGGCCCGCTTAACGTGCTTATTACGCGGGGAAAGCTCCGATGCTCCTTTGCCGCTAGCTTTAGACTCCGAGAATCGGCAGTGAAGCCGCTTTGCTAGCCATGGGACCAATAGATGGAATAATCTGGGGAAGCGTGGATGAATGGCAACATGTGCCTCGTGACTTGAACCTGTTTGGTTAATAAAGTAATCGCACTCCGAGGAGGCCGAAACGCCCTTTAGCCAACGAGATGCAGCCCAGGGGCCTTGAATAGCCGTTGAGGGGGACCATGCGCTAATGCGAAAAAGTATAGATAGGCGCCGCAACCTTGTTTGTTATAGTCTGTTGTGCACCCCCACACAGTGAGCGCATCAAGGTCCCTCCATTTACATTCACGACAATAACACGCGCACAGGTACGCTTATACATATACTTTGGCCCAAAACAAACTGTCTGACTGTACTCAAGGATTATCCACCATGTCTTCTGGTCGCATATTTGATGTGGTTGAGGCGGACATCCAACAGCTCCAAGCTGCATTGAATGCCAAGCAGATTACTTCTGTTGAGCTTGTTATTGAATATTTACGGCGAATCAGCATCTATGATCACCGCGGCCTCCGTCTCAATTCCACGCCAATTATCAATCCTGCTGTCTTTGAAGAGGCTGCTGCTTCTGATGATAGACGAGCAGCTGGCGCATGTCTCGGCCCCATGGATGGCATCCCATACACAGTCAAGGACAGCTACAAAGTCGCAGGCTTGACTGTGGCCAGCGGCGCCCCTGCTTTGCGGAATTTGGTTGCCAATGAAGATGCCTTCACTGTGGAACGTCTGCGTGCTGCGGGCGCCGTTTTGATAGGAAAGACCAACATGCCTCCCATGGCGGCTGGTGGTATGCAATACGGTGTGTATGGCCGAGCTGAGAGTCCGTACAATCTGGAATATCTGGCAGCGGCCTTTGGTTCGGGTTCTTCTAATGGAAGTGCCGTGGCAACAGCGGCGTCCATGGCGGCATTCGGTCTCGGTGAAGAGACAGTATCATCGGGCAGATCCCCCGCGTCAAACAACGCGCTAGTGGCCTACACTCCATCTCGCGGCAATATTTCCATTCGAGGAAACTGGCCATTGTACCCGTCTTGTGATGTGGTAGTGCCGCATACCAGAACAATGAGTGACTTGTTTGGCCTTTTGGATGTCATTGCTTCGCCGGATCCCATCAAGACAGGAGACTTTTGGCGAAACCAGCCATTCGTGTCTCTGCCAGCACCTTGGAAGGACAGACCAGCTACTTTTTACGACTTGAAGAGCAGTCCAGCTATGCATGGCCTTCGCATTGGCGTGCCGTCCATGTACATCACGCCCAATACTTCCATGGACAATGGCTTGCCATATGTATCGCCCGAAGTCTGCAACCTCTGGGTGACAGCCAAACAGCATCTCGAAAGCCTGGGTGCTGAGGTTGTTGCAATGCCAGAATTCCCCTTGGTAACCAAGTATGAAACCCATATCAGATCGGGATCTACAGAATGGCTTGGTCTGCCACTAGAGTGGAAGTCTGTAGAGCGAGGGCGTCTGCTAGCTCTGGCATGGGATGAATTTCTGAAGAACAACAAAGATGCGTCCTTGGCTAGCCTAAAAGACGTGGATACTTCACAGTTGTGGCCATTTGACGAAGATGATCTCCAGGTTTGCTTTAGTAAACCTGAGAATCGCATTCACTGGCACAAGCTAGTGTCCCAGTTAGTTGACAGCGAAAATGGCAACGCGATGATACAGTCTCCTATGGATACACCAGATCTCTCCATTGCACTACCAGCACTAGAGGCTATGCGCAAGAGTCTTCTTGAGGACTGGCTCGACGAGAACAAACTAGATTTCGTGGTGTTCCCAGCCAACGGCGATGTTGGTCGCGCTGATGCGGATACTGTTCGAGATAGTGCCAGGTTTTCTTGGACAGACGGCGTCAAGTACAGCAACGGAAACCAAGTGTTGCGACACCTTGGAGTCCCAAGCATCACTGTACCCATGGGCATGATCCCCGACAAAAAGATGCCTATTGGCCTCACCATTATTGGTAAAGCATATAATGATGTCAATATTCTTCGACTAGGCTATCTTTACGAGCAGGCGAGCCAGAACAGAGTTGTTCCTCCTCTGACCCCGTCTATCTCTATCGCTGATACAAGAGATGGCGTGTTAGCGGATGTTGCCCGACCTAAATTACACATCTCGTGCAAGTCCGCCCCCACAGATGCAGAGCAAGGCGCTGTAGAAGTTTCGGTAAATGGTATCGTCACTGTTGAAGAGTCTAGTGAGGCATTGATTATGGAGATCTATATTGACGGCAACAAGTTATCCGATGACAAGGTCGTTCTTACACCAATGGGAAGTGAGCCAGGTTATATGTTTACGTCTATCGTGCAGGCTCCCAGTGCTCCTACTTGGGCCGAGACAAAGCGATGGGGTACGCCAGTATCCCGCGACCGCATCATGGTTATGGTGGTTGCTCGAGTTGGTGCAAATGGCCGACCAACGGCATGGTTGGGCCAGCTAGAATAAGAGGTAAGCTTCTCCGGTAGAAGAGTTTAGGTAGTAATAATAAAAGCTTTGTTTCCAGAAAAGCAAATAAACCTCATATGTTGAGTTTAGAGCGTGAAGTATCTAGATAAGTGGATACTAGTAAAACTAGATGTCTAGCTACTACTGACTGCGGTACGTAGCATGACGGCGAGCCATTGTCTCGTATCTCTTTGCTGTAGCGATTCGGAATTTCTTGCCCCAAATCAGAAGAGGAACCGGTAGCAGTAGGAATACGAAGCAGAATACTGCAGTGAGGACTTGCATATTCTGTAAACCCATGCTGGCAATCCAGGGCGAGAGAGCAAAGAGAACGACGACGGAAAGTGTGTTGCGCATAAACACAACACCTACCAACGCATTTCCCACAATCTATCGACAGCCGTTAGAAGTAATCTACGAAATTAGATGGTTACTTACATTGTGATAGCAGTCCATGGTGTATGCCAAGGCAACATTACCAGCCACGACAAGACCGAAGCCGAACAAGCCAAAGCCGACAGCAAGAACAGGCCAAGATAATCCCTATAAAACATTAGTCCATATGCAACATTTTATATAGGCTATTTGAAAAGGATATATTGACTTACATTTGCCATTCCGACGCCAAGCATCAGAATGCCTGCAGGAGTAAGAATAGCCATGGGCAGTGCTAGCCACAGTCTCATCTCTGGTTCATAAACACCATGGTTTCGTCGTGATAGCCACATGATGCATTTATCATTCAAGTAGCCGCCAAAGAAGAATGCCAAGACCGTTCCAATAAACGGAGCCAGATTCATCAACCCAACACCGCCCGCAGTAAAATTATACGGAGGCAGAAAGAGGTAGGTGGACTGGATGGAAATCATAATGGCAAACCACGCCAGCAGCGATCCGTAGGTGAGCGCGGCATACGTGACGGCTGGCATAGCATACAGAATCACAATGGGTTCAACCATATCCGGCCAGATGGACCCCTTTGTCGTGGTGACTAGAGCTAGGCGTTTTGCGTACCCGTTCATGGGAATGGAGGCGTCGACATGGGTTCTTGGTTTCTCTTTCTCGGGGCCATCATCTGCTGTGATTTGCACCTCAATCTCGTGCATTGTTTCGACATTGGGATCACTGGGGACAAATTTGGACTCTTCAAAAAAGAAAATGACCAGAAGCAGGTTGACAGCGAAAATGATGGCCCACCACCACCACATCCAGCGCCAGCCCTGTCCGTCAACCATGTATCCTGAAGCAACTGGCCCGAGATAGGTACCTGCAAATGTAGCCAGATGATAGAATCCGTTCATAACCGCATGATGGTGGACGAAGAAGAGATCTGCAATGGTGATTTGCGCAATGGTCTCGCTGATGGCACCGCCCAGGCCAGCGAGGAAGTTGTTGCCCACAAAGTCACCGCGAGTGTAGGAGACGGCTGCCCAGATGCATGACCCCAGTTGCATCAAAATGCTGAAGATGTACATTGGGCGTCGTCCATACTTGTGTACCAGGGGAATGAAAAAGATGCAACCAACGGCTAGGCCAACATATCCAGCGGCAGCGGCACCATTGAGAAAGTCAACATTCAAATCAGGCAGCTCGTTTTGGTAGGCTTGCCACGCTGTGAAGCCAGTGTCTAGCTGCACAAAGGTCATGAAGACGTAGAAGGATACGAGCGTGAAGTTGACGCTTTTCCGCCAGATAGACCAGTTAAGAGGATCATTTGGATCGGATGTGGGTGTTGGATGGAGATTGACTTCCCGGCCGTAGGACGTTGCTGTGCGTTTTGGTTAGTAGTTAGAATTGATACAGATGTAAGGGGGCCTACTCTGCTGTAGCAGAATTGTGCCTGGCGGCCATGACGAAGTATCAGAGGTTGGGGATGATTCATGATTGGAGTTGGCCATTTTGAAATAAAAAGCACATCAATAAGTAAATTATTGTTGTTGGGTCTCAGTAAAGGTTTCTGTTCATTCATTCGAATTGTGCCTCTCGTGTAAATGGCGGCCCTCGACCAGCCCAAATAGTTGTTCAACTCGTCGTGCTCCGCGGCGTCCGCAGACGAAATATCTAGCCAGCCATCTTGTAATGTGGCTGGGTGTTCAAGGTATAATGATGAATTATATTTTGATCTCTTATCAAACAAACCCCAGCTCAGCGATTGACACCCCAGAATCGACGGGACTTTGTGCGTTTACTAGGACGGCTTCTAGTAACGAACGCGGGGGATCGGCTTAGTCTGAACCAATGAGAGACACTTGCGACAGCCACGCTGGGGTCGCAGTTTAGTGCAGTTTCAGCTGCATCAGTGGGTAAAAACGGTTGATGAAGACCGAATACCGAACTGAATGCCCTTCCTTAGCAGTCGGGCTATCGGTAATCGGCGTTTCCTAACCAGTTGAAGAGTCATCAAAGGGCTTGTTACTGGGCGTTAAGTCCAGTTTAAATTGGGCCATGGTATTAACTAGCCATATCTCCCACCGTGATCGTGGGACCGGCGTGTAGTTACAGTGCACACACTACGTCACCTTCAACACATCATGCAGCTTTCAATAATTTTCTCATTCACGCTATACAGTATATAGAATTATGAACGGTAGAAAAGGTATACAATTTCCCTTTCAGATGACCGCGGGCGTAGTAAAACGGTGCGGCTGAGGGCCAAGATCGAAATTCACGACGCCGAAGCTGGGCTGCACCACCGAGCACCGACTTAGTATGAGGCAGAGTGAATACAGCGTGACCATCCGCAGAGCCATGGAGACGCCCGCTTGAGAAGCATTTAAACGCAGCTCGTCGTCCACAAAGCTACCCTCAGGCCAAAATCCTACGATTCTCCATTAAGCAATTGTCATATCTCATCTCATCATGACTATCAAATTCTACTTCTCTCCCATGTCCACGGCGGAAATCACTAATGCGATTTTCGCCGAGCTGAACCACGGCCAGGCTGAGCCCTTGGCCGAAGTCATCCCCGTCAAGATTGCCGACGGTGAGGCCAAGACAGAGCAATTTCTGGCAGACGTCAACCCCAATGGTCTCGTTCCCGCCATTGTTCATGACGGCGTCACCATCTGGGAATCGGCCGCCATCTCCATCTACCTTGGCGAGACCTTTGGCGTCGATCGCAAGGTCGATGGTGTTGATGCGCCCCTGTTCCCAGCCGCTGGACCTCGTCGCGGCGAGGCCCTGAAGTGGATTGTCTGGCCTAACACGCATCTTGCTCCTTATACCCTTCCTTTCCATGACGGCCAACCCGCTGAAGTCAAGGTATGTTAAACTTCAGTGTCACGCCGAAACGAAAGCTAACCGCGACTCTGTAGGCTATGGAGAGCCGCTACAGGGAAACCATTACAAAGGCTCTGGGTGTGTTGAACACCGCCCTCGAGGGTCGCGAGTACTTGCTTGGCTCCGAGTACACTCTTGCTGATACCCACGTCTGGGGATTCGTGGGGTACATTGAAATGCTCAAGTTTGATCTCTCCTTGACGCCCAATGTCAAGGCATGGATGGCCAAAATTACCAGCCGTCCACAGCTGAAGGGCCTGAGCTAAACCAGAAAATCTCACACTGGACATGTATGTTGGTTATTTGCTAGTAATATCATCATGTATTTCAACGCCTCGCTACCTCGCGTTGTCGGGATTATCCACATGTCGTCCCCGCGTACAACCCTCCTCGTCGCCCCGTGCCTCACAGCACGACCATATAAAATTTTCGGGGTATTCATCTCGGTTCTCTGTTGTATCCATAGGCCCATGACAATTTTCATCGTATCGACGAATGCTTCGTCGTCGACTTCCATCTCCCCTACGCACTTCTTTAGCCAGAGTTCGCGACCATCTAGCTAGCTGTTCTTACCCTCGTGATAGAGACAGGCTGTCTCTGTATTCTCCCCCTTCCTGTAGGTCTCCTTGCATTGTGCACAGATCGAAACGGCGTGTGATGGCCCGCCCGTGGATTGAAGCGCGTCCAAGTGCTGTAAAGCTTTGTGACGCAGGTATGTCTCGTCGCATAAAGCGAAGAGAACGGCGCGCAGGGTATGCGCGTCGGCATTGTAAAAAGTGTTCATTGTGGTGTGTCTTAACTGTAGATCTAGAAGGTTTGTGTTTGAGTAGTCATGGTAAAAGTAAAGAAACGGTGACCCCCCTCGCCTCGGTTAATGCGAAATTGCGGTAAGCTATGAGGCTTATTCATCTAGACGAGTGATACAAGTCGATGGGCTCAGGAGGAGATATCAAGGGTAAGTATTGTATCCCTGGTCAGGTACCGATTAGAGTGTGTAAACGGGAGATGATGAAGGTTACAGGGCATTAACTGACAACCCCCAGAATGCACTAAAACAGTCTGTCAAAGAGATCCACAGATACCTGACAGGGTTTTACTTTCTCTCGATGCTCTTCATCCAATCATATCAAAGATATCTGGCCAAAACTAGTTAGTTACCGGAGGGG